TGCAGCGGCGCCTCACAGAGGGATCCACTCACGTGCGCCTGGCGGTAACTTTACGCGCTGAGAATGGACGTGCTGACCAACTGACATGCTTGCGGTCTGACCGACTGAAAATTGATGCGTTGACGGTCTGACAGACTGTGAAAAATGGCCGCCTAACTGACGGTCTGACAGACTGAGAAAATGGCGGTCAGACAGACAGGCAATGGACCAACGGACACTTCCACCAAGTCTGCACGTTGGGCACGGCGCCAGTGTGCAAGCTGGATTTGTACATTGGGCACTGGACCAGTCCTCCACATTTGACCGTCGCCCAGCCAATTTCCGGGCAATTTTGACGCGTCCGTTGCCCATTGCCCGTTGCTCCTGCCAAAATCTGGCGTTTGACGTTGCTGCACTGGAGCAGTGTAAAATGGCGTGCCCATTGGACCAACGTGCAAACGGAGGGGTCCGCCCTTTGGCAGGGAAAAAAGCGACGGCAACGCCCATCGTGCGCCAGCGCCGCGCCACGGCCTAGGGCTAGGGGTCCGCCCTTTGGCAGGGAAATTGGCAACGTCAATGCCCGTTGCAGGCCGCCAACGTGCCACGGCCTAGGGCTAGGCTTCAAATGCACCAACACCGTTCTATCAAGGACATGAGACCCAAGGACCTTGGAAGGACTTGGGGGCTTGGGGTTGTCCACTGGTTTGGGCGCCTGGGCAGACGCAACACTGGTGTTGGTGACAGCCAGGGCAGGCACGAACGTGTTCTGCTTGGGAACCTTTTTGGAGTTGTGCAGAGGTGCGGCAACCTTGTCAGCATCAGCCTCATCCAGGTTGGAGGCTTTCTTGAGGTCAAAGTAGTGCAGGCTGTTGTCGTCTTTGTTGAGCACATCTTTGGCATCCACCAGCTCCAACGGCTTGGGCACTGAAGCAGCAGGCTTGTTGGACTTGGCACAAGACTTGGCAAGCAGCTCAGGGGCAACTGGAGCCAAGATGATGGATTGGGCGGCCGCAGTCAAAGTTGAGGCGGGCTTGTTGAACAACTTGGGCACATCTGCAACAGACTTGCATGCTTTGGCGGCAATTGTTGAAGACTGCTTGGATGTGTTGACAGACTTGAGCAAAGAGCCTGTGTGACAACAGGCTTGGCAACCTGAGGCGCAAGTTGAGCAGGCTGGGAAGGCAACTTGGACGCAACAGCTTGAGCGACACGCAGTTTGGCATGGGAAGTTGTAGCCAAGGTGGTCTTTTGCTGCGTGAGACGCGCACTTGAACGGTGCTTGGCAAAAGGATTGATGGTCTCCAGGTTGATGCAAGCACCTTGGGGCAACTTGAGTTCTTCCTGGACGGTAAAAGCGCCACAGGGCTTGCTTGGAGAGGACTTGAAGCCGGTAATCTCAAGAGTGTCCTCCTCGTCCTCCACCTTGTGCACCCTGACAGCATCTTCTGCCAAGTCCTCTTTGTCTGCTTGCTGAATATTGACAGTCACGCCCCAAATCAGTGGGTATTTGGGCGGAGGATGCTTCAACAGTTTGGGAAAGGCAGGCATGCCAAAGTTGTGTATCTTGTTGAGTTGGTTGTACATTGTCTTTGTCCAGGCAAGGGACTTTTCAGCCAAGACAATCTGCTCCAAGCAAACAACATGGCATAGGGATAGGATGTTATACAAAAAAGACTCATTGGATGCAGCTGCCAATGAGATGGGTTGATCATTGAATTGCAAAACTCAAGGCTCAAGACTCAAAACTCAAGACTCAAAACTCAAAACTCAAAACTCAAAACTCAAAGGGCAGCTTGAAGAAGTCTTAGCAAGACCCCTTTCTTCTTCCTGACGTTCCGACTTGGCGGACTTGCTGTTCTCGCGTTTGACGGTGAGACCCTTTGTTCGCGAAGCTTTTCCGAAACCAACACTTGCGGTGCATCTTCTTTCTCGCTCATCACATCTGCTTGTTGTCGCTCATTTTGTTTGCAACCGAGAAGGCGTACGATCGACAGTCCCGACATCGCGCCTCCCCAGCGTCTTTGCACACGAACGAAGACCGCCACTGCGACATGCTGTCTCTCGTTCAGGACAAGATCGCACTCTTGCAGTCGGCACTCGACGACCCAGCGATTCAATGGAAGCAGCTTGTGCTCGCGCTTCTCTGGGTCGTCTACGGCTTTGAGACGCTTCTCTCGCTTCGGCAATACCGACTCTACAGCCTCGACACGCCGCCTGCCACGTTAGCCAGCCACGTCGACCTCGAAACCTTCAAGAAGTCACAGGTGTACGGGAGGGACAAAGCGCGCTTCGGTTTCTTCTCGTCTGCTATCAGCCAGCTCCTCAGCGTTGCCCTCGTCTACTACGATGTGTACGCCTGGAGCTGGACATATGCCGGCATCATCCTTACTCGACTCGGACAAGACGACAGCGAGATTCCGCGCTCGATTGTCTGGATGATGATCATGTTCGTCTTGCGCGAGGTCCCAAGCATGCCGCTCACGCTGTATCGCAACTTCGTCATCGAAGAGCGACACGGCTTCAACAAGATGACCGCGCGGACATTTCTCACCGACACGCTCAAGGAATGGATGCTCGGTTTCGTCATCGGCGTACCCCTCATCTCGGCTTTGCTGTTCATCATTCGTTGGGCTGGTTCCACTTTCGTAGCGTACGTAGTCGTTTTCCTATTCAGCTTCCAGATCATCGCCATGGTACTCTACCCGACGGTCATTCAGCCGCTCTTCAACAAGCTCACACCGCTTCCTCAAGGTGCTCTGCGCGACCGTGTCGTTGCGCTCGCCTCGTCGCTCAAGTTCCCGCTCAAACACATCTACGTCATCGACGGCAGCAAGCGCTCCTCGCACTCGAACGCCTACTTTTTCGGCGTCATCCCCGGCGGCAACAAGCACATTGTCATCTTTGACACGCTCATCGAGAAATCGACGTCGGACGAGATCGAGGCGGTGCTGGCGCACGAGCTTGGCCACTATGCCAACAACGATCCGACCAAGCTGCTCGTGCTGTCGCAGGTGCAGATTTGGTTCACGATGAGCCTGTTCACGCTGTTCATCAATAACGTCTCGTTGTACCGGTCCTTTGGATTCCAGGTGGGACCGTCGCTGCTCGAAAAGGTGGCAGGCACGCCCTCGTCGCAGCTGCTCAATTATCTGCCAATCATTATCGGGCTGGAGCTGTTCCAGCTCGTACTCAACCCGACGGACGCACTGGTCAAGTTCCTACTCAACTCGGCGGTGCGCAGAATGGAGTATGCCGCTGACCGCTTCGCTGCAACTCTCGAGCGGCCCGGTCCGACATCTTCTGAGCTCGCCGCAGCGGCTGAGTACAACGCAGAGAAGGAGAATGCGGCAGCCAAGGTCGATCCCAAGCAGAAGGAGGAGTACGTCGATCTTCTTGGCAAAGCGCTCATCAAGCTGCATGTCCAGAACTTGTCGACGATGCACCATGATCCGCTCTTCTCGGCATACCACTATTCGCATCCAACGCTGGCCGAGCGTCTCAATGCTTTGCAGGCGCTTCGTCCCCAGCTCAAGAAGCAAAAGTAGTCTAGACGAAGCAAGCATTGTAGCAACTCGACCACTCCTCAATGAAAGGCCAAATGGCTTCGCTCAGGTGCTCGCGGCTTGGTCTCGCTTTGTGCCTCACGCTCGTCTCTTGGCCCGCTGTGAGTGTCCAACCCCGTTCGCATTAGTAGATGACATGCCGTTGTGCAGGTGACGTAGCCTCGTCTGCCTCCCTTTTGAGCGCGCCCGGTCTGATCTGCTGTTGCGCCGTGTCGTTCCTGCGCGACGCTGCTTCTCCATGATCGGCAGCCGGCCCGCGATCCCAGACAGGAAGCGCGTGATTCGCAATGAGCTTGCGCAGCACCCCCGACGCCTCACGACCGAGCTCCCATCGCGATGCCCTCACCTCTCGCTCGACCATCTCGAGCACCGCGCGGGTGTAGCACTTGCACTCGACGTGGGCGATGTCGTCCGCAGTCTTGGTCGACATTCGCTCGAGGAAGTCGATGCCTTCCGGCTTGAGTGATGTTGCAGGAGACGGCCGATGAGCAAAGGCGTCGGTGATGTCGGTGCCGATCTGCGTGCGTTCGGCCGAGACGTGGCGTTGAAGTGCGCCAGGCGAGCTGGCGGCCAAAGCGCTGAGAGTGGTGGCTCCGTTACGGTGCGCTGATCCGGGCCGAGTGTTGGGCGTCGAGTCGGTGACGCTGCCGGCGTGACCGGATGGACCGGTCTCGCCAGCGCGTGGGTTGGAATGCGCGTGTCCGTATGCCCAAATAACGAGTGCACAAGTATATTGCGCCCAACGATGATGTAAAACCTCGTCGAGACCGGTGACCTTGTCGGTGTCCTTTCGCGCAGGAGATCCGCCCATGTGTGCGGAACGTGAGTCTTGATCGCGCAGCCCAGGGTAAGAGGACGCAGTATTGTGAGGCTCATCGGCAGAGACGGCAGGACTGTTCCTGAAGGTTGAGATGGTGCCGTAAGATTCGGTGCCAGTTCCAAGCAATGAGGTGCGCAAGAAGTTGACGGCGTACCATACCGCCGTGCGCCCATCAGATGTGCGTGCCCATTCCTTGACAGACCGTCGCGAGGTATTGAAGGTGGCACGATCGATGAAGCGCCCGAGCACCGACGGGAGACCGGCATAAATCTGAATGTCGACGATGTCGGCAAAAAGCGCGATCTGCGCTGCAGTGACAAGACTCGGCGTAGCACGATGGATGAGGCGGGTGCTGGACTCTTCGTCCGCTTTGATGTAGGCGATATCCATGCGAGCCTGCAGAGAAGAGTAAGCGGCCGAGAGCCGATCCTTCCAGTTGCTGATGCTGTTGTCGCCCCCCTTGCTGCCTCCTGGTGAGGTCTCTGCGCCCAGCAAGACATTCTGCTTCCATTGCAGGTCGTAGGCGATGCTCATCAGACCGTGCAAAAGCACAAAGCGCGGAAAGGCATCCAACTCTTGCGGCGTCTTGGCGGGGCTGAGGCAGGCTTTGAGCGCCGGAATGAACGGACCAGGAGGCTTGTAGCCTGTACGCTTGCGATGTCGGTACCAGGCTTCGGGTGTGGCCTTGTTCCACTCGTCGTCGCTGCATGGAAGGTTGAGCTGGATTTGGAAAGCCGAGAGCGAAGGAATGTGTCGAAAGATGGTGGCATGCTGGGCATCAAGCATGAACTCGAAGAGGGCGATCCGCTTTTTCTCCTCTTCTCTGGCCCAACTCCTCCAAGATTCCTCGGATTCGTCGAAATGGCTTGGACTCGGCGCACTGGCATTGAAGACGGCGTTCCTGCGGGCAAGGGTGACGATAAAGTTGTGGAAGAGATGCGCCATCTCGTGTTGAGGTCGAGTGCTCATCATTTTGCCAAAGCTTTCGGTGAGTACCAGCGCTTGCAGCATAGGCAGCGTAGCGCGCGCTGGACGAAAGTCCTCGAGACTAACGACGGCGCCCCAGATCTTTTGAGCAATGCGCACAGCGAGCTCGTGCGCAGGAAGACCAGCAAAGTGAGCGCCGATGACCACGATGGCGCTGAGCAGCATGGGATCAGTGGTGCTGGCTGCGAATGTTGGCTCGTGAATGAGAGGGTAGAGCCGATTGAACTTGACAAAAAAGAGATAGATATAGCACCTCAAAGCGGCAGGCGTAAAGAGAGGCGAGTTGGGGAGCTCGCTGACCGACTGGAGGAAGATGAGAAGCCTGTGATGAGCGACTGGATCGAGATGGTAGGTGACGCGACTCGGGATGTCAGCTTGAAGCGTGGCAAAGTAGGCGAGGTCCTCCAGCGCATTTGGCGTCTCGACTTCGCTTCCAGATAGAAGGATGCCGTCTGAGCTCATGCCGCGACCGAAGCTGGACGCATCGCCAGCACCGCTGCCTGCTGTGATGCCGTTGGACGAAGGATGCACGTTGCCTAGGAATCCACCAAGACCGTCCGAGCTGCTCGGAGAGAAAGCCGAGGTCTGAGACTGGGGACCTCGCACATTCGCGTAGGGCGCTCGGCTTACGTTGCCGGCATGACTTGTGCCACCAAATGGATCAACGCCATCAAAGAGCCAGCCAAAGTCGGCTGTGTGGTCGACCACTGGCGGCGCAAATGGGAAAATATCTTGATTAGGTGGAGGCAGCGTGGACGGCTGGCGAGCAGACGGACCGGTGTCAATGTCGGTCAAAGATGCAGCCAGGCCCGGCGCAGCGCTCTGTGTGCCGTTGTTCCATGCGGTCATGTAGGAAGACGAAGGAGGGGGTGCATAGCTGCCTGAGGCAGGATCGCTTGCCATCCAACGAAAGGGTTCACTCGGCTGCGAAGAGACTCCTGCGTTGCTGCTGACTACAGTGTCCGAGCGGAGGTGGGGCTGTGCAGGAGATCCGTCCCATATGCTCGCATTGCGGTACGACGCTGCGTTCGAGGGGGCAAGATGCTGAGCATCGAAGCCAGGTCCGAAAGAACCGACTTCATTGCTGGAGTCGATGGTCGGGGCAGGAAAGTCATGAGCTGGACGCGAAGACGAGGACGGCATGGAGGAATGCGTCGTCCAAGGAGAGCCTTGGGGATGTGAGGCCGTTTGATAGGTCGAGGCACGTGGGGCTGGCGCGCCAATGGAGTTGACACTTGACCACGGTAAGGATGAGCCATGCTCAGATTGGCGAGGTGCCGCGCTCTTTGCGTGGTCTGTACCGCCGAATTCGGCTTGGTCGTCGTTGTCGTCTTCATCTTCCGAAGCGCTGTCCGAGTTGGCATTGACATTGCTGATGGACGGACGACCGGTCTGGGAAGCTGCGGCAGACTTGCGTCTCTTGTTGGGAGCAGCACCGGACTTGTTGTGCGAGACAGATGAGCCGGAAGCTTCAACAACATCGTCTTCATTGTCGTCCTTGCCGCGGTTGGACCATCTGCCGAGGGTCTTGCCGCGTGCTGCGTGTCTCTCGAGATGCCGAACGAGCAAGTCCTGACGAACAAAGGTTCGGTCGCACTGATTGCAGCAAAGTACACGAGCTTGGTCGTGGTTGAGCTTGTGTCGAAGGAGATGATCAGGGCGAGAGTAGCTCTTTGTGCAGCCGGGTTGATCGCAGGTGTACCTCATCTCGGAGGAAGACGAATCTTTGCGGACCATGACGAGCCGAGGTGTGCACAGGATGGACTGAGCAAGATGATGGTAGAGCTGAACGAAGGACCGATTGATAAAACGGTTGTGAACACTTTTGGAAGCCTGATGCTGGATGAGCTGAGGGTACGAGGGGAATTGGCGAGCTGGTGACCGGCGGTTATCGTGCCAGGCGATCGTGTGGCAGGCGAGATCGATTGGCCGCGGGTTCGGGTTGGATGGGTAAAGCGGCTGAGTGAGGCAGCCGAGCTCGAAGTGCTGATGAGTGGCGCCAAAGCTTGTGTCGGAAGCAGCGTGAAGCAGCTCGCAGTCGCCCAAATTGCGAAGCTCGATAAGGTTGGGCCAGGGTCAGGTGCGAGCGACGTGACCAAGGTTAGACTCGGTACCTCGATCGTGAAAGCCTTTGCTCGCTGTTCGTTCCGAGCTTGTGGCAGACGAGCGCAGATGCGCAGGCGTGGTCTGTGAATGCTGTCACTGTTCTGCAATCGCTCAACGGACCTTCCGCCGTTGGCGTGCTTGGCGAGCGGGCGTAGCTGGGACCGCTCGAGCGTGATTTATATGAGCGTGGGTGTCTTTCGGATGCGACCGACGGCTGTGATGTGACGAAGGTGCTGACGTTGACCCAGCCAGGTCAATGCCCTGATGAAGCAACGAGACGAGGCCAAATGAAGTGGGACTGGGGCAAGAAGACGAAGAAGCCAGGTCAGCCTTGAACCGCTGTTGCCGACCGTATGTTTGTGGAGTCGGAGGCTAGGAACGCTGCCTGCTGGCCTGTCTTTTTCTTGGTGGAAAAGCAACCAGACGTGGGCTGAGCTCTATTCGTCTGGCGCCTGGCTGTAGGCTGCCCACCTTGACTCGAATTTGGGCCGACACGAATCGAAGTGGGGCGCGACTTGCTCCAGCTGGCTGCGATCGGGTGAAATAGGCGCAGCCGAACCAGAGAACAAGGGTCCATCCGCGAAGAAGTGCCTGTCAAGATTCCGCCAAATCGGGACTGACAGGGCTGAGCCCACGACGCTCGGAGCGCCCGCCGCCCGAAAGAGACGGTCCGCACTTGGCTTGGGTCAGCTGCCCGGCAGCTCGCTGCGACAGCTTCCATCTCTCACTTATAGCAGAGCTTCTCTCGATCGACAAAGAGTCCACCCGGTTGGGAGAAGGGAGCAGACGAAGAGCGAGCCAGGACGGGCGGTTCACTGGGCTCACCAGGTTGCCAAGGGACCCTGGATTTCTGGCCTCTTCTCCACAGCCTCGTGTTCTTGCGCTGCCTCTGCACGGACGCTCGAGGCACAAGCTTGCAGCTCGAAATCAGTTTTGGACTCGATCCGAACACGGAAATTCATCCGAGGCAAGGCAGCGGCTGCATAGTCAGAGCAGCGGAAGCAGCAACTCAGTCATCCTCGCTTCGGATGGTCGGTATCGATAGCAACCCACTAAATTTACGATTTTCTGGCTCAATCTCGATACCGCTCTGCCAAACTCTCTTCTCCTCGGTCACCATCGTCGTTGCTCCCCTTCGAGCCGGCCGGACTCTCCGACATCACCAGACTTTCATTACAACATCGCAGATCGGCCAGACCGACGTGGTTTCAACACCGCTGACCTCAGCTGCATCGACCATCTGGCGCGGATACGCTTGTACAACGTCGCTGCCCAGCTAGCTGCCTTCAGGGCTCAGCGCCGTGCTCAATCGCGATCCAAGCTCGATCCGACACATGCCTCCTCGACGTCGTCGTAGCTATACTCTCACGCTCCGCTGTCATATCTTTCCCCCTTCCTGTCGGCAGAGTGATCTATCGCCTTTCAGCTTGTGAAGAGCCCGCAATATAGCGCGGCCTCCGCTCAGCCACCATGTCCAAGTTTCCCAACCACGGACTCTTCACCAGGACCGCATCGGCTTCTTCGCGGTCCACCTCACTCATCGCACATGCGCGCAGAGGTGCACCTCGTCGACGATCCGCAGCCGTCACGCCCAGCAGCTCGATAGCACTCCCTACCAGCAACAGTGCGGTCCTTAGCGGTGCCACCCTTCCCACTAGCCAGCCGTCGGAGCCCTTCATCGGTCCTCTCACTCTGGCAGCGACGCAGAGCACATCCTCACAGACCGGCAACCACCCTCGTCCAGAAACGGCAACGACGCCGATCCCATCGACGAGTGAGGCACGCTGGACACGCGATCCGTACACCGACCAGGTTCTGAGCCTTGTGCGCGCCTCAGAGAACCTGCCTCGCGCTCTGCTGCCACCCTACGACAATGATTCCGCATCCACATCTTCGTCGCTCCAGGTAGATGCCTCCGCACACCTGCCTTCCTCTGCTTCCATCTCAGCTGCGGCCCGCCATCTGGCCAGACCTTCAACATCACCTTTCACCATCTCGTCTTTCGACCGTATACCCGCGCATCGCACTCAGCCCCTTTACTCGATACCCCACACCCGAGGCGTACACATCTTCTACCCCAACGCAGCAGCTTCTCATGCTCTCAGCACCTGGAGCACCCCATCCCTCGACGCCTCGAATGATGTCTCCGCTCTCGAAGTCAGCACTCTCTCGGCGAACAGGCGCTTGGCCAAGTTCAACGCCGACCAAGCAGCGTCTTCTTCAGACTATGTGCCGCTCTGGAATGTCACATCAACTTCAAAGATTGAGTCTTGCCCGTCAACATTGGAGCCGCTCAGTTCCGACACTCTCGCACACCGAATGGAGAGCCTATCCTTCCTTTCGCCCCAGACCTCTTTTCCTAGCTTATCAAGCTCTGCGTCTCTGCACATTCCTGTCAACCTGCTGGACAACCCTAACTCGGCTCCTTCTGCCTCACCAGATCAGTTGGCGATGGGCACACTCGGCTGGACATCGCCCGATGCAAGCAGCTCTGCGTCTGCGTGGCAATCACCATCGTCACCATCATCGTCAAAACCGTCCGAGTCGTCGCACAGTTCTTCTTCGTCTTCGTCGTCCCGCCCTCCAACTCCAACCGTCTCAGCGCGGCCAAGCCTGGCAACATCCACAGCGCAGCAGGACTCGTCCGGCAGTCACGGTAGCGGCTCCAGCACACCCACACAGAACAACAGCCTCTCGCCATATCAGATCGAGAGCGCACTTCTCGGCCCGACCTCAATCCTCACGACCGCAGCACGTGGCAACTACGACCAGCGCCGAAGCGCCTCCGCAGCCGCTGCTACTGACTCAGCCGACGCCTCCGACGCCTCGCCGCTGTGGACGAGCTCATTTGCCTCGCCCAAGCACCGCAGGCTGCAGTACTGCTTTGAGCATGGCGCCTATGGCATCCCCAAGCGTCACCCTTGGGCTGCAGTGCGTGGCAATGGAAAGCGTGTCCAGCCAGCACCACCCAAACCCGCCGCACGCTCTGGCGCTGTGGGCATGCTTGCCGCCGCTGCCGACTTCCTGACTGGCTCGGCAGCGCCGTCCGGTCCCGCAGCGGCAAAGGAGAAGCTGGGAGGCGACGCAGTGCTTGCCGAGGACGGCCGTCGCCTTGGACTCAACTCACCGATCCGAGAACACGGTCGCATCGTACAGGACCGCCTGCAGTCCGTCCAAGTCGGCGAGGATGCCTACTTCTTGCGACCCGATTCGATCGGTGTAGCTGATGGCGTTGGAGGCTGGGCCTCCCGCGCCGGTGCGGATCCAGCGCTGTTCTCCCGCCTGCTCATGCACTTCTGTGCCGCCGAGCTCAGCAAGTTTGACGGCCTCAGCGCCGACGAGCTGGCAGCACAGGGAGGCAAGAAGCTGCAGGAGTGGGAGCAGCTCGATCCGGTCGAAGTGATGCACATTGCTTGGGAGCGGTGCGTTCGCGCCTCACGACGAGAAGGCATCCTCGGGTCGTCCACGGCGCTGCTTGCGGTGCTTCGAGGGGACGAGCTGCGCATCGCCAACTTGGGCGACTGTGTCCTGCTCATCATTCGTGCCGGTGAGCTGCTCTTCCGATCCACTGAGCAACAGCATTCGTTCAACTTCCCCGTCCAGCTTGGCATGATGGGACACACGGCAGAGAGTGTCACCATCGCCGCCAACCGCACTCTGCATCGCGATGGGTTCTTGCAGTCGGGCGCATCCGACGATTTGGATGACAATGCGCCGAATCCGCTCGGCTCGACTACCCCCGCATCCTTAGACGAAGCTCGCAAAGGCATCCCAGGGGCGTCTTCAGCATCCGACGACGGCGACGTGGAAGAAGCAGAATGGGATGAGCCACGGCGCGATGCAGGTCGGTGGGCGGTCAAGGTGCAGAAGGGCGACATTATCATCGTTGGCAGCGACGGGCTGGTCGACAACCTGTTCGACGAAGATATCGTCGAGGAGGTGCTCAGGTTTGCCCCTCCACGCAGCTCACATCAATCGATCCCGGACGACGATGACGCGTCGCTCGACAGCGGCGACCGACCCATCGAGGGTCAGGACGAGTATCGTCTGCCCGACGACTTTTGCCCGCAGCTAGTGTCAGAAGCGCTCTGCTCCCGTGCCAAGGCGGTGTCAGAAGACTCGCGAGCGGTAAGCTCGCCCTTTCAGCAGCGCGCCATGGAGGAAGGTCTGCACTACGTTGGTGGAAAGCACGACGATATCTCGGTGGTGGTGGCTGTGGTGGGTGACCCGTCGGAGCGCCTGACCAAGGCGAGCTACTCGATCCGCTCCGAGCCAGAGGGCGATTCAGAGACGCGCTCAGCATCGGGATCCGCGTAAAGGACGCTTCGGAATGCGGTACATATCTCACACAGTCATTCGATTCACTACCAATGCGAATGATGTTATTACAACGAGACAAATGCGCTCGACCTCTATGATCACATGTTATCAGGATCACCCGTCGACATGAGCAGCTGCTGATTTTGCGAGACCCAATTTGACACAGCCGAGCACTGTTGGTAGAACTGGTCCGTGACGCCCAGCTTCGCAATCTGATCCGGCAGCACCTGGAACTGCATCAGCAGTCCCACGGCCATATGGGGCATGAGGTGACAATGGAAAGGCCAGACGCCAGCATTGTCGGCTACAAATCGGAAGGCCATCCAGCTGAACGGTGGGACGGAGAAGACATCTCTGCGCATCGGATTGACTCTGGTGTCGGAGAAATTGGCGCCTTCTTGGAAGTTGCCGGCGCCCGAACCGACTAGGAAAGGCGTATACCCGTGCAGGTGGAACGGATGCTCGCCCTCGTCCAGGTTGTTGATGATCACGTCCATCACCACCGCCTCGGTGTTGGTAACCATCATCTCGTCCGGGTCGTTGTAATATGCATCCAAGCTCGTGTTGGATGAGGCACGTTGGGTGGTCTCGTAGGTGAAAGCTTTCATAAGCGAAGCTTGCGGTGCCATTTCAGAAGTAAAGGTGGTCTGGTTGAAAAAGGCGTGCCAGTTGCTGTATGCGTCGAGACCAAAGTTGACCACGAGCTTAGTGGTCATGTTGGCAGCGGGAGCGTCGATGGGGGTGAGAGGAACCAGGGATGAGGTGCTCAGCGACTCGGTGACGTTGATGAGCGTCGTGTTGGACGGGTTGGCGATGGGCTGAGTCGAGCTGGAGACCCCCTCGTAGCGCATGATGGCATATTGGTCCATCACGAGGAAAGGGTTGTCATAGGGGAACATATCGTCCAGCACCTCTGCGCGAACGGCATAAGCTCCGACGGGACGATCCGTCTCGATGATGACCGAGTATCGCTGAGCGACCATGACATTGAGGCTCTGCACCACGATCGGCTCAACTTCAGTACCATCCGCCTCGATGACAGTCATATTGTGACCATCGACAGAGAAGCGGAAGGACGCCAGAGAGCCGCCATTGATGACTCGCATCCGGATGCGCTTGTTGGCAGGCACTGTGAAATTGTATGCTGCCTTGCCAGCTGGCTCGTCCGAGATGCAAGTCGTGCCATTAGGAGCGAGTGCGCAGTTGGAGAAACCAAGGCCGTTGATCATGCCGTAGTCTGGGACGGGCTCGCTGCCCTGATCGCCGCCTGGCGGTCCCGACTTGGACTTGGCAATAGCAGCAACGCTGAATGAGTCGGCCTGATATGCGTCGTTGACGACAAAGATCATGTCTCGGTCGTAGTCGGTCCTGATTGCAGTGCCATTGCTTGTGACGGTGTTGTTGGTCGTAGTGGCGGTCGCGTTGTTCGGGTTGGTCATTCTGAACTTTTCGTCATCACCATGAAGGATGAGTGGGCCAAAGAGACCGTCGGCATAAGTCGGACCGTAGTGCGAGTGCCACCAGTACGAGCCAGACTGCTGGACGGTCCAGTTGTAGGTGAAGCTGGTGCCTGGAGCGATGCCGCACTCTGTGATGCCAGCGGAGCCGTCCATCTCGTTTGACCCACGCTGGTACTGCCCGTGCCAGTGAATCGTTGTGGGCACTGGCATCTCGTTCTGAATGTGAACAATGATGCGATCACCGATGTTGCCCTCGATCAGTGGGCCGGGGAAGCGTCCGTTGACGAGACGCATCTGCTTGGTGGTGCCTGCTGGGTTCGATAGGACTTGGGTGAGCGTCCAATTGAAGACTCGATCTTGCGGTGGCGCGAATCGATCCCATGTTGGGTCGAGTGTGAGCTGAGACGGATCGGCAAGCTGCTCTCTAGGGATGAAGGTGAGGTCTGATGCGGTTGCACCTGGCACGTTCTTGATGCTAGAGGACGATGGATCTGATGACGAGTTGTGTTTGTGCTTGAGCCCGAGCCCAAGGCCAAGTCCCAGAGCGAGCGCTACGACGAGGACAATCGCGATGACCGCGGTAATCAGCGCGATCAAGCGTCGTCTAGGCTGCTGGCCCCTGACTGGCCTGGATTGCAAGCCTTGCGAGCCATACTCTGCAGTCGAGAGCGAGTTGCTGCTTGATTGACTCGCATCCTTCTCCATCGGAGTGTACGGCTCCATATGCTCAGCCATGTCTGATAATTGCTCCGTATGGCGGTGGTACGTGTTGGCGATGATGTGAAGAGGAGGAAAGAGATTCGCGCCACCTTCTTCACTGAGATTCGCACGGGCGGAATCAGGCTTTGTGATCTGATGAGGGTGCAAGCGGCAGCCACTGCGTTGAAGGTAAGTCGCTGCTGCAACCTCTTTCGGTAGCAAATGTTTGAAGCTGCTGCCGAATACTTGGTCCATTCTGTCTGAAGTAGTCACTCTTGGTTCCGCGGTGCCACGGAATTCGGCTGTGGTCGAGCCGACCAAACGGCGCACAAAAGGGGTCACGATTGAGCACGTTCCCGCCGGGGCTTGCCGAGCAAATCTTCGCGGAGACCCTGAGCGGGTGGCGGGACAAAAAAGTGCTGCCGCCGCCGCCTTGTTCCCGGCGGCTGGTTCGAGAAGCGCGAATTTGGACAGCCGAGATTCGACCTTTCAAACAGAGCGCGCTAAGCGAGATGCAGGATCGCTGCACCTCACGAGAACGTGCTCGCCATCCGCATGGAAACTCAATTGCAAATTCATCCCCCAACAGCGTCTTGCAGCAGCAGTACTGGCTCACAGCGAATGCAGCGAGTGGTAGCGACACGAGATGGATCACCGCAAGCACCGTCAGGTCTGAGAGAGGAGTCGGCGAGGGAACATAATGCCGAGTATTTCTTGAGCTCTGCCAAGTCAGAGCCGTACCATACGTTCTTGTTTCAATGCACCGGTCAAGTCTGATTTAAGCTTTTGGTCGCGTAGCGGCCCACTGAGAATGCAAGAAGGGCCCTCGAAGACGTCTGACTCTGCGAATTGCCACTTCGGTTACGAAGCGGCCGTTGACGACTCGCCACTCGGCAACGATGTTCGGTACCTGCTTGGCACGTTCCCTTGCCCCTTGAAGACTTCCTGCTCCGCTGCAGTGCGCACATATGCACCTCCCTTCTACTCAAGCTCAGCAACAAGCTTTGGCCTTCTGTGCGGCTATACACATCTCCGTCTCTCCTACCGGCGGTCTCTGTTCTCGCGATCCGAGGGTCCGCCTTTTCCGCCGCTGCCACTGGTACCCGTGCCGCCGTTCGCTATGCAAAGCCTGTTACAGCAAAGAATGCTTGCACACGTTGACCTGCGGACTGCCGTCCCTCACGCCCTCGGCCCACTTTTGGACCTTCATCTCGCTGCAGAACCTTGTTTTCCTACATTACGACAGCTAGGGTCACGTTCCAGCGCTGTGCAGGTCTTGTGCAGCCCGCGCGGAAGCATCGTCTCCGTGCTCGAAAGGCAAAGCGTAACTCTAGGAACGCGAAACCTCTGGCTACGCGAGGCATCTTAGCGCGCGCACCCTGCATCCGCCATTTCTCCTGAAGTGCCCCACTCTTGAATGTGTGCGTTGCGTTCTGCTCGAGCCCGAATATAAAGAGGTCGTAGAGCTTCATGCACCCCCTTCTTCGCTGCATCACCTCACACCACCCCTTCCTATTGGAACAACGATGAAGGCTTCTCTCGCTGCTGTCTCCGCCGCTGTCGTGGCCACCGCCGTCTCGGCTGGTCCCATCGAGAAGCGTGCCCGCCTCGGCCTGACCTTCGTCCCTCCCTCGTCGTCGCCACTGGCTCAGTCGTCCAACTATGTCGGCTTCAACAACGCCTCGTATCCTAAGCACGACACTGTCTCGGGCAAGGCTTTCGACCGCATCGTTCAAATTTGGCTCGAGAACACCGACTACGAGTCGGCCATCTCGACCCCTGCCATGCAGGCGCTCCTCCCCCAGGGTGTGCTCTTTGACAACTACTACGCTGTCACCCATCCTTCGGAGCCTAACTACCTCGCATCGATTTCTGGTGATTTCTGGGGCCTGGGCGATGACACCTTCAACCACATCCCCAGCAACATCACCACCCTCTTCGACCTGCTCGACGATGGTGGAGCTGGTGGCAAGCCTATCTCCTACGCCTGCTACCAGGAGAACATGCCATACGACGGCTTCACTGGCTTCAACTACACGTCGAAGAACTACATCACTCCCGGTGCTAGCAACTACACCTACTACGTTCGAAAGGTATGGTACCATCTCTGTCAAGCGCTATACCCAAATCGCGTTACTAACCACGTCTCTCATACTCTCCCCATTCCCGCAGCACAACCCTTGCGCCATGACGGACTACATCTCGGGCAACAAGACCCGCGCTCTGTACAACCGCAACTTCAACGACCTCGCCGCGGACATCGGCAACAACACCGTCCCCCAATGGGTAAGTGCACTTTCATTTCACGCCTTCCATTTCCCTTTTTTATTTTTTTAATCTTTTTTATTTTCCTTCTGTGCTCGCGATCATCATACACCTCCTTCCATCGACTTTTGACACTGACAACACCACTCTTCTCCTCTCTCTCGCATCCCCTTGCCCTTCCAGAGCTTTATTACCCCCAACATGGTCGACGATGGTCACGATACGACTTCGGCGTTCTTCTCGAACTTCACAAACTACTTCCTGCCGTCCCTGCTCAACGAGACCAAGTTCAACGACAACCGAACGCTCATCCTGCTCACCTTTGACGAGAACGACAGCTACACTGCTGCCAACCGAATCTTCACCCTTGCGCTCGGTGCAGGTGTACCTTCGAGTCTGAAGAACACGACGGACCACACGTACATGACGCACTACTCGGCAATCTCGACGGTGCAGGCCAACTGGAACCTCAAATCGCTCGGTCGTGGCGATGTCAACAAGACGATGGCCAACGTCTTCCCCTTCTGGGCGGACACTTTGGGCTACACCAACACGCAGGTGGACGATGCGGATATTCCTATGACCAACCTCACCGGTATCTATCCCGGTCCGCTTAGCCCGACGGCCAACACGCTGTTCTACGCACCCGATGATGTTACCGTTACGGGTGCAGGTGGTCAGCCCGTGTTGGTCAAGAGCGGATTGAACACCAGTCAGACTCTGGCCACTCTTCCTCGCACCAACTTGACCGCCATCGGTCAGAAGCCCGTGTGGAACACCGACCCGGGGTACAACAACGTCAACGTTTCGCAGGGAGCAAACTCGGCCGGCACGAACGCCGCCAAGACCAACGCGGCTGCTAGGCCGTTTGTTGCCGGCACCGGCATTGCTGCTGCTGCTGTCTTTGCTGGATTCGCTCTGTTTCTTTAAAGCGTTCTTATTTCAGAGGGGAATGATGGCGACGTATCGACGGGGCTCACGCTAGCACTCGTGTCATAAAAATGGTTCAGGGATTCATGTTACCCCGCACCTGTCAATGAAATGAAATTTCACGGTCACCTTTGCCTTTCTACCTTGTCGCGTTGCCTGATCTACATCTACCTGTGAGCTTCGAGTGTTCTCGCAGGAAGAGCCACGAGAGGCTGATGATGACAGCGTGCGCGTGAGCAGAGGAAGTAGGGTAGGTGCGGCGCTGTCAAAGATGGCGAGAGTGAGAATCGACAAATTTCGGCGCCACTTTTTTTGGCACGCTATTTGACAATTCTTGTTCCCTCACAAGCTCACATCGGATCCCGTCAAGGTGCTCGCCGCTCAGCTACTGAACACAATCAAAGAGGAAGTGGTGGCACCATTCATTGCCAAAAAAGTCTACACTGTGCATCCCGCCTCGTTGCCCTCCGCCGAGTCCGCCGGTGCCACCTCCGTCTGCGTCTCCTCTAGCGCACCTAGCAGCAGCTCCGTGTACTCCCCGCTGAAGCACCACGCCGGATTGTCGTTGCGCACCCACATGACCAGCTTCCACAGCTGACCGCGGCCGAGCATCTCCACACCGCCCGATCCTTCAGCGTTGAGCGCCAGACCGCAAAAGGTAGCACTCCTCGTGTCTCCCTTGAGAATCCACTGGCGCGTCCTGGTGGCAGGATGAATGCCCGACCCGCTGAGCAGCTGTCTGCGCAGATCGTGGCTCTCCTCCTGCCTTGCTGGCAGCTGAACGTGCGAGGCTCGTCGATGAGCCACGTCTGCCTCGGACTGGACACGGCTGAGCCCGCGCCGTTCGCCGGCGAAGCTCGACCACCGGGGTCGGGCAAACGAACCCATCGCGGAAGCCGAGGTGGACGGCCGCCAGTCGGCGAGCGGAGATTCTGAGTCTACGCTAAAGATTCCAGCGAGGCCGAGGTATTGGAACCTGCGGTGCCAGAAACGGACGCGGAGCCAATCGTCGTCGGTGGGGGAGTCGTCGCGAGTGTTTCCAGTTTCATTCTGGTGTACCGAAGGAAGGAGAGTCGACCAGACCGCTTTTGTTGAGACGAGCTCCTCGCTGCTCTGAGCTGCGACGCTGTCGGCCGTGTGCACAGACGGAGGCATGTCGTTGAGGACCTTCCACGTGCACACGACTACCGTCAGCGCCATGTACGCAGCATGTGCAGTTGCTGGTCTCATCCTCTCCTGCCCCGTCTTTGCCGCACTGATGAGTGTCAGGATGGTGCCAGCGTGCACGAGCGCACGTCTGCAATACGGCGACTCGACCCACTTCACCAGCAGCTGCGTGAGCCTCTTGCGCTGCTCCGCTTTCGTGCTTGGGTTGAGGTACGCGCATATCGAGTGAAGCGGCGTGCACAGTCCAAGGAAAATGGCCTGACACCGGATCGTCAAGCAGTGAACGTCGTCCGTGAGCTTGATCCCTCCACAGCCGGCATCCTCGGCGTTGCCGCCGCTGAACATCTCGGACCAATTCATCAAGGCGTGTGCTATGTGCGTTGCGTCCATGCTCCGCCCGTTGCGCCAACCTGGTAGATCGGAAATACCCGCGTGCTCGACGTTGAAGCCTTCGCTGTCGATCGCGAGCTGCTGCAGGACCGCTGCGGCTCCAAACGCAGAGGATTCGTAGAAGCCGCTATCTGCCATCCAGGCGCCATGCACGCCTTCGAGCAGCGCATACATGTACAGCTGCGAGACGATACGCGGTTCCGTTGCGCCGGCCCGAGATGGCGGCCGACTGGATCGAGCGGATGCGGGTGGACTGGATGCCTGCATGCGCGCATCCTGTGATTCATAGGGCGCGTAGCTGGGGCCCCCGTTGGCATGAGCGTTGAAGTCGAAGGAGGGGCGGAAGCGTGGTCGTGCGGCGGGCGGCAAGGCCAAGTGAGGCCGAAACAGTGCGGAGAGGCGGGAGGCGATCGATGGCATCGTGCCTTCAGCTGAAGAAGGCGAGGGGCTGGTGGTCAGGCGCGCGGCCCAAGCCCTGGGCGGCCAGGCGAGGAACAAGGCGTCGGGACATGGTTCGTGGATGTGTGCGAAGAGAAACTGACACTGTGGAGCCGATGGCCGGGCAGAAAGGTCGATATGCAGCGGCGAGAAGTAGGCTGCGGACTGCGAGTCGAGAATCACACACAACAGCAGCGTCCGCTTGCGGCTCTCGTGCTCGTACCAGCGTGACCATTGAAGGGCGAGCTGTTCCTCAGACAGGGAGTCCAGGTTCGTCGAGTCGATCTGATCCGTGTCGAAATGGGACGGAAGGCAGGTCTGAGCCTTGAGCGCGTCGGACAGAATCGTCTCGCGATGCCCCTCGCATGTGACCCAGAGATCGGAAGCGTTGTGACGTACGCCATACATGCTGACAAGCAAAAAGCAATTCAACAACGACATCCTTCCGCCGAGGCGCAGCGCGTGTCGATGCGATACCATGACCAGGCACCACATCAGACAGATGAGCCTATGCCCTTCCTCCCGAATGCTCGCATCGTCGCTCTGCAAAGACGCGAGCGAGAGCACCGTCAGCGCCTCTTCAGGGCTGTGCGCTTTCGGCGAGCCGATCATTTGGAGGTGGAAGAAGGGCGCGTCTGTGTGCGCTAGTTTGGGAACCAGCGGTGCGAGGCTCTCCAGCATTCTGGACGAGGGATGCAAGTGATCTTGGCAGAGCCGCGCGAAGACGCGGAATCGGTCGACGATAAGTTGCATTTGATCGCTGAGAGTGGTGCCTGAGGTTGCGGCGGTGTTGGCTCCTGGCTGGGCTTCTGTGGACAAGGACGGGCCGTCCACCTCCATCTCGACCCTATGGCTCTGGCTGTGCGAGGTGGACGGTGCATCACGACCTTGACGTGGTGGACCCATGGTCACCATGGCACTGTTGGCGCCCGTCGGCATGACCGCACCACTGCTGGCAGGAGGAAAGCACGACTTGCCATCACCAGCACGAGCAGACTTTCTCTCGCCTTCTTCGTCCCACGCGGCAGCCCTCTGCGAAGGGAACAAGTCATGAGGCTTGGTGAAATTTGCATTCGGGTCGACGACCATGTCGTCCTGTGACTGCGACTCGAGCTTCAACGCCGCACTGACTTGGCGTCCAAGGCTCTCATCATAGTCCTCCGCGATGGCTTGTGCATTGCCTTGACCGGGACGAGTCTGGGAATTTGCATCGAAAGCGGCGGAAGCGGTGCTCCAAACGCGGTCCATCGTTCGCCGATGTGAGCTTGCATTCGGGCCCAGGTACTCCGATTGAGATTCGGTCAAGTTGGGCAGATACACCGAGCTTTGCGACGAGTGCACTTGGGACTGCGAGTTTTGATGGACGTGCATGGCAGAGGTCGTAGTCGGTTGCGGCTGGTTCAGAGAGGCAGCGGGAGCATGGTTGGCTGGCTGTAAGAATGACGTTGAGGACGAGAAGGCATTCGAAGCCCCCATCATGGACGACTGACTTGAAGTCAAGGTGAGGCCGAGTTCGGCCATGATCTGTTCGACGTGAGTTGGATTAGGCGGTGCGCTAGCGGTGGCGCTCGTATGATCGCTCAAATTGCGCAAGTCGAGGCTGAGGAAGGGCGCCGCGATCGGTCGTGGAGAAGTCGAGACACTGGATCCAGAAAGAAGCACTGAGTTGTTGGGGGCGTAGTGACCAGTAGCAGCGGGCGGTTCGATTCGGACCTGCTCGGACAGCTGAGGAAGAGTGCCTGACTCCTGGCTGCCAAAGGTAGGGTCCTCGGTAGCGACCCACATTGTACCGACGAAGAACTCGGACTGCAGAACGTCTGCGTGCGTTGCATGATCGGCAGCTTGATGGTGTGGAACAGCTGAGACGAGGCCAGACGGTAGAGGTGCTGTGCTATAAGCTGTGTCAAAGTAGCCTGTTTGTCCGCCGTCGTCACGCTGATCGTGACATAAAGACCTCGCTGTGGACCCGCTCGCTGCCGCCTCGATACTCGTCGAGCCCCCAGATCCATAGGTGTGAACGCTGGAGGTTTGCCCACTCTGTTGATCCCAGTGGAAAAGCTGGCCAGAGCCCTGGCCGCCTCGATGGTCGGACGGAGGCGCTTCCATCCACTCAGGCCTGTGCGCAGCTGCGTTCTGGGCATCGAAAGCTCGGCGTCCGATCACGGCACCGCTTCCAGCACCAGGATTGCTAAACATGGACGGCTGCACGCCGGAGTGAGGATGATATTCGGGCTCTTCCTCCTTCAGCGAGTAGTTGAAGCGGTGTTGCGGGTTTTGAAGAGCGTAGCCGTCCTGTAAGAAGAGACGCGACGAGATTGTCAGTTGTTATGCATGTGAAGCAACTTTGTGTGGCGTAGTTGAATCATCCTTACAGATTGGTTGAGAGCTTGGGAAAGAGGAGAAGCGTTTGACGCTCGAGATGGGCCGCAAGCATTCCACTGAGCGAGAGGTGAGCCTCTTGGTGAACGAGGCACACTGTCACGGCTGTAGAGGTCAGAGAGCGTGGTCGGACGTTCGAGTGGCTCCGAGATGAGGCGTTGGTGGTCGATGGCGCGCAACGCAGGGCTAGTGCTCATTGCGCCTTCGAAAGGTGGTCGAAGAGATAGCGTGCTGTAGCCACTGGTGGACGCCACGTTTCTTGGAGACACGAACGGATTGGCTGAACCAGAAGCAATGCCGGTGTAAACACGCTCGACACCGGTGGTAGCGGTGGGCGCAGTGTCGGAAGATCGGTAGAGATGAGGGTGCTTTCGGCGCAGATGACGAGCCATACTGTCGTTGCGCGAGAATGCACGATTGCAGCCCGGACAGCAAAAGTCGCGCCGCTGCGTGTGGGTCATCTCGTGCCGGCGCAGATGCGCACGCTTGACAAACGAGGCTGAGCATCCCGGCACCTCGCAATGGAACTTACGGGCCGGGTCGTGACCACGAAAAGCAGGCATGCTGAAAGGGCGACAGGTATCGACACGAAGAATAGCTGGAACGGCGGCAAAGATGGTGGCTCGTGGGGGTGGGACGGAAGGGACAGGCACGCTCAGCTCGGCATTTTAACCGAGTCTGGAGGGCTGGGTCGAGACATGGGATGCACTTTGGTTTGTGTGTGCTTCCACCACATTGTCCCACCACGGTTGCAGATGAAGGGCAGACTGACTGGTTGCTGCCGTGCAGAGCCGCGCAGCAGTGCGCGCCTCTGCCGCGCTGAGCGTTGTCTGGCAGAAGCAGCCACCGGGAACGTCGCCCCGACGAGGCGTACAGATGATCGCCGGTCGAGCAGAGCCACTGGCCGACATAAAAGGGCTGTGATGATCTCGACTTCATTTCGCAAATGTGGGCGGGAGTCGGATATCGTCGTCAGCTCGAGCACGCAAGGCTCGAGATGAAGCGCAGGCGGAGTAGCGCACGATTGGGATGCTTGCTAGGATGAGCAAGAAATTAAGCTCGACAAGCTACAACATGCATATTCGAGTGGGCTGCGTGAGATAAGCGAACGAGATGGGGTCTCACTCCAGCTTGAGTGTCTCGAAGTCGTCCGCGGAATGGCCTTCTTTGTCGACATAGTAGCGGGCCGAAAGCAGAAGCCTATTTCGAGAGTCGGAGAGGATGTTTCGGCCGCTCCAACCTCCGAAAGTGTCTGACCAGTCAAAGTTACGCATCTGAATCCAGATTTGCTCGACGTCGCGAGGAGGCAAAGGGATGTTGTTCGGGAAACTGTAGGCAAAGGTGAACCTTTTGCGGTCCGGCATGACCATGAAGGTATCTGAACAAAAGACAGCTGCTCCTTTTGCGTCTTCATTTGGTCGAACGTCCGAATCCCGGTCCCAGTGAAGACACGAGGAGCCCGGGAAGTGGCCGCCGCACCGCACGAGCGAGAACGAGGGAAGATGCGGAAGTGAAAGCACGTCCTGCTCGACTTCGACGACATGCTTTTGCCGGGCAGCGACATCCGGGCTCTGTGCATTGCCCGAGCCGCGTTGAAACCATTGACGATCGAGCTTGGAGATGAAGACGCTGCAGTCGAGCATCTTGGCCCAGGTGAGCGAGGAGCCGAAAAAGTGCGGATGCGAAATGAAGATGGCGGCAACCTTGCCACTGGGACTGAGGCTGCAGATGCGCTGCATGAGTTCGACCGAGACAAAGCCGCAACAGTCCCAAATGACGGCGCCGTGTTGGGTTAGAAGTAGGATTGGAGTTTGACCGATGGCGAAGGGGGGGTCGAGCTTGATGCGAAGTATGCGAGGGTCGGACTCTTCAGGAAAGAGATCGAATCTTGTGCTTGGAACGAGCTTTCTCTGTGAGGTATACGCTTGGCCGGTGGGGCACGGGTACTGTCGGTCGTCATAGCACACGGGACATTCTGCGGGACCTTGCTCGGAGGAGTACTGGGTGCCGCAGGTTGTGCAGACGGCGAGATCAGCATCTTCATCCCAAAGTTGCTGCATTGTCAACGAAGTAGGTGACGACTCTGATTTGAAGGACATGGTCACCGACGCGATGGACGACTTGTCCGATCTTGAGCGTATAGATAGGAACCGAGCGTCGACGTCGTTATGTATGTGATGCACGATATGCGCCAAGCGCGGCTAGGACGAAGATTGCGATGTGAGGTGCGATGAAGCAATTGAGAACGTGCTGTGGGCGGAAGGTCTTGGCAGCGACGACGATGAAGTGGGAGTAGCAGATGGAAGTGATGATGAACAAGAGGTCGTCGAGGTACAATGGACCCTGAATCATCTGGCAGACAATTAGCCGTGCTTCGGGCCGAATGATGACGGGGCTCCGTCTACCGCGAGCTTCAACCACCACTTGATCTCGCGCACATATTATCACAATGGCTAAAGCGGCTACGCCTTAGTCTCTTCATATCCGTCTCAAGTAGGCCTTGTGAGCGATCGGCTACTCGTCGCCGTTGTGCAAAGTCACACGACCTGACTCGTGCCGTTGGGTTAGGCGCAACTGAACAGACGTGGAATTTGTGCCCGTGCGAGCTTGTCAGTCGTCGTCGATCGCACATTCAGCAAAAATCGGATTTGTCAGACTTCTCAGACCCGATCTTAACCGATACATGGAACAGAGCGGGCTGAGCCAAAAAATTTGAGATTTTTGGAAGAAAGGGTTTGTGAAACAGCCTGCAGCTCGAGTGTGCTTCTGAAGGTCTAAGTGGTCCTCGAGGTGACAGAACTGACACTTGGCAAGCTCCTGCACATCTTCACCATCACGTCCACCCTTTTGCGCTTTGTCGAGCTTCTCCTCATAGGACAGAGAATTTCTGCAAGACAATCGCAAACATGGTCGCAATCTCTCGCGTGGCCGCAGCACGCTCGCTAGCCCGCCAGCTGGCGAGGCACAACCTGCGAACCACCGGCGTCGCTGCCACACCTCTCCGCATCGCTGTCGCATCCACACCCCTCGCTCGCGCACCCAGCACCTTCCGCAGCCTTAGCATCTCGACCCGTCGCTCCGCTGCCGCAGCAGCAGCCGTCTCAGCACCACCGTCTCACGATGCTGCCGCACAGACCGCGCACGATGGCGCACATATGCCCATGTCGCCCCTCACCTCCGCCGACCTCGCCCGTCTCGTCCGTCAGCGCAATGTCGGTATCTCGGCGCACATCGACTCTGGCAAAACCACTCTCACCGAACGTGTGCTCTTTTACACGGGGCGCATCAAGGACATCCATGAGGTGCGGGGGCGTGATGCCGTCGGCGCCAAGATGGATCACATGGAGCTCGAGCGTGAGAAGGGTATTACGATTCAGAGTGCCGCGACGTACTGCAGCTGGAAGGCCACGCCGCCTACCGAGAAAGCGAGTCTCAGTGGCGATGCTGCCGATACGACCAGCAAGGAAATGGCCAAGAAGGAGGATTTTCACATCAACATCATCGACACGCCGGGACACGTCGATTTCACCATCGAGGTGGAGCGCGCGCTGCGTGTGCTCGATGGCGCCGTGCTGGTGCTCTGCGCTGTGAGCGGTGTCCAGTCGCAGACCATCACGGTGGATCGACAGATGAGGCGCTACTCGGTGCCAAGGATCAGCTTCATCAACAAGATGGACCGTGCCGGTGCCAACCCGTGGCGTGTCATTGGGCAGATCAGGAACAAGCTCAAGATGCCCGCTGCCGCCGTCCAGATCCCGATCGGTGCAGAGGACGACTTCAACGGTGTCATCGACCTCATCCGCTGGAAGGCAGTCTACAACGAGGGTCACAAGGGTATCGAGATCCGCGAGACCGACGAGATCCCCGCTGAATACCTCGAGCTCGCCAAAGAGAAACGCGCCGAACTCATCGAGCAGCTCGCAGAGGTGGATGACGAGATGACCGAGATCTTCATCGAGGAGCGCGAGCCCACCATCGAGGAGCTTGCCGGTGCGATCCGACGCACGACCATCCGATGTCAGTTCTCGCCCGTCTTCCTGGGCTCGGCGATCAAGAACAAGGGCGTGCAGGCGATGCTCGACGGTGTATGCTCGTACCTGCCCAACCCGGCGGAGGTGCCGGCGACGGCGATGGACATGAGCACGGCCGCTACCAAGAAGGCCGCTGAGGACGCGGCTAAGGCTGCGGGCGAGGACGAGGAAGCTGCTGCCGAAGCACGTCGCAACGCCGCGCCACCCGTTCTACCTCTCAGCCCCGCATCAGAAGCCCCACTGGTCGGCCTCGCGTTCAAGCTCGAAGAGGGCAAGTACGGCCAGCTCACCTACATGCGTGTCTACCAGGGCACGCTGCGTCGCGGCAACCTCATCTTCAACGCGCGCACGGGCAAGAAGGTCAAAGTGCCTCGTCTGGTGCGCATGCACTCGAATGACATGGAGGATGTTGAGGAGATCGGTGCAGGTGAGATCTGCGCCATGTTCGGCGTCGAGTGTTCGTCGGGTGACACCTTCACCGATGGCACGACACAATTGAGCATGACCTCGATGTTCGTCCCCGAGCCTGTCATCTCGCTGGCCATCACACCGGAAGGCAAAGAGTCGCAGAACTTCTCCCGCGCGCTCAACCGGTTCCAGAAGGAAGACCCGACCTTCCGCGTTCACGTCGACAAGGAGTCCAACGAGACCATCATCAGCGGCATGGGCGAGCTGCATCTCGAGATCTACGTCGAGAGGATGAGGAGGGAGTACAACGTGCCGTGCACCACGGGCAAGCCGCGCGTCGCGTTCAGGGAGACGATCGAGAAGAAGGCGAGCTTTGCGTATACGCACAAGAAGCAGACGGGTGGTGCGGGTCAGTTCGGTCGTGTCATGGGTTATGTCGAGCCTATGGAGGTGGATCCCGAGACGGGTGTGGATACTGCTTTCGAAAACAGGGGCGTGGGTGGCAGCATTCCCAACGGCTACATCACTGCGTGCGAGAAAGGTTTCTACGATGCGCTGGAGAAGGGTGCTTTGTCGGGTCACGCAGTGACGGGCGTCCGCTTCGTGTTGGAGGACGGTGCCGCACATAGCGTCGACTCGTCCGAACTGGCTTTCCGCCTCGCCACCGCCGGCGCCTTCCGCGAGGCCTACCAGAAGGCTAACCCGGTCATCCTCGAGCCCAAGATGACCGTCGAGGTCGTCGCACCCATCGAGTTCCAGGGCGCCGTCATCGGCGCGCTCAACCAGCGCAAGGGCACCGTCGCAGACACCGAGGTGCGCGAAGACGAGTTTACCCTCACCGCAGAGGTCTCGCTCAACGACATGTTTGGCTACTCGTCGCAACTGCGCGGCTTGACACAGGGCAAGGGAGAGTTCTCGATGGAGTACAAGTGCCACACGCCCGTCATGATGAACGTTCAGAAGGACATGCAGGAGGCTTATAGGAAGAAGCAGACCGAGAAGAAGTGATCCCCATCATAGACGCTAGACTTTAACCTTATTCACAGCTCACATTCGCATCCTTTCGTGCTGTGCTGCGTGATGTATGAGCGATTGGAGACGAACAGGCCCGTCCACGCTGAGCAGCAGACGTGAACCGAAGCTCAAACCGATCTAGGAAAGGAAACGGCTCGCACAAGAACGCCGGCTGAAATTGTTAGATTGCCGCCCGGAAGGGAAAGAGTACAGGATCGTGGTCGATGAAGGTCTCGACTTGGTATAGAGAGGCAAGACCACCACAGCACGGAACGTGCGGTGCGGTCCCTGGTAACGTGATATGATGCGAATGCGATGCTAAAGTCCATGGTAGTGATGAGATAGGGTAGCGGGGAACTACGCCGCCGGGTTCGGCCCAGGATACTTCGATGGTGGATTTGAGCATCCGTTGGGGTTGAGCCTGTTGCGTGGCCAATCCGCCTGGTATCCACCCTGCGCCTCTGTCCCACCCCATATCGTGAGGTTGGGGTTTGAGTAGGCCTCGATGTGTTTGTTGATGTAGGCCTGGGTGGGGAAGTCGTCTGGGTCGCAACCGACGTTGGTTTGGCCCGAGGGCTGGTAGACGCGGACGTAGTCGATGAGCATCTTGCCGGGGAACTCGAGGTTGGCCCAGTCAATATAGCCGAATCCGGACGAGATGGCGAGATTGATGAGGATGTACATGGGCTCTTGCGGGACAGGTCTGCGGCTGATGCCGACCCTGGGATCGGCAGCGAGCGCGCCGGAGTTGAGCCTCCACGCCCGCTGACCGTTGTTGACCCAGTCAATGTACCCGTCAAAGCCTGCCTTGTACTCGAAGCCGTAGACGGAAAAGTCGCCGCCACTGTACTGATAGGCCGTCTGCAAGGTGTTGACGACGCCACTGGCCGACTGCTGGAGCACGTTGCCCTGGTACGAGTTGAGCTGCGCCGAGGGCTGGAAGAATTCGTACTCGGTACCTGTGGTGTTGATGAGCTCATAGCCGTAGTTTGCGGGCATCCACTGGCCGGATTGCGAGACGCCGCCAATGCCGCCGCCGACCTGGGCCTCGATGACGTCGATTTCGGGGGCGGAACGACCGACAAAGTTGCCGCTCGAATCCTTGGGCCCTGGGTGGTCGTCGCCGGGGCATGTGCAGGCGGAGAGACGTTGTCCCGGCTGCCAGCTGATCGACGTGGTGCCGTACTTCTCGTTGTAGACGGTGTTACCACTGGTGAGGGCGCCTGACGGGCCCAGTCCATCCGGATCGGTCTGGTTCTTCAAGGTGCCAACGTCGCAAGCACTGTAGGCGTACGGCCAGGTTCCTTGCGTAGTGGCACCGTAGTTGGCTCGTCCGAGATTGCCCATGGTCCACACGGCAGGCCACCATCCGGAGATGGAGCTGCTTCCAGGCAGCTGAATGCGGGTCTCGATGTAGCCTCCCGTGAAGCAGAACTGATTCCACGAGGTGAGCTGGCCACTGCGGAAGTTGAGGTTGTTGGTCTCGATCTCGTCGGCGGTGATGACGAGATTGCCTCCCTCGGTGGTGACTGCTTGCGGACTGTACCACTCGTAGTCTCCTGTGGGCCATGGCCAAAGATCAACGGCAGTCCAGAAAGGGTCGTCGCCTGGCCAGAAGGACCTACCATCCCTGTTGAACTCGTCACTAAAGACGAGCTGTAGGTCCTGCGTGCCATCTACGGACCTTTTTGTTCGCACATCCTGTGGAGTGTCTGGATCGATGAGGGAAGTGCGCATGTTGGTCATGTCGGGGACTTGGCCGGTAGCATTGGTGCCGCCAATGTTGAAGCCATCTTTCTTGCTGGTTGCGAGGTGGCCGAACTCGATCAGTGGATAGCCCAAGAAAAGAAGGATGATACCGGCAATGACGATGGACAAAGTTGTCAAGTCGAGCAAGACGCGCGGATCCATACGTCGCTTGATGGGGCTTTGGCTCTCGAAGTCGTGCAGCTCGTCGTTCTCGATGACAAAGTCGTCAAAGGGCATGCCATGTTGCGAGTGCGATTTGGGAGCGTCCGTGTCCAGATAGGGTGAGATGGAGGAGGCCTTGTCGGTTGCTGACGACTGTGGAGAAATTTTTGAGAGCGGTGGAGAGGCCTGCGAATCTGTGGTTGCTGCACCGTGGGACAGCGTCGAGACATTCTCGAGGACCTCGTTAGATGCCGACATTGTGATTCGAAGCTGAGCCAGGCACTGTGATGTGTAAGTGAGCGTGGATCGGAACCACCGACGCCTGGGAATGTGATTGTAGAGAAGGGCTTGGCAGGCAAGCTATCGGCAAGCTTTCGACATGCAGGTGGTGTGACGAGTCAGCGAAAGCCAGTGCGGGTGCGGTGCGCTCGTCGAGCGATCAGGAGTGGCAAAAGCACCGGGGAGGAGATGGTGTTGAGAAGGTTGAGGGCGCAGGCAAGATTGTCGATGAACCTTGAGATGAAGGTTGCTGTGGACAGAGAGAGAGCATCTAGCAGAGCTACCCTTGAGCACAAAGCACAGACAGAGTGGACCCCGAAAAGACTGGAAGGAATCAGGCTCTGATGCCGATGCCAAAGCTAAGTTACGCACATGAGCGCTATTTGAGAGCAACCACGGGCTCCGCCGATTCATGGGAACCATCGAGGCGAGGCTCGAGGAGTGAGCAGTAAGCGTGTGTGTCGGTGGGCAGTCCAGGGCGAGCGGATCCAGACCATTGGACCCTCCGTCATTCCACCTCAACGAAAGCAAGACGAAAGGTTGCTTCCGATCAGCAATGCCTCGTCCAATCGTCGAGTCGCGTTGTGATTTCAAGCGGCGACTTCTGCTTGTCAGACACATGGAGTAGGCTGCTGCATCCGATCCGGATCAGTGTCAGATGCTGCTGCACTGTGCATCGAATGCACAGACGGACGGGCGGGCCAACGTGGTACTGTAGGATGTTTGTGTGCCTTTTTTCAATTGTACCGCGAAGAGCACCCTTATTGTCTAGACCAGTCTCGTGGCTTCGTGACATCGGAGAGCCAACCGACGGTCACATCGCCCGTTGGAAGGCACGGGCTCGCTTGTGTAGAATTTGAAATCCCTCCAAATCGAGCAAACAAGACCCTTTTAGACACAGCTTTGACACAGCGGACGAGTGAATTGTGCGTGGGGGAGCGTTGCTAGGCGGAGTTTGGATAGGCGAGTGTGTTGACGTCAACGACGGTGAGAATTTTGTATTCGCACCGTCCACACTGCCACTCACAGCCTTGTCAAACTCATCTTTCGACGAGCTTCAAGCCACATTTCTGAATAAGGCGGCTTCGATAGACTTGTTCGACGGTCGTACTCGCATCGACATCGGCGTGATGCATCGACAAAGCCGGTCGTGGTGAGGCAGGTTGTATTTATCTCGCCAACGGTCAACCGCAGGACCGCTTTGCCAAGAGCAAAACGTGGTCGCATTAAGAAGGAACATGGCTACAGACCAACCCACGGGGACTGGGACGGTGTTGGCGATGGGCGTGGCTAGAACCGTGCAAACACCCGCCTACGCCGCCAGGCGGAAAGCACGTTGCATGCTACAGCTTTGGGATGAAATTCAATCTCCCGATCCGGTCGGATCGGCCTGGCACCTGCACCTTTTTCGCGCGTAGCTCAAACCCTGTCTACTTGTCTCTGTCCAAAGCATGGTCCCTGGAAACGATGGATTGCGAGGAGCATCGACGGATGTGCGAGGAACTCGGTCTATTGGTACACAGAAAAGACTGAAGGAAGAAAACGACTTGCGAGAGGAGAGAGAGATTGAAACGTCCATGTGGAAAAATGCTGAAGGAGAGAGTATGCAGGTATGCTGGGACAGGTGGCGAGCAGCGACGGCTCAGCAACCAGTCAACGTGTTCTTTGGCCAGCCGTACTTAGCCCTGGGCCATTGGGTAAGGTTGTTATTTGAGTAGACGTCCGGATGGTTGGCGATGAAGCTGGCGGTGGGGTGATCAGCCGGATCGCATGAGATGCGGTCGGTCTGGCCATCCTTCTGATAGACGCGAACGTAATCGATCGACATGAAGGCGGGGAAGGTAATACCACCCGTGCCAAAGTCGACGTTCTGGAAACCGGCCGAGATTGCCAGGTTCATTACGATGGCCATGGGCTCGACGGGGATAATACGCTGGCCGATGTCCAATGCGGGACGCGCAGGGAAAGCCTTGGGGTTGACCGACCACGACGGCTGCCCATCGACGTACCAGGTCATGGATCCGCTGCCGTCGTAGTTGAAATCAGGCGAGAATTCGACACCATATTTGACGAACTGGTTCTGGGTCAGCTGGAAGCCGCTGTCGGGCACCTTGGTGACGGACGAGACAGCCTCCTGGATCTGACCACCCGTGTAGGTGTTGAACTCGGTGATGGTATCATCGTAGACCTTGGCCTCGGTGCTGGAGTTGCCCCAGGCGTAGGCGTCATCAAAGGGAGCCACCTGGAGCGACTGCGAGGCGTACGAGTGCTTGGCACCGTTCTTGTACTGCACTTGCACCTCGAAGATGTCGATCTCAGGCGAGGAGCGGCCGACGTTGTTGCTGGGGCCCGGGTGCTCCTCGCCTGGACATGTGCACGACGAGTAGCGCATGCCGGGAAGGTACGAGAGCTCGCCATTGTACGCGTACGTGCCCTTGGAGTTGATGGCCGCGTAGGGACCGGTGCCGTTGACGTAGGTTTGGTTGGGAAGAATGCCGGTGTCGCACGAGTTGTATGAGTATGGCCAAGTTCCTTCCGTCGAGGCGAGATAGCCTGGACGGCCGAGGTTACCCATGAGCCACACGGCGGGCCAGTATCCGCTGGTGCTAGGAGAGCCAGGTAGCTTGACGCTAAACTCGATGTATCCGCCCTGGAAGCAGAACTTGTTCCACGACTGGACCATACCGGAGCGGAAGTTCTTGTTGTGGACCTCGGCCTCTTCAAGAGCGATCACCATGGCTCCACCGGTGGTGTTGACGGCCTCGGGCGAATACCATTCGTAGTCTCCTGTACCAGAGTACCAGAGATCGACGGCTTCCCAGTACGGATCGTCTCCAGGCCAGAAGGTCCTGCCATCGACTTCGAATTCATCACTGAAAACGAGATGGTAGGAGGATTGATCATAGCCACTGGTCCACTTCATGGCGTTCTGCGGTGTGTCGGCGTCGATAAGCGAGGAGATAGCGAGAGCGGGCACCTGCCCGGAACCGTTGGTACCGCCAAGACCGAAAGCACCCTTGGTCTTGTCGTCGTACTGGTCCCTGATCTTGATAAGGACAGGGTAGCCGAGGAAGAGCATGAGGAGACCGAGTGCAAGGACAGTGAGGGTGAGAATGTTGAGGAAGCCTCGCAAGTTCCAGCCGTGCGAAGACTTGTCCCATTTGGCGTCGATGCTGTGAAGGTAGTCGTCTTCCTCCTCGGTCATGCCATTGTTGGCGAGCTGATACTTTTGAGTACCGGAAGCGGGGTTGGAGCGGTCGTAGAGGAGACCATCGTGCTGATTGGACGTGGTGCCGCCGATGCTAGTCTCCGAGCTGGAGGGCGGGCTGTGTGCGGAGGAGGATCCTCCTCGGTATGGGTCGGTCATGATGGCGGAGTGCGCTCCGGTATCGATGGATGTACCGGTTTCTCTTTCAAAAGAGATGCGCTCAGTAGACGTCGAAGGGGTGGATCGATCCAAATGAGGCGCTGAAGGTTGCGGAAGTTACGTGCGATCCAATTGGAGTGATTACGAGCGATGGATCGAGGCGAGAGATGGGGTCAGAATGGAGCTGACGGCGACGGTGCTGGCGGAAGGATGGTGGTAAAGGGAAGAACATCAGCGTGCGGCTCAGTGTGACATGCAGTGCCCCTCAAGTGTATCATGCTGTGATTGACCGAGCAAAGCGTGTGGGAGTGTGTGTGTTGCGTTGTCACGGGCTGTGCGAAGCTAGCGGCTCTGCGCCATGCTGGCCTGTTGATTCGAGGGGGCCTGCATGAAAACGTCGAAATTTTTGGAAGGGCAAAGGGAGCAGAAATTCAGCCGCCGACTGACCGCCGACGTGCGTCAGTTGAGCCGGCGAATCGTTCCGTCACCGTCGGTCCGGCAGCCAGATGAGCAACGGCCTTGTCTCTCGCTCCTGAGGCCAGCCGGATCCTAGCCTGTTCTGGACTGGCCAAGTTACAATCGCACGTCCCGCCCACGATTCAGATGATTGCTTCCCTGCTTGAGTGGGTTTGGTTGAGTTTCGAACGGATCACTGCGCCGACAATCGACTTTTTGCTAGCTCGCTGCCCACGGAACAGCGCAGCACGGCGAGGGAGGCAAGCCTTTGTTGCGTAGGTTTGCTGCCAGGTTGACAAAGCCGGCGACGCTCGCCTTGACCGAGAGCTCTGCCATTGCGGATGCGACTCTCGATCGAGGGACAGGGGTCTTGTGCGCCGAACCACAGACCACATGTTTTGTTTCCTGCCGAGGTGCAATGATCTGCGTATGCCTTTAGAACGCCGGTAATACGTCAATTCAAATTCATGATAAGCTTGTATTCCTCAACTTGAAATTCTCCGAGGCGCAAATTGAACTTTTCTCATGCAAACAAAAGCGTGAGCCGCCACGCAGTCATCAAGGAGACAGCCTAGAGTGGGTCGCTTGACCAGCGCACGCCCTAACATCACACTGTTCTGTGTGGTGCCTCGGCTTAGTCCTCACTCCCGGGTCAACCGGCAGCCCACGTCGTCGCCTCAATGGGCAAATCCCAACATGGTTGACGATGGGCACGACCCCATCCAGCCGACACTGTGTAGCAAAGTTGCGCCGAATTTAGATGAGCGTCTCAATCTGCACCAATGTTTGTACATGATCAAGCTTTGGCGCTTTGAGGGGTTCCGCCTCGACCCAACACGAGATCGGGAGGCGTCCCGCAAGTTGTCAATAGCATGCACGGTGTGACGCAGAGCAAGAGGCACGAACGAGTTCAGTCTTGCTCACCCCGTATCACGGGCCTGACGGTGTTCTTGGTGCTTTGCTGGTGCTCGACTCAGCAAGCCTACTCACGTACGCGAGCTCTGCGTTTGCAATTTGGCGGGCTCTGCCTCTGCGGTTTGACAGGCTCTGCCTTTGCGTTTTAGCAGGCTCTGCCTTTGCGTTTTGGCGGGCCCTGCTTTTGCGGACAAGCTCTGCAGCTCTGCGTCTGCGACTTGGCGGGCTCTGCCTTTGCGATTTGGCTGGCTCTGCGTTTGAGATCTGGCTGGCTCTGCGTTTGCGAGTCGGCGGACCTTGGCGGGTCCTGCTTTTGCCAAGTGGCGGGCCTCGCATTTGCGGTTTCTGAGACGCTGCTTGAGTGGACACGTTACGATTAAGGGGACCTCCTTTATTATAGACGGCCCGGTCTTTCTCCCCCGGTATCAAGATCCTGCCTCCCTTCGCTCAACACACAATGGACACCCTCACACACGTTCCGCGATTGCTGTCTGTACAGTAAGATGCATTGCACGACTGGAAAAGCGATTGTTCTGGAAACTGTATAAAAAAATTGCACCCTAAAAAACTTGTGGGTGGCAAACCATCATCCCGACCTGATCGCGACGAGACCATCTAGCATCCTTGCAACCTGTTCCTTGGGATCCTGCTCTTCGGGAATTCTGTCAAGTTGCGATTGTAATACATGTCCTTGTTGTTCTCGATGTACTCGTATGTTGGGCGATTGGCGGGGTCGCAACCGACACGATCCGGCTGGCCGTCGCGCTGGTAGACGCGGACGTAGTCGATGGCCATGTGCGCGGGGAACTCGAGCTGGGTGAAGTCGGGCACCTGGAAGGACTCGGAGATGGCCACGTTGAGGATCAGGAACATGGGCTCAGTCGGGATAAGCCTTTGAGAGACATCGAGCTCGGGGACGGGTCCGATGGCTTGACCGTTCAAGGTCCACGTCGGTCGGCCGTCCATGTACCACGTGACGCTGGCATCACCGTCCTCGTTCCAGTCGGGGGCGTACTCGACGCCGAAGGTGACGTAACGGCCGCCAACGGTGTTCTCGTACGCTACATCAGGAACAGCACTGAGCGCAGAGACGGCTTCTTGGATAGCACCACCCTTGTAGTCGTTGAGCCTCGTGCGCGCGTCCCAGATGCGAATGTCGCCACCCGCCGTCGAGTTTCCATAGTAGTAGTCGACGTCGAAGGGGGCCATTTGCAGTGATTGCGAGGTCTCACCATGTCCGCCGGCGACGTCGATCTTGGCTTCGAGGATATCCAACTCTGGGGCCGAACGAGCGATGCCACGGTTGGGACCCGGGTGCTCGGTGCCAGGGCAGCCGCACGAGGTGTATCGCATACCGGGGAGCCACGAGAGCTCGTTGTTGTAGCTCGCCGAGAAGAGACCGTTTGCGTTGAGGGCGGCGGGCGGTCCAGTGCCGTTGACGTACGTCTGATTAGGCAGCGCGCCGGTGTCGCAGCCCTGGTACGAGTAGGGCCACATGCCCTCGTTGGTGGCACCGTATCCGGGCCTGCCGAGGTTGCCCTGCGTCCAAAGACCGGGCCAGAGACCGGGGATGTCATGCGCTCCAGGCAAGCGGGCAGCGATCTCGTAGTAGGCACCTTGGAAGCACACCTTGTTCCAGCTCTGGACCATGCCGGAGCGGAAGTTCTTGTTGTTGGTCTCACGCTCCTCGACCGAGATGACGAGCGCACCGCCGGTGGTGTTGACGGCTTCGGGAGAGTACCACTCGTAATCACCCGTTCCCCAGTACCAGAGATCGACGGCCTCCCAGTACGGGTCATCACCGGGCCAGAAGGATCGACCTTCCTGCTCGAACTCGTCTGAGAAAACAAGGTGCCACGCCGAGCCGTCGACGACCGAGGTGCGGCGCATGGCCGTAGGCGGTGTGTCTGGGTCGATCAAGCCACGCTGAGTGAGTGTTGTGAGACGTTGAGGACTCGACGGGTTGATGTCGATCGAGTCGAACACCTTGCTGAGAACCACGACGAGCGGGTAGCCGAGGAAGAGCGCGAGCAGGCCCATGGCGAGCAAAATGAGTGTGAGGACATTGAGTACACCGCGCAAACTGATGCAAGGGCCGGAATGTCGGTCAAGTCCCTTATCGGAGTAGAGGTAGTCGTCTTCATCGTCGTCGTCAGTGAGAAGAGGCGCTGCTGGCATGCCGCGGCTGCCGTAGCCTCGGCCGCCTTGTTGGCCAGGCATGGTATAGTACTTTTGCGAGGAAGAGCTGCTGCTCGAGTCGGTCTGTACTGAGGGACGAGAAGAGGCCATGCTGGGCGGGTTGTGTGCCCGCTGATAGGCTGGCTCTCGCCGAGACGGCATTATGATGGATATGAAGTGGGTTCGAAGCTACAGCCAGCTGCAGTGAGAAATGACGAGACAAGAATGGGACGGCAAGTGATGCAAAGCAGTGTCGTTGTTGCGGTGGAGCTTGCTGATGTTGCTGTTGGTGGTGAGGAAGGAGGGAAGACGTGTTCGAGGAAAGAACAAGACTGGAGTGTCGTTGGGAGCGACGAAGCCGGCGTTTTGCAGGCTCCCTGTATCGGTTTAGACAGACGAGGTAAGAGCGAGTCTCACGAGCTAGGCTATTCTCCGCGTGTTGCGTTTGGCTGTCACCAAGAGTTTCGTGCAGCTACAAGAGAAGGATCGGCGAGGAGCACGTCAAAAAGTCTTGGCCTCCGTACTTGATGCATCTCAGACACAGCCCGGCTGTGACAAGGCCTTCCCTTCCCTCATGTGGGTCGGAGACTGGCGGCTTCGATCTTTGCCGCCGCTTTCGCAAGTCGCGCTTCTCGCAATCAGGTTCTTACTCATGACTGACGATAATGCACTTACATGGGCTTGCGAAATCTTGGGCTCCGGGGCGAGAGAGGAGGGGCAGGGTCCCCGCAACACCAGCAACACAACACGCATGAAGGCCACACAGGAGATTTTCGCGAATGCCAAGTGTTTTCAGAGCGCCAAGACATTTGAGCACAGGCACTGCGCGAGAGGGCTGTCAAAAACAGCCAATCGGGGTCGTGGGCGCCGAGGGAGAGCCTGGGTGCCTGTCCACTGTTCTCGAATGCCAAGAAACTTGAGTTTGCTGCACAGCGGAACACCCGAAGCTCCACCGACAAGGCTAGCCCAATCTGGCGGCTTTGCTGTCTGCCGCTGATCATCGTAAGACTGTTGATGCTCGCTTGGTCAGTCACGCTCGAGGTTCACAGCCGGTCGGAGCACTTGCGAGCGAGCACTGTCATCGCCTCGTGACTTGTCGGAGTCGCCGTGTTGCAAAGCATAGGGGTTTGACAAGACGGCGATCTCAGATTCGGCGTAAGGCTCTTCTTCGTCTGGCAGGCCCATTCACCAAAATCTGGCAAGGTGACAGGTGTTGCTTCCTCCGCTCCTTACTCGCTCACCTTTTCATCCTTCTTTCCTTGCTATCACATCCGTCGCCCACCACCTCCGCATCATCATCGAGCCAGCCACTCGCTGGATCAGCATCGCAATCTGTGTATCATCAGCATCTAGGGCGTACGACATCAATCGCACCTCTTCGAGATCTCACTGACTCGACCAACACACGATATGGCGCACACAACACAGCTGCTCGCCTTCTGTTTGGCGTGCATCCTCTTCCAAGCGACAAGTTTGGTATCGGCAGGCCGACAACGCTATGCCATCCTCAACGCAGGTGACGAGCCCATGCTTCAAGGCACATGGTCGTCCGGCTCGGGCGTAGTCACCACCGGCGCCAACTTCTTCAATCCACGCACACGAAGCTTCATTCCTCCTCGCGTTCCTGGGCAAGCATACAGCTTCACCCAGGACGGCTATTGGGAGTTCGCCAAGTACCGCGTCCAGCCGAATCGTAAGTCCTTCCTCACGTCGTGCTCAGCATTCTCATGCGACTTACTAACATTGCTGCTCTTACTTTGTTGATACCGCCAGCAAGGAAACCAGAGTGCATTACCTCTCAGCTCATCTGGCAGCACGGCAGCTACAACCTCCACGCCAACGGAACTCTTCAGCTCTACCCCATCGCCCGTGAAGGCGCCCAACTCCTCACTTCCAGCTGCGACACCAACAACCCGCCTGAAGAGATGTACGATGTTTCCGAGGAGTACACGCTCGTCGACACCTGGGTCGACCTGCACCACGGCGTCCCCTCGTCGGCACTCCGTTTGACGGATGCGTGGGGCAACAGGTCGCCAAGTCTCTACAAGATCTATGACCCACCCATGATGCTGCCCACGGACAACTTGTACCTCGAATACATCGGCATCCCTTGATCCAGCGCAGTAGAATTCGCATCGCAATACAGACAATACCTTCGCATCTTGACGTCCGGCCCTCATCGAGCCTGAACAAGCAGCGTCACAATCAGCACGGAGCAGCACAGCAATGATTGGCGCAGTAACGAACCTATATTGAGCCAAGGCGAATAGGACGAAGCACGAAACATCCACCACCGGCACTCATGCCTTGACCAAATCATACCCCTTATATCCCTCCTTCCTGCACTCCGCCAGCTCGCTCACATACAGCGGGATGCCACCGGTAAAGTTCAACGCCTGCACCGGCTTGCCAGGGATGTTCCTGCCCATGTACCAGCCGTGGCTCTCGTGGAAGAGCGTTTTGGCCGAGAGCTCGTTGATATGTTCACCGAACTTTGCCTCTGCCTCGTCCTGGACGTCAAAGTGGGAGATCTGGTTGTCGCGCATGTACTTGATCATCTCACAAACCCATTCGGCCTGGACCTCGACGGTGGAGGGTCCGTTGGAGTAGGCAGTGGGGCCGTGGGGGCCGTAGAGGAAGAACAAGTTCGGGAACTTGGCCGTGTTGAGGCCGTTGAGCGAGTTGCAACCTTGGGCCCACTTGTCGGTCAAGGGGAGACCGTTCTTGCCGCGAATGTCAATTTGCTTGAAGCCGCCAGTGTGCGTGTCGAAGCCCGTGGCGAGGATGATCTGGTCCAGCTCAATCTCTCGGCCGCTGTTGAGCAGCACGCCCTTCTCGGTGAGCTCTTTGATGCCCTCCTCGCCACCGCGCTTGATCGAGACGATCTCGACGTTGTCCTGATTCATCACCTCGTAGTAGTTCTGCTCGAGCGACGGGCGAACGGTGCCGAACGTGTGAGGCCACTCCTCCGGGCAGAGAATCTCGCGCTTCTTAGGATCCTGGATGCGCTGCGCCACCTTCTTCTGCCAAAAGTCGTACGCCGTCTTGTTGGCATCCTTGTCGGCGTACAGGTCGTGGAAGGTCTCGAGCCAGAAGTGGAAGCCGCCGCGCGCCCACAGCTCCTCAAAGGTGCGCTCGCGCTCTTCGGCCGAGACCGAGAGGGTGGCGCGAGGGTCAAAGTCGTAGTGGAAGCCGCCAAAGGTCTTCTTGCGCTTGTCAAAGATCTCTGGGTAGATGTCCTTGAAAGCCTCCTGTGCGCTCGCCTCGAGCTTCTGCTGTCGCATGGGAAGAGCGAGATTGGGCGTGCGGACAAAGACGGTGAGGCGGTCGACAACCTGGCCGATTTCCTGACTGACCTGGATGCCCGAAGCGCCGGTACCGATGACGGCGACCTTCTTGCCCGAGCAGTCGATCGACTCCTCCCACTCGCCCGTGTGAATGATTTGGCCCTTGAACTTGTCCATGCCAGGGATCTTGGGGATGTTGACCTTGGAAGCGAAGCCGAGGCAGAAGATGACGTGCTGAGCGGTGGCGGTAACGGTTTTGTCCTTGCTTGGGCCCGCAGTGACGGTCCATTGCTGCTTAGAGTCGTCCCAGTGGGCACTGTGGACACGGTGGTTGAAGCTGCAGTCCTTGCGGAGCTGGAGCTTGTCATCGAGGTGGTTGAAGTAGTGGCGGAGCTCCTTGTAGTCGGGATACTTGCATGAAAAGTTCCATGACTTCCACACCTCAGGGAACGAGAGACCGTAGAGTGGGACCTCACTGTCTACACGTGCGCCGGGATACTGGAGGTAATCAGTGAGAGAAGAGAGTGGCGAGGATAGTGGTTAGCGCATGAGCTGGTGTCGATGGTCTGGTCCATCAGTGTACTTACGCAGTTAAGCCTCCAGATACCGCCAAAGTCGCTAGCAGCGTCGTAGAGATGAGTGTTGAAGCCGAGCTTGCGGAGCATGTAGAGATGGTAGATGCCCGCGAAGCCTCCGCCGATCACTACAACATCGTAGTGCTCAGTCATGGTGTAGGAGATGTCTTTGTGATATCAGTGAATCAGTTTGTCGATGTGTAGGTGAACGTCAAGCTCGATGGGAAGAGCGAATGGTGGGAACGGCGTGACACGCGAGCCCGACTGAGCTATTCTTATACTTGACAAGCCAAATGACTACCGTAGCAACAAAGCTTGAGCGTGGCCAAGAGAGGTGGCTTGTGGTGGGGCTGAAGTGCCGAGCCTAGCGGAGGACAGCCAACGCACGGTCCTGAAGCTTAGCATTGCGGTGTAGCCTCTTACACTCCATCGGCATTCGAGCTGGACTCAATATGAGGCTAGCGAAGCGAGGGTCGAAGAACTACATCGGCAAGAAGAAGTTGGGCGCAGTGAGGGACGCGCGGAACGTTATTCCCGCACACACGGTGGGTCATCTGATCTCAGGAGATGCACCTCTGACGCTTCGACGTGCAGCGGAGAGAAATACCAAGCGCCTCGAGAAAGTGTGGGGTAAAGAGGAATGACTCGCCATGCAGTCTAAGCAGCGCCTGCAGGGTCCAACCGAAAACGAGACCCCGGCTGTGCTGATTCGCCGAGCAAGCGCCATCGGCATGGTGCAGCTCCCTTTGGAGTTCTGCGCGGATTGACATCCAGCCTACCTCGATGAAGTCTGGTACTCCCGTTCGCCGTCTTGAGTGGACCATGCCTTCTTTGCTCGGTGACGCGGGTCGTGGGATTCTAAGGCATAGCCAAGTCGACGCAGAGCGCGTCCTTCTTTGGTGTGGCCCGTCCACAACTTTGTTTCCTTCATCGTGGTCAACATGTGGCGCAAAGACAGGCATGGTCGAAATGCTGGTGCATGGACATATTCGCTCGGCGCAGACCTTCGTCTTCCGAGCTTGAGTTGCGGCAGTCAAGCGCGCGTCGACCCTCCACGCCCATTTGCACAATTGAGCAGCCGTGAGCTTCGGTGGCTTCGGTGGCTTTGCGCAATTACGCAGACGCCGAAACCGATAATTTGGATCCATCCTTCCTGACCACCTCGAAATGAGCTATGCTATCGGGATGGGTCGTCTGACTAGGCTCTTCGAAGCCTCACATCAGTGCAGTGTTTCGTATCGATCGCCGATGTTGGTTCTCGACATGGCCATTGTTGACAATGGTCGGCTGCTATCAAAATGCGAGCCGTCACCAAAAGACGTGGCAAAGTCAATATGCTCCACGGAGACCACCGAAGGATCACCTCAACGTGATCGTTGCTGCAACCCACTCTCCGCATCCACAGGTCGATCTGGAAACGCTACGTTGAAGCGCTCATCGCAAACCTCATCCTAGACCCTCGAAAGCCCTTTCCTGAGAACTGCTGCCGAAAACCTCGAGGCCAATCGTCACCTAAGCACCAGATCTTGTTCGGAGCGTCCCGCTGTGCCCAGATGGCGCACCTTTCCGACAGTGGCGCTCCACTGTGCGGCCTCCCTCAGAGGCCACACTGCGCTTCTCTGATGCATTGGTTGATTGCCTTTGGTCTTGCTGATGGTTCACAACCGCCGACTTTGTCGCACCGAGCCCAGACAAGGACGATGCCAAACCTCGAAATGCTCGGAGCAAAACTCAAGAATAGAGCCAAAAAATCGTTCCTCGAAATCCACCCAAAAACAGCATCTGCGGGGAAATCCTCTGCCAAGACGCGCTGTGCAGCTGCTTCCGTTTAATCCGGTAAAGCTGGTGTTCCTGTGGGGACCGGCTATATCCGTGAGTGTGTGGGGTAGGCAATACCGAGCGAGCTGGTGCTAGGGTCGTGCGCATGAACTTACCTGTTTTCTTCGACTACACCTCCTTCCTGGCCTCGGGCATCCACCTCGAGAAGCACGAAGCAGACCATCATCCACCCTTCGCTCTGCCATCACGCAAAGATGATCTTCACCTCGACCTCGGAGCACGTCAAGGAGCTCCCGGACGATCTCGATGTCTATGGCTGCATGTACGAGTACTTCCCATCGAGCCGACCCGACTTGCGCGACACCGGACTGCCACTCTTCATCGACGAAGAGACGGGCCAGAAATGGACATTCGAGGAGGCAAAGGAGAACACGGATCTCCTGTCGGTCGCCCTCGCCGAGCGATGTGGCATCCAGTCCGACACGCGAGCAAGTATCTACGCGACCAACAGCATCTACTTCCCTATTGCCGTATGGGCCACACACCGACTCGGCGGCACCATCTCGCCGGCCAACTCGGCGTTCATGGCCAAGGAGCTCAGCTTTCAGCTTGAAGCGTCCCATTCGAGGGTGCTATTTGTCAGTGAAGATCCCACCTCCTTGAAGAACGGGTTCGAGGCGGCGAAACTGGCTGGCATTCCAAAGGACCGCGTGGTCGTCATCCAGGAGCCTGTGACGGTGCTCAAATACTCCGAGTCCAACTACGGCCGCATCCAGAAGAAGACGCAGGGCGCATGGACGCTCGCCGGGCTGATCGAGGAAGGTCGTACTATCGTCAAGGAGAAGGGGGAGGGCATCCTCGCCTCGACGCGCAACAAGCTCAAGCCCGGCGAGGGGAGGACGAAGATTGCTTTCCTCTCCTTCTCCTCGGGTACCACCGGCCTGCCAAAGGGTGTCGCGATCCAGCACCACGCCGTGACATCGAACGCGCTGCAGACCATGGCGCACAACAAGGTCGGCAACACCATCGGAGCGCCGGGACGTTTCTGCCCAGGTAAGGACGTGTCGCTCGGCGTCCTTCCTCAGGTTCATATCTTTGGTCTGTCGACGACGATGCACTTTGTCTTCTTTGCTGGCATCGCCAACGTGGTGATGAGCAAGTTCCGCGGGATCGAGGCCATGGTCAAGACCATCATCAAGTACAAGATCAGCGTGTGGTGGCTGGTGCCGCCACAGATCGTGCTGTTCTGCAAGGACCCGAGCGTGCCGCCCTATCTCGAGGAGCTGCGCAAGGTGGCTCGATTTGCGATGGTCGGTGCTGCGCCCTTGTCGGATGACTTGAGTCGGCAGTTTACCAAGGTGTTCCCCAAGCTCGACTGGGGTCAAGGCTCGGGCATGACGGAGACGTGCTCGGTGACGACCATGTTCCCCGTCGGAGAGCCACCTGTGATGGGTTCAGCGGGTCGCCTGATCTCGAACACCGAGGCCAAGGTGGTCAATTCGGAAGGCAAGGAGGTGGGCTACGACGAGCTGGGCGAGCTCTGGCTGCGTGGACCGCAGATCACGTTGGGCTACACCAACAACGAGCAAGCGACCAAGGAGACCTACCTGCCTGAAGGGTGGCTGCGCAGCGGAGACGAGGTCAAGATCAACAAAGACGGCGAGGTGTTCTTCATCGATCGACTGAAAGAGTTGATCAAAGTCAAGGGCTTCCAGGTCGCGCCTGCCGAGCTGGAGGGTTTCTTGCTCGATCACCCCGATGTCTCGGACTGCGGTGTGATTGGCATCCAGGACGAAGCAGCAGGTGAGCTGCCGTTTGCTTTTGTATCGCTCTCGCAAGATGCAAAGAAGCGCTCAAATGCGGGTGGAAAGGAAGAGGACGACAAGATCAAGCAATCGATCCTCAAGTTTGTCGCTGACAACAAGACCCGATACAAGCATCTTTGCGGTGTCACATTGTAAGTGTCGGCTCATTCCGAGGTTGTGCTCTGTCGGCGGAACCGTTTCACTGACTCATTGCTGTTCCCACGCCACACTGCTCTTCCGCGACAATATCGGCTTTTGTTCCGATCCACAGTATTGACACAATCCCAAAGACAGCGTCGGGCAAGATCCTCCGTCGCGAGATGAGGGAGATGGCAAAGAAGCTGCCCGCGGAAGCATTCCGAGAGAAGCGCAAGGTGGTCGCCAAGCTTTGATCGAGTCACCTCCTGTCCAATCGTTCGCAGTCACCAAGCATGAAAGTATCGTAGAAATACAGCTCGCCAGAGGCAAGATCAGAGATTAAAAGTGTGTGAACGGTACAATGCAAATGAGGAGTGCTGTTCAAAACATGCGTCTTTTTTTGCCCACGCCAGGAAAGCCTGCGTTGGTGCCAGGTGGATAGTGACCGGGACGCTCGCGCTTGAGATAGTACTGTCGATGTGCCTCGCGCAGGTGATTCGGTCGAAGCGGGCCTTGCTCGCCTCGCATTGCTTGAATCTCGCGAGCCTTTTCGACGATCTCACCGACAAAGATCTTGGCTACACCCGAGACCACCATCGCTACGTGCTGCGAGACGGACTGCGACAGCACATGGTTGACCAATTTGCGAACGCTCGTCTTGTTAAGAGCACCTCTTCGGGAGGCCATGTGCCTGTCCAGCTGATCTTCGTCCATGACCATCGACAGGAGACCCATGTTGCGCTGCTGAGCAGCATAGATAGCCTCTTGCGTCGAAAAGTGGTCCTTGCCGAGCTCCTCGACGCCGTCATCGGCTTCCACTTCTTCGTCGTCCGCTTCCTCGTCCTCTTGCGGTGCCGCTCGATTCGGCGCAGGCTCGTCGTCGTCGTTGGCTTCATCCTGCGGCCGTTGACTGCCGACGCGTGACGCTGCTGCGGGAGTCCCTGCATCTCTGCCGATGGACGACATCCGGGATGCTGACCTCGCTGTGGTAGATCGCGCCTTGCTGGCTGCTTTTCCGCCGGCTTTTGATGCTGATGCCTTCTTGCCTTTCGACTTCGTGTCTTTTGAGGGCGAAGCCGGAGTCGCAAACGCTGCGGGTGAAGTGGTGGCGGAAGGGGGCTGATCTTTGCTCGTGCTTGCATTCTTCTTCTTGACAGTCTTCTTGGGTTTCGGTGCCGATGACGAGGCCGAATCTTTGGATGATCCTGGGACAGGCCCGGAAGATGCGGGTGAAGCCGTAGCGGCGGCATCTGTGGCAGCGATAGCAGCTGGCTTCTTCTTTGGCTTCTTCGTTTTTGCTTCCGCTCCTTCCTCTTTGGGCTTTGCTGGCTTCTTTGCCTTTGGTGCTGCCGGTTTGGGCGTGGATCCTTCTGCTGTCATAGGGGAGGCGCCTGGCACGCTGCTCGAATCCTCCATCTCCATCTTTACCCCTGCTGAATAGGGTTGCGAGCCCGCCATCATCGTCGTAGGATAGGAGGCGGAAGGAAGCGGTGGCATACTTGCGGCGATTTGGGCGGTGAGCGCATCAAAGTCAGATGAATTCGACATGGCGACGTCGCCAGTCGGGAAGCCAGGCATCGAACCAAAGTCCATGTTGGCGTCACCCGTTCCATAGTCGAAGGGCATGTCGAAGAACGACTCCGGGATGACGCCTGTTCCTGTCATGTCTGGTATATCCGACCCTGGTATCTCGCCACCTCCTGGTGGCTGTGAAGACGACATGATGCCTTCAGTTGGTGGTGGACGTGAGAAGGCAATGGAGACCACTCGTCAGGTGCAACTTTGGACCCTTCGACTCCACTTCGAAAATCCTGTTCCGTGTAAGATCGCCATTCTTTTGGGCTTTGACATTATTTTCGCCCTGGCAGCTTCACCCGGCGCTTCACCGAGAAGCTGTCGGGCCTTCGCCGAGGTTCCCACGCCTCCGTGACTGAGAAGAAGCACGTCACCTCTCAACGACCCCTATACGTTATCATTCCTTATATTGACGCTCAATCTTATACGCACTCGAGTCTCGACGGCAAGCTTCATGGCGTGGTGCGCCAGACAGAGTTGAAGGTTGATGAGCGAGCAAGGCACAGTTGATTCCAGATGGACTTGCTCCGGAATCGGGCCCAAACCAAGGAAAAGTGGCTGGCTCACGGTCCAGGAAGAAAGTCAATTTTTTTTGGTGACTTTAGAAGAAAATTTGAGCGGCAAGCTCGGAAGCTTGCCGGCAGCAGGAAGCAGCAGCACAGGGTGGAGTTGAATCCACCCTTCCATGCAAGCACAGAGAAGAGCTTGAGTCCAAGTCACTCAAAGTGCGCCTTGAACCCTTCTACTACCATCATCCCCTTCCCGTCATACCCCCTCTACAGCAAAAATGGGCGTCATCACTCACCCCAACATCCGCGATGGTTGGTTCCACGAGTACAACTCGCAGTGGCCCGGTCAGGCCATGAGCCTCGAGGTTCAACGCATCCTCCACCACGAAAAGTCGCTCTACCAGGACGTCCTCGTCTTCGAGTCCACCACTTTCGGCAATGTCCTTGTCCTCGACGGTGTCATTCAGGCTACCGAGCGCGATGAGTTTTCCTACCAAGAGATGATTGCCCACCTTCCTCTCGCTTCGCACCCCAACCCCGAGCGCGTTCTCGTCATCGGCGGCGGTGACGGTGGTGTGCTGCGTGAGGTCGTCAAGCACGACACGGTCAAGGAGGCCATTCTCTGCGACATTGACGAGGCTGTTCCCCGTGTCTCCAAGCAATACCTTCCCAACATGGCCGCGGGTCTCACTCACCCCAAGTCCAAGGTCATCATCGGCGACGGTTTCGCTTTCCTCAAGGACCCCAAGAACAAGGGCAGCTTCGATGTTATCATCACCGACTCGTCTGACCCGGTCGGTCCCGCTGAGGCCCTCTTCCAGCAGCCCTACTTCGCTCTCCTCAAGGAGGCCCTCAAGCCCGGCGGACACATTTCCACTCAGGGCGAGTGCGTCTGGATCCACCTCGGTCTCATCTCCGACCTGCGAAAATCCACCAAGGAGCTGTTCCCCGTATCGGACTACGCTTTCACCACCATCCCCACCTACCCTTCCGGTCAGATGGGCTTCGTCATCTGCTCGACGGATGCGAGCCACAACCTTCGCGAGCCCCTTCGCGAGGTGCCCGACTGCCGATACTACAACTCACAGGTGCACAGGGCGGCTTTCACCTTCCCTGAATTCGCCCGCAAGGTCATCGACGACGGCGCTCCCGCTCCTGGCCGCATCATCCCCTCCGGCGATGGCCAGGCCAAGGCTCAGCGTGCTGCCAAGAAGATCCTCCTTCTCGGTTCAGGCTACGTTGCTGGTCCTTTCGCAAAGTACGTCACGCGCTTCCCCGAGTACAGCCTCACCGTCGCTTCGTCCAAGATTGAGCACTCGGAGAAGCTCACCGAGGGCCTTCACAACGCTACTGCCGCCGCTGTCGACGTCAACGACGCTGCTGCTCTCTCGCAGATCGTCAAGGGCCACGACATTGTCATCTCGCTCATCCCTTACATCTACCACGCTGCTGTCATCAAGGCCGCTTGCGAGCACAAGGTCAACGTCGTCACCACCTCGTACGTCTCGGACGCTATCCGCGCTCTTGAGCCCGAGATTCAAAAGGCCGGCATCACCGTTATGAACGAGATCGGCCTCGACCCTGGTCTCGACCACCTCTACGCTGTCAAGGCGATCGACGATGTCCACGCAGAGGGCGGCAAGATCAAGTCGTTCCTCTCCTACTGCGGTGGTTTGCCTGCTCCCGAGGCTGCTGACAACCCGCTCGGCTACAAGTTCTCGTGGTCGTCGCGCGGTGTCTTGCTCGCTCTCCGAAACACGGCCAAGTTCTGGCAGGATGGCCAGGAGCTCACCGTCTCTGGCCCTGAGCTCATGGCCGCTGCCAAGAGCTTCTACATCAACCCTGCTTTCGCTTTCGTCGCCTACCCCAACCGTGACTCGACGCCGTTCAAGCAGTGGTACCAGATCCCCGAAGCCGAGACGGTCATCCGAGGTACCCTCCGATACCAGGGCTTCCCCGAGTTCATTCTCGCTCTCGTCAAGCTCGGCTTCCTCGACGAGGAGTCCAAGGACTTCCTCGCCTACAACACTAAGGCTTCGTGGGCCGAGGTCACCGCCAAGATGGTCGGTGCTTCGTCCACTGCCGAGACCGAGCTCATTGCTGCCATCAAGGCCAAGGTCTCGTTCAAGTCGGCGCAGGAGGAGGAGACCATCATCCGTGGTCTCCGCTGGCTCGACCTCTTCTCGACCAAGGCACCCGTCACCGTCCGCGGTACTGCCGCTCAGGAGGCCGAGAAGGTGGCCGGCAACCCGCTCGACTCGCTCTGCGCCACGCTCGAGGACAAGTGCGCCTACGCTCCTGGTGAGCGCGACATGGTCATGCTCCAGCACAAGTTTGAGATCGAGACGGCCAACGGCGAGCACAAGACGCTCACCTCGACGCTGCTCGACTACGGTATCCCGCACGGTGTCTCGTCGATGGCCAAGCTCGTCGGTGTTCCTTGCGCTATCGCCACGCGTCTCATCCTCGAGGGCCACCCTGCTCTGTCCAAGACGGGCATCCTCGCCCCTTACACCAAGGACATCTGCGACCCCATCCGCCTCGAGCTCGAGAAGGAGGGCATCGCTCTCGAAGAGCGATACGTATAGACGTGTTCCATTCTACTAAAAGAATTGTCTTGTAAACAGGCATCGCCGTCAATGATACACCCTTGATATCTGTGTGTCTCATGCACGCGTGTGTCACGCAAAAAAGCAGCACTGAAGGAGGGCGTATTATGAGAATGCTACAGGTGAGAGTGAATGAATGGCATGCTGGCTTGCACCAGCATTTCAGAAACGACGGCCCGTGCGGTTTCTGCCGAGCGATCACAGGGCGAGATCGCTATATGGGGCCCCGGTGTCCTTGGGGAGCTTGTGAATGGAGTGCGCCTTGTACTGCGTCTGCGTCACCTCGTTGCCATGGAGCGTCTCCTTGGTGTGTGGTAGGACGTAGTAGGTCTTATCCGCGCTTCCGAATCTGAAGAGTCGTGGTGTGGAGCCATCGTTGATCATCTTGATGTTGTTGTTCTTGGTGATCTCGACCCTTGCTGGCGAGCGGCCGAATCGCAGGCTGCGCCACAGACCGCCTCGAGGGCGGGCGAGGGAGGGGATGTCCTTGGGATGAACTAGCCAGTGTTCGCCTGCGTTGGTCAAGCGAATCTCCTTCGCGAAACGGGGCAGCGGCGATGAGGCGATTTGGGTGGGCGAGCGCAAGGAGGTGGAAAGCAGTTCGCCAGCGCTATTGTACACTTCGGAGGCGAGCGCGCCGTGTTCAGCCTCAGCTGCCACTCGGATAGGCGCGAGGGGTGCTGCGGCGACAATGATGACCAGCAGCTCACAGAGGAGCAGGACGGAGAGGGGGAAACGGAGAGAGACTCGCATCTCGGAAGATCTTGTACGAGATGGCGAGCGATCTCAGTTGGGGAAAAGTGGACTGCTTGATCTTGCACCGAGTCTGGTTGTATGATGTCTATCTGGCCTACAAGAAGGCGATCTATATATGCTCAGCCAGGCACTGCCCCTGTATAAGATCTTCTTTCTTCTGACTAGCGTAGCAGAAGTCGCCGAGCTCAGCCCTTCCTTCGAAACAATGACCATTATCTCGGATCGCATGTATCAAGGGCGATGATGAAGGTCCAGCGGAATGCCAAGACCGAGCTCTCGACACCATGGTCGTGCATCAATCGGAAGCGTGACCACCCACTCTTCGAGATGAAGCCGGCTGAGCAACTCGCCGAAAGCGCTCGCGAAAGTCCCGGTCTACATGGAAGGCCTGCCGACTTTGCTCGTATCCAAGACCACCTCATCCGGCGAAACTTTCAAGACCATGAGGTCGTGATCTCAAGAGAGGTTCTTGGCGGCAACGAAGAAGGGATCAGGCTCCAGCTCAATCTGTGCGGCTTGTTGCTTAACATACGTGATGAAGATACGCGCCATGCGGCGTTGGTGGGTGCTATCAACGCCCATGAGGCTCGAGCAAGTGTTCGTCAGGATCAAACGGGGCGTAGCGTGCTTTCAGCCGGCTTCATCTCGCCCACCCTATTCGCAGATGATCGCATTGTTTGGAATCTTTCGCCGCGATGTGACATTGAACTCATTGAGCGGCCATGACCGGAGAGCGCCGAGAGCGAGGCTGCTTGATTCGCAGCCTGTTACGAGCAACCATGTTCGCCGACAACGCGCGGCGACGGCCGAGAAAAACGAGCAATGGATGGCTCGGTGTAACATCTTTGGGTCTTTTTTCGCGCATCTCGCCGGAAGCTGGGCAATGGAGCAGAGCGCAGTCTGGCAACCGCGGCTGCGAGCCCAGCCCCCAAAATTATTCTTTTTTGCCCGAGCGCCATCTGCAGCGGCCTCAAAGCATGCATGTGGTTACAGCACGTTGGGCGCACGGAAGTGAGACCTGCATGAGAACCTCGTCGCCCCCTCACAAATAAGCTGATGATCTGGGCGCGCCGCGGTAACTGCGGCGACTTCTTTGGCCTCCGCCAACTGGGGGTGCTGCAGCGGGGCAACGACGGCGCACACGGACTCCGACATCATATCGACAGGGCCGGGTAGGCTGGGCGTGGACAAGCGCGCAATGGCCCACGCCGATAAGCCTGGTCGGTAGAACGGCGATCTCCCCGACGCCCAGAGGGTTGCTGAGTAATTGACCGAAGCCGCTTCGTCCCAGACGCCGTAGTGAGAGGAGCAGATCGCTATCTAGACGAAGTGCAGGTTTACCTTCCCGAATTCGCCAGAGTGCATTGAAAACAAATCGCTAGCGCCAGGCGAGAGAGACAGCGCGCCGGTGCCGATCTGCGAGCCATCGCATCAGCACTAGCAGGACGGATATTCGCTCTGCCGGCGTCTAGGCGAGTCGTGGTCCCATGAGGGAAGCAAACGCCTCTCTTCCGGCAGTCACAATGCGAGCATCGACCTCGAGACGTCCAACCGACTTTTCTGAATCACAGAAACAACGTTGAAAAGCTCGACGCGCAAGGCGGGCTGACGTCATGACATCAAGTGGCCGCAATTTCCGCCTTTTCTCTCGCTGCCGTTGGACCCGCCTTGGTGGACTCGGAGCAACCCAATCCGAGCAAAGAGCGGCGCTTTCGCCATGGTCACGTTCACGCCGAACCGTCTTACGCTTTCAACCCCTGGCCGACAACCAGGAACGTAAAACTTTGACTCGTGTAAGATTTGCGGAGTCGAGTGTGCGGCGACCTGAATTAGCGGCCCTGATCCTCGCTTCGTAGCGCTCACAGAGAACAGACGGTGTGGCTTTTCAGTGGGGCAGACGGCGCAGGGTCTGCCATTGTTTCGCTCGCAAAGCCTGTGCATTGTTTGCTGTCACTCCTGCCGCGAACAGGCTAGAGGGCACGCTATCGCCTCGCTGCCGCAGCAGATGACCTTGCAAAGCTGGCTTGTGCAGCACTGCTGCAAAGCCTGTTTGCAGCTCCGACTCGAACAGTCAGACTGCAAGGTTGGCGCACGGCTTTTGGAGATCACAACCATTCGCCATTTTCAAAAGATTTAATTCGTTTACGATTTTATTTATTTGGCTCTGTTTCACCATTCTCATGCGAATCAATATGTTTGAGAAGGTGATCGTGTTGCTGATGGCGTGCAGCGTGTTGAACAACGGACCGTGCTATCGGCTCCTATTGAGGAGATTAGGTGTTGAAAAGTCGATGATTGGCTTCTCGAACTGACTGCAAAGCCGATCCGTATCGTCTTCTGATCAGCACCTTCTTGCCGTGGGGTCTCGTCCTGCCTCTGACTGATAGATTGAACGATAACGAAGCTTGCCTTCCACAGGCTTTCGGGTGTGACCGGCTTGTTACAGCCTCCGCTGCATATCATATCGCAAGGAAGCCAAATCAGAGATCCCGTTCATGATTGCTGAAGCAATCAGCTGCGCAATCGCGACATTGGTTGGTAGACTTCGCAGCTTGGTCAACGGTTATGCACATCGTTGGAAGGTCTCAAATCTAACCGAGCGAGGGCGAACAAATGCTTTCCCGGGTCGATCAGAGCTAGACTAGCCTACCGATCCCTTCACGCCCACCCCACACCCTAGCATGCTTTTGAGAGTCGTATGCGAGCCATCGAAACGGATCGGACAAGCCGAGCAGCGTCGCAACCTTGAAGCCAAGCCGGTCACTCTTAGCCGCTACACGGTGGGCAGCGGCGATACGCCTTGAAGCTTGTGCATCTTGTACGTCGCAAGCCTGTGCTCCGGACCGGTGCGAGCGCAAGCGTCGCTGCCAAGTGAGGGGCCGAAGGGTTGAGTCGCAGGTGATCCAAGCTCAGATCCCGTCGGAATTGCACCTCACTGAATAGATTCCCGGCTGACATCTGTGGATGCAGTCAGCAGCTAAGCAAAGCTGCACCACAATGTGACTAGAGTCAAGCTGGGTTCCCATGACCCGAAAGGATCTCGCAAGACCTTGTCCAGACGAGACAGCAACGAGGAGCAGCAGCAGCATCATCGATTCAGTCGGAATCTGAAGTCTTGCATGGGAAGGACGCCCATTCTGCGGAGTCGGCTAGCCGAGGTCCAAAAAATAGATTTCCTCGCGATCCTTTTTGCACCGTGCGCCCGTCGGGCAAGCGTATCATTCTTGACGAGACAGGCTCTGCCGCCCACTCTGGCAATGTTTGAGCGTCTATCTGAAAGTCATGCTCGGGCTAGAAATCGCAGGCAGCTGAGTAGGATCATCTGCGCAGCTTCAGCTGGCAGCCTTGGCTGGGAGATCGTAGTGCAAGGGCTCAAGCTGGCTGTCTATCGCGTTTGACAACATGTCCTCTCTCTAGTCGCAGATCAGCGCCGTCCATAGCTGGTCAAGTCGTGGTAAGGCGATCTGATTCCAGCTTTCGACCATGTCTTGATTCTCTCTGATCACAATCAAGAGATCGCATGACCGCTGAGGTGCAAATTAGACAGATACTGTACACATGACCGCCTCTTGAACAAGCTCAACGGCGAATGGTGAGTGCCTTGCCCAGGGGCGCTTTTTGAGTTTTGGTTATGCTTTCCCCTTGTTTTTTGTTTTTCTGTAAAATCTCAAATGATGTGATCTCAAGGTGGACAATCTGAAAAACAAAAGCTGCTCAGGTTGAGGCACTTCGGAAGTGTCTCCACTCCCATTTCCAAAGTGAGCGGCATGCAAATCCTTTCTTTGTTGGCCCGTTTTTTGTTTTGCTCGTGATTTGACTCTTTTTGTCTGACGCCAAAATAAAATCGCTCTGCCTGCCGCTGCAGGGCCAGTCAGAGTCCCAAATGCACTTTGACCATTTTCACAGTGCAGAGGCGGGCTGCAAAAAGGTGCGCGTGCGTGCGTGCTCGAGCACGCTGCTGGCTTCGGTCTCCGCTCTTCTGCTGCATCTTGCCTGGTGTTTGCAGTGGCTTGGCTTTGCAGCTGCCCCGCTCCTCTCTGGCATCGATGACTGCCGATGCCGCCGCTGCTGCTGCTTGCTTCAACGGCCGCTGATGCAAGACTTTCAGCCTGATCTGAGCAACGCTGCAGTGAATGCTCTCTGCATAGGCTCTCTCATTGTCCCGAGATACAGATGGGCTGCAGCCGTTCAAGCCGAGAAAGGGGGGCAGAGAGACAGAGAGCAAGAGCTGGCTCTGCGTTTATCGGCTGAGACTGTTGCCGCTGCTTCTGGTGCTGCGATCTACCCTCGCTACGAGCTGTCATCTTGGCCCTCGCTCCTGCGTCTCGTCTGTCCGGTCATTTTCCTCATGTTGGAGATGCTTGGCCTGCCCGCTCGCCCGCCTGCCTGAGGGATCTCAGTCCTGCCATTCCCATCCCGTCGGGCAATCCTAGACGTCACCGTTCAGCAGCAGCAGCAGCGCCCATTGTCTGATTCTGCCTTCGCCTGAGTCACTCATCAACTGCCCGGCTGGATTCTCTCACACACCTTGTCGCCTCGCCTAGCCTCGCCTCTGCTCTCTCACCCTCGCCTCAGCCTCGCTACGCTACGCCACGCCCAACCTCTCAACGCTAGTCTCGTCTCCGCCCCGAACACCCTCACTTCTTCTTCAGCTTCCCTTCCATCGCCAAAGTCGACACGCAAACCGAAGCCGACATCGCAAACATCACCTCTGGCTTCCACCACATCCTCCTTGCCTTCTTGCCATATCATCGCCGCACCTGTCGGAAGTCTTCTTACGCCCTACAACTACCTCCACGCCATCCATTGGATCCCTACAACCTCCTCCGCTGCATTCCGAGCACGCACATCAGCTCGCACTTAGCAGCCCCCGAGGTCCTGCTCTCATCTCAGCCTCCTTCACGCCAAACTCATCGCGTGATCCAGTCGGAAAAGCAGCTCGTCACAGCATCGGAGTACCCGCCCCACAGCACACTGTTGTGACTATAGAACAACAGTTTCATTTCGACCTTTCCAGCTTGGAATCGACAGCTTTGCTTCAGCAACAATGAGCACAAAGTAAGTATTCCAAGCAGTCACACCGCCCTGTACCAGCCGATTGGTCGGCGAGAGCGAGGATGCGGATGTCCCACCGCAGCTTTCAAGCCAATCAGACTCAGCTTTGGTCAGGGCGCTGCGCTCTCTGCCTTGATGCAGGCAAGATTTCATATCGGAACGGCTCATTCTGACGTTCCCCCTCCTGTTCCCTTTGTGTCCGATCCGAGCAGCGCATACATGGAGCAGCCCAATTACCCTGCGCATTACGCCGCCATGCCAGATCGATCCGCGCAGGTCTTTGGAACCGAATCGCATGAGCCGCGTGCGCCGCGTCCCTTCGAGGCCACGCACACCGCATCCAACGACCCATACGCCACTGCCGCAGTCCCTGCTCATCCGCAGCCAGGTGCCATGGCGGAAGCCCACTCTCCCATGTCAAGTGAGTATCACAGATCCGCAGATCCAATGCAACAGCTGCCCACGCGGCGAAAGAACGAGTCGGACTGACTCAAGTCTTCCTCTTTGTTCGTCCAACAGGCTACCGTGGCAGCTTTTCGCACGCCTCTTCCATGGGGTTGCCCCACCATCGCCAGGACTCAATCACCTCCATCTCATCACCTCACGACGTCAGCGGTGGTGGATGGGCACCTTCTTCGCCCGGTCTGACCGCCAGCCGACACGCCTCGATCTACTCGCTCAACGGCCAATTTGACCAGGTTGGCTTGGGCAGCAGCATCGACAGCGGCTCCACTGCCAGCCATTTTTACGATCAGTCGCCTCCTCTGCACGCACAGGTCCGCTACGCGCAGGGCCAGGCGGCAGACGCTCGCCGCTTCTCGCTCGATGAGCGTGCCATCCGCACACAGCCGCAGCTCGGCAAGTCTGGCTTGGTTTCGGCCGACTACCAGGTGCCTGGCGGCTCCTCGGGTCGTCACTGGCCATGGGGCGCCAACTCGTCCTCTGCCATCCACGGTCGTCACGCGTCCGTGTCGGCCGCGCCACCCCAGGGCTACGACCACAACCGAATGGCGTACGGCGCCAACTCGGGCATGCAGCCTGGCTACGGTTACGACCCCAACGCCATGTCGCCCCGCTACCGGTCCATGAGCAGCTCTGCTGCCAGCGGTCGCGGCTACGGCAACGCCTACGGTGCCCCTGGTACCGCTGCGCACGCTGCTGCTGCTATGGGCTACGGAATGGCGCCACACCTCGGCCCCGGTATGATGCTCGATGGTGATCTAGTTGGTGGTCCCGGTCCTGCTCGCCGGGCCAAGTTCAAGCGTAGCCGAACGGGCTGCCTCGTCTGCCGAAAGAGGAAGGTCAAGTGCAGCCAGGATGGCACCCCATGCAAGCAATGCCGAATCGGCAAGCGAGACTGTCACTACGACGACAGCCCGCAGAAGAAGAAGCCCGGTAAGAAGGAGCGATCCGCCGGTTCGATCGATGCAGGCAGCTCGGACAAGGGCTCCAACGGTGTCGCTCCTGGTCTTGCTCACCTGGGCGCTGACCAGCAGTCCAACGGCCACCTCAGTTCGACCGACCCCTACTATGCTACCATGGGTGCGCTCGATCACCGCGACTCGAACGCCAGCCAAGGCGGTGTCACCTTCTCCATGCCCTTCCAGTCCCAGCCCGCCCCTGTCGCGACTCACTCGTCGTCGACCGACACGACGTGGGCAAACCCCTCGCCTTTTGCGCCTGGACCGCACGGTCAGACTCACACCGCGACGCACCAGGTGCCAGCGCACCAGGATGGCTACGGCTGGCCCAGCAAGCAGGAGCACGACCCCACGCAGCAGGCACCTCCTGCGGCGTACGCTGACCCTTCGGTCGACCGCAACGCTGCCTACTGGAGCCAGCACCCGACGGCCTACGCACCTCGCACCAACAAGCTCGAGGTTTCCGAGTCGTAGGCGGCGTCCACGCGAGATCTTCTCTAGACCAGATCGAGCCCTTCTTGGTTCCGGTCGGAACTTGTCCACCTATCCCTCAGGTCATTCGCGAGAGCCTACAGCCCAAGCCTCGATACTTCTCTAGAAGCATCGCTCGTGTCTCACTGGGACCTCGCAATCGCCCTTCTCACCTTCTGTCTCTCTCTAATCATCTACATCAGCGCGTCTTCTCAAAACGCCGCTTCGGATCCTGGACTCTCCCTCTCTCTCTCTCGCTCTCTTGTTCTACGACCTCTCTCTCTCTCTGTATTGCCGTTCTCTTCGGCCGCCCGGGTCCGTCCCTCTCTGTAAATGTTGTACAATGCAAGCTGCGGCTTTTGACCTCTCTCGCTGTCCTAGCTTCGGTTTGTGTGACTTCTTGGAGATGTGCTTTAGGTGCCGGCTCTGTGTCTGCGTTTGAAGCATTGCCGGCATGGCGCTAGGCAGGTAACTAGGGACTCAACTCGCACGTGGCGCTGAGCCATCCGACCGCATTACCGAGGAGGGGGGGAAAGCAGCTCCGGCTCGCTTGGCCCGCGAGGTGTTTGTGGCTGCTCGCAAAGGCATCGGCAAAGCACAACCGATGCTGCACGACGTTTCGGCTCACCTGGCTCATTCGGGCAGCTTCAGGGATGCGCCCGCCTCTCACGCACAAACGCACAGGATCCAAGGCTGATCACCAGGGTATATTGCAAGCAGCTTCCAGAGCCGCAGCCCGTAGCAATGGGTGACAAAAGGAGGAAGGGTGTCCAAGCGCGTCAAGACGACCTTCTCGTCGCCCGTCCTCGAGATGGCGATGGCAGCGCAAAGGGTGTCTAGCCACGTCACGAAAGGCGCATCGCTTTGGGTGCCAGCGCCTGTTCCTGGAATGGCGATGCTTGACAACGATTCGACTCCCGCCACATCACGAGCTGCCCCTCGTCGCCTTGTGGAATGCGACCAGCCGCCACCGCCTCGAATCCTTCGGGTGTGCGACAATGATGTTCGCCCGAATGAAGAGTTCGATCATGGCATCGTCCACCTCGCCGCCCGTCCTGCGCATAGCGAGCTTTGTCGAGCTGACCCACGGATCCAGCGGTCGGTCCCACGCCTGGTTCATGAACTCATCGAGATAATGCCGGAGGGTGACGACTTTGCGGTTCTCGGAACCGAACAGCGCCGTGCCCATGTCGATGAGCTGCGCGAGCAGCTCTTTAAATCGCTGCTCCTCGCGCTTGAATTTGCGGTTCAAATCGCTGTCACCACCCAAAAGACTTGGTCAGCATGAGATATATCTGAAAGAAGGGGGAAGAGGGGAGGACGTACCGAATGGCGCTCTCGCTAGTCAAATCCTGCCGTCTCTTCGCTTGCAGCTGTGCCAAACGCTTCGACAGTCCGGTCCAGACGACGGCTAGATCGGACTGCAGCTGCGTCTCCCGCGCCAGCGCATCGCGTTCCGACGACAGGTCTGAACGGAGCATCTCGAGTGCGGAAGCGTACTGCGCGTTGAGGTCATGCAGCTCGGCGCGCGTGCGGATGTCGAGCACCGCCGACGAGTCGAGTGGTGGGATGCGTTTCTTATCTGCAATCGCGATCGCATAAATGTCAGTGTGGTGTGCGAGATGGGATGAAAGTGTAGCTGAACACTCACCTTCTTCGAGCGCACGAATGGCGTAGTCGAGCTGCTGCCACTCGAGCTCGAGCCGTTGCTGGTCGTTGCTCCGTGCAATATTTGCCTTGCTGTTCTCCTTGCTGCTTGAGAGCGCTTCCATTCGCTTGTCTACGCTTTCTGCTAGCACATCGTTTTTGACCTTTTCATCCTCGTACACGGCAGAAAGCTCCTCCGCTTCGTCCTCCGCTTCTGTTGTCACTCGAGATGATGACGCCGCCGAAGTGTTGAGTGGTGAGCGTGTTTTTGCGCGCGACGCAGCCTCCTGCAGTGCCGCCTCGCGTAGCAGCTCGGCCATGTCGTGGTACGCTGTGCCTTCCATTGTCTCCCGCTTTTTATCGATGATGCGCTGAACGAAGTGATGCTAGGGTGATGCTGCAGGGTCGAGGTGATGTCGAGCTCGGCGGGAAGAGAAAGTGAAAGCTTTTTGGTGTTGTTCTCATCAACGCGACTGACAGCGCGTCTTGAGAGCGCCGACTTCCGCGCTTTTTTTTCCCTCGCCCACGAGGCGGACCAGAAGGGTCCCAAAGTGGAGGATCGTCAGCCAAAAATTCAGGGTGCAGGCTGCAGCTGAGTTGCTTCTGATCAAAGGCTCGGTAGTTGCTGCTCGACATCCATCCACTTCGGAGCACTACTCGACACGCCGGGCTCCTTTCTGACGACGAGCTGGAAGATTAGGCACAGATGATGAAGATGTCGCTGTCGGCGTCACGGCGGCTGTCCAGCAGCGTTGGCGTTCTGACGAGGCTGTCGCAGCCGCTGCTTCTGCCAAGAGCCACTACGTCCGTCTGGAGCAGCAGGGCGACACTCCAGCCACACAACTTCAAGGCGAATCCACCAATACGGCTTTTCTCCAACTCGCCTTTCATCCCATTCTCAGCATCGCGACATCTTCGAGAAGCAGTCGAAACACTCGAGACCCCGCCCTCCGCCGCTGAACCACCCACCTTCTCCCTCCGCCCATATCAAGAAGAATGCATCCAAGACTGTCTCTCAGCGCTCGACAGCGGTGTCACGCGCATCGGCGTCTCCTCTCCCACAGGAAGCGGCAAGACGACCATCTTCACGCACCTCATCGACCGCCTCCCAGCACGGACCAGGACAGGCGGCGATCGGGTGCTCATCATCGTCAACTCGATCGAGCTCGCCCTTCAAGCAGCGAACGCGGTCACGTCTATGTTCCCGGACAAATCGGTCGAGATTGAGCAGGGTGCCAAGTACAAAGCCTCCGGATTGGCCGATGTGACGGTCGCAACGTACCAGACGCTCAATCGGAGCCAGGAGAGGCTGGACAAGTTCGAACCCGCCGAGTTCAAGGCGGTGGTGGTGGACGAGGCGCATCACGCTGCTGCACCGTCCTACCTCCGGGTCCTATCGCACTTTGACCCTCTCATCGGCACCGCACCGGAAGAGCGTACCGCAACAGGTGTGGAAAGCGTACCCGTGATCGGCTTCTCCGCGACTTTCAGCAGGCACGACGGCCTCGCGCTGGGCAAAGTGTTCGACCGCATCGTGTTCCACAAAGACTTTCTCGAGATGATTGGCGAAAAGTGGCTCTGTCCCATCCGCTTCACCTCCATCAAGACAGACATCGATTTGGCGAGCGTCAAACTATCGAACCTCAATTCGGACTTTGCCACCGCCTCGCTGGCGAGCGTCGTCAACACAGATGTGGTGAATCGTGTAGTGCTGCGTGCCTGGCTCGACCGCGCCCACACACGGCGTCGCAGCACCCTGGTGTTCGCGGTCAACATCGAGCATGTGCAGGACCTCACTGCCACCTTCCGCAACGCAGGCGTCGACGCGAGGTATTTGCATGGAGGGACACCCATGGTGGAACGCAGACAGCTTCTCGAAGATTTTCGCAACGGTGTCTACCCCGTGCTCGTCAACTGTGCGATCCTGACCGAGGGCGCCGACGTTCCTGCCATCGACTGCGTATTGCTCGCGCGGCCTACACGATCCCGCAACCTCTTCTCGCAGATGATCGGGCGCGGACTACGACTCAGCCCCAAGACGGGGAAGAAGGACTGCCTGGTGCTCGACATCGTCGGCAATATCGAAAAGGGCGTCGTGTGCACACCTACGCTGTTCGGTCTCGCCGCAGATGAGATTATCGAAGACGAGACGCCCGAGGCGCTCCTCGAACGATCAAATGAATCCGATCTTCCTCCTACCGAGGAAGAAACGGGAGATCCCTTCGCCACCCTCACCGACCCAACCAAGCTCACCTACATCGACTACGACGATCCGTATCAGCTTCAATCTGCCATGCTTTCCCGTTCGACCGTCGTCGAAACCCTCTCCCGCAATGCGTGGGTGGACTGTGGCGGCTCGACGTACATCCTCGATGTTCCCCGGTATGGCTTTGTCACAGTCGAGCGCCACACAGACCCGACAGAAGGTGCAGAGTGGACGGCGTGGTTCACACCTTCGAACGCCGATGCGGACAAAGCGGCTGCTGCCTCTTTCCCTGGTGGCGTTCGAAGGGGAAGATTTGCAGGAGGTTCGCCCTACCGTCGACCACGACATGTTCTGTTTGCGCCGACGCTGGAGCAGGCTGTGCGCGGATCGGATGTGTATGTTCAAAAAACGGTGTTGCGCAATTCGCCACAGCTGTTCGCGATGCTCAACAGGCGTGCGGCGTGGAGGGCGACGAGAGCGAGCGATTCGCAACGACGGCTTGTCGAGAAGCGGTTGGGGTTGTCCAAGCCCACCCACACGGAGCCCGGGCAGGAGGGGAAAAAGGAGAAGAAGAGGAGCGAGCTGACCAAAGGTCAAGCTTCCGTCATCCTCACGAGGCTGCTGCACGGCGCGAAGGGACGCTGGAAGGACCGTGTCAAACGGTCCAACAAGGTCTGGCGAGAGGAAGAGAAGGAAAGGCAGAGGATCGAGCGGCAGACAGTGCGGGTGGGGCCGTTGAGTGGCTGATGAGGAAATATACCCCCCATGCGTGGTCATCAGCATAGCGGTGTGATGCGCGACGAGACCGCGTAGATGTGGCGTTCGGAAAGCCATCGTACTCCCGTGTGCGAGAGAGAGTGTGTGCTTTCGAGGGTGAGAAGCGTTCAAGTGCTCAATTCCGATGACAGCGCTCGACGTACCGCGATGGACGCAGTCAAGACCGCGCATTGGCTCGACCAGCTCGTCATTGCATCGAATGCCTGTCGCAGCGGACAGATGAATCGCTGTTGGACGCGTGCATATGGAAAGCCGTCCAAGTCAATGTGGGCGGCGTCGCAGTGCATGCTGCTCGACACTGTCAACAGGCGTCGTGCCCACGCGACGGATCGATGAAGCTGCAGGGGGTGGCTCGAGCAAATCATGAAGACAAATGGGATGGTTGATCGACGAGGCAGGTGCAGGTTCCGCCCCCCCTCTCTGGTGCCATTCCCTTCTGGTCGAGCGTATAAATGGCCGATTCTCCTGCTTCCACTCTTCCAGACGCTCAACCACGACTGCTGCACATCGCAACCATGACCACATTTACACTCATCCTCCTCCTCTTGGTCGGGTGCGCACTCGCCTCCCCCCTCGACCCACTTCCACCCACCATCCCCGACCACCCGCTCTTCCCTTCCTCACCCGACCTTCAGTCGCTACACGCCCTTCAATCGGCCTACACCACACACATGAAACTCCAACTCTCCCGCGTCGCTCGCGTCCATCGCACCCTCCGCACCTTCACCACTCTTCAGGCTCAAATGCGATCGCACTTCGCCCACCTCACCACACCTCACACGCTCGAACACACACTGGAGAGGATCAACGACCTTCGTTCGGCTGGCTACAGGTTCGGCGCGGACGTCGATCCGGGTCTGCACGTCCCCTGGGGAACAGAGTGGGATTATGAGAGGTTTGGGCCGTACCCCTCGACGCGCCTGGCAAGCGCCCGAGGAGGGGACGCGGGGAAGTTGGAGAGGGAGCTGGAGAACGCTTGGGACGCGCTGGATCGGCAGACGCTGATGGAGGTGGGGAGGGGTAAGAGTGGCATGGTGTACACGGATGATGTGGGGCTGTTGAGGAGTGCGCTGGAGTGGCAGAGGGGCAGGTTGGATGGGTTGAGGGAGGTCGGGGAGGAATCGGGCAAGGTGAGATTGTGAGCGGTGTTGAGGAGATGGAGAGATGCTGAGACTCGGTTTGATGGTGTTGAGGACGCACGTCGAAGGCCCTTGGTGAGGGGTTGGGGAAGATGAGGCTGTAAGCGGTGCTGAGAAGACGAGAAGATTGGGGTCGTGTTGTTGTCGCCTTGCGTTCGTGATGTACGAAAACTTGCCTGCATCTTTGATTTAGACCGACGAGACGCTCGATTTGACCGAGTGAGCGTCAGTCTGAGCTTTGTCTTCGTCACCGTCCGTCTTGCGCTCCTGTGCGGAAGTGCTGTCGTTTCCAAACTCGCGATGAGCTTCGCCGATTCGGTCAGACATGCCAGCGGCGGGTGAGGCGGGAAGGACATCTTGTGAAGCAAGCGCGACAGCAGGAAGCGTAGGGAGCTGTCCAGAGGTGTCGCTGAGAGAGGCACTCGCAGCTGCAGGGGTCGAGGAGGTAGCGGCCGGGACGCTGGGATCGGCACTGAACGACATCGGTAAGTCTTCTGCCTGCGAGTCCGAATCTGCCTGCGACTCTGAATCTGCCTGCGACTCTGAATCTGTCTGGGAGTCTGAATCTGCCTGCGACTCTGAATCTGTCTGGGAGTCTGAATATACCGGGAAGCGTGGACGCAATTGGAACTCCAGCCATGCGACTTGCCTGTCCAATCGTTGCATGCAGTGGTCGGCTTTCTTCATGTTGCGATCGAAATCTTGCTTGAGGAGCTGAAGATGTGAAGAGTAGTCTGCTCGGAGACGAGCTAGTGTATCGGCCTCGAAGCGATCGATGTCAAATGTGAGGCCGGTTGCGATTTCGCGTTTCTCTGACCATACGACATGGTCAAAGGCATCGAGCAGCGCTCTGGAGTCCGCGGTGCATTCCACCATGTACGCGACGTTCTCCGTGCTGACATCCTCCAGGGGCAGCGCGTACATGCGTGCGAGTGCGGGAAGGAGGCTTTGGAGCTTTTGACGAAGATGGGACTCGATTGGGAGTGGTGCCCGATTGGACAGATCGAAGGGTGGCAAGACTTGATCCTTCTTCCACTTCTTGTAAGCAGCCCTCGCGTCGCTTCCCATGCTACCCATTGCATTTCTGACTGCGTGATGGGCCATCATGGGGGTGAGCAAGCGCTGAATGGTGAGCATCTGCTCATTGGTCTTCAGCTCTCTTGTGTTGACCAGGCGCACTGCATCAACCAAGTTGCGGTCGGAAGTTTTTGAACCAGTCACGACTGATACAAGTTCCTCCCGATGGAGGATATCGTCGACCAAGGATATCTTCTGGCACACCTCGGCCAATGAGTCGCGTGATTGGGGCTCGATGCGGGCCTTATCGATGAGGACACGGTATTCATGTGCCTTGACTTCGTACACGGATTCGAATATATAGCGAAGCCGGTATTTGCGGATGGCAGGGCCTGTCGTCGGAGCCGATTCGGTGGTCCCGCTCATTTTGTTCGATGTGGCCTCAGAGCCGACGGTTGATACTGTGTTGGGCGATACCTCGAAAGCGTCTTGGAAGGAAGAGGTCAGGAGGGAAGAGAAGATTTCCTTCCCTTATCAATGCATCGCTGCACGCACTGTGCTGTGAAATGAACTTTGGCGCAGCAGATTCTTCTTCAGTGTGCAAAACGCTCAGTCAAGGTTTGGTCGCCGCGACTTCATCTGGTGGGACTATCACTTTCTGCGGTTCAGTTCATTTTGATTTGGGATGGACACGTGTGACTACAAAGTGAGCGAGCGACTACTTAAGTTTTGGCACCGATCCCGGCTAATTCGATTCGAAGGTCGGCGACGGTGGGCGATGTGCACTCGCAGCGCTCGAGGACTGCAGAGGTAAGACGTTCGTCTAATGCGTATGCTCTTCTTATCGCAACTGAGGACCGTGTTAAGTGAGATCGACAGTCTGCGAGCGTGTACCCGAACGTCTCGATGCTGTCGTGTAAACACTGTCATATGAGTCGTTTCGTTTGCGTCTCCTACTCGGGACTGCTTCGGACGACCCAGCTGCATCGTTCTCGACATGAGCCGCGGAAACGTGGTCGGAAGTCGAGCCCAGAGGTGTGGGACCTCCGTCACACTGGTTGGCAATTCGCTCAGCCGGATTTGCCCCGGCTGTGTTGCTTCCTCGGACGTGCGAAGAAGGCCCGGCCTCGGCTGTGTTTCCAACGTTCGAGCGCTGAGGTACAGCACTCTCCTCGCGATTTGCAAGACCAATGGCGGCCAAATGTGAGCATCTGTTGCGCAGTTGAAGCATCTGCTCGTCGAAGCCTTTGTCCATATGCTCGAAATTTTGCATGAAGAGCTGACGCATGGCAAGATAGTCCTCGTAAAGTCCTGTGAGGATTCGCAACTCGGTAGCACGGAGATCGCTGTCACGATTCAGGTCCGCGTTGGACTTTTCTATACAGATGACGCGATGGATGGCGTCCAGCAAAGGTTTGGCAGTTCGATACTGGTGAATAAAGTATGACACGCCCTCCTTCTTGATCTTTGACAGGTGCCTGTCGTACATGCGAGCAAGCGCGGCTCGTCGGCTCTCGCAATATTCGCTAATCTGTGCGTCTTGATGCACCTGAAAGGTCTCATAGGCACCGTCGGGAGGCGCTGGATGACCCTGCTTCCACAATTGGTACATCTCTCTTTCTCGAGCAGTCATCTGCTCTGTAGCGAGCTGTTCCGCACTAGGCCTCCCGGAAGTTTGGATCGGCGTGCGAGTCGCAAGGGCGATGCTTTCTCCGCTCCGAATGGTGTCATTGAGCAGGAAGAGCTTCCGCGACAGCTGTTGCATTTTGTCGTCACTGGAGGGCGCGATGCGGGCCATTTCGAGCCTGAAGCGATAGGTCGGGTCTTTCTCTGTCGGACTACGCTCGCGCGCCATATCCAGAAGAGGTCGAGGTTGAATCTCCTGCCGCGTGAGACGCAGATGAGTATGTGGTATCGCGGTGAAGTAAGGGCTGTCAACCATCTCGAAAAGAGTGTCCGATATGTGGACCTATGTCGGGTATGCAAGGATGTATAGTATGCGGTGGGATAATATGAAGGCCGAGAGGAAGGAGACACAGACAGTTCGACTGAGCTTTTTGTGCGCCTAGACGCATCCAGCACCTTCCTCCAGTCACCGCTACGCCGACGCATGTGTGACTTCAGAGAAGGCGAAAGTGTGACCACTTAGACATGCGCACAAGGCCAGGGAAGAAGGCAAACGCAACTTTCTACAATCACATCCTCTCGGGAAGTTGAGCGGTGATTCGTGCGAAAACATGAGAGCGGGTCAAGCTCGACTCAGCCAACTTTTCCTCAGGACTGTCCGTGCGAGTGCCTTCTTCTCTTCATTCCGACACGATGCCCGTTCACATCTCAGCAAGTCGCATGTACCCGCCTCGATGCCCAGCTCGCTTGCCTTGACACTACTTGTCCGGCCCGGTCCGGGGCGGTCTCAAGCACCCGTCGGCACAAGGATGACCGGTACCCGTCTATGTCACCACGCATCGAGCGTGTGACCCTGGTCTCGATTTCGAAACGTTCATTTCAATCGCTGCCAATTGACCATTCTGAGGCGGATACGATCGCCCGCGCCAGTTGATCAGGCGTGGGAATGTGCTCGACTCGAGAGTTCGAATGCCGTCGGCTTGCCTTCATCGACGTCTCGACGCTTCGGCCGAAGAAGCAGAATCAGCATCGTAATTCCGATCTTGTCGACCTTCCCACGTCTAGCTTCGGTGCGGCTGTGTCGCGCAGCTGTCGGTCTTAGGGGCGAGCTGCGACCCGGCGCAGTGTTGCGGACGTCTCCTCGGGGCTGCGACGACCAGGCACAATCTTGATGAGGTCGATCCATCCCGGTAGAATATACAAGGTTGTGGGGAGCAACATAGTGGCGTCTGGTCTTGTGGACTTCATCACAACCTGGTGGTGACCGAATCTCTCTCTCACGGTTAGTGAACAACAGGTTTTGGGGCTTTCGCCGAAACCTACTGGAGGCGTGGATCGGCAAGGTTTCCCGTATCAGCGAGGAGAAGCGGGCGACGGCACAGGTCAATCGAGCTCGGAACGAGCAGACGTGGACGTAGCGGTGGTCATCCAACCTGACACTCGGTTGGCCTGGTCAGACGCACAGGTCAAGTGACTACGTTGTCGCAGCCATACTGCCACTGGTGTTGCAGCGACGATGAGTGGTTGCAAGAGGTTATAAATGAGGGTGCTCAGCCACCTTCCTCGTCCTTGTCGCTCATGAACCTGAAGCGATATTCCAAGGCATTGAAGCGACCAGCAGGTGCTTGATCTGACCACCTACTAGCGAGAGATCTACCCCGCTTCAGCGATCGCATTGCATCGAGCTCCCCCGTTCTTGGGTCATCGTCGTCGACGCTGCTCCTCATCAGACACCTCTACAATGCTGCTCTGGTTCATTCTCGCGTGCTGGCTCCCCATCCTCGCCATATCGGCTCCCGTCCCCGGCCGCATGCCGATCTCGCCGGAAGAGCTGAGCAGACTCGTCGGGTCACCAGCATCGCACGTGTTCGAATTCGTCACAGACGCCGTCTCAAACACCTTCCACGACTTCCACCCCTTCTCGCGCTCTCGCACCAACATCGCCGTCAATAGCCCTACGACCTCTGTGTCGAGTGCAGCTGACGGCCTGAAAGATGTCCTCGTCGATGTTCCGCCCGACACTCCCCGGCTCGCTGATGTCGACGGCGGCACGGTGAGTGAGCGCGACTTTGATGCGGCGATCGAACGGATCCGACAAGCCGAACACGCCCGCATCCGCGCTCATCCGGTGCGTGGACCACCCCAACGCTCGCACTCGTTGGAGGTGGAAGGCGGTTCTGGCGTCAGAGCTCCGCCTAACACGCCCGAGAGGGGCGCAGACGAGTACCGCGTCGTCTACGGTTACTCCGGCAGACCTCCGGTCGCGGGCAACGAGCCGGACGTCAAATTCGTCTTCCCGCCCGGCGTGCCCACCCGGCGGACCGGATGAGGGCCAGATTCTTCCCAGAGTTAAAATTCCATCCCGTCGAGATAGTTTTTGTTCAAGCCGTCGACAAAGTATGAGCCTGTCCAATCCGACAACAGAGCCAGCCCTACCCAGAGCGTTCATGTTCATCTGCTTGTCAAACCTTGTCGATCGCAAACGCAATGCCTCAACGATGTTTACAAAAGAGCGTGTATTGCTACAACGTTTGTGTCCGGATCGATATATACAAGTGAGTGTGGAGTCTAGGCAGCGGGGCTGACCCAGAAGCTGAGGGCGGCTACGGCGTAGAGACTGCAGAGCATGGCGCCTTCCATGTAGTTGCTCTTTCCGTCCTGAACCAGGGTGTTGACCAAGAAAACGGCTGCCACCAGAATAACCGTTTCGAAGGTTTCGAAGTACAACGTGAGGGGTTGGCCGACGGCCCAACCGACGAGGCAGAGGATGGGGATCATTCCAACCGAGATTTGGATCGAGGAACCGATGGCGATGCCGAGCGAGATTTCCATTTTGCCCTTGGAGGCCATCCAGACGGCGGTGAGGTGTTCGGCCATGTTGCCGACGATGGGGAGGAGGATGGTGCCGATGAAGGCTTTGGGGATGGAGTACTCGCGGGCGACTTCGTCGATCGCCCCTACGAGGTAATCCGCGTTGAATGCGGTGAGCACCGTCACGCCGCCGAGCGCGATCATTGCGGCTAAGGGTGACATCTTGGCCTCCTCCTCCTCATCATCTTCCTCATCCGCCTCGTAGAGGAACGCATGGGTCTTTAACTGGAACACCAGATACAACACGTAGATCCCGACCAGGATCAACGAGGTGCCGCGGGAGATGAAGAGCAATCCGGTTTCGTCCTCCTGTCCGTGGACGATGGGGGCGTTGAGACTGGCCAATTTGGCCATGTCGTTGGCGAGCACGGCCGAGGTCTTGACGCTCATGTGGTAGGCAGCGGGGATGGCGAGGGTGATGCAACCCAGCGTCATGATGGAGCCGGATGCCTGGGCGGCAGTTTGTTGGAAGGTGTTTTCGCTCCTCTTGAGCCCACCTGCTACAAAGCTCATGCCGAGCACCAGCAGGATGTTGGAGAGAATCGAACCGATCAAACTCGTCTGTACGATTCGCAGTTGACCCTGCAACAGAGCAGCAATACCAACGATGAGCTCGACAGCATTGCCGAAGGTCGCGTTCAACAGCCCACCCAACGTCTGACCGAGTCGCAGCGAAACCTGCTCCGTCGCATCCCCCAGGATCTTTGCCAGCGGGATGATGGCGAGGAAGTTGAGCGAAAAGATCCAGATCGCTGGCCAGTGCAGGTGCTCCGCAATGATGCCGAGCGGCACAAAGACGAGAAAGACGTTGATCCAGCTGCACGTCACGATCCACCACAGCGACGAAACGAGGTTCGGGGGCGCGCCATGCTCCGATTCGCCGCCATTGTGACTAGGCAGGTTGTTGTTGTTGCCCACCAAAGGGGTGCGTTCGTTGGCCGGCATCTTGATGCGATTTGCTTGGAAGATGGTGGTGAAGCGCGAGGAGGGGATGCGAACCAAGAACGCACGTTCCTGTGTGGGATTCCATTTCACTTTGCGCCCTGCGCCCACCTGCGCTTGTCGGCGGCCAGGGACGATGACGATTTGGCTTGGCATTTTTCTGCGCCCGCCCCGTTGTCCCTGATCCTCAAAGCCCAGCTCGGCTGTGGAATTGCAAATTGAACCGCCGCTGCCCAGATGCGTCACATGGCAGGCCGCACGGTTCACACACATGCAACCATCTGCACACCGCCGGGCAACCTCATCCGCCATCCCTCGCTGCGATCATCTCAATGCTGACGATCATGTGCGCGAAAAAGAATACATTGCTAGCTTACACTATGCTCCACCCGCCAACTCGACAATCAACCTTGTCGCGCACTCCAAGAACAAAAACGGACTGTTGACCTCCTTCCTGCCCGCCGGCACCGCCGGGGCGAGGCTGGGCTTGATCCTTGTTCCGTCGAACCGGTGCTGCGCCGCCTCCTCGGCCTGGTTCATCGCCCGATCGAGCGCAGCTTCGAGTTTGCCCTCCCCCAACGCATCCGCCGGCGCAGCGTCGAGCTTGGTATACCCAACATTGCGAAAGTCGACGAGATAGTTGGTTGCGTCGACGTGGTAGAGCTGTAGGTCCATGCGGACGAGCACGTGGCCCACCTTCCAGCGCGTTTCGAGGAAGAAAAGCTCCTCCCCCTTGGATCCTGCTGAGCCGCTGCCGTTCTCGGGTTTGGCGGTGCCGTCGTCGTGGTGGGACGAGTCGGCGTCGCCATCGGGCTTAGAGGGCTTGGTGGGAGGCTTGGCCCGCCATTCCATGCCGAGCGACTGCAGCGTGCGGTACAGCTCGAGCATGATCTCCATCGGCGGACTGCGCGATCGGATACCGAAGTGCCATCGTGAGCGCGGCTTCTTGTGAATCTGTGCAGTGGCTGCTGCGAGAGCGGGGGTCGCGGCGCCGGACATGGGCGTGATAGGTGTGCACGATGGCCAAGACGTCTTTTCTGCTGAGGGTGTTGCCAGTCTTTCTGCTTCCCTCGCCCGCAGGTATCCAGGAAGCGACGTCTCGAGCACTGCAATCCGGACGTAGCGCTCACCAGAGGCATCTTCCACATCCGTCAGGTGGCCATCCTCGTCCGAGAGCACATCATCTTCGTCGCTCGCCAGCGTCTCGTTGCCATCGTCTGAGGGATCCGCATCCGCAGCGTCAGCCATGAACGAATCTCCTTCATCCTCTCCTGCTACCGCTGGAGCTCGTGTCGCCGCATGCGCCGACGCCGGCAGCGGCGGGACCTGCTCCCTGCTCACCGACGCCGCCGCCGCCTCCTTGACCCGATTCTTGCGCTTGATGCTCGTCGATCGACCCATGTGCCCCTCCAACCCCTCGTTCCACGCCGGCGGGCTCTGTGCGAGAAAAGTCTCCATCCCATGCGCGTCCTCCATGTGATGAATTTGCAACATGCGTCGATGATCGCGCACCAACTGGTAGGCGACCTTGACCTGGTTGTCGCCCTTGTCCGTCAAATGATGCATCAGCTCATCGCGGTTGAACCCAGCCATCTTGCCTACCAGCTCGTCAACGAGCGAATCTTCGATCAGCCCGAGATCGTTCGTGACGACTGATTGACTGCCTGTTCGACTGGCGGGTGCCGACGTCTGCGAAGACGCGCCGCTGTTAGCGGCCGAGCTCGATGTGGTGGGCGAGGTGACGTCTGCCGGCGAGCCCGTGTCGGCTGGGGAAGAGGTCATGCCAAAGTCGAACCCGCGGTTTTCGGCTGCCGGTGTCGGTGGTAGAGGGCTCAAGTACGCTGGCAAGTCGACGTTGAACCACGGATGCTGGCGAATCTCTTGGATGGTGATCCTCTTGACCGGATCGACGATGAGCATCTGGCTAAGCAGATGCCTTGCTTCCTGAGAGAGATAGCTCGGAAGTGTATAAATGCCGTTGTTGATCTTCTTGAAGAGCGTCGGGATGTACTCGTCGTCGAACGGCAGCCTTCCACATAGCATGACGTACAGAATGACACCGCACGACCAGATGTCGATCTCCGGTCCCGCGTAGAGTCTCCCTGAAATGACCTCTGGCGCCGCGTAGTTGGGACTTCCGCAGCTCGTCTTGAGAAAGTCACCATCCGTCATGATGTTCGACAGTCCAAAATCGCCAATCTTGACGTTGAGGTATTCGTCCAGCAGCAGATTCTCGGGCTTGAGATCACGATGGACGATCTTGTGTCGATGACAGTACTCCATGGCGCAGATGACTTGCTGGAAGAATCGCCTCGCTTCCTGTTCCGGCATTCGCCCGCGATCGACGATATACTGGAACAGCTCGCCGCCCGCGTACTCGATGACCATGATGATGTCGTTGGGTGTGGTGATGACTTCGTAGAGTTTAATGATGTGCGGATGACGAAGGAGTTTGAGGTACTGGATCTCGCGCTTGACACGACCACCCATGTCGAGGCTCGAAATTTTGCGACGGTTGATGATCTTCATCGCCACTCGATGACCCGTGAGAGCATGCGTGGCCAGCTTGACCTTGCCGAACGAGCCGGAGCCGAGTGTCTGCTGCAGGAGATACTGTCCGATGCGAATGGGCTGTTTGGTCGACTCTTTGCTGCGATGTGTCGAGCCGGAGCGGGATGTGGGACGGCTGGAAGAGCGTGAGGAGGAGCTTGCTCTGCGTTCGTCGCGTGGCTCGGACGGCTGGCGCCGCGAACTGGACGAGGCCTCTCTGCTGGACATGATGATGGTTGTGCTGGGCTACGTTAGTGCGGGGCAGCAGGTGCAGATCTGGAAGCGAGACGGCTCCTGCAGCTCGAAGAAAGTGAGTTTCGGATCGAGGGAATCGTTATGAGCGGCCAGGGATGTGCATGCCGTGTCGATGTTTATGATCTGCTTCAGGTGACGCAGTCGGCGATGGTGAATGCTGGTAGATAGCAGGCGTGAATAGAAGTGCCGCTCTGACAGCTGGGCTGAAAGGCCAGACCAGAGATGAGGTCTTCTCCGGCAGTGATTCGAGCGAAGAAGCGCTGCAATGGCGCAATCCAGAGGTGATCAGAGCGCTGCGCTTTCCGAGAAGATCCTTGTTCGAGGAGATTGTTGGCGGCACGACGAGGGTGCAAGATAGCAATCAAGATCCGATCAAAAGGGCCTTGATCCAGTGCAGCTCTTCGTATGCTCGTGAGCGTCGATGTAGTTGCGAAAAGGGGGTTGTACGATTGGTGTCAGGAAGGACAGAAGGAGAGTATACCATGGAAACCAAGTCGTTGAAAGCGAAGTTATCATCGGTGCTCGATCGAAGGACAGTCACTTCTGAGCTCTGTTTCTCCAGACTCAGCTCTGTGACGCAGCCTGGACAAATGGCTTTTTTTGTTCGGTTGCGCGTGGTCTGTGTGTGCGTGTGAGGTCTGGAGAAAGGCGTGCAGCTCGAAGCTGAGTGCGGGCAGGTGCACAGAGGGGGTCCTTTTTGGCTTAAATTTTAAATTGGCCCTCAGATACTCGCCTGCTGCTGCGACGCCGATAAGAGAGCGCTGCAAAGGGTGAGTCAACCCATCGAGAACAGCTTTTGCCCCGCATCGCCATGAAAAGCCTCATCTCGATCCAGACTCAATACATCGTCGCACTGCCAATCGGACACAGTCAAAGCCAAGGTCAAGCCTGTCTTCATTGTAAGCAAGCATATCCGGGACGTTGTGAAGAAACGAACGTTTGAAGAGACTGTGAGGAAGCAAATCAAGGGGCACGGAAGGAGGACGTGGGGTATCAACGCAGCAAAGCTGACGAGAGAGGACGGAGGGGCTTGGTGTTCTCCAGCTGCAGCGCGTACTCGAAGCATTCGCGCGCCCTCTGCGCCCGTTGACTTCGCTGCGTCGCTTGACCCAAGAACAGCCACGCCTCGCTCGAGTCCCATCCAGCACCCTTGGTCGTCGTCGTCAGCAGGCCCTCGGCCAAGCTCACCGACGACAGGTCCTTCGCCTTGGCGCTCAGCGAGGCCTCAGCGGACGACTCGTACTTGTGCGGAGCAGTGGTCGCTGGTGCTGTGTGCAGCTCCACCTCGCCTGCCTTGGCTGAACCGCTCTTGGGCTTGAGCTCAGGGTCGGCAAGGAAGAGTCGGGCGAGATGCACCGACGCAGCCACATCGCCCCCTGAGCATGCCAGCGCCTTGTACAGAGAGTCGACAGCCAGTCGGTTCGAGCCGTTGTTGGCAAAGTACAGCGACAGCTGCACCCACACATCCGCCAGGCCTGGCTGCAGTCGTTCGGCCTCCTGAATCGCAGATCGACACTCCTTGAGTTGGCCAGCTCGACGGAAGCTTGCCGCCGAGAGCAACCAGATCTTGGCCAGCGCCAGCGACTGCCTCTTGAGATGCTCCAGCGTGCGTTCGGCGCCCGATCGCGACAGGTCCTCGTCGAACGTGCCAAATTGCATGCCTGGCAAGATGGCCGCGTTGCCTTTAGACGCGCCGCCACCGGCAGCACCCAGCGGCCTCTGCGCGTACGATCGCGCTCGGCTCGTGGTCGTCTGCGATCGTCCGAGCACCGTATCATTGCTGTTCGGGCCGCCGACACCGGCGAGCGAGCCGTTTCGACGCAAGCCGCTCGCGTCGAGTGAGCCTCGCGGGTTGTCGACTCCCTCCGAGATGGCGCCTCCGGACCCCGCTGAAGCCGTAGCTGCTGCGGCGGCTGCATACGGGAAGACGCGGTGGAAGTAGCTGAATAGCTCCTTCTGTCCGTAGATAGCACTGTCGACGCCTTCGTTGAGCTCCTCCAGCGCGTTGTACGTCATCATGAGACGCAGGATCGACTCGTTGCGCTCCTGTGGACGGGGCGGGTAGTCGACGCTCAGCAGCTGCGATGCAGCAAAGTTGGCGGGTGACGAGCCATTGGCAGTGCCGGTGCTGATTCCTTCGTCGTCCTTTTCGCACTCGTCGAGCGCCACCTCGGTGATCTTGAAGGCGTCCTTGTACTTTTTCTGCGCCGAGAGTAACAGCACGAGCAGATGCCACGACTCGACATCCGCAGGCTCGAGCTCAACTGCCTTGCGTGCCGACTGAATAGCCGAGTGAACGTCGCGCAACTCGGCTTGCAGGAAGGCAAGTTGATAGAAGGCCTCCGATGATTGATTGTCCAGCTGCGCAGCTGCGGTGAGTTCCGCAAGCGCTTCACGCTGCAACACGGGCCTGCGTACAGGGTCAGCGAGCTGAATGGCAAGACCTGCTTTCGCGAAACCGCTTACGCGCTTGAGACGGGCTAGCAATGTTTTGTTCTGCGCAAAGTCGGGCTTGAACTTTCCCTCCTTGTCCTGAACGACGGCGAGCGCTTTGGAGGCGATCTTGTCGGCGAGCGTAAAGTCGTTGCAGTGGCGTCCGGCATAGTAGGCGCCCTGCGCCAGCGTGTTGGCGTAGACCTCGTCGCTGTCGTAGTCCTTGTGCGACGATGTGCTGGTGTCGGTGCCGTTGGCCTTCTCCTGTTGCTCCTCCTGCTTCTCCTGCTTGACCTCTCCATTTTCCTTCGACTCGGTGTGCTCCTTGTCGGCGGAAGCGTTGGCCTCTGCGCTCTGTTCGGCCTCTCTTGCCTTTTCGACGATCTGCACGTAAGATTGCAACGCGCGCTTGGCCTCGTCAAAGCACTCAGCCGCGAAAAGCATCTGCACGAGGTAGCGCGCGATGCGCTGCGAGTGGAAGGTGAGCTCGACCAGACCGTGCAGGATCTCGGCGACGTCGTCGGCCTGCTCTCCTCCGATCTCGCCATTGATCTGCCACGCCTTGATCATCTCGTCGGCAAAGTCGAGCACCTCCTCGTTGATGTGGCCGGCTTTGGGGAAGGCGGTCGAATTCTGCAACGACTTGAAAGCAAACTTCTGCGCGGACAGCGACTCGTTGGACCACATGACGCTGGGCGCACGCAGCTCGCGGTACGAGTTGGGTCGGCGTTTCGAGACGGTACGTGAGGTGACACGTTGCGAGGTGAAAGTGGGATTGATGCGCTTGGCAGCAGGGTCGCGTTGCAGACGCTGGGTTTCGTAGTCGAAGATCTGCACTCGCGAGGCAACCGTGGCGACGACCGACAGCTGATACGCCTTGCTTCGCCAGTCGTCGCGGCTGGGAGGTGGCAGCTCTGGTGGGTCGACATAGCTGCCGAGCTCGGCGGAGCGGTTGAGGACTCGAAGGTAGTAGCGATGGACGACGTTTCGCTGCGGCAGACGGAATTCGTTGGACCAGCGACCCGAGTGTGCCTGGTAAGAGCGGAGTGCGTTGAGGGATTGTACTGGTTCACCTGCACGAATGGAGAGAAGCGCGTTGCGATAGAGGGCAGTCTCGGCCCACCTCTCGACCTCATCGGCGGGCAGACCACGGAGTGCGTTGGCTTTCTTTCCTCCTCGCATCAGTTCGTGCAGCTCGATGGCACGAGCATAGCCGGCGAGGGCGAAGGGCGTGTAGCCGGACTCGTTCTTGGAGAACAAGAGTCGCTCGTTGGCCATGCCGTAGACGGTGAAGCCTTGGATGACAAGGGCTGTGAGCGCGCTGTTGTGCATCTCGGGCGTAGCAGCTGCTTGGCCGGCCGTCTCCATGAAGGTCTCGCGGTGCAGAATGTCGACGGCTTCGTCATCTCGGCCCAGCGCAAAGAGAGCCAAGGCGCGCAACGATACGGCAGCCGTGCGGTTGCTGCTGTCGCCGTACTCGAGGATGCGGTCGGCCATCTGGGTGACGCTTGCGGTCGACCAGCCTACCCCCTCGGCGCCTGGGCGCATGATAGGAGGAAAGAGGGTAGCATCGCCAGTGCGTGGGTGGACCTTGTAGTCGGCAAGGTGGGAGGCATCAGAGTAGTCGGATTCGGCGTAGAAGTTGAGAATAGCGGCCTTGAGCTCGTGTTCGACGTTTGCAAGCGCGGCGAGGGCTGGAGAGCAGGAAGTGAGGGCGGTTGAGGATTGGTCAGTATCGCTTTGCGCGTGCTTTGAGATGGCCGTGTTAGGCTATCGCACTTACCTGGTTTGTCGACATTGTGCTTGGTAAACTTGCGGATGAGCTCCTTCCAAGGCAGAGACTTGCCAGATTGGCTTGGCTGCTCGCTGAGCCAATTACCGCGCAACCGAGCCGAATCGAGCTCTTTGAGGTAAAGCTCGGACTTGTTCTGTGAGGCGTGCGAAGAGGTTGGCAGGAGGCAATGCATGGAAACTGGTCAGAACGGCAAGTCAAGCCGAGTCTACTTGAGGCACGTTGAGCACTTACACTTTTAGACATTGTGACCCGTCCAGCTGTTCGAGGAGACTTCTATGAGTGGTACTTGCTACGGCTCTCCTGAAGAGGCACTTGTGCGCTGACTGCCTCGGAATGGGTCTCGAGCTGGCAGTCGGTAGTGAGTGCGAGGTAGCAAGTTGCTGTGCGCACCGATGCGTCGATCTCTGCAGGTAAAGGGCCCGGTTGTCGTCCCGTCCGGTTGTGAAGGATGATGGTGATGTCGTCGACGGCTGCTGTCCACCAGGTGAGGGGTCGCAAGAGCGTGCGAAGGGGTATCCTGAGGAGGGAGGTGGTGGTGGTGGTCGCGGTCGAATGGACAAAAGGAAGAAGCGAGAGATTTCTTGTCCGAATTGAACGAGCAGCTGTGCCGCAAGCGACGATGACGAAGAACCCGGAAAGCTTGAAAGCGGGGAAGGAAAGCAAGAGGGAGAGGATCGTCGTTGGGCGGCTCAGTACGATGCCCCAGTCGACGAGAGCAAAGGCACAATTGCGCCTCTGTGTCTCGCTTGTGAGCAGCCGTCATTCGAGTGGAGATGCTGCACATGCACGCTCGGCTGGGCTTGAATATTTCAAAGAATCCCCCCTTTGAAAGCGTGCCGTGCGCTTTCCTTTCCGAGTGCGGGTCAATGCCTGGCAAACGTGACCTCATAGTCTTAGGCCTGCCAGGCTGCCACACTGCAAACAAAGCGTTTGGAGATCTTCCTCGCAGCCACGAGTTCGCCCGTCTGGCTGAAAGCAAGCGTGCCTGTGCAGCTTCAACATGAGTGCATCTCAGTCTTGGCTCACGTTTCATCTGATGTAAAGAAATCGCTCTGACCTTCATATCGTCTATTGTGATCGAGCTCTGATGGCATCGATTGTGCCTTCCAATGGACACTCTTCAGGACGGAGATGAGAAGAAGAGCAAGAGCTTCCAGAGAGCCGAGCGAGGCGTCAGGAAAATCGTGGGGATCCGCGGGCCAATTTGGGTGATTCTCAACGTGAAAGCTTTGCCTTCCGCCTCCGCGTCTCCCACAGGCTGTGGTGTCCCAGCTGACAGCTGACTAATTGTTAGTCACATTCACGCGTGACAGCCCGCCAGCTTAACGCGCCGGCCACGAGTCTGATCACACTGTCTGAGCTCTGAGACGCAGACATCACACCACACCAGAGGAGAATGGCAAAGGTCTTTATCGTATCGAAAGTGTTTCAAAGGGATATCACGGAGGGTGGGTCGTGATCGAAAGGAAGAGAAAGTGGAATCTGAGAAGAAGTTGATGGTAGCTATCAAGGCAGGGCATCTGGTGTCAGAGGAAGCAAGCTGCACAGTCAGCGACATCGATGCGACCTTCGACCCGGCTCCGCTCCTTTGGGAACCGAAGCACGGCATCAAAGATTCGGTCGTTGCTACACCGTCCATCTGCTTCTCTCCTGCATTTAACGCCACGTCCGACCGCATTTACTCCTGAACGAGCTCCTCCTCCTCAATGTACTCGCCCTCGATATCCTCGTCGAGCGCAGTGGCGTCCTGGTACTGCTGGTACTCGGCGATCAAGTCCTGCAAGTTGGACTCGGCCTCGGTGAACTCCATCTCGTCCATACCCTCGCCCGTGTACCAGTGCAAGAAAGCCTTGCGCTTGAACATGGCGCTGAACTGCTCCGAGATGCGCTTGAACACGTCCTGGATCGCGGTCGAGTTTCCGATGAACGTAACCGACATCTTGAGGCCACGAGGGGGAATGTCACACTGGGCGGTCTGCACGTTGTTGGGGATCCACTCGACGAACTGGGTCGAGTGCTTCTGCTGGAAGCTCTGCATCTGGTCCTCGACGTCCTTCATCGAAACCTTACCACGGAAGTAGGCGGCGCACGTGAGGTATCGGCCAAGACGCGTGTCGCAGGCCGTCATCATGTTCTTGCTGTCGAAAGCCTGCTGGGTGATCTCGGGGATGGTGACGGCACGGTACGACTGCGAGCCGCGCGCGGTCAAGGGCGAGAAGCCGACCATGAAGAAGTGAAGACGAGGGAAAGGCACCATGTTGACGGCGAGCTTTCGCAAGTCCGAGTTGAGCTGACCGGGGAATCGGAGGCAGGTGGTGACACCGGACATGACGAGCGAGACCAGGTGGTTGAGGTCGCCGTAGGTGGGGGCGTTGAGCTTGAGCGTCTTGAAGCAGATGTTGTACAGCGCCTCGTTGTCGATACAGAAGGTCTCGTCCGAGTTCTCAACGAGCTGGTGCACCGAGAGCGTAGCGTTGTAGGGCTCAACGACCGTGTCGGACACCTTGGGCGAGGGCAGAACCGAGAAGGTGGCCATCATGCGGTCGGGAAACTCCTCGCGGATCTTGGAGATGAGGAGGGTACCCATGCCGGCACCGGTACCACCACCGAGCGAGTGGGTGATCTGGAAACCCTGGAGCATGTCACAGTTCTCGGCCTCCTTGCGGACGACGTCGAGCACCGAGTCAACGAGCTCGGCACCCTCGGTGTAGTGACCCTTGGCCCAGTTGTTACCGGCACCGGACTGACCAAAGACAAAGTTGTCGGGGCGGAAGAGACCACCGAGGGGACCGGAACGGGTCGAGTCCATGGTACCGGGCTCCAGGTCGACGAGAACGGCACGGGGCACGTACTTGTTGCCGCTGGCCTCATTGTAGTAGACGTTGATGCGGGCGAGCTGGTCGTCCGAGTTGCCGATGTAGTTACCGTTGTGGTCGATTCCGTGCTCGTCCGAGAGCACTTCCCAGAACTTGGTACCGACCTGGTTACCACACTGACCGGTCTGAAGGTGGACTGTTGGTGGTCAAAGACGGTGGCAGTGGCGAAGGCACAAATGGAGCGGTACGGTGATGGAGTTGTTCCATATTTCAGACAAAGGCAAGACAGTGTGTCAGTGGATTGCGTTCGGAGAATATTCGGCGGACCAGACGCAAGGCACAATGAACACTTACCGATCTCACGCATCTTGAAGAAGAGTTAGAAGAAAGGACGAAGGTGGATCTTGAGTTGGTTGATGACTGTGCACGCAGAAGCCGAAGGGAAACGGAACGAGAGGTCAGAAGTATTCGGAAGAGAACGTGGTCGTAGTCCAAGCAGGTATGCGATCAAGACGATGACGAATGCGAAAGCTCATCTATAATCGTGGTTGGCTGAGGTCGAGTGGTCCTACAATGCTGCAATGATCCATCATCCTCGCCACGAGCCGACCCGACTGCCTGCAAGTCGGTGCTGTAGACCTGTCCCTGCTTTTGGATCTGCTTCTCCCCAGATACAATCTTCCGTGACCTGAGGACGCTCCGCCCTGCCTGAGCCGTGATGCGTCTCCACGATCGAGACATTCCAAACACTCGAGCCAGTGGCGACGCGTGTCTATGCCTCCTTTGGCCGGGGGATGCTGATGTCGGAATCCGTTCGAGGAGCGAGGACGACTGAGTGGTGGTCGTCTACATTCGCCGGGGTGAGATGATAAGGCTTTGAACTGGCCTGACTGCTGAGCGGTCGCTCGTCTCGTTTTGATCGCCTGCCTGTTTGTGGTGCCTTTATCGATGATGCACTTACAGCTTACTGTAGGTGACGCAAAGGGACCCAAGAAAGGAACTTGCGCCTGATGTCGAAACCGAAAGGTGGTGAAGTGTAGGTCGCGGGCCGGGGATGAAGGTCGCAGAGGTAGAGGATGGTGGTGGTGATCACTTGAAAGGGAGCGGGGCGCGATTACGGGCTGAACTGGCAGAAAGAGAGAAATTCACACTGGGCACCTGTGTCTGCGCTCGCAAAAGTGTTGGACTGAGAGGCGGCGGCGGCGGACGGGCGAGACTCGAGACAGGCAGAGATACACACACACACACACGCAGGCTCTCTCTTCCAAACTGACACACTGCGCACGCACGAATGAGGACCGAACACACGCTAGCAGACCAGCGCGCCCACTTCCACAGGTCAAGGCAAGGCAAGACAAGACAAGACAAGTGTTGTTCTCTCGCACTTTTGTCCTCGTCGCTTCGAGTTGAAGCCCACCCACTCGGCCAGTCTCGTGCGGCCTCTTTTGGCTCAAATTCAAACGCGGCGATTTACACTCGAATACAAACGGAAAGATTTGCGACGCATGCCCCAATTCGAGTCCTTTCGCCCGCTGTCTTTCAGAATACAAATTTAGAGCGTTGGCGGGATAGGCTAGACTGGCCGTGCGCCTTGAGCTTGAGGAAGGGACAGAGCGCACGGAATTTCTTCGTCTGAGCCTTGAAAGCCAGGACGCTGTTTTGCTGCTTGCTCTCTGCTTGCCCAACATTCGTCCTCGCTGTCTCATCTTTACTTGCAACACACAGCTCAAGCTAGCCTGTGATTAAGAAAGGCGTCGATCTCTAGGCCCCGTTCGGACAGCTCGTATCGAAATGAGTAGAGACATCGTGTGGCAGCGAGAGGAAGGCGGTTCACGCAGGCCAGTGTGACTTTAGACAGGAAGAGGGCGCGCGCAGTCTTGTGTTTGCGAGAGCCCTTTTCTAAAATCACAAGGCACAACAAGAGCGGAGGACGCGTCGCGCGCCTGGCTTGAGCATGGGCCTGACATCCGATCGCCTCGGATCGGCGATCCAGAATTTCAATCGCGTTTCTTCGTCAAGCCAACTCGCCTTGATGCCTTACGTACTTCTTGCAGCTGTATGGCCAGTATCTGCGCCTAACAGATACCTTGCTGAGAGGCCTTACAGCCTCTGGCTTTGCCAGAGCAAGTACAGCCAAAGAGTGTGAAGCATAGCGATCATGTCATTTTCTGCGCCATCTTTTTGCGCTCCCATTTTCACGATCCATACTTTTTGGCTCACGTATACGCAACGCAGCCTCTTTTCATACTGGAGACTGGATAGCACCTGAGAGCCTCACAAATACAGTCTGCCACGCCATGCGAGTCCCAGGCTTGTTTAGTGAATGCTTGCTAAAAAGACGGTACAAATACATGTTGCACGAAGCCGTTGCGGAGGAAAGTACGTGTTGAGGCCTAGCGGCGGTGTTTAGGCGATGGGCTTGATCTTGAAATGCAACGAGATGAGGCTGAAGATGAGGCACTGATGGGCATCGAAATGCGCATGTGGCCAGATGGAGATGGTGCGAGAGGGAACAGAGTCAGTGATGCCATTCAACAGCTGTGAGCCGGCATAGAGGCGGAAGCAGCTGAACCTACCTTGAGATCCTGGACGAGATAGTACATGACTCGAAGACCTTCTGGATCGTCGCTGTCTTGCACGTCGACCAGCGAGCCGATTTTGGCCGTCTGTGTTCGCAAAAGGAAAGTAGCAGAGCTGTTAGTATGCCTTGAACGGCTCTGGAGGGGCTCAAAGCGGCTACTTACCTCGAACGAAATGTGTTCCTTGCCCAACCGCACCTCGAGCTCCTGTCGGCCCGTCGAGTTCTTCTTGGGCCACTTGGCATCGTCTTCCTGCATGATCTCGCTTTCGTCGACGATGCGACGTAGCTCCTCTACCATGAGTGGACTGATCCACACTGCGATGCACGGTGAAGTACCAGAAAGAAGTTTCCAGGATGAGCAAGCCAAGATCGAACCTGTAGGAGGGTGAAGTTGTTACCGCACTTACTCTCTTTGCGAATCAGGCTGTCGTTGCGGTAGTTCGAGTTGTTCGCATAGCGTAGTCGACCGCGGGAGTATTCGAACTCGAGGAACTCGTGGCCGTGTCTGCCTTGATGGCCGGTGCTGTGTTGGGAGTGCGTGAAGGGACGCGGGTCAGCTTTTCTTGCCACTGGAAATGTTAGAGAGTCTGAACAGAGCAGCGACTTACTAGTACCGAACGTAGAAGTCAGACATGCTTGCTGCTGAGCGTTGGCTCGTCTGCTCGTGGTGGATCCGATTGTGGTGAAGGCTGTCAAGGAAGGCTTGTTCTCGAGAAAGATGGCAGCTCGGATTTCGGAGGTGGAGTTTTCTCGCCGTTCAGGGTCCAACGCTGTCTCGACGCTCATGCATGTCTTGTTCCAACTCGCACCCAACATGCTCATCAAGACAGCATCGATCGGAAGATGAGTCGACCAGCCGCGAAGAGGCAGCGCTTCTCGAGACATGCCTCAGAGGAGAATGACGGCGAAGATGTCTTCGCATCCTCCTCAACGGCTCACATATTCAGTGCTTCCTCATCGCGATTGACCTCTTCGAGCGACGTTCTGCATCCTTGCTCCTACGAGATCACCCTCAATCGCGATCATGATCTCAAGCGGTCTTTTCAGCAATCTTCGGTCTCCACTGACCTGGACTCTTGCGGCTCACGTCTTGTCACATGGACCAGCGCCGACGGGACGCAGTCCGTGACGACCGATCGATACGATGCTGTGCACCTTCTATCACAGCTGCCAGCCAGACCGGCCCAAAGCACAAAGATCTCAGAGACGACCGTGGCGGACGACCTCGAATGGTCAGATCTGGACAGCGACACAGAAGATCTCTTCTGCTTGACCGATGTTGAGGCGGCTCAATTTACCCACACAAAAGCGAGGGCCGCCTTGGACGCTCAGCGCTCGACACGGTTGGCAGCTCTTTCATCCCCATCCCCTCCCACGCCAGAAGCCATCAGTGACGCTTCAACAGGCACAAAAGAAAAGGCGGATGCACCAGCGTTGAGCAGGCCGCAGTTCGAGCTGATGCAAAAGACGGCCAAGGTCATAGCATCTTCCACCAATCCTTCGATGCTCGAGCTCAAGATCCTTGCCAACCACGGTGGTGACGAGCGATTCTCTTTTCTCCGCAAAGACGCCAACAAAGACTCACAGAGCCATGCGATATGGGAAGCGCTGAAGGCAAGCAAAGGTAATATGACCCACGAGGCCGCGTTACAGATGGTCGAGCCTGCAGAAGCAGAGGCAAACAAGGTAGGCGGTGGGGGCTTGGTTGCGTACGACGACAGCGACAGCGAGTCCGAAGCACAGGCGGAGCCCGTCGGGAACGAGCAGCAAGCAATCGAAGCGGACAAGTCAGAACACAAGGGAGGACAAGCAGACGAAGGAGAGGCAGACGAAGCAGCGCTTAAAAGGCGGAAACAAGCCGAACGTCTGGCCCGTGCCAAGATCTGGCTCCAATCTCGTTCTTCTCAACCTTCAATTGCTTCACAGTCCTCATGAAATCACACCTCGAAGCAAACAATAATAGTAGAGCGGTGATGCGGACAGAGGCGCGAATGAAGTTAAGGGAATACTATTGAAATACACTGATGTAAGGGGAAAGAGGGTCACTGAGGTGTGATGCGATGCATGTAGACGTCGACGTCCTTTTGTTGTTTCCATTTGGGAGGATGAGAGCTTAGAACATGCCGCCCATGCCGCCCATACCACCCATGCCGCCCATGCCACCGCCCATGCCGCCAGCAGGGCCCTTCTCCTCAGGAGCCTCAACGATGCAGCACTCCGAGGTGGTCAACAACGAGGCGACACCCGAAGCATCCTGGAGCGCCGTCTTGACGACCTTCAAGGGGTCGAGGATACCGGCAGCAATCATGTCCTTGTACTCGCCAACGGCAGCGTCGTAGCCGTAGGTGAACTCGCCGGGCTTCTCGAGCAGACGACCGACGACGACAGAGCCCTCCTCGCCAGCGTTCTCGACGATGGTGCGGGCAGGTCGAGTAAGAGCAGCCTTGAGCATCGACAGACCGAGCTGTTGGTCGAAGTTGGCGGTAGCGACCTCGTTGAGCGATAGCGAAGCCTTGAGGAGCGCAACACCACCGCCGGGGAGCACACCGGCCTCGACGGCGGCGCGGGTAGCGTTGAGAGCGTCGTCGTATCGGTCCTTCTTCTCACCGACCTCGACTTCGGAGGAGCCGCCGACCTTGATGACAGCAACACCGCCAGAAAGCTTGGCGAGACGCTCCTGGAGCTTGGTTCGGTCGTACTCGGAGGTGGAAGGGTCGTTGATGGCAGAGCGGATCTGCTCGCATCGCTGCTGGAGGCGGTCCTTGTCGCCCTCGCCGTTGAGGAAGATGGTGTCCTCCTTGGTGATGGTGACAGCGCCGGTGGTGCCGAGCATCTCGGGGGTAGCACGGTCGAGCTTGGTCTCGAGCTCGTCCGAGAAGACCTGAGCGCCAGTGAGGATGCCGAGATCGCCAAGGATGCTCTTGCGGTTGTCACCGAAGCCGGGAGCCTTGACGGCAGCGACCTGAAGCTGACCACGGAGCTTGTTGAGAATGCAGGCAGCGAGGGCCTCGCCGTCAATGTCCTCGGCAATGATGAGCAGAGGACGACGGGCCTGAGCCGCGGCCTCGAGCGAGGGAAGGATGTCCTGGAGAGCCGAGATCTTCTTCTCGGAGAGAAGGATGAGGGGCTTCTCGAACTCGACCTTGGCGGTCTTGACGTCGGTGATGAAGTAGGGCGAGATGTAGCCGCGGTCGAAGCGCATGCCCTCGGTGATCTCGATCTCGTCCTCGAGGGTCTTGCCCTCCTTGACAGTGATGACGCCCTCCTTACCGACCTTCTCCATGGCGGTGGCAATGAGCTGACCGACGTGCTTGTCGCCGTTGGCCGAGATGGTGGCGACCTGAGCGATCTCAGCCGAGGTGGTTACGGCACGCTTGTTGGTCTCGAGGAACTTGATGACAGCGTCCACACCGGCCTGAACACCACGTCGGAGGTCCATAGGGTTGCAGCCGGCAGCGACGTTCTTGACACCCTCGGCGTAGATGGCACGGGCGAGGACGGTGGCAGTGGTGGTACCGTCACCGGCAACCTCGTTGGTCTTGTTGGCAACGTCCTGGACGAGACGAGCGCCGAGGTTCTCGAACTTGTCCTTGAGGGTGATGGACTTGGCTACGGTGACACCGTCCTTGGTGATCTTGGGACCACCGAAGGGCTGCTCGATAATGACGTTACGGCCCTTGGGGCCGAGGGTGACCGAGACAGCATTGGCGAGGAGGTTGACACCGTTGAGCATGGCGGCGCGACCATCGTTGCTGAACTTGACCTCCTTGTGTGCGTTCTTGACGAGAGATGTGGAGAAGCTGCGGCCCTGAGCGGAAGCGGCCTTGCGGGCCGGGGTAGCGGCGTTGCGGAGAAGAGACATGGCGGGCAAGACTGTGAGGGTGGGTGTATGACGGTCGAAAGTGATCCTCCTTGGCAGTGATTATCGACGACAGCGAAGAGTCGAAGATGAAGGACGAAGGAAAAGAGGGTTGTGAGGATACGGATGAGGGTGAGGAAAGGGAAGGATCGAGATTGAAGCTGAGCGGGGTGAGCAACTCTATCCACTCCAGAAGATCTGGGTTGCTCTGTGGCTGGCCTTGGAAGAATTGACTTTTTGCCCTCTTCTAGCCGGTGCTCGCTGCTTCCGAAGTGATGGACTTTCTTCCACTCAGCCAACGCTCTCTCTCTCTCTCTCTCTCTCTCTTTCTCTCGGAAAGGGCCGCGCTCTCACCCCGATGAGGGTCAGCTCAACTCTTGACAGAGCGCAGCACAAGGGGTGATCCTCGTCCTCTGCTCTCCCGATTGGCACAATTTTGAATTTTGAGAAGAGAAGAAGAAAGCGTTTTCGGGTTTGTTCCTCAAGCTTCTCCTTGCTTTTTCGCCGGCCTTTCACCGAGAGAAGGATTACTCAATTTGACTGGGTGCTGAGCCACAGAAATTTCCACGGTTTGGCCCGATCTGAGCCTTCTCCGCAAAAGCTACAGCGGCGGGCTTAGCGGACAGCGTGTTGCTGTTGCACCCTTGAGACCAACTTCTTCTAGCTCTCGAAGCTTCCAGACTGGCGATGCAGATGCTGTCCCACCCCAACGCATCATGGACAGCACCTTAGCCTTATTCTCTGCAAATCCATACTGGCTCCGCGAGCAACATAGACCTCAGTTGTTCCCGCGAGTCGTGCGTAGCCATCAGAGAGGTGAAGCTGTCTTGCGAGGACGGCGGCGAGTACTTTCCGGGTTCCGAGCTTGTTTTTTGAGCCGAGTGAGCCAGCCCAATACGGTGTGTCGCTTTCTTCTGGATCCAAGCCAGATCACCCTCACCATCTTCTCACTTCGTCACCCATTCTCCTCGATCCCTCGTCAATACCAGCTTTCACAATGGTACGTAGTCTGATCAATAGCGGCGCGCCTAGCGCCGTCCTCGCTTTCGTATGGCCGGGGAGCAGAGACCTCGCTAAATGGCAATGCCTTCAGAATGATAGCTCTGACTCACTTCTCTTCCGATTCCACACCAACCCGTCTCGTCGCATCATCCGACACACTCCTACGCTGCGTCTACATCGGCTCGTATTACTCATTCTCTGGTACAATAGGCCACCCAGTCTACCATTCGCTCCATCAAGTCGGTCGTCCCGCTGCTCGACCGCGTCCTTGTCCAGCGCTTCAAGCCCGAGACCAAGACCTCGTCCGGTCTTTTCATTCCCTCGTCTGCCGCCTCGTCGCCCCTTCCTGAGGCCAGCGTCATCGCCACTGGCCCCGGTGCTCCTGACAAGGACGGCAAGGTGGTCCCCACTTCGGTCAAGTCCGGTGACAAGGTGCTCCTTCCTAGCTGGGGCGGCAACTCGATCAAGGTGGGCGAGGACGAGTACCTGCTCATCCGTGACTCTGAGATCCTTGCCAAGATCACCGAGTAGACGCACGACCCGACACGGCGACGTTTCTTCAAAAAGCACATCGGCTCCTCCGCGAGCCTCCTTGTAACATCAGCATCAGACTTCATTCTCACGCCATTCCCGCTCATTAGAAGAGCAACAACGGCTGGATCCGAAATCACATTTCCCATTCACAGCATTTCACTCCACTCAACACCTGCTATTGGATCGGCCTGTGATGTCTCTATTCGCCAGTTCTGCAGACGTTTCTCGAAAGCATCGTCACAATCACTCTGAGTCATTGCCACCTGACTCCAGTGCAGACCTCGCAGCAGCCGACCCCTTGACTGGGCTTGACCCTGGCACGCCGATCAAGTGCCTACTCACAGCAGCGAGCCCTCCATATGCACCTGTCTCGAGTCCACCCACTACGCCTACGAACGAGCCTCGTTTGTTCGGCGCTGGCATCGCCGGTCTTTTCTGCTTTTCTGCCCCCTTCTCTTTCTCCTTGCCGGCTTCTTCTGTGTCCGCCTTTGTTTCTGCTTCGCCTTGAATCGGCTTGGTGGCCTCATCGTAAGCTTCGCGCGATACTGCATTGAGAGCGTTCGTCTTCAGCGCGCCTGCCAACGAGGCGCCCATCCACGGCAGGAGATTCGCCGCGAATGCTGGCGCTGTTCCTCCCTCGCTGCCCTTCTTGCCTCTGCTACTGCTCTGCGATAGGTCAGGCCACGGGTCGTTCAGCACAGCCACCGAGCTGTGTAGGCCTTTTCCTTCTGCCCTGTCCGTCTCTTCACCTTTGAGGTCCGCCTTGAGTCGTCGCGCGTGTCTCTCGATCGACAGCTGTCCACCTGGTCGTTCAGCCTGCTCGATCGCTAGTACGAATTGTGTTCGGAATCGATTCGCAAAGCCAGGAAGCATGGCTGTGCCTCCTGACACCAACACGTTCTCGCACATGGTACGACGCAGATCGATCGGCAGCTTCGATATGGCTGTCACTGTCATCTCGACCAGTCCGGGATCGTCGGCGTCGCCTTTCTCAAAGAGAAGCTCGGCTGCTCGCTCGCGCACCCATCCAGGTATCGCAATGACGCCCGAGACCTGGCCCTTGGTAGATGCCGCTGTTGCCGTCAGGCTAGAGCTCGATGCGGTGCTTGGAGCCGCGATGCTCTGTATGAGTGAGGCCGTGCCGTTCGGATCAACAGAGTCCGGCGATACCGCGAAAGTAAAGGGTGTTGCGGTCGATGAAGACGAGTATCTCTTACGAATCTCGGCGGCCGAGCCTTCTTGAATCCTGATTGACTCGGCTGGCGAGTCCATTGACTCGAGTTCCAGATCGGCGAACAAGTCCTCGAGTCCGTCGACGACCTCTTTGTTCGAGCGGACGAACAGCGCCTTGGCCTTGATCTGCTCGACTCGATCATCTGTAAGCAGCGCTGGATCGATCGGATGCGTTCGCTCTCGAAGTGGTTTCGCAGAGTCTTGCAGGCTGTTCTGCGCAGCCACGAATTTACCGTATCGCAACAGCAGAAGCCGCAGCCTCGCATTCAGCCGTTTGCCAGCTCGTGTGCTCGAGACACTGTAGCTCTCCAATGGTCTTCCGTAGTAGACTGGCGTTAGAGTGGACTCCAAGAAGCCGACTTCGAGGACGAGCCCCGTGATCCTACCCACCGCCAACAGGCTGAGCAATGGCGCCGGGACGAACGACACCGATGGCACCTGCAGATTGTTGAAGAGCACCTTGAGCAGCATCTCTTTGACCGCGTTCGGCAGCATTGGATTCTCAACGACGAGGACCTTTCTCTGCTTGGGATCGACCATGAGGTGCTGAGTGAAAGCATTGCGTAGCAGCTGGGTCAGCTGGGCGAGCAAAAGCGCCCGCTTGCCTCGACGGAGCTGATCGTCGGCACATCGCTCAAAGTCCAGGTCCCACAGCGTCTCTTCGCTGATGTATGGCTCCAGTGAGGGCGACGAGGTGTCGAGACGGAGATACGATGTCGATGGCTGAGAGAAGCTGACCGAGGGGACGATGGCTCGAGGTCGAGGCTCGCCGCTAAACCCCAACTTCGAGTATCGACTGCCAATGTCGAGCACCACTCTGTCCTCTGTGCCGAACAGAGAATGGCGACGGGTCGCGCCTGAGTATGCTGAGTACGCTTGAGAGCTTGATGTGGCGGTTGCCGACCTTGATGAAGAGGACGTTGGGTGTGCTGACGAAGACGACCGGCTCGGCGCTGATCCTGACGGCTGCTGGAAGGAGACCTTGCGAGTCTCTGTCGCTGAGCTGCTGGCATTGGACCTTGACGATGCGCTGGCGGCAGCGTCTCGGTGCTGTGCGCTTGTGGCCATTGTGTCAGCGCATGGTATGATGAGAGTAGCGAGCAAGAACAGAACTTTGTTGAATTCAGGGTTCACGAGAGACCAACACTTTCCTGTCCTGCACGGCAAACTTCGAGGTTCTCGCGTGTCGAAATCGAGGAAACGACGCAAGTTGGCGGGACGCTTTCAAGAAGGAAGCGCGGTGGCCTGTGCTAAAAAAGCTGCTGCGCCTCCACCTCTTCAGCTAATGAGCTCGATCCTGCCCCACCATCTGCTCAGTTCAAAGAACGACGCTCACCTTCTGCGCATAGCATTGACAGTTCGCAGTCCATCGCAGACAGCTTCGATACGCTGATAGCTCCATCAAGATGTCGAGCATAGGCGTGGACCCGCTCCAAGCAACAGACTCGAGCATCACCAGCCAACGACCTTCCGCACACACACAACGATACGATAGACAGTTGCGACTGTGGGCTTCTTCGGGGCAGTCGTCACTCGAGAAGTCCCGACTTCTTGTCGTCGGAGCCTCGGCGCTCTCAGCACAGATTCTCAAGAACCTGGTGCTGCCAGGCATCGGCTGCTTCGTTCTGCTCGACGATGCGATCGTCAACGGCGCCGACCTCGGCGTCAACTTCTTCCTGCAGCCCGGCGAGAGCGAGGGAAAGTATGCAGCCGAAGAGATGTGCCGTCTTCTTACAGAGATGAACACCAGCGTCGCCTCGGAGGCAAAGCTTGCGAATCCTGCGTCTCTCCTGCACTCAGATCCCAGCTTCTTTGCTGGCTTCACTTTGGTCATCTCTGTCAATCAGTCAATATCCTTCGACCTGGCTCTCTCGGACGCCTTGTGGTCGCTGCAGCCACCATCGCCGCAAGTGCCACTGCTCCGAGTCCGCACTGCCGGCATGCTGGCAGAGATGCAGATCAGCTTGGAGGAGCTTGGCATCATCGAGACACATCCGGACAGCGTGGTCGACCTCAGAATCACAAGACCATTCCCAGAACTGCTCGATCTCGCCCAGCAATTCGACCTCAACACAAGCGATACCATGGAGCATAGCCACATCCCCTTCCCTGTCATCCTCATCAAGAAGCTGGTCGAGTGGCAGACCGCCAACGAGGGGAAGCTGCCCACATCCGCCAACCGCGATGCCTTTGTCAAGCAAATCAACGCATCGCGGCTCGCTGGCAACCCTGACGCAGAGAACTTTGACGAGGCGGTCTCTGCACTCGGCAAGCATCTCTGGCGACCGCTCGCATCGAATGGAGTTGGCGGCGGGGGCGTGCCAGACGAGGTGCAAGCCATGTTCAAAGACGATGCGTGCACCAATGTCACTGCATCGTCGACCAACTTCTGGATCCTGGTGCGAGCACTACGCGAGTTCGTGGCAGCTTCACCGACGCAATCGCTGCCGCTGTCCGGCTCGATACCCGATATGAAGGCGACCTCGTCCGGCTATATCAAGTTGCAAAACACGTATAGGACCAAGTCGCTGCAGGACTTGGCGCAGTTCAAAGAGCTCGTAGGACAGACTTGCAAGTCGGCCGGTGTTGAGGGTAACATCGCTGATGACGAGATCGAGGCGTTCGTCAAGCACGCCGCATACCTCAAGTTGATCAGGGGTCGCAGCCAGAGGCAGAGATACGAGGCTCCGAATCAAGAAGTCGCGATGTTCGCCTTCATGGATCCAGTCAACCCTTCCACATTCCAACATCACATCGCTCTGGCAGCAGCAGATCAGTTCCTGGAGCAGCACGGCCGATACGCGGGCGTCTCACATCCTTCGTCTGCATCAACGACGAGCTCGATCTCCCCAAAGTCGTACTTCACCAACGGCATCGACCTCGAAGCATCGTCCGATGGCGAGCGAGCCGCGAAAAGGCAAAAGTCGGTCACACCCACCGGCGACGCCGAGTTTAGTGTCAAGGATGTCAAGATGCACGATGTTACTGCGGGCCAGGACACCTCGAAGGACGAGTCAGTGTTGCTGGACATCGCAAAGAAGCTCGCTACCAGCAAATATGGCATTGAAGAAGAGGGGGACGAATGGGACAAGATCGAGCACAGCGTGCAGGAACTCGTGCGGTCAGGCGACGCAAGCTTGCCTCCCACGACTGCATTGATGGGCGGCGTGGTGGCACAGGAAGCGATCAAGCTGATTACCAAACAGTATGTCCCAGCGGACAACACTGTCGTCTACGACGGCATTCAGCAGGCGATTGGTGTCTTCAAGCTCTGACGGGTGATATGCAGTGCAAGACGGTTCTCCATTGAGCCATGGCACCGTCTGAACGGGTTGCGTGATGTCACTTGTCGACAGCCGAAGCCTTCTCGAGATTTTGAAGTTTGTTAGACCGACGATTACCCCTTTTGCTCACGTGACTCGAATAAACAAGATTGAAATTAGCTGAGCCGCGCGTTTGACTGCGGTGTGCTGTTGCTAAACTTTCAGTTCAGCCGAGCCAGCGACCTGCAGCAAACAGCGCGTGTCGGTGTTGGTCTCTCGCGGAGAGAGCAGCTGAGGGCCTCAAGAGCAGAGTCACAGTCGCGCGCTCGAAAAAGTCGAGATCAACACTCTGTTGGCTCAGCCGACTCTCGTCACGACCTTGCATCTCTTGCAACCATCGTCCCGTCAGACTTCGATCCAACGCGCCACCAAGGCATCGACAAGAGGCCATGACCTCAACCGCTTGAACAGGACAGTCAAACAACTAGCATCATTCACCGTCGGGCGCCTAAACCCACACAAAGACGGCCAACATTGGCTACAAAGCAATTACGGCGTAACGGCACAGCTCCCGTGATCACCACAACTACCTCGCTACATTAGCGTGGTCCAATTGCTCCCGTACATCACCGTCTTTCTACGAAAAGTGACATCAGAAAGCGGCAAAGATGCGCATCGAGGAACTCATCATCGACGGCTTCAAGTCGTACCCCGTGCGCACGCACGTCTCCGGCTTCGATGCGTCCTTCAATGCCATCACCGGTCTCAATGGGTCCGGCAAATCCAACATTCTTGACTCGATCTGCTTCGTGCTCGGTATCACCAATCTCACAGCCGTCCGTGCCAGCAACCTCCAAGATCTCATCTACAAGCGTGGTCAGGCAGGTATCACCAAGGCCTCGGTCACCATCGTCTTTGACAATACCGATCGCAGCAAGTCGCCCGTCTCGTTCGAGAACTGCCCCCAGATCACCGTCACGCGTCAGATCGCAATGGGCGGTCTCAGCAAGTACCTCATCAATGGTCACAAAGCGACGCAACAGGCGGTGCAGAATATGTTCCAGAGTGTGCAGCTCAACATCAACAACCCCAACTTCCTCATCATGCAGGGAAAGATCACAAAGGTGCTCAACATGAAGCCAGCAGAAATCCTCTCCATGATCGAGGAGGCAGCAGGCACGCGCATGTTCGAGGATCGCAAGGACAAGGCCATCAAGACCATGTCCAAGAAGGACCAAAAGGTCAAGGAGATCACAGCACTGCTCGAGGAGGAAATCACACCCAAGCTCGACAAGCTCAGGGAGGAGAAGCGCTCGTTCCTCGAGTATCAGAAAGCCAGCACGGAGCTTGATCGTCTCACACGTCTCGCCAAAGCGTACGAATGGCAGCAGAACTGCGCTCGGTACGAAGAGAAGAAGGCGCTCGTCGATCAAAAGTCGCAAGACGTACAAGACCGCGAGGACGAGGCCAAGGCGCTCAAGCGACAGATCGAGAGCATCGACAAGGAGCTCGCTCAAATCGAGAAGAAGAAGGAGGCTGAGATGACCAAGGGCGGCAAACTTCAGGCGCTCGTCAACCAGAGCAAAGAGCTCCAGCACGACCTCGTCAAGCGCAAGACCAATGTCGACCTCAAGATCGGCTCTGTAGAGGAGGAGCGCAAGAAGCTGCAGGCAGATCAAGCTTCGCTCGAGGCACTGCACGAATCGATCAAGGAAAAGGAGGAACAACTCATTGACGTGTCGAGCTCGTTCTCCAAGCTTAAAGCCGACTACGACGGCGCAGTGGCTGATGTCAACAAGCAAGACGAGCTCTTGCAGACCTTGCTCACCGGTATGGCTTCGTCCTCCAAGTCCAAGGGGGGCGAGAGCTCTGCTGGTGGCTACATGGGGCAGATCGCCACCGCACGGGCCGAAGAAACTGCCGCCAGCACCGAGATCGAGCAGTCCAAGCTGCGCATCGGCCATCTCGAGAAGGAAGTCAAGCAGAAGGAGCCACTCGCCAAGAAGGCGCAGAAGGACGCTGCCGGTCTCATGAACGAGCTCGAGACGTCTCGCTCCGCGGTACAACAGCTCGAGGCACACATGCAGAAGCTCGGCTGGGATGACGAAAAGGAAAAGTCGATGCTTCAGTCCAAAGCCGAGTGGAGCCGCCGCGTTGCGGATCTGCTCGAACGCAAGGAGGGACTCAGCTCCAAGCTGGCCGGCATGGACTTCCGATACACGGATCCCGAGCCCAACTTTGACCGATCGCGCGTCAAGGGTCTGGTCGCGTCGCTCATCCAGCTCGACCAGGACAAGCACAAGTACTCGACGGCGCTCGAGATTTGCGCTGGTGGGCGACTCTACAACGTCGTGGTCGAGGATGAGAAGGTGGGCTCCAGCCTCTTGAAGAACGGTGGTCTCAGGAAGCGTGTCACCCTGATCCCGCTAAACAAGATCAGCGCCTTTGTTGCAAGTGCTGAGAAGGTGGGCGCAGCGCAAAAGCTGGCACCGGGCAAGGTCGACCTCGCCTTGACGCTGGTGGGCTACGACGACGACGTGAGCAAGGCCATGGAGTATGTCTTTGGCAACACGCTCATCTGCGCCGACGCAGCTACGGCCAGACGTGTCACCTTCGACAATGCCGTGCGCATGAAGTCGGTGACCCTCGATGGCGACGTCTACGATCCTACAGGAACACTGTCGGGTGGCTCCAAGCCCAACTCGGGCAACGTGCTGGTCAAGATGCAGGATCTCATCAAGATCGACAGGGCGCTCAAGGAGGCCAAGCTCGAGCTCGGTAAAGTTGAATCAGAGATCCAGTCGTCCAAGGCACAGATCGCATCATTCACCAAGGCCAAGCGTGACCTCGACCTCAAACGCCATCAAGTAACATTGCTCGAGTCGCAGATCAGTGGCTCGAATGCAACGCGCATCATCGGCGAAGTTGAGAAGGCGAAAGCCTCGATTGTCGAGCTCAAGGAGGCTATCGACGCAGCCAAGCAGCGCCAACAAACCGCGGGCAAGGAGGCCAAGCGACTCGAAAAGGAGATGGAAGAATTCGACAAGAACAAGGACTCGAAGCTCGACCAGCTCAAAGCCGAGATCAAGCGCAAGAAGGCCGAAGTGCAGAAGCGAAGCGGTGACATCAAGGCGCGCCAGGGCGAGGTGCGGACCTTGGAGCTCGAGCTCGAGCAGACGCGTGCCGAGATCACCACCTGCGAAAAGACGATCCGCGACGGCGAACGTGCTATCAAGAAGGTCGAAGCTGAGCTCGCCGACATGCAAGCCAAGCTCGAGGAGCTACAAGCCGATGTAGACAAGGTCGAGGCGAAGTTGACCCAGGAGCGCGCGACGCTGTCTGGATACGACGACGAGCTGGCGGCGCTGCGAAGTGCGCTCAAGTCCAAGAAGCAAGAGATCGCCGACGGCGCTCTGGCGGTCAAGCAGCTCACGCACGACCACGAGAAGCTGACGGGCGAAGTCGCCGGCTACGCCAAGCTGATCCAGCAGCTCGAGAACCAGTTCGAGTGGATCCAGTCCGAACAGCGTTTCTTCGGCCAAGCCGGATCCGTGTACGACTTTGGCAAGCACAACATGACCGAGGTGCGCAAGCGATGCAAGAAGCTCGAGGAGACGCAGCAGGGGATGCGCAAGAAAGTGAACCCCAAGGTGCTCTCGATGATCGAGGGTGTCGAGAAGAAGGAGTCGACGCTCAAGACGATGCTCTCCACCGTGCTCAAGGACAAGGACAAGATCGAGGACACCATCACCGAGCTCGACCGGTACAAGCGCGACGCGCTTCAGAACACCTGGGAGAAGGTCAATGCCGACTTTGGCTCCATCTTTGGCGAGCTTCTGCCGGGCAACTATGCCAAGCTGCAGCCGCCCGAGAACCAGGATCTGACGCAGGGGCTCGAGGTCAAGGTTCGTCTGGGCACGGTGTGGAAGCAAAGTCTCACCGAGCTTTCGGGTGGTCAGAGGAGTCTGATCGCCCTGTCACTCATCATGAGTCTGCTGCAGTTCAAGCCTGCGCCCATGTACATCTTGGACGAGATCGATGCGGCGCTGGATTTGAGCCACACACAGCACATCGGTCAGCTGTTCAGGAATCGGTTCCGGGGCAGTCAGTTCATTGTTGTCTCGCTCAAGGAGGGCTTGTTTACGAACGCCAACGTGCTCTTCAAGGCGAGGTTCAGGGATGGAACCAGTCTGGTGGAGAGGACGGTCAACGCGAACAGGACGACGGCGAGCGATGAGGCGGACAAGGAGAATGTTGCCCTGCAGGGCGGAGCAGCGGCGAGCAGGAAGAAGGGTAACAAGGGAGCGGCAGCAGCGGCCAACGGAAGGATGATTGCTGCTTGAGAAAGGCAGAGGCTTCTCGTAGCTGCTAGAAGGATCCGTCACCCCTGGCTCGATCTGATGCGAATGTCATGTATTTCTATCTGTGTCTGTATCTAACCTCAGCAGCATCGTCGTGCGAAAGTCCGTGACCGAAGCCGTAGCTCCGTACGAACGGGATGATGATCCGAGAGGACAGCCTCCATCGCAGCCACGATCTCACACAGTTGGCGAAAATCCGAACTCTCGGATTAAGCTTCGGATTTTAGGCGTGTCTGTCCAAAGCGCGGCTATCCCCGTTGCTGCCCTTCGATGCACGGACAGGAGGATTTCATGCTTCAAAGGCCGCTGTCAACGAACATTGTGCAGCCTTCTTGGCCTTCTCTCGAAGGGCATATAAGCCATCGCTTCCGACTACCATCAATCTTGATGTCCCAATCACAAACGCAATCAGCGACACAAGCACAAGCCAAAACCAGTATAACGCCGTTCGTCGCGCTCATCAGCATCGCAGCTCTCCTCGTGGCCCTGCTCTACACCCGCACCACCACGCTCAACATCGCAAACCCCACCACTGCACCAACGATGAGCGCCGTCCAAGCAGCCAAGCTCTCCGTCACGCCTCGTCGATGGCACGCTCGCGGTCACGCAGACCATGGCTGGTTGAAAACCTTCCACACCTTCTCCTTCGCCAACTACTACGATCCCTCGCACATGTCCTTCTCGAACCTCCGTGTCATCAACGAAGACCGCGTCGCGGCCGGAACCGGTTTCGGGACGCACCCTCACCGGGAAGCGGAGATCTTCTCCCTGGTCCTCGACGGTGCGCTCGAGCACAAGGACAGTATGGGCAACACCGAGATCCTCCGTCGGGGCGACGTACAATTCACCTCTGCCGGCACAGGTATCAGGCATAGCGAGAAGAACGGTGGTAAAGGCGAAGTGCATTTCTTGCAAATCTGGTATACTCCCGATGTGAGCGGTTTAGCTCCAAGGTACTATACCACGCATGCGAGCGACGAGAGCAAGAGGGATGCGTGGAAGACCTTGATCAAGCCCATCAGCACGTTTAGTTCCGAAGACCAGAAGAAGACGGGTTTGCTACCAGAGGGGACACCCATTCCGTCCCATTCGACGCTCGTGACGCGAAGCGCCATCGTCAGCCCCGGAAAGGAGGTGACCCACGTTATTGGAGCAGACTCCGCAGCGAAGGAGGGCGACGAGAGGTGGATGTACATCCACCTAGCTCAGCGATCGGGGTACAAGGATCCCGAGTTCAAGGAGATGGGTATCAAGGGAGAGGCGCAGGTGAGTTTTGAGGATGGTAGGGGCAAGGAGTACGTGCTGAAGGAGGGAGATGGTGCGTATGTCAAGGAGGGCAAGGTGGGCGATGGGCTGGTGTTGAAGAATACGGGCGGGAAGGATGCTGAATTGGTGCTCTTCGATCTGCGACCGTCCAAGGGGGACAGCTTTTGGTGAGCGAGGCGACGATCCGGAATGGAATAGAGCAAGCGAACGTCAAACGTGTGCATGTCAGACAGCGTTGGATGTGATCGGTGAAGATGTGATTGCCTGTGATGATCAGATGTAGATGACTGGGTCGACGAGGCGATTGGTGCGCCTCAACCTCGATCGTATAAGTGCTCTCGCTTTGAGCCTTGCCTTGTCTGCCCTCGTAGCGTCCACTTCCACATCACCACCCTTTCCCTTACCCTTCATCTCCCCACTCTTGCCCTTCGACCCGCCATCCACCTTCTCGTCCGCGCCCTTCCTCGCCTGCTCCGCCTCCCACTCCTCCGCCTCCCCCCTCACCCTCGCCTCAAACTCGAACCTCTGTCCCCGACTGAACAGCCCGACCTTCGCATCCCTCACCATCTCCCTCCCCACCAAGATGTACTTGACACTCTCGCCACCGTAACTCTCGTAAAACGCGTCCAGCAATACCTCCTCCATGATCCGCCGCAAACTCCTCGCGCCTCCGCCACCATTTCCCATGGCGCGGTGCACGACTTCCTCGATGGCCCCGCTCGACATGTGCAGCTGGATGCCGTTGAGGGCGAACAGAGAGGTGTATTGGTCGACGAGGCTGTTGCGCGGTTCGGTCATGACGCGGACGAGGTCGTGGAAGGTGAGTGGGTTGAGGACCACGGAGACGGGGAGACGACCGATGAATTCGGGGATCATACCGTACGATTCGAGGTCGGTCGGTTCGAGTCGCGAGAGGAGATCCGTTTGCGACCATTTCGCCTCGGTCTCTGCTTTGGGAGATAGACGGGTGCGGATGACGTCGTCGATGCCGACAAATGCGCCGGAGAGGACAAAGAGGATGGAGGACGTGTCGACGTTGAATGTGGCCGGTTGTTCGCCTTGCTGCGTAGCGCGTTTGCGATGCGCATACCACGCACCCAACTCGCCTCCTTCGGGAGACTGCTGCGCTTGAGCCTGCGTGGAGCCTTTGGCTGCTTTGTTGCTGGCACCCGCCTTGTTGGGAACGCCCACCACCGTCCCTTCCAACAACCGCAGTAGCGCCTGCTGCACACCCTCACCACCCACATCCTTCCCCGCCCCTCCCTTGCCCGTCTTTTTGAGCTTATCAATCTCGTCGATGCACACGATCCCCCGTTGAGCACGAGCGACATCCCAATTGGACTCGACGAGCAGCCGATGGATGATGCTCTCCACATCGTCGCCTACGTACCCCGCCATGGTGAGGGGTGTCGCGTCGACATGGACGAACGGCACGTCGAGTGCCTGGGCGAGCGTGCGCAGCAGAAGGGTTTTACCGGACCCGGACGGGCCCAGGAGAAGGATGTTGGACTTTTCAAAAAAGGGCAGATTCCCCGGGTTGCTAGCGAGGATACCTCCCTCTCCCGCTGGCAAGGGTGCTGACTGCGGTGGGGAGGGAAACGGATGGACCGCGGAAGTGTGTCGCTCGACATCGGCTTTGGCACGCTCCTCAGTCGCTGGCGTCGTCCACTTCAACTCCTCCCCCTCGCTCTGCTTCGGCTGCGTCCCCTGGTTCGACGAGAAGTAGGATACCTCGTCCGGATCGACGCCGAACACGCCGATGCGCGCCGTCTCGGCAGACCATTTGGCCGTCTCGGCCTGTTCGGCTGGCGTCTTGGCCGATACGCGTCGTGGTTTGTCCCCAAACTTGATCTCGGGGGCGTTGAGGAGCCACTCGCGCTCGCTGCGACCAAACATCAGCGAGCGTGTCGCTTCGCCGTGCGGATCTCGCGCACGTTCCGCACTGCGTTCTGTGGAGATGACGTGCGAGCGTTGGGTTGCCTCTGCGTCTGCCGGGCTGGAGGGGGTGTACTTGCCCAGTCGTAGTTTCCTCCCTTCCTCACCTGGCGAGCTCGCTGACGATTCGAAGGGGGAGGAAGAGGAAGGGGAGGGAGGTGAAGATTCGGTTTCGGCCTCCTCTTTCACCCGCTCGTTGGACGCCACGCGCAAGTAGTGGTTCCACACCCCCACAGCGAGCACTTTTTTCGCCCGAGTCTGGCCAACAACGTACGAGTCAAGGTATTTCACCAGCGACCGTGGAGAGATGGAGGGTAAAGAGGTGAGCGTTTGGGTTGCCGAGGAGGGCGTGTGGTACGAGCCCTGAGTGGAGTTGGTGCTGTGGTGGCGATAAGAGGGGCGGTGTGGTGGTCGAGAAGCTGTGAGATGGGTGAGGTTGAGTGTTGGGGAGAGCCGTGATGAGCGTGCTGCTGTGGATAGCGTTCGTGGGCAAGGTGCGAGGCGAGTTGTGATGCTGATTTGTGCAAGGACCGATGAGCTAGGGCCGGACCTTTGCGTAGCGGGGACAGCAAGGTGAACCCTGAGGCCGCCAACGGCTCGTATCCTCGGCAGCATGATTCTTGGCTCTATGCTTTGTGGTGAGGTGGTAGAACGAGCCCTCCTTGCATGAGCGAACCTTACTCGAGCTCGCCTGATCGTGGATTGCCGGTCGTCAAAAGCGAGGCGCTAATCCGTATCACGCCGCTAATGTCTTCAATGCCGATCTCTGGTGATGACAGCTGTGGAACGTCCAGTCCTTTTGTGTGAAAGCGCTTGCTTGTGGTGAGATGACTGACGAGTGTTCTCAAGCAACGAAGATGTGCAAGGCAAGCGTGACTCGTATTGAAAACGCGGGGTCCATCAGCCCGAGAAGCCGGAAATTCACCGCACCCTCACAGCTTGGCTCGACCGCGCGACCCCGCATCGGCTTTCAAACCGGACCCTTCCTCCTCAACTCACACACTCACACCGTTCAACATACCAAAAAGATCATTTTGCTTATCCTCGTCTTCTTCAACGACACTACAACTTCAACTCCTGCAGGATGCGCTTGGCCAGCATCTGATACTGCCACGGGTTGCCACCGACCCTTCTGAACTGCAGCCCATTGACGCCGAGCAGCAGGGGTACCTTGACGACAAATATCTCGAAGCGAACAGCGAGCTCGGTGGCGTTGGCTGCGTTCATGGTCTTTGCCCCCGCCGCTCCTACCTGAGCAGAACCTTCGATGGTGTCGAGCATGAGGTTGGAATCGCGCGATCCCGAGGGCGGAAGGTGGGAACCGGCGCCCACCGAATCGGCCCCTTGACGCGGCGAGGTGAGCAGCGACGGTTTGGACGATGTGCTCTCCCCACCGGCCTGGGCGGCGTTTGCCAACGCAACATTGCTCGTGAGGGAGGGTGTGCGACTTCGAACCGTACCAGCGGGGACGGCGCCGATGTTGTCCGTCACAGACCCGTCTCTGCGACCCGTGCCAGCACGATCCTTGCTCTTGCCAGCCACGAAAGACAACCGACTCGGCTTGCGTTTTGGCTGTCGACCGTCTTCCGAAGTGGGCGATTGACCCGATGCCTCCGCCTCCGCAGCGGCAGCAGCAGCCATCGCCTCGAGCGGAATGCGCGCGTTGCCGCGACCCATCGAGTCCGACCCTGAGAAGTCGAGGCTCGGCAGATGGACGCATTCGTATCCACCCCGGATCTCGCGGTACTGCACGCCGATGCGGTCCAGCACCTTAACGAGCGATGCATGGATCACCGTTCGCGGTTTCGTCGAGGTCGTCTGAACGCTGAAGAGGCCTTTGAGGAAGATGGGTTTGGAACCGTTCTCGCTGGCGCCGTTCTGCGATCCTCCTCCGGGGGACATGGCACCCCCGAAGCGACGTCGCATGGTGAGAGCGGGGAGCACCTCGGCCTGTCCTGGCGTCGTGGGACCGACCCAGCCGCCGCTCGGGTTGCTCGGACTCACCTGCTGCTCCAGCGCGGGCTGCTCACCTTGCCCGCCAGCAGCCTCGTCTTCGAACATCTTGTCGAGCGGGGCGCTGGTCGACATGGACATGCCCCTGTTCCCACGAGCGGTCCCGGACGACTTGGGTGACATCGACAGCCCCGCAGCTCGTCCGACCGACACGGCACCCAAAGAGACTTCCCGCGTATGTCGAGCACCAGCTCGAGAAGGAGGCATGTCGCCCAACGTGCCCGATCGACGCACCTTGGTGCCGTTGTTGAGCGGAACGTCGTCGTCCTGCACCGCCAGGCTCTCCTCTGCCGTCTCGTCGTAATCGTACGCATCGCCTTCCGGTCCGTTGTCAGCTTCCTCCACGCCGCTGAGAGCGTTGTGCGCGCTGGCTCGTCGCTGCGGCTGAGGCTGAAGACCGCCGAAGGGCATGCTCATGCGGCTCTGCTTCTTGCGCTCCTTGACATCAGCGTCGAGCGGCGACGATGGAGAGCGGCTCATGAGCATGCTGAAGCGACGGGCGAGCGTCGCACCATAGCCCAGCGTCGAGCTCGTGTTGGCGGCAGCGGGAGTTTCGGCCACGTCGGCATTGGCTGCGGATGATGAGGGCATGTACGAGGCTCGCTTGTCGGCGCGCGACGGGTTGATCATCGACATCCGCTTGTTCTCGACGCTAGCCGCGCCTGAGGCAGCGCTCTCAGCTGTGCGACCCGCTCCCGGTCGACGAGCGGTGAGACTGACACTCCTCTTGTGGTCGTTGGCAATCGCCATGCTCGTGTCGGGGGTCATCATCGAGTGGCGGTTGTTCTGAGCCGCGAAAGGCTCAGCCGCAGGTGCCATGGCGAACGAGGAACGCTTTCCAATGGTGCTCGCCGTGGGTGCTTGCGCGACACCGCTGATGCTGGGAGCAAAGGCAGCTTCGTTGGGCGAAGGCAGGCCCTTCTCGCGCAAAGCAGCTTCCATCTCCTCTGCGTTGGCTCGGGCTCGCGGCGGTCCGGCCATGATTCCCGTCGGTCTGGACTTCTCCCGCGACTCGAAGACGGGCGTCGGCGATGAGGGGACGGGCATCATCGATGCTGCCGGGCGAGGCGGCGCAGGAGCGACGAGGGCTGGGTCCTGACGATCGTAGGCTCGGTGGGAGACGTGCGGTGCCTCGGGCACGCGAAGCGCTTCCTGCGGAATGTCGGCGGCGGTGGGCATCGCACCAGCCATGGCTGCGCGAGAGCCCGTGTCCACGCCAGCACGCACACCGGCTGGCGGGGCAGGAGGACCATTGAGCGACAGATTGGACGAGGCAAAGAACGAGTGGCCGTAGAGACGCTCTCGCTCCATCTTTTCCTTGACGAGGAAGTAGATCGAGATGAGCGGGTGGAAACCGCGTGTCGGGTCCAGTGGCTCCTTGCCAAACGGCATCAGACCCGTCCCTGCACCCAGACCGTTGGAGCTTCCGTTGGCCGAGTTCAGCGACGAATCGTCCTTGCTTCCGAATGCAGCTGCCAGAGGGTTGCTGGTGAGCTTCTTTTTGTAGAAATCGATGCCAGAGAAGCGTTTGGATGCCGTCTTGGACTTGACCGTGTCTGTGCCTGTGATGCTACCACGAGTCGAGAGCCTGTTGAGGCCGGACGAATCGACGGACGAGCCACTGTGACCAGCTGCACTGAGACCGTGGAAGGTGGCGGGCAGGTTCTTGATCTCCCAGTGGTATAGCGAAGTCTGGTAGGGCTCGCTGGTGAGCACCTCCATGAGCTTGGCAGTGATTGCCTCCGGTGTGCCGAATTCGAAGCCGGTCATGCCCTTGATGACTTCCGGATCGATGTTGTTGGGTCGAAGCGGCGTGCGATCCGGCAAGTGCGGGTCAGGAGCACCCTCGTAGCCTTTGACCATCCAGGGGTGGGCCAATATCTCAGCGAGAGTGGCACGGTTGGCCGGGTTGGTGACAAGCATGCGTGATAGAATGTGCTTGCACTCGCCGCTGAGCCATGCTGGGTACTCGACCTGTCCGCGTTTGATCTTTGCGTGCAGAGCGGGCATGCTCTGATCATCGAAGGGCACCTTACCACACACGAGGACGTAGAGCACGATACCAAAGGACCAGACATCGACCTCGGGACCCGTGTAGACTTTGGCGTTGAGCAGCTCGGGTGCAGCAAAGTAGAGCGAGCCGCAGAAGGTGGAAAGATGCGAGTGAGGCGAGAAGAGGTTGCTGAGACCAAAGTCGATGATCTTGATGTTTCCAGTCTTGGAGATGAGGATGTTTTCGATCTTGAGGTCGCGATGAACGATACTGTTACGATGACAGTATTCGAGAGCGCTACCGATCTGTCGGGCGAACTTTCGTGCACTTCGTTCCCGGAGGCGGCCGTGGCTGATGATGTAGTCGAGCATCTGACCGCCGTTGACGTACTCAAAGACCATATAGTAGTGATTGGTGTGGATGATCATCTCGCGCATGCCGCAGACGTACGGGTGATGAAGCAGGATCTGCAGAGAGCCTTCTCGGATGGTGCGGATCTCTTTGGACTGGTCCTTGGCGGCTGCTTTGGCCAGGAAGGAGGCGGTCGGAGTGGGCTGTGGCGGCTGCGGCTTTCCATTCTCGTCCACATTGCTGCGCGAGTGAGCAGCGGCCATGGAAGTGTGACGAGGAATGATCTTGATGGCCACCTTCTCGCCGTTGCCCATCTTGACACCGAGCTTGACCTTGCCCATGCTTCCAGCACCAAGCGTCTTGCCGAGCGCGTAGTCACCGAGCATACGGCGACTGCGTCGTTCGCGATCGCGGTCCCTGTCGCTACGCTCTTTTTCCTTGTCTCGTTCGCGTTCACGCTCCTTCTCTCTGAGCCTGTCCCGCTCTCGTTGACGGTCATGCTCTCTCTCGCGTTCCTGATCACGAAGGATTTGCTGCTGCTGCTTCTGTTGTTGCTGGTGCTGTTCAAGTTGTTGTTCCCTCGCAGCACGAAGTTGCAGTTGCTGCTGCGATGCTCGGTCGATGTGTGTGTCCCTGGACGAAGAACCCAAGGTGTCTGCAGCATCGAAGGCGTCGCTGCTACCTTCGGCGACGCGCGAGTGCTGCTGGTGACGTTGGACAGCCTCTATGCGTGCAGCGCGATTGTCAATGACGCTGGCAGGACGCGCAGCATCGACCGTCATGGCCCTGCGATTTCGTTGTGCCTGATCGACGGAGGCGGCCTCGCTCGAGTACTGTCCATGCCCACGGATGGGAGTAAAAGCGGCGTCGGGGACAAGTCCGTTGCTGGGTTGATAGTCGAGCGGGACCGGGTTGTGCGACTGGCGCTTTGCTGCTCTGGCTGCGTGGTTGCGGCGGATGTCCTCGATGCTGTTGCGATTGCTGTCCATCATGGATCGCTGCGGGTCGGCGTCGGGCGGAGAGAAGGGGCCAACGGAGATGGACGTGGGCATGGTCAGCGGCTCAACACCTGGCGGTGCACCTGCGTAGGCGGCCTGTCTGGGTGGGGTGCGCATTGGCGAGGCTGACGCGCTCGAGCCTCCGATGGGGCGCGGGATGTGCTGAGGTGGGAGATTCTCGACGGCTGGTGCGCGGTGGTCCACCAAGCTGTCCATGACCGAAGAAGACTGACCGAGAGAAGACGATGCAAGCCGGCTGCTGGTAGCAGGGAGGAAGCTCTGTTCGGCATTGGTGGGCCCACCTGGCAGGCCTGGAAGCGGTTTCGAAACATCGGAGGACTTGCTAGCTGAAGCATCTGGGCGCCCACCTGGTTGAACGAGGCCGTAGGACGAGGTGGCAAGCTTGTCTACGCGTCGCCCGCCTGGACTCCCATGCTGTGAAGAGCGCGGTGGTGTCTGCGACGTGCTTGCATCAAATGCCGAGGCGTTTGCTGCTGGAGGCAATCGAGTGTCGAGCTGCGAGTCTTCGGGCACGCTGGTGAGCGTCTGGTGCTGTTCATCGACGGATAAAAAAGCAGCAGTGGAGGTGTCGGAAGAGTCATGCTCGTGTTTGGGAGTGTGCATACGATCGTAGATCTCCATGGCATCGGTGGAACCGGGACCGCTGGGCTGTCGAGGATGCATGTTGCGGCGATGGTATGGTGAGGGCCGCTAGGGGAACAGGGTGACGAGGGGGCGAACAGTAGGGCAGCAAAGGCCCAGTGGAATCGTTTTGAGCCTTTGTGCTGTATTTGAGCTTGGTGACAGGCTAGATGAGCGTGAGGCGCGAAGCAGTCAAGAGAGATGAGAGATCGAAAAGTCTCCTATGGTTGGTTGTGGGAGTAGGACGGCATGGATGGCACGTTGTTGTATGCGTGTGCAATGATGTAGAGAGGCAAGTCCTTGTACGAGGGTTCCCCTTTGTCCGAAACGCAAGGGGCAAATGATGCGAGAAAGCGGCTCAGGCTAATGAAGTCGAAGACAAGCAAGTGGGCTGCAATGTCTTGAGAGGAGGAGCCGCGTGGTGAGAAGAGCAGCGAGCCGATGGATCTGGCGCGAACAGTGGCGAGGGTTCCGTTTGGCAGACGATGCTCGATGCGTAGCGAAGACTCGCGATGATGCGCACAAAGTCCTGGTTGGGTCGCGTGGAGACGCTTGATGCTGGATGCGCGACGGCGAGCGAGATGCGAAGGCCGGGAGCTGTAGGAGGTGAGCGAGATCGTGAGATGAGGAGCAGAAGAGGTCGTTACAGCCTGCGGATGAGAAGGATACGGTTAAGGTTGGAAGGCGAAGGCGACGAAGCTAGGAAGCACGAGGATTGAAACGAAACGAGACCCTGATGAATGGACGACTGTGGATCGATGGAATGCGATCTGATGCCCAAAGCTCGTCGCAGTCTGAGCTGTGCGCGCTTGTGCATGGATGGAATTCAAGTTGGCTGGCTGGCAGACTGGGCGGGGCAGGCTGAGCTCCGAGACCTGTCTGTCTGTCAGCTGCTGCTGTTTTTTTATTGCCAATTTTGATGCAAGAGGGGCCATTTTGGATTTTGCAAGACCGCACGATGCAGCTTCTCTTCGCGCTGCCGGAAGCAGTCAGAGTCAGATGCGGCGCCGCGCTCCGCAACTTGAGCACGCGCCATCTCCATCCTCTGTCTGCTCGACTTTGCACGCTGACCCGCCAAGCGGGCCACCGCCAATTCTTCCTTCGTCGGGTCACACATCGGACTGTCAAATACAAGACGCCGAGACCGTCACAACAGACCTTCCTCAGTGATCTTCCTGTGCCCAACAGTAATACATGCTGTTCAGTCCAGGAGACGCCTGCATCTATGGATCATGTGGACCATGTACGCTTGATGGCATTGTGGTGCAGACGCATGATATGATCATGGCACGCGCAAGGCCTTCCGAACAGATCCAGGAAAGAAAGATTCTGCGTTCCTCAGAGCGAGCTACAGTCAGACAGATCGTCGCCAAAGACTCCTGCTCAAGAAACCGTTTCACTGTGTTCATGATGTTGCTCTTGATCCGACGACGCCGCGTCCTTGTGTGCTTTTTTCTGTCAAAGCTCAGCGGTCAGGGGAAGGGGTCCTCAACATGGCGTAAATGGACTTGACGCGCTTTGAGGAAAGTCTGACGCACAAACGCGCGCCGTCCGAGTGTTGGTTCAAGACACGCGAGTGGGCCTTTTTCCAAAAGCTGATTCACAAGCTGGTGACTCCCTAAGCTTCGCTGCTCAGTTCCGGATCACCTCGCTCTCTCCGACATCATCCTGACAGCAACCCCTCGGCCACTCCGAGCCTACACTCTGGCTGTTCAAACGATTATCGATCCATACGACTCAGCGCAGCCATGACGGAACAGCCAAAGCTTGCCAAATATTTCGGTGGAGGCAGCAACGGTGCCAACGGAGCAGCCGCAGAAGGATCTTCACGGTCACGTCAGCAGGACATCAAGTCTGCTTTCGCTCCCAAGACGCCCAAGCCGGCTCTCAAGGAGTCTTCAACAAATGCAACGACTGCTGCGCCGCCCCTGTCGCAAGAGGACGCTGGACCTGTCGCCGCCTCATCTTCAAAGCGTGATGCGTCTGCTAGCAATGGCAATGGAAGCGCTGCTGCGCCGGAGAGAAAGAAGCGACGCATCATCGAGTCGGATGACGAGGATGACGACGAGCCTGTTCTGACTGCAGCCCCAGTCAAGAGAGAGCCAGCACCTGCCGCAGCATCCACCAGCAAGGTCGCATCCATCTTCGCAAAGCCAACACCCAAGACCAGTGTAACTGCCAACAAGGGCATCATCTCCTCCTCCAAATCCAAAGCAGACGCAACAGAAAGCGATTCTGACTCGGCCAGCGAGCACGTTCCTGACAATGTTGAGGACGAGGACGAACACGAAGAAGAAGCAATCGAAGAGGAAGAGCAGAAAGGCGCCAAGAAGCTCGCGGCGATCTTCCAAAAGCCTTCTTCGGTCAACGAGGGCAAGGTCGCATGGAAAGAAGGTGAGCCAGTCCCCTACGCCGCGCTCGCCTCGGCCTTCGCCGATATCCAAGCCACCACCAAGCGGCTCGAGATCACCGAGATCCTCACCCAATTTCTCGTCCGCGTCATCCGCCGATCGCCCGATAATTTGCTTCAAGTGGTCTATCTGTGCATCAACCGACTCTGCCCGGACTATGAAGGGCTCGAGCTCGGTATCGGCGAATCTCTCCTCGTCAAAGCCATCGCCCAGTCCACGGGCCGCGAAGTTGCCCGGATCAAGAAGGACCTCGAGGCGCAAGGAGATCTCGGCCTAGTAGCGCTCAACTCGAAGAAGAACCAACCGACCATGTTCAAGGTCTCGAGCCTCAAGGTTCCATCGGTGTTCAAGCAGTTGAAGGAGATCGCGGCGGTGAGCGGCAACAAGTCGCAAGATCGAAAGATCGGCATGATCAAGAAGCTCCTCGCGTCATGCCAGGGTGAAGAACCCAAGTTCCTCATCCGCAGTTTGGAGGGCAAGCTGCGGATCGGTCTGGCAGAACGCTCGGTGCTGGTCTCGCTCGCGCGCGCGGTGGTCATCTCCAAACTCGGCAAATTCATCTCGAAGCTCTCCCAAGAAGCTCTGGCCAAGAAGCTCGAGGAGGGTACCGAGCTGGTCAAAGCCGTCTACTCGGAACTCCCCTCGTACGACCTCGTCATCCCAGCGCTCCTCAGAGATGGAGTGGAAGGTCTGCGCGAAGCATGCAAGCTCACCCCAGGTGTCCCACTGAAGCCGATGTTAGCGAAACCCACCAAGGCGATCTCCGAAGTGCTCGACCGGTTCGAAGGGAAACCCTTCACGTGCGAGTACAAGTACGATGGCGAGCGCGCCCAGGTGCATCTGCTACCGGATGGCAAGCTCGCCGTCTTCTCACGCAACTCGGAGAACATGTCTGTCAAGTATCCGGACCTTGTCGAGCAAATCCCTCGATGCATCAATTCCACCGTCAAGTCGTTCGTGCTAGATGCGGAGGCGGCGGCGTGGAAGGCGGCGGAAACTTTACCGGACGGAACGGTGGAGCCAGCAAAACTGTTGCCATTCCAAGAGCTCTCCCGGCGCAAACGCAAGGACGTCAAAGCATCGGACATCACCGTGAAGGTCAAACTGTTCGGGTTTGATCTACTCTATCTCAACGGCGAGCCGCTTCTCTCGCTTTCCCTTGCAGAACGTCGCACGCTGCTGCGGGAGCACTTCCACCCGGTCGAAGACGAATTCGACTATGCCCGATCGGAGGACTGCAACTCCGTCGAAGAAATCTCTGTGTTCCTCGACAAGTCCGTCAAGGAAGGCACCGAGGGGTTGATGGTCAAGATGCTCTCTGGGCCCGATTCGACGTACGAACCATCCCGAAGAAGTATGAACTGGCTCAAGCTGAAAAAAGACTACCTGGCGGGAACGGGCGATTCCCTAGACCTCGTCGTCATCGGCGGCTACTACGGCAAGGGCAAGCGCACCAACGTCTACGGCGCCTTCCTTCTCGCTTGCTACGATGCAGACAGCGAAACTTATCAGACCATCTGTAAGATCGGTACGGGTTTCACCGAGGTCGATCTCGAATCGCACTATAAGACGCTCAAGGAGTTGGAGATCAGCGGCAAGAAGGGATACTACGATGTGGGCGAGGCGAAACCGGATGTGTACTTCGAAGCGAGGGTGGTATGGGAGGTGTTGACGGCGGATTTGAGTTTGAGCCCGGTGTATACGGCTGCCAAGGGATTGATCGAGGCGAGGGGGATCAGTTTGCGCTTCCCGCGGTTTATCAGGATTAGGGATGATAAGACCGCAGAGGAAAGCACCAGTCCAGAACAGATCGAGGCGATGTATCGCAGTCAAGTGGTCAATAGCTCCAAGGGCAAAGGCGGTGGAGAAGAGGATGATGGGTTTTGGTGAATACGCACACACGGGGAATATCACACATGAACAAAGTCTTTGAATTCGACGATGTGGTGTGAGCGAAAAGTTAGGCAGCGTGCAGCTGTTGACTGGGCCAAGGGTACCGTTGGCGACCAACATCGATGCTCTGTCCGCCCTCGAGGCCGGCTCCGGGTGGCATGGACCACCGCTTGCCGCCCATCGGCACGAAGAACGCTTTGACCCCCTTGGCGGGTACCACAGTGACCCGTTGCGCTGCGTTCGTGACGTACGTCTCGCACGTCCTTGCCCTCCCATCTGGTTGGGGCACGACGGACGACAGCGGTCTGACCTGCACGCTTGGCAGGGCCAATTCGCCCGTTCTCAGCGGCACGATCGTCAGCGTGACGCTGAACGTCGCGTCCTCTCTGAGCGTGCTTAGCGAGGCTTGCTTCGTAGTGGCGAGAGGGAAGGTGCCGCGCTTGGACCCGTCGACCAGCCAGGAGTCGAAATCGGGCAGGACGTCGTACAGCATCGACTCCTCCTCATCGGTGGACGCGTTGGACCAGAGGGTGGATGTCCGGATCGAGACGGTGAGCTCGACGGGTTGTCCCACGATCAGCGACGCTAGCTCGCTGGGTGTGGGGTCTGTACTGCCGATGGTGGCAGGCGAGGCGACGCTCAGCGTGACGGCATTGACATAGTCGATGGTGGGCACGTCGACGGGGATCGTCAGCTTTTGCCACACCTCCTCCCCCTTTTCCTGAGAAGTGGGAATCGCATCCAGCGCGGACTGTACCAAGCCGAGCACCTCGTCCAGTCCCAGCGACGATGGACCCCAAGACCGTCTCTCTCTTCGCCACCAACCCTCGTCCAATACACCCGTCCTCACCTGCCCCGTGATCGAGTACGCCGGCAAATCCAACCTCTCCCGCACATATTCCACCAGCGCCTCCTCCAACAGCCTCATCTCTTTCAACCCTGTCCCTCGCACCACAATGTGTAGTGCACGCACCGCAGCAGCCACCGCATCATCCTGCAGCGCCCGATACTCCACCTCCAACCTCAACCTCCCTTTCCCGCCTCCACTCTTGGCGATGCGGAACAAATACGTCGCCGGCTGCCTTGGTGTTACTGTCACTTCGCGCTTTGAGCCGCTCGAGTCGATCGTGAACGATCCATCGTGGCCCTCGTCGTGCACCATGGCGACCGGTCGGAGACGGATGCTGCCCCCACCACCGGCGGAGATGGTGAATTTGCTAAAGAGACAGGAGGTGCGGAAAAAGTCCTGGACGTTGACGCCGAGGGGAAGGGCTGTGCGGAGGTGGATGGGTTGTTTCAGCATCCGCTTCTTGGCTGACGCGTGACGCGATGAGGCGGCGGTGGTGTAGGTGAGGATGACGATGGCGTCGAGAACGCCCGAGTCCGGCACGGAAAGAAGGGGAAGGAGGACGACAATCTCGCTGTCTTTGCCAAGCGACTGGATCGAGACACTCGTCTCCGCGGTGTTGCCCGGTCCACCGTCGCACCTCGCGGCGTAGTAGTCCACCACAGCCGCGTCATCGCTGGAAACAACGCTGATCTCCGCTCCCTGGATCTCGGCCCGCCCCGCACGCACCGTCACCTCCATCGCCCGGCCTCGATCCAGGTCGATCTGACGCGGCAATTCAACTCGGACACTGGGCGCCTCTGCATCCTTGGATACCCGCACCAAAAGCGGTTCGGACGCGTGCTCGTACTGAAAGATCAGCCGGGCTAGACGGATCTGCGTCACGTCGACGGTGTACACGCCATGGATTGGGTTCGGACAGAAGAGCTCGACTCGTGTCACGCCCGGAGCCAGCTTCGTTGAGGACGACGTGTACCATTGGGTTTCGCTGTTGCGAGTGAGGCAGATGCGCACGTCCTCGACCGTCTGCACGCAGGGAAGGAGGGAGGTCACGTCAACATGAAGGATCGAGCCATCCTCTGTTTGCGCAAGAGTGGCGGTGGTGGTGCTGAGGCTGATGGAGAAGAGTGGGAAGGCCGAGATGGGGATCTCTTTGCCGAGGGATGTCGAAGCCGGGCGCAGTTGGGCGCAGAGATGGGCAGGATCGAGCCACTGCGCCGTCCGACCCTCGATGCTGACCGTCGAGATGGGGTGGAGGACGCTGATCTTCAGCAAAGCCAGCGCGGCGGCGATCCAGGCGCGATCGCGAGCATGGTTGAGCTTGGCGTGGCACTCGAGCTGCATCGCCAACGCGTGCCCTTCAAGCAGGGTGAACTTGGACTCGGCGTATGCTTCCTTTAACGAGACCAGGATGTCGTAGGCGGTCTGGTAGTTGCCCCGCACGTAGTGCAGCGTTGCAATCATGTTGCGTATGCGCAACACGTCGCGCGTTCGGGATGATGCTTTCCAGCCTGAGAGGATGCGCTGGCACAGAGCAAGATAGTAGGAATCGAAGTGCTCACGGGACTTGACTGCTTGCTGGAGCTCTGGACGAGAGGTGCCACGTTGCTGGCCAAGCGTTACTGCGGCACCCAGGCCGAGACCTTCGACTGCTCCACTGTCCGTAGCGTCGGGAAGAAGCGGTAGCTCGCGATCCTGAGCTGAGGAGTTGTGTATGGAGTCTTGCGACGTAGCAAAGGCGAAAGGCTCGGATGCGGGAAGATGCCCGGCTTCCACCCCGATGCGGTCCAGTTGCCGTCTCGCCACATCGAGCAGCTCCGACTTGTTTGACTGGAAAGCGGGACTGAGCTGGTCATCCGCAGTCACTGAGGACTGGCCACCACGCTGGATCAGCCACGCCTGGCACTGTTCGACGACGTCAAGCGCTGCCGAGAAGATCCATGACTCGATCCACTGGCTGCTCAGCCCCCTGTTCCGCTTGAGCATCCTTCCTACCGCACTGATAAAGATCGGTGCCTCGCGCATCACAGCAGCCACCCTCCCCATCTTACCCAGCAGCGCCGACTTGCGTGCGAAGAGGTAGCATCGAAAGTCGAACAGCGAGATCTCGCGCCGGCGAATGAGCTCCGCGTACGGCTTTTTGGTTACGTCGAGTAGCGGTAGCGAGTCGTCGTCTGGATCGTCTCCACCCACAGGGGCAAAGGAGACGGCGCCGCTCTGCATCGCCGATGCAAACACGATCTCGAGATCTTCGTACTGTCCTACGGCGTCATCCTTGAGCCCGACTGCTTCGAGTGTGCGAGCGAGCGAGTCTTTGGCGAAAAAGTAGCTACAGAAGTCCCACCCCTGTTGGGCTTTGGTGACCCCGCAGCGAGCGATCTCCTCTTCTTGCGCTTCGATGGTGGTAGTGAACGTGGACGAGGCGGCTTCGCGCATCTTTGTGAGCAGCTCCGCCCAGATGGTGGGGTCCATCGAGTGCATGCCTGCTCTGCCGAGCGGGGCGGAGGGGACTGGTGGCAGTCGAGAGAGCTGCACTACATGCTCTTTTTTGGATGTGTTGAAGTCGGCGCGAATCTTTTCGAGCACATTGCCCTTGGATTTGTTCATGAACCTGCTCATGCCTGTTTTCGCATCTGCGCCGGCAGCGCTAGGACCATCGGATGCACGTATGCCCGAACCTTCTGGCGGCGTGATGAGTACAATCAGATACTCGGGCTCACTTGGACCCGAGTAGGCGGCGGTGTTCGAGCTCGCTTTGGTGGACACGGACGAGCTGGTCGGCGTGTTCCTTCCCGAGCTGGACGGCACAATTGGCGGCGTCTCTGAGCGTACAGGGGGCGTTCCAGAGCGAAAGGATCCGAGCCCGAGTGACGTTCTGGACGAGGATGCTAGTGTTGGTGTGCCGGCTGACGCGACGGCTTGCTTGGAGTGAAAGAAGGAAAGGCTGCTGATCCAAGAACGGATCTCGTTGCGGACGGTGGTGCGGTAGTGCTCGCTATCCTCGCATACCACGAGGTAGAGGTGGACAAAGGGACGATCCAGCAATCCTGCTCCCCCGGGCTGCTCGAAGAAGCCGGGATCGCCTCGCCAGCGCCGAATCTCATCCGTGAGGGGCTTGAGGGCAACATCGAGCGTCTGTATTGTGCGGATCGTAGAGCCTGGCACGACGGAAGAGGAGGTGTACGCGGTCTTGCCCTGCTGAGCAGCGCGTGCTGCGATGGCATCGAGGGTCGACTGGCTTGGACGCCAATGAAGGTTGCGAAGAGGGAGCTGCTCTCTCAAGAGATGGACAAAGTGTGGTGTGAGAGGCGCGTTGATGACAGCTTGAGATGCTGCGTAGGTGACGGTGATCCTCTCTGGAGAGGCATGGTTGCGATCCGACATGGCGCCGCTTGAAGAAGCGAAGGTCGCACTCAATCGTCTTTCACCCTCACAGAAGCGCGCTTCGATTGACGAGCGAAGAAGCTCGCATCGAGATGGTGTGTGGAAAGGGTCGGAGAGAGCGTCAAGGTTGAGCAATCGAGGGTCTGTGCATGTGCTTCGGCCCAGGCCACGAGACCGCGTTCCGAGCTTTGTTTTTTGTTGGAGGTGTTGGTCACCAAGGGCTAACAGTCTGAACCCGGCCGTCGCCCGAACGCTCAGAATAGGGGCAACACCTACAAGCTTGGAGCGGTCTCACTGTCTTCCATCGCATGGCGCTTCCTGGACTCCGAAAGGAGCAAAGCGTCGAGCATCAGGTCTGAAGCTGAACCGGACTAAGAGCCGAGTTGACGATGAGTCGGGCCGAGAGGAGGAGGAGCGAAAACTCCACATGGATGAATTCGGTGGTACGCGACGGCGAGGAGGAAAAGAGTCGCGCTGCAGAGTGACCAAACGCAGCTGCGCAGCAGGCAATCAACGATGTCATGCGACCACTCTCCGTGCGGAGTCATTCGGCGAGATCCTGATTGTCGGCTCGGCTGGCAGCTGTGTTCGAAAAAGAACTGCATTCGACCCTGTCGAGATGTCTCAGAAGAATGACTGAGCCGTCATCGTGTCCCTGGATGGCAGCTTGTCTCGTTCTGTCCATCACCACCACCATCTCCTTTTCACACCGTCTTCTGCTCGCACGACGTCTTGTTAGGATAGGTTCGTCCCGTTTGGTGGTGAAGATCAGCTCGTTTTGCGGCTCAGAGGTTGATCGGCCTATGCGCTACCACGGAAGCTCGGCATACACTCGTCGGCAAGATGCCTGATTCCAGCTCTCGCCCCGCATCCCGGTCACCCGTCCATGGTCAGAGCCAACCTCGCAATTCATTTCCCACGGCAACCAGACGCATATCGAACAGGCGGCATGACTCGAGGGCCTCTGCACTATCTGCGTCCACGGAAGAGTCCTTCAACGACACCGAAGATGGTTCCGAATCAGCAGCGCCGGCGCAGACCATCCGAGATGTGTCGCAAGCCTTCCGCTCCGGTCGACCGAGCCCTTACCATATGGCGGTCGTGACGCTGCTCGGCAGTCTAGCGAGTGGAATGCCGCTCGCGTCCATGTTCAAGGTGTACACCTACATCATGTGCGAGGTGTACGACCCCACCATCCGAGACGAGCCCATTGGCCACGGCGGCTCTTTTTTCCTCAGTGCGGTCCGAAACTTGTTCCTGACAACGGGACCGGCCATCGAGACAACCATGAAGCTGCCACCAGCACCGGAGCTCCCGAATCCGCCCCGATGCTCGCTGCCTTGGGTTCAGAAGTCGACATCGTCCTACTCAGCTGCTATGGTCACGGTAGGCGCTCTCCTCGGTCTCATGACGCTCTCGAGAGCTTCGACCCTTTCGCGGCGATTCGGACGCAAGCCGCTCTTGCTGATCGCGCATGCCGTCATTGCATTGGCGATTCTCGTTTTCAGGTTCGCGGTCGTCCTGCCACCGGTCGCCGGTGCTGTCGTCCTATACTGCGCTGTCGTGTTCTCGGAAGCCTCGGCGGGCGCACCGCTTCGTATTGCCATTCAGAATTATGTCGTCGACACTACGTCAGAAGCGCAACGAGCCGGCGCGCTCAGCTTCATCGAAGGTTTCGGTCAGATCGGCGCCTTTCCGTCGAGCGCTCTGGGCGGACTGCTCGCCAGCCTTACGAACGAGTTCTTCGCACCGTTCTACGCCGACTGCGGCTTGATGCTGCTCGCCGTCGCATACATTCTGCTGCTCGTCCCGGAAAGCAAGCCAGGGGCCGAGCACACCTTCGTCGACCAGTGGCTGCATTCGGACGAAGTCGAATCTGGTTCATCGCAAGAAGATCAGGAAGTCCCTTCACCCGCCGTAGAAGGGGACCAGGATGGCGAGCAAGACGATTCGCACATGACATGGCCGACGGTGCATTCGGATCGCGACACTTCCAAGCTTCATTGGCGGTCGAGGCTGCGCAAGCTCAACTTTCTGCGTCCGCTCGTCATCTTTTGGCCCCAGCGAAGGCACTATACACCGACAACGGAGCAGGATATCATCAATGCCCCGTTGCAACGTTCGCGTGATCAGAGGCAAGACCAGGATCGAGACGACTTGAATCGAGGACAGCACACTGAGCTGACCCCTGGCATGCATAAGCTGGAAAGCAGGATGGACTTTCGTCTGCTCAACCTCGCCGCTGTGGTGGTGTTCGAAGAGACCTACCAGGCCTTCATGGTGCCGCTGCTGCTTTTGTACAACAGCGAGCGATTCGGATTCGACGTGTTGCAGAATGGGTACTTGGTCAGCGTGCTGCAGAGCACGCGAGCGCTCTTCCTCACCGCCATTTTCCCTCCCGGAGTTGCGTTGGCGAGGCGATATGTAGCCAAGCTTGGACTGGCTCGGCGTCGCAAGCAGATCAAGAAGCTGAAGGAGGCCGCTCGACAGCAGCGCCGAAAGGCTCGAGGAGGGCAGAGCGGCGACGGAGGTGCCGCAGACAGAGACGAGCGCTCGCCCCTGCTTCGAAACGGCTCCAGCAGTCAGTACGACGGCATCACAAGTCGAGACTATGGTCGAGCCAGCAGCGATGATGCTCGTATTGGGGGCGAGGGCGAGTCGAGACAGGCGCGGCGTCGCCCTTCGTACAAGTCGACCGCCTCGCCGAGCTACTCGAAGTCGAAAAGCAACCAGCGAAGTTCCATGGCCTCTGGATTTTCGGTGGGCAGCCGCAACTGGGAGACACACTCGATCTTTACCAGTTCGGCGTCGGACCTGATCAAGCGGATCCAGCGGGGCAAGCTCGACATTTCGATCATGGTCGCCTCCTATCTCTTGGCCACGGCATCGTTCCTGGTGATGGCAAGCTCTGCGAAAGCACCTACCACGTCGCCTCGGCCGAGCAGCTCTGCATCTGAGGAGGGTAGGCAAGGACTTTGGTGGTCCAGTCCATGGATCCCGCTGGTGCTCTCGGTGGTGCTGCTGCAAATCTCGTCTGGCTCGACATCGGTCCGGACAGCGTTGGTGGTGAATGCCGTCTCGGAGGACGACCAGACGAAAGCATTGGCAGCACATCAGATTTTGGTGACGGTGGTGGCGGCAGTGGTCCCGCTACTGACTTCCTTCGTGTTTGGCGTCGCTCTCGAAAGAGGACACCCAGAGATGGTGTGGCTGTTTAAGGCCATGTTTGCGGCGCTTGCGGCTGTTGGCGCTGTGGGCCTGTTCTGGAGTCACAAGGGATTCTACGAGAAGGCGCACGATGAAGAGGACGAGCATGACGATGATGATGATGACGATGAGGACGGAGAAGGAGAAGGAGAAGAGAGGAGATAGGTGACAGAGACTAGATTGTAACAAGCACCGCTGTAGATTCTTTACACCTCAGAACAGTCGATTGCCCCGCTCGAGCGATCGCATTGCAATCACAGTGATTGCTTCAAAGGTCATCGTCTTGTGACTGCGGCAGTTCCGCAATGTGGTCGTGATCGCCAGATACGTATGGGAGAGCCGAAAGGGGGCGCGAAAAAAACCGCCAATGTTACGTTAGCATTACAGACACCGGGGCAAATTTGAACGGAGACTCGGACCGAGAGCTGTGACCGGTACTGACTGGTCTGTCAGAGTCGACGTCAAAGCTCCCCTTGACAGGACTGGTCAGAGTGGCTTAGGAGCGGAAGACTGCCGTCAGATTGCCGAGCGGTCTCCAGGAAACAGGCTCGATGCAGGCAGCAAGGTCATGAGATTACCGGGACAGGCTTGCCTTGACAGGAAGTCAGTTGCACAGACAGGAGGTCACTCACCTGCCGGTGGTCGGAAGAGGTCGGCGAGAAAGTGGCAGGGTTGGCTTTCAAATTGTTTGAATTCTCGTTTAGAGATCGAAATGGACCGCGTTTGAAAACGGGTTGTACGCCGATCCTCTTGCTTCCGCACTTCTTCTTGCCCGCATGCAACTTTTCCAAGATCGGGGCGGGCAGGGGCGGGGCGGCGGCTTCTAGCGAGAAGAAACAACACACAGCAGCGCACCGGCTAACTCATGTCGTGACTGGCTCACGGCAGACCCTCTGGACCGGTGCGCAACAGTTGCAGCTTTGTGGGGCGAGTCTGCCTTCGTGCGACTGCCACTTGTCATTCACGGAAGAGTGACAAAGCGAAGGTCGACCTTGAGGGTTGATCGGATGGCAATGATGCTAGCAAGACTTCCAAGAAGGCTTTGAGAGTCAAAGTCGACGACATGAAGGCAGGCGAGTGGGTGAGCAATCGACGGGATGGTCGGGCGGCTTGAGTCACACCGACACACGCTCGCATGATCTCCAGCCCGCCTGTCACAGCGCAAAACACATCCAGACACGCTGTGCTCGCCTGCCTCTGAGTTTTTCCCTTTGCCCTGGCGCATCATCTTCCGTCACTGCTGGGCTCGCTTGCGCCGATCTTCTTGCAATTCACACTTTCACCCTTCCGCCCTTTCACCTTCCCCACAACAATTCTTCTTACTCCATCCTTCGTGTCCTTCCTCTCCCATCAGCCTGCTGCTCACCTTGTCCACTGGCTTCCCTGTTCCTCTAGCCCGTCCCGGTTCAGAAATCAGACGGAACAACATCGTCAAGACTCACAGCAGGATTCGTCACAAACGCAGTTAGGCGAGAAATAGACCACCGGTAACAAAAGGACCAACGACACACACCTCCCGATCGGATCCGAGCTCGTCTCATTTATAAAAGGCACCATGTCACATTTCATCCCTCCCATGTTCAGGCCAAGGCCAGTGCATTGCGAGTCGGCTCCTCCCTCGGAACAGCAGCAGCAGCAAGGCACAGTGATCCCAGCGCATGCTCAGCCCGCCAACGGTAGCGGACAGCACGGCGTCTACTGGATCCCTCACTTGCCCGGTGAAGGCCGCTTCGTCGTCAATGCCAAGCTCTATTCGCGTCAAGATGCCGACCCATCCTTCCAGGATCACATGGACAGGTTCCGTCGCGAGGTGGCTGCCTCCTCGCCCGGCATGCTCTCGTACAAGACCTCGGTGGTCCGTGGCGCAACAGACACCGAGAACCTCATCTGCCACGATCTTTACATCTCGGACGACTTGGAGCCCCATCCGGTGCCCACGGAAAAGGAGCAAACAGCAGGGCTAGCAGAAGCGCGGCTCAAGGAGATTCAAGCGGAAAAGAAGGAGAAGCCTGTCAAGAGTGCACTCACAGAGCTCGGCAAGTCAGCGTACAACTTTGGTCTGGGTGGAATCGCAGGTTCCATCGGTGCTACCATTGTCTACCCCATCGACCTCGTCAAGACGCGAATGCAGAACCAGCGATCCTCGGTAGTCGGTGAGCCGCTGATGTATAAGAACTCGATAGACTGCGTCAAGAAGGTCTTCCGAAACGAAGGCTTGCGCGGCTTCTACTCTGGTCTCGGTCCTCAGCTGCTCGGTGTAGCGCCAGAGAAGGCCATCAAGCTGACCGTCAATGACCTTGTGCGTGGTCACGCCAAGGACCCCATCTCGGGAGACATCACGCTGCCGTGGGAGCTGATTGCCGGTGGAACGGCTGGTGGTTGCCAGGTTGTCTTCACCAACCCTCTCGAGATTGTCAAGATTCGACTTCAAGTCGCTGGAGAGATCGCCAAGGCGGAAGGAGCCGATCGCGTGGCTCGAGGTGCTGTCCACATTGTGCGTCAGCTCGGTCTGGTGGGTCTCTACAAGGGAGCCTCAGCATGTCTGCTCCGAGACATTCCCTTCTCCGCCATCTACTTTCCGGCTTACGCTCACTTGAAAAAGGACACCTTCCACGAGGGCAGGGACGGCAAGAAGCTCGGATTCGGAGAGATGCTCGCATCAGCCGCTATTGCAGGCATGCCCGCTGCCTTCCTTACCACGCCAGCTGATGTGATCAAGACGCGTCTGCAGGTCGAGGCACGCAAGGGACAGGCGAGCTACCGAGGTATTGTCGACTGTGCTACCAAAATCATGGCCGAGGAGGGACCCAAAGCATTCTTCAAGGGCTCGCTGGCACGAGTGCTGCGATCATCGCCGCAGTTCGGTGCGACGCTCGTGGCATACGAGTACCTGCAAAAGTTCCTGCCATATCCCTTCGAGGACAAGGAGGTGGCCGACATTCTGCGCGATGGTGTGCCGGGCGAGGACCCTTCGCGAACCCACGCTCGACGTGCACTGCAGCTGCTCCTCGAGATGCACGAAGACTTTGGCCGTCCTCCTCCTTCAGCGTCTGCGGCTGCTCCTGCTTCTTCCGCCAAGTAAGTGGCACCGACTGTCGCGTACGGCATTCTTCTGCATCCTTTCTCATGGTCCACAGCGGGGTTTGGGCATCTACATTGTTACACATCTTCGCTGTCATCGTCATAGATACATCAAAAGACAATCTTGCCATCGAGTGACCGTGACCACTTGAGCGCTGCTACCTTTGGGTCAGCCTCATGGCTTGCAGCCGTCTTGAGCAGAACCGACACGCAAAAAGGGCCTCACAAATTCAGGACGAGAAAAGGGACAAAGAATTTAACCGATTTGACCGGTACGGCACAAGCTCGTGCTTCTGCATGGACCCTTCTTGAGGTCGAGTTCGAAGCCAGGACCGCGACATGTCGACCAGATAAGCTTTGTACTTTTGACTCCATCACCATCATCGGAGCCACCGAAGCTCATGCTTTCGCTTATCATCTTTCCCACGCCTCGACCGGACTACCGCGACCAAGAGAGATAAGAGCGGGCCACGTATCTTGGTCTAGACTCGATTCATCTTTCTCTCATCACCCACCTTTCGCTGCTTTTCTCACGCAGACACGAACGACCTTGATCGAGCCAGCACCACCACCTCGGACACCAAGCAAGTCGAACAGCATCCTCGACCAGTCCGAGCTTAATCAACAAATCCATTTGCAAATGTCTGACTCGGTCATGCTCCCATGACAAGGCAGGTGACGCTTTCGTCGACGTCCCGGCTCGCTTTTCGACCATGTCGTATGACGGCGCTGTCTATTCTCAACAATCTGTGCTCAGCCCACCTCTGCTGGCGACCATCGACAGTCAACACACATTCAGCTCTCACAACGGACCGTCTTCGTCCACAGTCGCCCATGATGCATCAGCTTGCTCGAACCAACAGGCGCCAGCGTCCTCACAATCACGAAGAGCTAGGTCAAGGGCATCCTCGTCAGCTTCGGTCCACAACGCGGCTTCGAGCTCCGCCGCGGTACAGAACGGCAGGAAGACACGCAAGCCTCAGCACGCTCCATCAGCACACAGTCGCAGCAGCAGCAGATCCGGCCCGGTCTCGATGCCGGCCAGATCGGCCACATCCAATGCATGTTCAATCTCGTCGACTTCCTTCGACGAACAGAGGCCCCTATTCAGCACGTTTCGGAATCGCTCCACCCCGCATCTCGACGGTCTTCGAAGCCTGTCAGCTGCCCATGAACACAACGGTTCAGCCGGTATAACAGCATCGGCATGGACAGCTCCGCCATCTCCTCTCACTCCTGCTGCGGCTTCGCTTGCATTGACCATGTCCCCGGTCGCTCAAGCTTCAGCGACAGCAGATCAGCTGATACCTTCAGAATGGACGCTTGATGCCTCTACTCCCAGCTCGCCTCACACACATCTCTCTCGAAATGCTTCCGACTACTTCGACCCAGCGCTGCTTGCTCAGCTGCAATCTCAGAACGGAAGCTCACATCCCGAGCTACGATTGGACGGCCGACCTGATCCTTCTCCTCCTGTGGACTCTGTGTTCGGTCGCTTGTCGCCCCACCAGACACACGCAGTTCGCGCGGCTAGCCAGTCGGAGTGGGCGCAACACGCAGCTCACGTTCAACAGACCGCTCATTTGCTTGGACTGCAGCGCCTCTTTGCGAGCCGTAGCACCCCGCATCTCCCTGATCTCGACTCGTCTTATCTCGGACACGACTTTGAGTCGCCTCCACCGTATGCTCCGCGCGCATCGGCGCACGAGACGGAGCTCGACAGAGCGGCTTATGTCGACTTGAGAACGCGGGGACCCCACCAAAGTCGGCTTCCTCCCAGCTCGTCCTCGACTTGGACCCTGCATGACACCGCTGATCCGCCCCTACCACCACCGATCTCGATCCCATCGAACGCAAATGGACACCCAGCCACAGGTCCGCCTTCTGCTTCATCTTTCACGCGACCATCCCTTCGAGCTCGATCGTCCTCTCGTGGGAGTCGCAGCGGGCCGCCCTCGCCATCAGCATCGTTCTATGGTCGCAGAGGCTTGACGAGCTTGTCGCCGTTCCCAGCAGGGCTCGAGATGACTTCGAGTATCGCTCACGCTCCTCAGAGTCTATCGACCCCAGCCAGTCCGGGTATTGCCCCAGACAGCGACGGAGATGAAGACGTCGACTCGATGCTTTCCTTCTCATCGACCAGGTCTAAGCAAAAGCGGGATGAGCGGCGACAATCGATAGCGGCGACCGACGTCGCATCTCGCGCTGAAGCTTCAACAAGCTCCTTGCCAGGCTCGTCAGCTCAAGCGCAGGCTGCGCTGTCCAGGAGGCGGAGGTCCGGCTCTGCAGGTAGCGCAAGACAGTTGCTTCGGCCTCGCACGCCCATCCATTCTGCTGTCACGAGGGATGCCGCAGACCAGCCACAGCTTACCCTGCAAAGGGGCCAAGCCACCACCGAAGGTCACATCAATCCTTCTTCACGGTCGCTGGCGGGCGCGACCAACTCCATTAGTATGGTCGGCATTCACCGCAATCCTTCAGGCCAAGCTTTGAGTCGCCAGCCAGGAAGCGACAACGCAGATGCCGACTCCGGCACGCCACCGGTCTCTCCGGCCTCGGACAGCACTCGAGCCGATAGTCTCATGTCGCCAGCTCTAGCATCGACGCTGTCACCCGGCAGCCCTTTCTCCGGAACCGCTGACATGCGAACAACGCAGATCGCGACAGACAACGAGACCTCAAAGTCGATCACACCCGCCGCACAGCCGGACGAAGAAGAATTCTCGCTATTGTTCAAGCTGCTCTTGCATCCGTTGCGGATCCTGGCTGCGGTACCTGGATGCATCGGCACGTTCTGGCTCGCGCGGAACGCCTGGGTGCTAGCTACACAGCACGGCCATGTGCTGAGCCCCGGCCAGATGCTTGTGTCGTCAGATGGATCGAATCAATTCCAGAGCGCAAAGCTGACCGAGCATCCGACGATGGAGGGTCCGTACCGACTCGGACGCAGGCAGCCGGGATCACTCGATTTTGCTGTCGCCTGCCTATGGAGTATGAGCACAGCCTATCACGCGCTGTCGTTCACGACGCTGCTGCTCCGTCGTTGGCTACTCTACTACTCCATCCTCCCATCACTCATTCGGCTCGTGGCGCTGCAGGCCATCTGTTGGCCGCTGGTACGGATCACAGTCCACGTGTTCGGAGCTGATCAGCCTCTGGGTGCGTGGGTGGTCATCGGTACCACAACAGCACTGAGCGACGTTGTGTCCCGATGGGTCACGAGCAACATTGCCGACGCTCCTCTCGATGACGAGGAGCTAGACGAGGAGGAAGCGGAGGAAGAGGCGGAGAACGAAGCGCTTGGGTACCTTTCTGACAGCCGCTTTGTCAAGAGTCCTACCAGAGCCAACACTGCATTCACGGATCAACATCCGCACTCGCCAGCAAATGCTTCCGCCTTGATGGGAGAATCGGACTGGGATCCAAGGTCAGGCGACGAAAGCGATGCAGCGGCAGCAAGCTTCTTTGCTTCTGAGCGAGAGCGACAGCGAAAGCAACGTCGAGGTGGTCAAGGAACGAGGTTCTGGCGTGCCGTCATTGGCGGCCCTTCCTTTGCAGCTCCGTCTCGACGTCGCAAGAACCACAGTAGATCCTCCACAGGCCCTGCGACAGGCAACAGCCGGGCATCGCATCTCTCCGGCGCTGGAACCGAGACAGAGATGGAACCCGAGTCTGACTGGCCTGGATATGGTACCGACCACACTGTCCTCGGTGGAGTCGGCGGAACACCTCCGTCACGTTTCGGGACGCGTCCGAACCAAGACGGGCTACGAAGACGTCTCGGAACCATCCGAGCAGGCGGCTCCCCCTCTGTAGCGGCGTCGCCATCAACCATGGATCGTGCAGCGTCTCAGCAAGGCATGTTTGGACGTCGACCCGTGCTGCCACCTTTCCCATTCAGGCCCTCCACCTATCGTCAAGGTTCGACACGCTTCGTATACAAAGATGGCGTTTGGTCCAAAGAGCGCACTGGCAGCCGTCGCAACTTCCACTGGGACGTCGCGGTCTGGAGGAACGTGGTGCCGATTGCTGTGCTGTCGTATCTCAGCATGTGGATTCTCATCTTGGATGCGATGCGAGTTGGCAGCTAGTCGGGATGCTAACTCAAAGCGCTCCCGCGCTTCCCCTTCAAATCCGGACAATCTTTTGTACCTCGCCGTTGTAGCTTTTGCAATCGATATGATCAAGCTTCTGGCATTCAAGTATCAGGCTCTGGCCTTGTGATGGCCGACTTCAACACACTTCATGGACACCATCTCGGCCATTAAAATTTTAAGCCTTAATTTTTTTAGCGCACATGCCTCCACTTGGAGAGCCCTGATGAGTGAGCCGACCTTTCTTCCAAGCGAAGATACGGGCTGATGCAGGAGCTGCGTAGGGTGTTGCTTGCCGTTCCTAACCGATCCTGAATCATCCTGACGCAGGCGTCAGCTGTGATTGACGTTGTGGCTGGTACTCATCCTCTGTCGACAACGAGCAAGCGGCAGAGAGACCGTGAGGTCCCACTTCATCTCGAAAGGCGCATCCCTCAAAAGGGACACCCGGCTGCGCCTCCTCGTTCTTTCTCACCATCATCTTGCTTATAAGCTCGTACAGTCCGCAACCCACCTTAGCTCGCCTGCCACATCTATCCATCTCCGAACGACAGCATCGAACCAGAAAGAATCTTAAGACAAGATGTCGACGGCAGCAGCGCCTGGTAAGCTGGCCAGCACCATCACAACCAACCTTTCGTCGCTCGCATCCAAAGCGATGGCCGCGACTTCAACCCAGCAGTCGCTCATGCAGTCGGTCAAGCGCATCATCCCGCCTCTCTCGTCCACCAAGCATAAAGGTCAAGCTGGACGCATCGGCATCGTCGGTGGAAGCAAGGACTACACGGGCGCGCCCTTCTTCGCGTCGATGTCATCGATGCGCTTCGGATGTGACATGTCGTACACGGTCTGCACGCCCGAGGCTGGCAACGTGATCAAGACCTACTCGCCGGATCTGATCGTCAACCGCCTGCTCGATCCCGAGGCACGGTGGGAGGACGTCGAAACGCAAGTGGAAGAGCTGTTCCAGCGCTTCCATGCGGTGGTCATCGGTCCCGGGTTGGGTCGGGATGACTTTATGCAAAAGTGCGCCGGGCTGTGTGTCAAGCTGGCGAGGAAACACGACATGTATGTGGTGGTGGATGCCGATGGACTGTGGCTGCTGCAGAACGAGCCGGAGCTGGTCAAGGGGTATCAGAAGGCGATCCTGACGCCCAATGTGGCCGAGTTTGCCAGGCTGTGCGACAAGATGGGGGTGGACGCCAAACAGGATCCGGACCAAGCGGCGATCAAGCTGGCAAAGGCACTAGACGGCCCCACGATCGTTGAGAAGGGCAAGGTGGACCGGATCACCAACGGGAAGTAAGTCCTCGACGCCCCCGTTCCCGATGATTCAATCCCGTAGACGATCTGACACTCTTCCTCTCCTTTCTTCTTTGATCTCTTTGCCAGGGAGGTGCTGTATGTCGACATCGAAGGCGGTCTCAAGCGGTGCGGTGGGCAGGGCGATATCCTCGCCGGCTGCCTCGGCACCTTTGCCGGCTGGGCGAAGATTTACGAGCAAGAGCATCCCAATCTGCCGACCACTTCGGAGAACGGCAAAGACGGCGAGCTCATCGCTCAGGATAGATTGCTGCTGCTGGCAGGATACGGCGCAGCGTTGACAGCGAGGACATGCAGCAGGTTGGCGTTCTACAAGAAGAAGAGGGCCATGCTGGCGGATGATCTGCTGCCAGAGGTGGGTCCTGCGTACGAGGAGCTGTGGGGAGATGTGCAGGCGATGCTGTGAGATCAGGTTTGCATGCCTCAAACCAAGCCGACTCTTCGTGTATAGGTGTCAAAGCGTGTTCTGCCCCGCGAATACAGTTTGATATCCGCTTGCCATACACATCAAAGGAACCTTCTGCCTGGCGCGGAGATTGCGTATGGTCTCTAGCTCGAGCTTGAGATTCGAGGGTGAGGACCAAGTTTAAGATCCGCTCGCTCGTGCTGAGAGTGCATCAGCTTGGGACCCCGCTTTTTCTCGTCCCCACGGTATTCTAGAGAGAGCGCTCTTGTATTGTTCCCTGCTGAACCCTGAGGAGAAGATGCTTCGGCTGCTGCTCGGTTGGCCGATTGAGCTGCTGCAGGACCGCGCCGCACCGCGATAGCCGTCTTAGGCTCAGCCTTCTGTTCGGATTTCTGCGAGAATTCCAAAGTGGGCGGCCGGTGATGTGGGCCCTGACTGCTCTCGGACCAGCCGTCGCCGATATCCACTCTTCGGCGCAGTCAGCTCTCGGCTCTTCCTACTCTCCACATTCGACCTTGGGTTCGGCAGCGATCGGCTTTGGCTTGACTCCTGACCTCTGCTCCCTTCACACCTTCTCTTTCGCTCCCTCACGATAGATACGGACATCGACGTGTCCTCGGTGCATCCGATCTTCAGTTGACGCAAAAGTCACACGCTCAGTCCGCGTTACGGAGAAGACATCCGAAGCAGCTCGGACCATTCGCTCCATCTTGTCAGCACACACAACGTAGAGCATCACTCAGTCGACCAGCTCATCAACCGAAATGCATCTCTGATAAGCGAATCAGACGGTCACGCACTCAGACAACATCCGCAGTGCTTCCTCGTCTCCTGACCGGCATCTTATGTGTGCGAGCTGGACCACTGATTTGGCAAAGTAAGAACCGCCCGTCTGCTCAGCGCCGATGGCCATCGATATCGCAACCATGGACGCCGAAGCTAGACCCACCACCAAGAGGATATCCTACGTTCTTCCTCCCTGCCGATCCCCACCGACTACATTTGGTCTTCCTCCATTGGGCGCCGATCGTCGCTACAACACGGGTCCTCTGCTGATCCCACCATCTCGCCCTTACAACGGTAATGGAGCCTCGTCGTCATCCATATCATCATCAGAGTCGAGTAGATCGACACAGTCGAACGCTACCTCTGCCTCTCATCCGCAACACGCTCTAGCCGTCTCCTCCCTCGCCATAGACGCCACAACATGCATCGCCAGCTCCAGTGACGACGGAACAGATCTCGACATCGATGCCCATCATGACAGCGAATCAGGTCGCTTTGCTGACAAAAGCGAGCCTATGCCTGCAGGCATTCTTTACACTGGTGGTCGTGATGGTCTCGTCGGTGCGTGGGAGCTCGGCCTGCCCATGCGCAAGAGGACGGCGCAGCGCATCCAGGCTCACGACAGCATGGCCGATTATCACCAAGATGAATCCATCGGCTTGCTTGCCGATACTTCTGCCTTGCCTGCTGGCACTGACATCGACGCACTCACCTACTGGCAGGCCGATCCACTCAAGGCTCATCGCGCCAAGTCAACTCGATTCCGGCAGTGCGTTCAATCGCACACGGACTGGATCAACGACATCATCCTCTGCAACCAGAACCAGACCCTCATCTCGGCCTCGTCCGATCGTACTGTCAAGGTGTGGAATCCGCACGACCCTCAGCACAGCCTCAGTCCGCACGTCCTTGGCACCCACAAGGACTACGTCAAGGCGCTAGCCCATGCCTCCGATTCTGGATACGTAGCTAGCGGTGGCTTTGACAAGTGCATCAAGCTGTGGGACATCCGCGAAGCAAGGGCCGCGCCGATGTTGGAGCTCGATGACAAGGCTGTGAAGACGTCCGTCTACGCACTCAGCGTCAATCCGAGTGGATCCGTCATCGCTGCTGGCTCACCCGAACAGCACGTCAAGGTGTGGGATCCTCGCAGCGGCAAGAAATGTGCAGAGCTGGTCGGACACACCGACAACGTCCGCACTGTCCTCGTCAGCGAAGATGGCCGCTTCCTCTTGTCAGGCTCCGCCGATTCCACTGTGCGTCTCTGGTCACTGGGCGAACAGAGATGCTTGCACACTTTCACGCACCACGATGACTCGGTGTGGTCGCTCTTCTCGGACCATCCCACTTTGGACGTCTTCTACTCGGGCGACCGTCAAGGCTACGTGTGCAAGGTCGATTGGGAGCGATGCGCCGAGGTGTCCGAGGGCGAATGTGTCGTTCTCTGCCAGGAGCGAGACCCTACATTCGACGATGGCCGGCCGGACGAGAATCACGAACTGTCCAACCATCATCACCCAGACTTGCATAGGCGCGATGCCAAGTCCGGCATCCAAAAGATTGTGGCACTCGACGACACGTACTTCTGGACCGCGACAGGGCAGACGAGCGTCAACCGATGGAGGGACGTGCCGCGTCGCTCAGAGAGGGAAGCCATCTATCCCATCGGCGGTCTGCATTCTCGGGTGCGGGATCCTTACCGACGCACTTCCTTCGGTAGCCCAAGCTTGAACCGAAACAGCATCGACACGGGTCGTTTCCCCGACTCCGAGCACGCTCACCAACCCTCGGTCACATTTGCAGAGCCGTCCGTGGCAGAGCTGCGAAGGGACTCGTCCGCTATCAACGGTGCGGACGCTGCGACCGCCTCAGCGCTCTCAGCACTGCAGACCGGCATGGGTCTCCCACCGGCAGACATTCCGCTCGCCGCCACGTTGCATGGCATTCCCTTCGACAGTCTCGTCAGTCTAGCCCCCGTCAGCGATCCGTACGGCGACAAAATTGGACTCGGCAGCGTAAGCGTGCGTGACCCTCGCAGCAACGCTGATGATTCCATGTTTAGCGGCGCACCTCTTCGTTCCATTGCCAGCAGGATGTCGATGGACCAGTCCAGTATCATGATACCGAGCTCAGCAATGCGGTCCCCGGTCATCCCGGCCATCAATCCTCAGCTGGCGCAGGTCCAGGCCATGAACACGCCTCATCGCCCAGCCAGCACGCGCTCTGGCAGTCTCCGCTTTGCGCCCACCGATCAGATGTACGAGCCGGAAGGCTTGGGCAAATCGTGGGACAGTGGATCCGACATGGATGCGTCGCCGACTACCAAGCAGATGGCCAATATGCGTCTGGACAGCTCTAAGCAAGACGCAGACGACGTCGATGACCGAGCGTACCAAGCTCGCCTGGCTTTCGAAGATCGAGAGCTGGCGCCGGACGCAACGCCATTGCGCCTGAGGCCGGACGCCGTCATCCGGGGCTCGCACGGCCTCATCCGCTCATCGATGCTCAACGACCGTCGCCACGTGATCACGATCGACAGCACGGGCGCCGTGATGTTGTGGGACATTATCAGGGGCGTTTGCCTCGGCGAATTCGATCGCGCCGACGTAGAAAAAGCAGCGCTCGAGTCAAATTTGATTCCATACACATTCATGCGCAAATGGCGGCCGGAGCAGACGCCGGGCGACACGCTCGAGGTGGTCAAGGAGCGGATCGAAGGACAGGGTGTCACACCACTGTGGTGCTCTGCAGAGACGCGAGGCGGTGCTTTGACGGTTCACATCGAAGAGCCGCGCTGCTTCGAGGCAGAGTTCTACATTGACGAGTTTGCGGATTGTGTCGACGCAGGCAACTTCAAGGAGGACCAACGTGGGCAGGTGGCTCGTTGGCTTTTGCGCAACCTCTTTGCTGGGTTTGTGGAGGCAGAGAGCAAGCTGCGACAGGTCGAAGTGGACGACGACGGCACACCGCTGCCACCAGAGACGCCCGCATGGGACAAGATCGTGCGCGCTCAGAGAAGCGGGCCCTTCACACCGGGAATGACGATGGGACTCGCAACTCCCGCCAAGACTCCGGCTCTGACGTCGAACACATCGAACGCGCTCTACCTGGGACTCGCGCAGAAGAACGCCCCTGGCTCAGGCGATCGCACTGCGCTACCCACGACGACGACCATGACAGGCAGTCAGAGCGGTGGTGGTGGCGACTACTTCTCCGCCAAAGGCACCATGCCTGCCCAAGGCGCGGATAAAATGCCGCCCACCCCTGGTGTCCGTATTCGCGAAGCCTCTGCCAATGGCACCGACGAGATCAATGGCAACGTCGCCAACCCCAATACCGGCAGTGGCTTCATGAACAAGTTCCGCTTTGGCAAGAACAAGGACAGGACGGACGCACCGATCGACTCGCTCGATAAAGCACGCGATGCAGCCGCCGCCGCCACGCCGACCGACGAGACACGCAAGGTTTTGACGCACAGTCAGATGCTGGATGAGCTGTTCAGCAAGCCACTTGCGCCTGCGTCGCTGGACGAGATGCCGCGCCTGCCTTTGCCAGCGGATACAGCGGTGATCGTTTCGCAGTCGTCGGCCGACGCCGGGTCGTGGGAGGCCGTCTACCGTGGTCTCGTCAGCTGTACGGGTGACGATACCGAGGTGCTTGAACACGCCGCGCCGCTGTGGCTCCTCGACTGTCTGTTGAACAACCACGTCAATGCGCGCGAACCGGTCAAGCTCAGCTTCACCTTGGCGCCGTGGAAGCCCGCCGACAGTCGCGCCGACGGCTTCGGTGGGTACGACCTGACGACGCCCCAACCCATGCCCGAGCTCCCCACTGGCAACGCACGCTTGACGGCCACGCGCTGTCTGCGCGTCAAAAAAGCCTGCCTGTACGTCGCGGAGAAGCTCGAACTGGCAGCACCCAGGTCCCGAGCGGTAAGCATCAACGCCAGTCGGCGAAACAGCGTCGAGGCCATCGCAAAACCCGGTGCATTGAGCATGACCAAGGCCAACACTTCTCAGGACGAAGGAGAAACACTGGCGCCGCACGAGATGATCGAGATTCTGTGCAACGATGTGGTCTTACCCGTAGACGTGACGTTGGCCCAGTGCCAGAGGTTCTTCTGGAGGACAGGAGGGGATATTCGGTTGGAGTACCGGATGAAGATGCCTTTGTAGACGGCGATAGAATAACATACATTCGCTCTCTTTGGTGTGATCGATTGTGTGTGTGTGATTCATGAGTGGATTCAGTTTGACCTGTCAGCCTTGTGCTGCAGCCTGTCGAGTGTCTGCCTTGCCACGGCGAGCGTTTGCTCCGGGACATTGGCCAGCTTGGCCACCTCCAATCCGTAGCTCTCCCTATTGACGCCCTTGCGCAGCACGTGTTCGTACACGATCCCCTCTCTGGTTCCCACCACATCGGTCATCCAAAACTCGACGCCGTCCCAATGGCCCTGCTGGACCAAGTCGCACACCTCGTGAAAGTGCGTTGCGAACAACGTCCTACATCCTTTCTCCCAGAGCGTGCGCAGGGTCGCATAGGCTACAGCGATGCCGGTGAGGTTGGATGTTCCACGACCGATCTCGTCTGCGATGACCAACGACCGCGGCGTGGCGCGATGGAGGATTTCACCCACTTCCGACATTTCCACCATGAAAGTGCTTCGATCGCGAAAGACGTCGTCGTTGGCACCGATGCGCGTGAAGATGCGATCCACCAGACCAAGTCGACTCCCAGGGGCGGTGGGGACAAAACACCCACTCTGGGCCAGGATGGTGACCAGCGCGATGGAGCGGAGAAAGGTGGATTTGCCACCCATGTTCGGGCCTGTGATGACATTCATCCGCGCGTCGGGATGGAGAGAAAGCGTGTTGGGCGTGAACAACCGCCCTCGTTCGAGAAGTCCCATTTCGACGCTGAGATGGCGCGCAGCGCGGATGTCCAGGTCCAACGACTCGTCCAGGAGGGGTCGCGTGAGAGAGTACTCCTCCGCTGCCTGCGAGAAGGACGAAAGCACATCGAGCTGGTCGAGCAGCTTGGCGTTGGTTCGCAGCTGCGATGCTGAGGTGAGGACCGACTGACGGAGGGACTCGAGCTCAATCGACTCGAGCGACGTGATCTCTTTGCGAAGCTTGTCCAGCCGCGAACCGAGACTGGTCCATTGCGGGGAGTAGTACGTGTGGGTGGAGCGGTTCTTGCCGGCGATGTGCACCTGCAACTCCTCTCCTCCCGACTCGGCGTGCGGGGGCGTGGAGGGGAGAGCTTTGCCGCGAGAATGGACGACATATCCTTGCCCCAGGACGTACCGTAGCGAGACGGCGTCGCTACCATACGCACGCTGAAACTCGCCTTCGAGCCGACGCGCGCTTCGTCGCAGCGTCTGGTGCGACTTTGTCAGGCTGGTGAGCATCTTGGACGCCGCCGGTCGGATGAGATGCTCAAAGTCCTCCCCCCACATCTCGTCGTCGTTTCCGCTCTTGGCCTTGCCCGCTTCGCCCAGACCGCGCACCTTGGACCGCGAGGCCTCGCCGTCCGCAGCCAACCCCTCGACCTCATTCGCCAGCGTCTCCTGCCGTTCCAATCGCAACGCAATCACCCGTTCGTCGATCGCTTCCCCCAAGCTCTGCGCTAGATCCGTAAGATCGTGCAACTTGTCCACTAGACCTTGCAGCGTCGTCCTCTTTTCATCGGAAAGAAACGCCATCTCGGCGACCATCAGCTCTTTCACCCGTTCCATGGCTCCGATGGCATCTCGCACCTCGAGCAGATCCTGCTCGTCATTTCGGCGCGTAACGAGCTTCTGCAGCACGCGACTCACATCGCCCGCTCCCGTGCGCAGCGTCGAGCGCAGATCCTCCCGCAACCCCCGCCGCGCGAGGAGCAGCTCGACGAGGTCCAACCGCGCGTTGATGGTGCCCAGCGAGGTGGAGGGGTTGCACAGCCATTGTTGGAGGAGACGCGTGCCGCCTTTGGTGACGGTCCGTCGGAGGACGGAGAAGAGCGCGCCGCGGGTGGAGCCGTCGGTGCCGGTGGAGCGGATTTCGAGCGCGGCGAGCGTGTGCGCGTCGATGTGCATGGTTTCCAGATGGCGTGGACGGGGAGCGGTGAGGGTGAGCGAGGTGAGTGGGTGCGAAGTGTCGAGTAGGCGCGTGCGGAGGTAGGCGAGGAGCGTGTGGACGGTGCGTTGTTCGAGCGGGTCGAGTGAGGGGGCTGGTGCCGAGCCTTCTGGGGTGGGGCCGGATGATGTGGGAGCGGGAGGAAGGAAGTGCGAGATGTACACGCTGGGATCTGTGACGAGCTCCCGCACGTCCAAGTTCACCCGTTCTGGTGCTACGTCCACCTCGACGCCCTCGTCGACGATGCCTGCGTCGAGTCTCCCCGCGTCGATGACCACTTCCCTCGCCCCGATACGAGCCAGCTCATCCCGCACCCCGCTCGCATCATCACAGACCGCAGTACCAAAATCGGCCGTCCCCACATCCAACCACGCCATCCCCCATTTGCTACCCTCGCAACTCACCGCCACGATAAAATTGTTCACAAACGGATCGACAAACTTCTCATCGATCAAGGTTCCCTTGGACACGACTCTGGTCACCCTCCTCGTGATCTCGCCTGCATTGCCCACGCCCTCGCCGCCGGGTCGGAACTCTTCTGCGATGGCCACGAGCAACCCCTTGTCGAGCACGAGGATCTTGAGGTACTTTTCGAGCTGGAAGATGGGAAACCCGGCCATGGGAACGTCTTGCCCGCCCCAGCGACGGTTGGCGAGTTTGATGCCGAGCGTCGAAGCGAGAAGGGGAGCTTGGGAGAAGTAGGATTCGTAGAAACCGCCGACGCGGGTGAGGAGGATGGTCGAGGGGTAGAGAGCCATGTCGTCCAATACGGATTGGGCTAGCCGGGGCCACTTGACGGGCGGTTCGACTGGGGATGAATTGACGGTGGAGGATGGGGGAGATGTAGGTTTGGTGCGACGTCTGCGAGGGGCGGGCGGGGTGATGGTTGGGAGGGCGACGAGGGGGTGGCCGTCGTCGCCGAGGACCGAGGCGGGAAGCGAGTCGTATGCCACCGTCGTGCTGCGCTTGTTGCGTCTCGAGGGCGGAGTGGAGGCGGGACCAGCTTCGGCGTCGTTGGAGGAAGAACGCGCCGCGTAGCTGACGGCGTACGAGGAGAAGGCTCTTCGTATTGGCGGCCGTGATCCACTTGGTGGGCACGGCCAAAGGCGCTCATTGGTAGAAACGAGTATAGTCGATGTCGATGGCCCCGCGATCTTGACAGTTGAGCTCGACGGAGCACCGAGAGCGCAGATCAATCGACTGGTGTGTTGCCTCGAAGCTTCACCGCGCGACGACGACGCCACGCTGCTCGTCCAGCACGACGACCGGGCGGCTACACCCACGCACCTCTTCATGTCCAAAGCCGTCACGTGGATGAGCGCATCCGAGCCTTGCTGTAGCCGCAGCGTACTCAAGCCTTGTGATCAGCGTTGGAAGGTGAGTGTCGTGACTGCATCAGCAGCCTGGAGAGCGAGGTTGAAGTGGTGGACGTTTGAGAAGAAAGTTGTTGAACGCGCATGTCAAACCCAGGTGGACCCTGAATTGCGCCCTTTCCCCCACTTTTCAGAAGATTTGTCGAGCGACTGCGCGCATGGGCTGTTCATCCCATCTCATCGCATCACAAACAAGCCATCACGAATGGTCTCATCAACATGCATCGATTGCTTCATTCTTCTCGACCAGCAACGAGTCCAGCGGTCGGTGGCTATATCTACTGCGCCTTGTCCAGGTGCACATTCTCCACCCCCACCCGGGTCGCCTCTACAAACGTCTCGTTCTCCTTATCGCTTGGCTCCTTCTTGGCCTCCTCCTTGTCCGCAGGCAACGTCACCTTGTCCTTCTTCTGCGCTTTGAGGTTAGCCTTCTTCTCCTCCTCCTCCTTCTGATTCCTCAACGCCTCCTCCTCGCTCTCGGCGGTTCCACCTTCCTCCTTGGTGTACAGGTGCGCAAAGCGCGGGTTGATCTTCTTCTCCTTCTTCTTCTTGACCACGGGTGTGTCTTCGGGGTAGGCGTCCTCTTTAGCTTTTTTGAACTCTGGGTCTGTCTCGAACAGGTGCTGGACGGGTTCGAGCAGGAGGGTGATGGCTTCGGCGACGGCTTTCTTCAGGTCGGCGGGGTGAATGTCCCCTGCTGCGTAAGCGGATTCCAACTCGGGGTAGGAAGAGTAGTGCAGAGAACCACCGTATTTGTCGGGACGGACGATGCTGAACATGGTACCCCGTGGCGCGTCTTCGCCTACGAAAGATTTGGATGCCCCTTGGTCGGTTGAGACGGGGGTGCCCATTGCCTCGCTCTCAACCCGCAATCGGGCGATGGGGAACAGTACCGCGCGGACGAAACCCAACACTCCGTTGCCCTCCACCTCGCCAGGTGCGCACACTGCGTCGGCAATCTTCTTCGAGACTTCCTTGGGTGTATCGAGGAAGTCGATTTTGGAGGAGTTGTCCGAGCTGGACATCTTGCTGCCCTTCAAGCCTGGAACCATGGCATTCATCAGATGTGCCCGCTTGGTGTAACCCAGTTTGGGCAGGTACTGTTCTGCAAACGTGAAAATCTTTCGTTGGTCGACACCGCCGAACTGCATGTCGACGCCGAGGTACTGTTCGTCCAACGCCTGCAGTCCGGGGTAGAGCAGACCGGAGAGCAACGGAGACGAAACCTGCTTGACCACCTCGGCGCCGGCCTTCTTGGCGTCGTGCTCGGTGACGCTCGCGCAGAGTCGGTAGTTATCCATGTTGTACGCTTCGGTGAGCTGGTAGGAGCTGCCGACGACAAAGACGAGGCGGTCGGTGGGCACGCCGATCGACTTGAACACTGCAGTAAGGACATGACGGTAGTAGTTGACTCGATGACGAACGAGCTCGATGGGCGCCTTGAGGTTGTCGAGGAAGGCGTGGATGTCTGCGAGAAGAATCTTGACTTCGACACCGGCGCGGAGGAAGTCGGCGATCTTGGTGAGCGGGACGAGGTAGCCTACGTGAGGTCGACCGGTAGGGGCAGTGCCCCAGTAGGCCGAGAGCGGTCGCTCGTCCTTCTCGAGGATGCCCTTGATGATGTCCGCTCCAAGGACCTCATCGAGGTCGCGTGTGATGAGCGAGAAGCGCTCGCCGGCGGAAAGTGTGGCTTGCGACGACATGTTGGGCGCTGTTGTTGTTGGTTTGAGGGTGAAAGCCAGAGTTGGAAGATCCAAGCTTTAGAGCTTTTCGCGCTCTGACTCGGCAGCTCGTGCGCACCAGCTTTGATAATGATTATGTAATTGCAGTTCTGAAGCGAGACCAACACCTCACGTCCTTGCACCTACTTCGAAGACGTCTAGCTACAAGGGATCGCGTCCAAAAGACACGGCCGAGACTCTGGTCGCTCGACGCTTGCCGCTCTACGCAAACGCTCACCGCCGCCAGGAACGAGAGAGCTGGAAGTGTTGTCTGAAGCTCGAAGGTTGTCCGAGTTCGGTGATATCTCGGTGCTCGTGACGTGGAAATTGAGCCGAATCTGCAGCGCTTCGGGCGCCTAGGTTGCTTTCCCCCACGCTCAGTGGCAGCAATCGTCTGTGCGGGGGGAGATCATCCCGCGGAAGCGTCGGAGGTGCAGGATCATCCATCCTGACTCGAAGTCTTGGCATCGGATCGTTCAAGCCACAGCTGTTGAGCAACGGAGCGTCGCCGGCTCCACGTGTACTCGGTGCAACTTCTTCTTGGTGTCCTGTCAATCGTTCCTTCCTTCCTTCCTTCTTCTCGATAAAGAGACCCTGTAATCATCGCTCTTCCGTCCCCACCCTCGGATCATACACACCCACCCCCGCTTCATCCTCACCATGTCGGGCACGTCCAAGCTCTTTGCCTCCATCGACGCGCAGTATGGCTCGCAGATCTCGTCCATGACCGAAGAATCCAAGATGCTCGTTGGCCTCCCTTACCTAGCCAACACGGAGCATCTCATTCGGGGTCGAGTCAAAGCACGACGTCTTCAAACCCTCTACAACGCGACGCAGCCCACCTCTGCGCTCGACGACGCAACCGCAGCATTCAACCAGGGCCAGACCGTCATGTCAGAGGACCGCAAACGGTTGCTCTCGGAGCTGCTCGAGACGTCCCAAGAGTCATTGGCAAAGGTCGAATTCGAACCCCCGCTCTGGGTCGACTATGGATCCAACATCAAGCTGGAAGGCGCTTTCTATGCGAATTACAACACGACGATCCTGGATTGCTCAGAAGTGAGGCTCGGCGACGGTGTGCTGTTCGGTCCCAACGTCAGCATCTATTGCGGAACCCACTCGGTTAGCGTCAAGGAACGAAAGGAGGGTCTGGAGAGAAGTCTACCGGTGAGCATCGGAAGAGATACCTGGGTCGGAGGTGGGAGCATCATCATGGCGGGTGTGACCATTGGCGTGGGGTGCACGATCGGGGCGGGCAGCGTGGTGACCAAGAGCATCCCGGATTGGTCCGTTGCTGCCGGCAGCCCGTGTAGGGTGTTGCGCACGCTGAGCGAGGAGGAGCGCGCATAGACTGCTCAAAGGGCGTGCGTATAGAGAAGACGACCCGTTCAAAGATATCATGCGAAAGTGTGATGCAAGCGTGTCGCTCGCCGTACAAGTCAGCTGAGAACTTCATTGAGGTTGCGCAGAGTTCGTGGTACTATTGCATTGTGAGAGCCAAGATATGAGTGCCTCGCAAGGGTCTTGGCCTGCTAAAAATCGACGCAGCAGAGTCACTGTGAATTGAGAGCGGGAGTCGGAAGCGAGCACAGGTCCACGGATCATGCTTTGAAACTTGAAAGCTTCACACCGTTCACCTCTTTCACCATAACCGCCAGTGCAGTGCTTTCACCTTGCGATTCGGGCCAACTGCGAGCGCACATCAAACACGCTGCGATGCCATCTACGCCGACCATGCTCCCCTGATCTGCTTTCAGCCCGGATATCACCGGCTTTGCTCCGTCACTCCAGCCGACCACACACCATGTCAACGCCAACACCGGCAGGCAGCTCGACAGCGGGCATGGGTCTTACCACCCCATCGCCGCTCGCCATGCTCTCCAACACCACACCGCGTGGCTCCTCCATCGGCCTCTCCTCCCTCCAGGCCCTCCCTGAAACGCAGCTCGTGCTTGTGCTGCTCGACCACCCCACCATCCGCCGCAGGTGGCGCTCCACTGTCGTACCGCTCGTCGAGTCGATATCCAAAAAGCTCAACACCGTCTATTCCGGCTCGCGCCTCACCATCGGCTGTGTCGTATACCGTCCTACCGCCGACAAGTCGCTGCTGAGACCGGCATCGACGCTGAGCCGCACGAAGCTCCAACCGGGGTCCAAGCTCATTGCGTCCAACATGCTGACGCCCGAGTCGTGGCTCGGTCCTGACTCCGAGGGCTCACCTGGCGATGCCGAGGCTTCCTCTTCGACCTTCGCTCTGATCGATGGAAAGACGACCGTCAAGCCGACCGCACACGTCCTCGAAGCGTTCGTCGCGGCGCTCGAGCTGCTCCAACCCAGCGGGAATGGCGTGCACAACACTCTGGCGCCGAAGAAGCCACCTGTGCTGGCAAGACATCTGCTGCACGTCTCCCTCGACTCATCCGATGTGACCCTCGACCTCTCGTCGCCGCCATTTCTCAACCTCGATGCGGCTAACGATCGGGTGACCGCTTCCACGGTGGGCAGCAAGCTCGCTCGACTTGGTACGTCCATCACGAGCTGTGCGATGAAGCCGGATCCGAGCAATGCAGCTACGTCAACCTCGAGAGAGGCGCTGACCGCCATTGTCGGGCTGCACAAGAACGTGGCGGAACCCAACAAGCTCGCCAACGAAGATCTCGCTGCGCTGCTGCCGGAGACCGTGCGAGCAAAGATCTTTCACGAGGCCAACATTGTCTCGAGCGGTCTTACGCCAGGGAACCATCCCAAGGCGGTCATTGCGGGTGCTGCATCGCCGGCAAGCGGCTCGACCAAGAGAGCGAGAGAGGAAGACATCGAAGCTGCTTCGACCCCCACGAAGCGATCCAAATCGGGCAGCATCTCGCAAGCTCAACCTCCCACCACCGCTGCTGCTGCGTCGTCTTCCACCGCACCACCACCCGAGTTGCCACGCAACATCAAACTCGATCCCAACGTCAGCACCAAGATCCTCTTCCTGCGGTCGCAACAGGAGACCATGATCAAGAACTGGGCGGCTGCCTACTCGATGGTGGCCAAAGCCGAGGCGGCGGGTGAACCTGCCAAGGCGCCGGGGATGAACAAGGCGTACCTCGAACAGCTGAAAGCGCAGCTGATGACGCAGCAGCAGGCGTTGAAGTTGCTCGTGCAGCGCATTGTCAGCGGTGCGGAGACGGCGCCCAACTTCAACGTGAGCTTGCAGAGTCTGATCAACATTGATAAGGAGGCGCGCGAGATGGGGGTCAATCTCGGTGGGCCGAGTGGCGGTGCTGCGAGGCCGGGTCGGAGTGGGAGTCTGACGGGTAGTCAACCGCCTGCTCTACCCTTGCAGTCGGCTCCCAAACCCGACCCAACTCCATCTGTCGACAACACCACCACTGCAGCACCATCATCGCCAACGCGCCCGAAACCTTTCTGGCGCGGTGCCCTCACCTGGTCCGTCATCTCCGACCCGACAACAAAACAGAAGCGCGACGTAGCCACGCTGGTCTCCGCCACCTCGAACACCGCTGCGCTCGACCGTCTCCTCCTGCCTTGGCCGGACAAGCTCCAGATCACCGCCATCACCCAGCTGAACCCGCGCAACCTCCAGGCATACGCCCAATCCCAGAATGCACCGTACATCCTCTTCTCCACCCAAGACGCTTCGTCCTCGTCGGAAGGCGGGCCGGTGCTGACCCCGGCTACGGCCGAGAAGAACAAACAGATGTACGCGAGCCTGGCGAGCAGTTTGGATGCCAAGAAGAGCTGTGCGTTTGTGCGACATGGTGGGAACGCAGGGGCCGGGCTGGTGCTTTTTGCGACGAATCAGGCGACGAGCAGTGCGGAGAGGAAGGGGACGGTGGCGGGCGGTGGGGTGAAGCTGATTGGGGTGGTGTTGAAGGACTCGATTCCGTTCAGTCGGTTGTTGAGCGTGCAGAATGGGGCACAGCCGCAACAGCAGCCGGGGAAGACGGAGGAGAGTGGGAGATCGAGGGGCGCAAGTGCGAGTGGGAGCGCGTTGCAAGAGGCGAGTCAGACGCAGGCTGCACCAGCTACGGCTCAGCCGAACGCACAGCAGAGTACGGGCATGGGGCTGGGTTCGTCCATGCCGTTCAACCTGAGCGCGCTCAATGCTGCGGGTAACGTGCCTGTCGCCAGTCTCAATACAGGGTTGGGAGCAGGGATGAACCTCGGCTCGCTCGCGGTGAACAACGGCAACACCTCCCAGCCTCAAGCGCAACCACCGCCGGCGGCAGGAGTCGATATGTCGAGCCTGGGCAACCTCGGCAACCTGGCGAACTTCAACATGGCCAACTTTGGTCAGCAGCAGCCGGATTTTGGCGGGAACAACATGAGCGCTCCGATGGGTCAGCCGAACCTCGCTGCGTTGGCCCAGCTGTTGGGCATCGGTGGTCAGAATGCCCAGCAACAGCAGGGACAGCCGCAGCAGCAATCGTTCGGACAGGCCATGCCGCAGATGTTTGGACAGATGCCGATGCAACAACAGCAGCAGCAACAGGGACAGGGACAGGGGCAGATGTTTGGTGCGTTCAATCCAACCGCTCAGCCGCAACAACAGCAGCCGCAGGGCGCGGCAGGCGCAAGTGGAGATGGCGGAGGCGGTGGAGGTGCGATGGACTTCTCCAAGCCCATGACGATGGATCAGCTGCGTGCGCTCGGGTTCTTATCGTAAATGCTCAGTCTAGGTGCTTTCCCAAGAATGTTTGAGATGTTGTGGTGACGGTTGAGCATGAGTCGTCGTTACCAAGATGCGTGTGCGAGCAGGAGGATTGCCGATGAACGAGATCTGCTCAGCCAGGAAGAAATCCGGACCGGCGACCAACAAAGCATCGCGTAATTTCGGACGGCTGATCCATGCGCGCATCTCCCCCACACAACCTCATCTTCGCTCCACCTTTCCCCTCTTACGAGTGTCCTCTTCCTCGCAAAAGCGATTCAACTAGACAGACGAAGCAAGATGGCGAAAGCAGCAGCAACCACGTCCACAGCGGCGGCGAGCAACATCCTCGACGTGCTCATCATTGGTGCTGGCTGGTCGGGTCTCTCGGCCGCGCTGAAACTCTCCCAAGCCGGACGCAAGGTGGCCATCCTCGAAGCGCGCGAACGCATCGGCGGTCGAGCATTCACGCATACCTGGTCGGACAAGACGGACGTCAACGACAATGCGCGCACCACCTCTTCGCCCAACGCGAGCGACTACTGGTGCGACTTTGGCTCGTCGTGGATGCACGGCTATCTCGAGGGCAGCCCGTTGAAGCAGCTCACGGACAAGTACAACATCCCCGTCACCATCCCGAGTCCACGCGAGACGGTCGTAGTGGGCGAGCAGGGCCCGCTGCCGCAGTTGCTGTCGCAGAAGCTGACGGGGAACCTGGGCAAGGCGCAGGAGGCCGCCAAGGCCGCTGCGCATGATCAGTCTGCGACGCCGCCCGATGTGAGCACGTCTCTCGGCGACTTTTTGTACAGCGACAACTCTCCCCTGTTTGCGGGTCTCGAGTCCGAGAGCGAGAAGACGGCCGCTCGTGAGCTCGCACGGATGCTGCACATCCCGCTGGGCATCGAGCTGGAGAAAGCGAGTCTCAAATTTTTCGGCTTCGAGAATGCCTTTGCCGGCACCGACGCTGCACCCAAAGGCGGCTTCACCGCCATCATCAACAAGCTCGTCGACGAGGTCACCTCGCTGGGCACATCGATCCACACCAGCCAAGAAGTGCAGTCGGTGCTTGATGAGGATCAATCGTCCAACGTCAAGATCACCACCAAACAGGGCCAGGAGTACGTCGCGCGCACCGCCCTTGTCACGATTCCTATCGCCGTGCTCAAGAAGACCGCTGGTGGACTGTTCGAACCCGCTCTGCCAGAGAGGAGGCTCGAGACGATCAAGCGTGTGTCGGTGGGCAACTTGAACAAGGTGCTGCTGCACTACGATCAGCCGTGGTGGAATGGCAACACGGGCACGTTCCTCGTGCTGCCCTCGTCTGCATCCGCGCCTGCATCGATCAAGAAGGATGCAGAGAAGAAGCTGTGGGAGCTGTACTCGTCGACCACGCTCATCGTCTCGTCTCTGAGCGGAGATGGTGCGGGCGCTTCCAACTCGCTGCTCGTCATGGTGGGTGGAGAGTCAGCCAAGCAGCTCGAGGCGTTCGAGCGATTGGACGCTGGCAATGCTCTGCATGCCTACCTGACAACGCGTATCGTCGGCGAAGCGAGCGACAAGCTTCCCAAGCACGTGTTCTACTCGAGGTGGGCCAAGCAGGCGTTCACCGGTGGTGCTACTACATCGCCTGTGTCGACCGCGCCCGGTAACTCGCCGCTGGACTTTGAGGCGCTGTCGAGACCTCTTTGGAGCGGTCGGCTTGGATTTGCCGGCGAACACACCGAGATCAACCGTACGTATTTGCCCTTCCGAGCATTGTTGTCGCTTGCCGAGCGCAGAGGGACAATGGCTGACATTTCCGCTTTTTGTTTTTTTGTCTTGCTACAGACCGAGGCTCTGCAGCGGGCGCTTTTGTTTCTGGAGAAAGAGAGGCGAACCGCCTGGTGGCTTACCTGGACAAGTTTCATCCTCGAACGGCCGCGAACAAGCTCTGAGCGACTTGCTTGCAGGCACCCGGATCGGCTTCCGTCGGAAGGGACGATCGGTTCTATCGAATATCGCTAGACTGGCTGTGTTGTCACGCGTTCGAATGATCTGCTCTTGCCGTTCCGTGATCTGCGAGTACCTCCGAAGTGAAGGCGCTGAGTAGGATGGTTAGACCAGTGTTGGACACGTGAATGACACCCAGTCGAACCAGGAGGCGGCGCCACGCGATCTGCGGACATGAAAAGAATGTGAGAGCGGAGCAGATGTCGAACGCCTGGAAAGGCAAGTTGTAAGCCTGCTCACACAGCAGCACATTGCCGCTCCGTTGGCATGCTGTGTTCAGTCGGTTCCGCGGAAAGGGAATGGTGGCGTCCGCGAAGCTTTCGACGCCACCAGCACCGACATCGGACCGATGATGGAAGCGATCGCTGTCATTCAGGGGCGTCTGACCTAGGCTCGAGGCGATGTATTGTCTGCGAGTTGCCGAGCATTGGTCGGTCAACGAAACGGGGGTCTGGACCTGTCATGAGGCGAGCTCAAACCACACAACCGTGTCGCTGACCCAGGCTAGGCAGAGTCATTGTTGTCGCGTAATGACAAATGGCCTCGGAACGGATGCCGTCGGTGCATGGAACCACTTGAGTCCTCCCCATAATCTTGTGTTTGTAGAGGTTTCCAGCCGATCCTCTCGCAGACGTGGCTTGTCGATTGTGGCGTCGAAGACCCAACTTGGACCCGTGGGAACAAGAATTGATGCTCCGCCAAAGCTGTTGTATCGAAATTCGCATTCCGAAGCGCGCTGTCGATAGCTTCGGGATACAGTAGGACTTGATCAGGACGTCGACGGGCCCGCCAGGGAAGCGTCACGGAGCCAAGCGGCTCTCTCCGAGGCAGGCAGTGGAAGCCAGTCGTCACCGCTGCGGACCTGCAAACGCTCGGGCATCAGCGCTGGCTCGTAAGCCCATACTGTTGCCGGTGTGCTTTTTTTACGATGCTCGGCGTTGTTGGACCGTTGCGAAGAAGCCTCATCAAGAAACAACGGGGCAGCGCTTAGCATGGGGGCCAATGGGCGTTGCTAGAAGCAGTCTCGGTCCGAGAATCGCTCCGATCCTACCATGTCTCACCCATCGACACCCATGGGCAATGCAGTAGCATGGGTCGATATGCTCTTGATAGCTTTCCAACCGAAAAGCGCTAGCAAGCAGACGCAAGCCACGAGGCTGGAAAGGAGTATAACGGGATCTGCTTATCAGAGTGTGTGCTCATGTGTTGGCGAGATTCGCAGAATGGAAAGGATCACCGAATTGAGCGTGTCTCACGAGAGGACTGAGGTCTGCGGACGAGATGTGGTGGATGGGTAAGCGAGATGCCGGCTTATATGTGCCGCTGCGTGGTCGAGAGCGCGTCGGCGAACTTGGCTGGAGTCACGAATCAGCTGAGCGCTGTGGTCGATGTTTGACAGGGCCTGGTCTTCAGGGTCCACGCCGAACGGCATGTCGAAGCGCAAGAACCAAGGGTCTCGTCGGTCAACCTTGAAGGACGAAGTGGCGACGCTTGGATCAAGCCTTATCTGCAAGCCAATCTGCTACGCCCACCTCTCGAACCAACGAGGTGGACGAAGAGTGGGGTGGGTGACAAAGTGTGATGCGCTTTCCAGAAGTCACTTGACAACGCCGCGGGAGACGGAATTGCCGATCAAACATTAGCTGCTGACTGCATAGCAGCCATGACGATCCCGATGCCGACCTGCTTGATAGACTTGACTTGGTAGCAGCACAACCGAGGCGCTTCTGCGGCCATTGTGTTTGCTGCAAAGTTTCTTCTACTTGTCGGATTGTCCTACGAATAAGGTTCCGACAGCGTGAGAAAAACAGACTAGCGAGCCGAGCAAGGGTCTCGGCCATCCCTTTTATGTTGGACCTCTGTGCTTCTGCATGGACAGAGAGACAAGGCTAGTCGAAAGGTCGGCTCCCGGCGACGAACAGCTTCGCGACAGACGTGAGCTGGCCAGCTGTCAATTTGTCAGTACATCAGCGACGAGATGTGCTGTCAACTTGTCCACGACGCCGCGCCGATATCGCCGAGTGCTGTAAGCATAAAAGCAGGATGGCGGCTAAGCCGCTTTTGACAGATAAGCGAGGGTTGAGTTCCTGACCAACTCGACGCCAAAGTAGGTCGGCGACCCAGAAGTGAAGCACCGACAAAGACGAAGGGGCTTCTAGGTGCACCTGGGACGTAGACGAGGACGCGAGCAGCAAGCGAGGTTGTCAGACGAGAGGCGCGGCTATTCGGCCGCGGTCGCGGTCGCGGCCACGCTTTGGCGAGCTTCCGACGTTGGGCCAAGCGAGGTCAAAGGCAAAGCTTGAATTCATGCAGAGTGATTTACAATTCCCGTCAGAGCAGAGCAAAGGGTCTGGCCATGTCCCAAGAGGCTCATCCCCACCTTGATCATTTGATTGCGGCGGCTGCCATCCGCTCCTCTTGTACGTTCAAAACAACAAGCTGAGAGATGGCCCATGAAGGACTGCGGAGCACAAATGCAGCTGCAGGATGGCATAGAGTTGGCTGGGATCGATGGCGATCCACGCGGTCATTGCTGCGTGACAGGCTGCGGGCGTACCCTTGGCGTTGCGGCTGCCACTAGCGCAGGATGGTGGCTCTCAGGGGCCAACTTATATGCATACGATATGTCAACGACTTGCTTCCTCGCTTTGCCCCCGCTGCCTCAGGCCGGTCGCATTTAGGCGAGGCAAGATCGACCTGCAAGGCGGCGCCAAGAGAGGCAAAGAGGAAAGGGAGCGATCAAAACATTGACTCTCACTCGTCTCCGAGGAGAGCCGCAAGGCACAAAGGCAACTCGGCTAGCAAAGATCTGCACGGTAGAAATTCGTGGCGGCACTCTTCTTTTGTTTCTCCCTAAAATTTCATACAGTATTCAATCAATTGGCGTGGGAGATGGCCATGACTCAGAGATCATGACGTCGGATGTCATCCGAGAGACGGTCACAGCATCGTGACGAGAAGCGGTTGTTGTTGATCGGATGTTCCGTGTGATTTGAGTAGAGTACAGTCATTCGCGAGAGGCTGGCGCGTCCAACCATTAAAAATCGCATGATTGCCGTGTGGGCAACGGATGCATGACGCCGCTTGATGAGCTCCTGCATCCTGCGGATGCTGCCCGCTGCTGGGACACTTACGAGCGGCCGACCAGGTAACGGCAGTTGATGACCGACCATGCATGCATCAGCGCATCTGGATCAGCATCGTCCTCTCGACATGGCCTTTCGCTTAGCGACTGAGTTCAAAGACGCGGAATTCGGCCTCCGACCTTAGCGCCAATTGGCAGCATGTGTTTGCTCTTTCGGCTTGCGATGCCTTGTGCGTACAGAGACAGATTGCCGGTAGGTAGAATAAGATCTTGGCCGAGCTGCACTCTCTTCCATCCAGCTGCAGCAGCGGCACCGTTACTCCGGGCGTGCATCCTCCGCGGCCTGTCAAAAGAGAAGTGTGCCAAACCGGTCCGATGTCCAATTGCGGCGAACAAGGAGGAGCAAGAGGATCATCAAATTTCAACAGCGCCAGTCTACTGCGCGTGGATGTCCGCGTGTCCAAGACCGACTTCCGCCCATTTTTTGACCCGCTGTTGGCCTTCCCCCGCTGCAAGGACCACCAGAATCTCGAGGATCGTCTCTTCTGGGTCTGCTCTCCTTCTGATACTTGTCAGAGTCCTCGCCTTGCTCTTCTCTCTCTCCCCTTCGCCCTCTCGTTGCTGTTGCTCTGTTGCACCATGGCGAGCATGTCGCATTGCTCGTGCTCGTCACAGACTCGAAATGCAAGCTCATGACTTGACCGCATCCCTCCTTCCGTCCCTCCTTCATCCCGTCCGTTTCTAGGGCGACCCTCGTCATCTAGCATCCTCGGTCGCGCATCACCTCCGAGCGCACCTCGTAGCGTCGTTCAAGAGTCAACGCAGCCCCTTCCTCTCCTCACGGCGATCACCACACTCTTTTAACCAACGTCCTCCAACACGCTCGAGTCGCTGCAAGCACAAACTTCATTTGGTTCATTTGATTCCAAGTCGACCCTCGACTTTTTAACCTTGCCGGTCGCATCACCCCACATACAGAGCCAACTCTCTCGCCACAAAGCATCCATCGTCGCATCTCAGCAGCTTCCCATGCCTCGCACGCAAACCTTGCTTCCAGCTCCCCTTCATTCATCGATACCCCATTCTCGTCCAATTGGCGCAATCAGGCATCCTGCGCGCACTCCGCAGTCGGACCTTGATCATTCTTTCGGCGCATACGAGGCAAGCTGACTTTGGCTAGCCTCGTCGTACTGTACGGTGCTGCGCGATTTCGACTCAGCCATCAAGCGCGACTCAGCCATCGAGCGGAAGCGGTCTCCGTACAAGGCTTTGTCCTTGCCAACACGTCTTCGTAAGTACCACCCTCGGCCATCTCCGACCCGCATCTAGTGGGCGACTTTGACGCTCCCGCAGACGATAGACATCCTGTTCTGGAGCAACGTTCCGTGTCCAAGACTCGCAATGCCATGTGCAGCATGACGTCGATGCCAAGCAGTGAAGCAGGACCGACTCGACCACGCCGTGCCATGGGCACAGGGTCAAGTCATCGCATCGAGGTCGAAAGCAACTCCTTCCCTTGCCTCGCCTCGCCTCGCCTCGCCATGGTTGATCCGAGCTTTGCTTGATCTTGGGGTGCAAGAGACCTATCGCACATTAGGGCAACGGTCAAAGAACCTGGATGGTCCCACCGTCGAATCATGCACAGACCGAACGCTAACTGCTTTGCTTCCATCTCTTGTACCGTCTGTCTGTCAATGCAGTTGAGCTGCACCTCGCACTCTTCCTTGTGCTCCTCTCGACACAGATCCCGGTCTGATAACGTGGGCTCTGTTGTCGTCCATCAGCTTGACCCCTCCCTTCGAGCGCCACCGTGTGGGTTGAATTCCACTCATTCATTCTTCTGATCGGATCCGGCCATCGACAGCTCCTTCTTCGAGCAACGAAGCAACTCATTTCAAGCACAAGCTCTGGTCCCCATTTCATCGTCCCGAACCAACACGACGAGTTTGCAATCGCACGACAATCGCGTAGAAAGCCGCGGCAGCCCGCCATTCCTCTCTCCTCACCTCCCAATCCGACGGCTTCTCCTTTTTTCCCACGGAGCCAACTTCATTTCGTCAAACAAGGCTAAGGCGTAACGCGAACCTTAACGTCGTGCGACTCCTTTGTCTCGTCTCGGCTGGCTGGCCATTGCGCGTGCATTCCACGATCAAAAGCGCAAGCTCGTCGTGTGACCTGTCGGTTTCACGCTAGCTTGACCCCCAACTTTGTTCGATCTGCCACAAGTCTGGACGCGGGCGTACAATTTCCTACTCGCTCTCCATACTGCGACGTTTCGACCTATATCTGGACATCGCTACTGACGATAGTCGATTTCAAGGATCTCCAGCTGCTGCAAAAAGTCGAGATCGAACCAAGGAACTGTTCGGTGTCAACGCCAGACGTGTCTCGGCAAGAAACCCTCCCTCTCGGCCCCACATAGCTGCGGCTCAGGCTGCAGGATATTGCAAGGACAAAGGGCGTCCACTGTGAAAGGGCCACAACGTCAGTAGACCCGTCTTCCAGCCCAATTTTGGCTCGAGCTCGTCATCGACGTCGACTTCATTTCATCAGCTGCAGCTCCTGGCGGACCCGTTGGACTGGTACGTTACTCTGCAAGAAGGCTTTATTTTCTCGCTCCTGCAGACCCGCTCGACGTCACACTGCGACCACGCTCGCTTCTGATCGGACACATCCCTCCGTTTTAGCACACACACACACACAAGAACGCAGTCACACGTTGGTCCCCGTGGGCGCAGCGCGGCACAGCACCCGCAACGTGACCCGATCAGCTATCGATTGTGCGACAAGCCGAGGCTCGACCACGTCACTGCATCGTGGGGACCTCTGTGTCTTGCCGACGCTGGGTGATCGCACCGATCAACGCCGAGATCGCCGAGGTCGTCTTGCATCCGCAACGATCGATTCTGCACGCCTCTGTCCAGGTGACGAGGCCGCTTCACAAGACAGCGGGACTGCTTCAAATTGCATTTCGAATCCTCGACTTTCACCTCAAGTAACTTGCTTTCGAGTCGAGCTTAAACCTAAGCTTCTACTTGCCACTGAGCTGCCGCCCACTTCCGGTCGCTTCCATTTCGTGCAACGGCTGCATCCATCGTGCCCGTCTCTCAGCGGGAACGTGTCCACTCGTCTCTGCATACCGCTCCTTGCGGCATAAACACGGATATACTCGGTCAGAACAAAGACGCCTGCATCACGCAGTTCGGACATAGACAGACCCAACCGAGTGGTACACTGCCAGCTCAGCCGTGCTCGACCGGAGGACTTCCCTCGTGTTGTCGCCCATCCCTTTGCATCACGCAGCCCCACCCACTCGATCTCGATATACTTCGTTTCGAGTCTAGCTCTGCAGGCGAAGCGCACTCGGTCGAGTTCTGCTCCGCTCCCAGACGGAGCCAGCAAGTTCGCCCTTACACAGCGTTTTTGCCCCACTTCGAGTCATTGGTCCACAGAGCTTGTGGGCAGGCCGAAACACTCTTATCAGCCTCTGCATTTCGTCTCGAACAGCACCAACCTACCTTGGCGGAGTGTCTTCATACCTTTCCATCCGCCTCCCTTCGCTTCTAGTTTAACTACTTCTAGAACCATTTCCTTAGACAAAACTGTCGGCGTCCGCCTCCGTCACGCGAACACCTCTGGGCACCCATCCTAGCACCAACACTCGGCCTATCTCACACCACCTCGTCCAGGCTTCTTAACCGCGATCAGAACAAACATAAGAGAGCGAACTTCGATCGATCAAGTCTGCACGGTCTTCCTATCTCTGCTTCCCATCAGGATCGCAACGCTCATTGCTGTCGACACTGAAGATGGGGTCGAACCAGAATGTCACCTTCCAAGGCTACGTGTAAGTTTCATCCTCCGCCCTTTCGACGTACATCCCTTTCTACACCGAGCGTCATCACACAACAGCATGCTGACGAACATCCACTTTCTTCCTCTTGATCGTTCGGCCAGACACTCAACGCTGGACGCTTTGCTCATCTTCGAAGGTGTGCGGCGCGGCATCCTTCCGAAAATCACGCGTCGGCTTCGCGACGACGAGCGCAAGCAGATCGCGAGCGGAACCATCTTTGTCTTTGACGAGCAGGAATCGAGCATCAAGCGCTGGACCGACGGCATGATCTGGAGCCCCAGTCGGATCCTCAACAACTTTCTCGTCTACCGCGAGGTGGAGAAGAAGGATCCGAAACCCGCTTCCGACCAGCCTGCGTTCGCATCGTCGCATTCTGGCTTCGGTATGCCCGGCGTCAGCAACGACATGTCTGCGCATTCCTCCGTTCGCTCTGTGCCTCTGACGCTCATGTCGAGCTCCATGGACGCGGATGCACAGCTGGTACCCTATCGACAAGAGCATACCGGATACCATGCGCTCGAGGTCGTTCCCTCGTCTTCTCATGCCCTCTACACAGACCAAGACGGCTTTCTCGGTAACCACTCGTATCCGTATCAGTCGTCACAGGCGCACACGCAACCGCAAGCCGCCGGAATGGTCGGAATGCTCGACAACAGCGCAGCCTCGTCGTCGGCGGCCGCCAAGCGAGAAGCCGAGCTGGATAGAACCATCGTCGGCAGCTTGACTAGCAGCTATCCATTCGTACGCGACGGCCTCTGCAAGAAGACCATCTCCATTCAGGTCGAGGGCTCGACGCAGCATCTCATCTCGTACTACAAAATCGACGATGTCCACAACAACCGCCTGGCTACCCCCTCCAGCCTGCGCGAAATCTCGAGCCTGGTCATCTCCCCCATCTTTCTCAATAAGAGCAACTTTCGCTACCCGCCCATCGTCGAGACGGGTCCCGACAATATTCCTCGCTACGTCGCCGAAGCAACGGACAACACAATGCGCTCATCGGGCAACATGAGCAGCGGCGGCGAGAGCTATTCGTCTTCCGACGCGCGGCACGATGGCCTCGCAAGAGCCGCAAGCCACTCCTTGACCATCTACTCGCCCGGCATGACCTCGGACACAGCGCACAACGACCCGCACAACCAGCGATACCCACACACGATAGGCGGGGACGGCATGCTTCCCATGTCCGCCACGTTGCCGATGTCGGCCTCCAGAGGTCGCCGAACCTCAGACGCTCCACGGCGACGAGCCAACACCAGGTACGAGCCTTACCAATCGTCCGCCGCCTTCGGTCACGGAATGGTTCCCCATCAGCTCTACACGAGCGCTCAGGGCGTGGAGGAGGGACCGCTCTCCCCGTCAGGACGCCGAATCAACCTCGCAGGAGGGCGCACATTTGGCGACGCAGAGTCGCTCTACCACTCGGACCCTCGATCGCTCACGATGCAGCGACAGCAGAACGAAGGGGTCCCTGGGACGCCGCATTTTGCTCAGCCCAGCAGTGTGGTCGCTGGCCAGCCTTCGACTCCCGTGGACCCGCAATTTCCTCCAATGCATAACGTCGACCAGCATGGATCCTTTCCGCAGTCGTTTCAGCCCGGGTCGATGATGCCGTTCGTTCCGAGCCAGCCTGCTCGTAGCCAGGCAGGCTACGTCATGGGTGTCGATTACATGCAAAACCGCTCCGAGGTGCCTATGGTGAAGCAAGAGCAGGACAGCCCCTTCCACTTTTCTTCTTCGCGGCTACCAAGAGGCAGCTGGGACTCGAACCAGCCCAACCATACCGGCTCCTTCTTCCACAACATGCAGCCGCCTCCAGCAACGAGCCAAGGCTTGACGTCGATGCCCGTCCATAGCCAAGCCAACTTCAGCGGCCCGGTCTACACGCGTCAGGCTGGCTCTCCGCCCAACACGAGCTCTTCGCACGACAGTCGCCACTCCTACTATGGGAACGGCACTCTGCAGACGACCGGACGAATTGACGAGGTGGGCGGCCATTCGCGCAGCTATGAGGAGGCGAGCTACGCCTCTCGGCCTATCTCGCGCGCAGGAGAAGGAGGGTACGCTGGCGGCCTAGATTCGGCTGGCGTGGTGCGGAATCGCATGTCGGAAGCTTTGCAGACTCCATCGAATCCCGCAAGCCCGTATCCACGACCACAGCAACATCGACCACCGCAGCAGTACATGTCCAGCAACGACGTTTCGGGCTATGATTCGTACGACCGGCCTTCGAGCGCGGTAGACGGGCAGCAGTCGCTCTACGCTCAGCAAGTGTCGCATGCATCGGCCGAGCACGAGGAAGACCAGCTCAACCAGCAAGCTTTCGACCGAAGCGCCCAGAGCAACGAGCAGGCCTGGTCGTCGTCTATAGCGCCCGACGGCAACGGTGGGATGGAAGCGTCCCGACCAGGCACGTCGCCCGAGCAGAGCTATCGCCAGCAGCATCCGTTCGATGATGGCGACAACGATGCTACTGGCGCAAACGACGGCGGGCTAGAAAGGGTCATGTTGACGAGGCCCGCTTCTTGATTCGATCGAGGTCCTGCTTCCCTTCTTGGTTCTACGCCAAGCTGGCCACGCCGTCCCCGCGCTGCACCCTCAAGTCACCATCACGGCCACCTGTATCCCATCTTCATCTGTATGATCGCTCGCATCGTCCGTCCGTTCCAAGTTGTCAAATGATCAATCGCATTGTATCTCATCTTGTGTTGTGTTGGAGGGTATATGTTAGTTGGATCGCAGTGAGAGGCGTTCGAGTGGCAGCAGCTTGTGAGCGAGACGCTTGGATTTTTTCGGCATTGTGAGATTTTCAAATAAATTTTGCCCTCTCGCGCGATTGGAGCGAAGCATCTTCGCGACGGTGGGAAAAGCGTCTTGCTCGTCGTCTCGTTCTCTCATCCACCATCTTCAAAATCACGAACGGCACAGAGACACTGCTGCCACAGCTGCTGATCCGAGCAGGTCGATCTCGCACCTGTCTCGAACTCCGTTGATTGTGCTTGTCGCATCACCTCGTCGGCCGAGGCGCATCCATCCGTACTGCTCAGTGCCATACGACAAGCACGGCCGCTGGCTTTGCGAGCGCGTCCATCATGAGCAGTGACCCTGTCCCATCCTTGGCGCTACCTGCATCGGCAGCCGCTGCTCCGGCGCCAGCTCCGCTTTCGACGCAGTCAGCCTCATCGCTACCAGCGCAACAACAAGAAGAGCAAACACCACAGCAGCAGCAGCAACAACAAGTTCCAACGACACCACAAAAGAAGACAGCATCGATATCAAATCCACCGGCCCAACTTCAGCAGCAGCAGCAACAGCATGTCACGGCGAATCATCCAGCATCGATAGCAGCAGCAGCCACCGTCGCTCTTTCAGCAACGCTTCTCGATCCTAATGAATGGAATGCACTCGCATCAACAAGCATGGTCACGTTGGACGACTTGCGGACGGCATTCTTGGAACAACGGCAACAGCAGCTGAAGGATCTCGAACGGTCCCATGTGGAATCTCTGCGTGAGATGCTTTTCATGTCCGAGACCTATGATCAAGTCGATGCTGCAGGGAGCCCGTGGAAGCTGAGACAGAGCCTGGAAGTCGCAGAGGATGACGAGAGGGAACACGTCAAAACCTTTCTCGCGCAGTACAGGCTGTCGCTCGACAACCAAAAGTCCATCCAAGATCATACGTTGGAGCAACCCAAGGCTTTACGCGAACTCGTTTCGCAGGAACTCAAGACTGGACCGATCGAGATCGCGCCGCCGCCCACGCCCACCAGCGCAACAGCACCTGCAGCCGGAGAAGCCCAACGCGACCGTGACCTCCGAAAAGAAGTCGAACAGAGCAACTCGCATCGCAGTCAAGCCGTTGCCCGAGCTGCTGCCGCAGTTCAGGCTCGGGCTGTTGCTGAAGGAGTAGCCAAGATCAAGCCTCTCACCATCACAGCCGCAGAAAGTCAAGGAGTTCGCGTTGCTCCCCTCCAGCCGGGTCAGGTGCCCAGCTTTGTCATCGAATCCAGTACACCCATCGTTCCCATCGTGCCTAGCATCGACGCTTCTGCTTCCCTCCCGACAGCTCCCAACTCTTCTGGAGCAGAAGCAGCGACTACAGGCTCGGCCGCTGACATTGCGCCGCCTTCTATCAAGGTCGAGTCGTCCGATGACCGCGCCTCGTCACCATCTAAAGCCTCGAACGCGCTCGACCGAGCCGTCTCTCCAGTGTCCGGCCTCACTCGCAATGCAACAACGCAGTCGACAGGACTTCGTGTACCGCCGTCGCCGATGGTGGTGCCAACGATCCCTGAGAACATCGCTGCGCCTCCTCTCCACCCAACACTGCAGACACTTTCGCCGAATCCGCTCTCGGTCACGTATGCCGCGTCGTTGCGACCCCTTCCGCCGGATCCGACCCGACGCATCACGGGAGCTGGAGTCGGAGGAGGCGCGATCCATCATCGAAGTGGCAGAAAGATCTCGAGCCTGTCAACTCACAACGGCAACTCCTACTCCAGCATAGCAGCCGCCAAAATTGGTCCGGCAGGCTCAGGGCAAGCGGATCTGTACCGATGGTACGTCCGCGCCCGAGCTTCACCAGGTGCAGGCATGGTCGGCAAGGCGGACAAGTGCTTGATGACAAGCGATTGGAAGGTGGCTTTCAACGAGCAGCGTTTCGTCCGCGCCATGGCTAGGATCGAAAAGCTGAAAGCGCAAGGCGAGTGGAGCTTCCGTCAGCCCAAGAAGCAAAAGGGTCCTGTGGTGCGCAAGGCGCACTGGGATCACCTCCTGGAAGAGATGAAATGGCTTCAGACCGACTTCAGGGAGGAGAGACGGTGGAAGATGACTGTCGCCTTCCACCTGGCTCACGAGGTTGCCGCCTGGCATCGTGCACGCACAGCCGCCGAACGAGCCGCTTTCTGCGTGTCTATCCAGAGGCCTCACCGTCGTAGGACTGTCTCGGATCACGCTGAGCAGCATGCAGCCTCGCAGGAAACCGCGGACGGACTCGAGTCCTCCGGCGCATCCGTGGGAGCCGTCGCAGATTCTATCGATGACGAAGAGATGCCTGACGAAGCCGCCGCGAAAGATGCTCAAGGCGATCTGAAGTCTGCCATCAACTCAAAGAAGGCAGCGGCTGGACAAACTGAGCTTTCCGGTGACGCTGATGTCACCATGGAAGCAGAAGGAGATGCTCAGGAGGCAGTAGCCAAGGCGGTCGAAGACGCGGTCCAAGTCACCGACGAGGCAGCAAATGCCCGTGTCGAGGAGCCAGATGCGGACGGAGAGGACGACGATGCGGATGCGGATGCAGATGATGTGGAAGCAGCCACGGCAGCGCTCGTATCAGGCGAGCCCTCGAAGCCACCCCGCGTCGAAATTGTTCGGGAGCCGTTGGCTCCGCTGCAACAGATGCCGGCCCTCTCCGCTGGCGCTCCGTCCACAGCCACCTCAGGTGTACCCACCGATCTAGCGTCAAGAGACGCTCAGCCTTCGGATACCAACCTCGCCAACGCGTTGCGTAGCGAACAGAAGGACGCAGAATCCACGCTCACCGCGGAACTGCCGCCGCAGCTGCTCGCAACGTTGCGGGCCCCCGTCTTTTCCACCAGCGTCACCACCACGGTGGTCTCGCCAGCCGCTCTGCTCGAGTCCTTGGACCCTGAGGCTGCTGCAGCGCTGCTCGGCATTGAACTTGGTGATCTGTCGAACGCTGCCGACCTGCTTGAGCCTGGCTCGCTCTCGTTCAGCAAGATGTTCCCGGAGCTGCCATTGTACGGCGGGGTGACGCTCCCGGACGCAAACAGCAAGAGCGACCGACGCTGGGACGAGGGAAGCCTGAACCAGCCTCCGCGATTGACCCACGTCACCAAGCTCCTCGACTCCCGCCCGCTTCTCGTCAGCACGCTCGAGCCTTCCAAGAACCGTGCCAACGGCCGCTGGCTACCGGACAGCGACTGGGTTGTTGCTGCTGAGCAGTCGGATCCGCTTCGAGGTGTCGCCGATGGCGTGGATGCAGGATTGCCGCCTCTGCCTGGTTCGTTGCTCTTTGCCCGCAAGAGCAATCGGGCAGCCAAGGAGACCAACACTCCGACCACGACGACGCCTGCCGAGCCCTCGCAGCCGGACGTGCGCGCAGCCATGTTCATGTGGACGCCAGATGAAGACAGCTACCTGATGACGCTGGCCAAGCAATACCAGAACAACTGGGCCTTGGTCGCTGACCTCTTCAACTCGACGCGTCTCAGCACCGCTACGGACAAACGCGAGCCTTGGGACTGCTTTGACCGATGCAAGCGCATCGAGCAGGCAGCGGCTGAGGGGAAGCCGCCTCCTGCCCCACCCCAGCTGCCTCCAGCTGCAGCCGAAACGGACAAGGACGGGAAGAAGGGTGACGGCAAGGACGCTGACGCCTCGTCGAAGCGCGACAAGATGACCAAGAAGCTCGGATCCAAGTACGACGGCTCCAAGCGCAAACTTCGACGTAGCAACCTGATGGAGGTGATGCGCAAGTCGGCCAAGCGGCGCGAAGCGAGCAAGCAGGCGCAGCAGACGCAGCAGACCAAGAAGGTGAACCTCAACACGCACGAGACGCACGCGCAGATCAAAGCGGGGCCCGCCATCACGCCGCAGTCGCTGAGTGCGTTGAAGACGGAGCGTGACCAGGCGGCTCTGCGACAGTACTACGAGCAGCAGCGGGCGCAATTGGCATATCAGCAGCAGCAGCAACAGCAACAACGTCTGCTGGCTCAACAGGCGCAGGCTCAGCGGATGGCCGGACAGCCATCAGCCGGCGGCACTCCTGGTCCGACGGCCACACCGGCTGCGCAGGCAGGCAAAGCGGGTACTGCAACCCCAGCTGCCGGAGCAAATGGAGCGGCCAACCTCACTTTGCCGGTCGGCAGCGCTGCTGGCTCTCAGCCCGGACAGGCCGCTCAGGCGCAGCAGAAAGCAGCTGTTGGACAGATGCAGGTGCCACAAGCCGCTCAGCCGACTCCGCAACAGCAGCCTCCAACAGCACAAATGCAGCAGCAACAGCCCACCCAGCAGCAACAGCAACAGCAACAGCAAGTGCAAGCGCAACTTCAATCGCAACTGCAAGCCTCGCAAGCGGCGCAGATGCAGAACCTGTACGCGCAAATCCAACAGCAGCAACGACAGCAGCAGCAGAATGCGCAACTGGGTCAAGTGGCTGGGATGGCTCAAGTGCGTCCTGCCGTGGGGCCCCTCACGCAGCAGCAGCTGTCGACGTTGACGCCGCAACAGCAGCAGCAATACCACGCGCAGTTGGCGGCGGCGACGGCGGCAGCGCAGCAGCAGCAGCAGGTGCAGTTGCGCAATCAGATGGCGGCGGTGGCTGCGGCGCAGGGGGGTCAAGGTGGGGCGTTCCAGTTGCCGAATGCGCAGTTTCAGTTGATGCAGCAGCAGTCGGCGATGGCGGCGCAGGGTCGACCTTTGATGCCGAACCAGGCGCAGGCGCAAGCAGCGGCACTGCAGTTGTATCAGCAGCAACAGCGACAGGCGGCCCAAGTGCAGGCTCAGGCGCAGATGCGACCCCCCGCTTCGGGGCAGCAGCAGTTCACCGCTCGACCCGGGAACGGCACGAGACCTCCCCCCACCCCCACGCCGGCAGGCCAAACCAAAACCCCCACAGGAACCGCCTCCCCCAGCATGCCAGCCACGATCCAGGCGCTGCAACAACAACTCGCCATCTCGTTGGCAACATCCAACTTGTCGCAAGAGCAGATCAACGGGTTGGCCGTTCAACTGTATAAACAGGCCCAATCGCAACAACAGGGGGGAAGCCCGAGTGCACGACCCGCACAGAGACCACCCCAACAGATCCTCAATCAGGCCATCCAGGCACTCGCCGCGCAGAATCAGAAGAGTCAACAGCAGGCGGCGGGCGCAGCACAGGCAAGACCACCCACCCCCAGACCGACTTAGCATAGCACCGTTCAGGAACTGTTCATACCAAAGAGAAAGGGAATGCATTGCATGACAGACAAAAGCGGGTGAGGAGAAAACTATAGGCTGTTGAAGCCCATGTCAACCAATGAGAGAGAGACGATGACAAGAGTAAGCCCCGTTGAGTTACCCCTTTATTGAAAGAGGCGACCGCATAACTATGAGTGAAGATGACGAACAAGATCCGATGCATCATCGCTCCCGCCTGGGGCTGGTGCGATGGGATGAGTTGTCGGACCGGAGCGGGTTATGATGGTTTTGCGGGTTTGAACCAGTCTCAGAGAGGGGATGAGGGATGGCCGAATCTGGTCCAGGCGAATGGCGAGTGCGAACGGACGATGATGGGAAGGACACGAAGGCAGGAGACTAGGACACTGACGAAGGAGGAGGGGGATCGTAAATGAGACGAGCGCTCGTATCTTCGCTGCTCGCCTCCATCCCCCTCGCAGATCGATCGACAGCGTGCTGGTCTCGAGACAATGTGACGCCCCAAACATCGCCCTCCCCAACCATGAATCCCGAAAGGGTTGCCCGAGGCCAGTCCTGCCTACCACAACACCGATTCTCTCCAATCCGTACCCTTGCCGCAAAACCAACCCACACAGAAACCCGACAACGAAGCGTACCTACACAACGGCGTTGACATGCCGACAACCATTTCGTCCTGCTCCTCGAGGACGATCTCCAGAAAGGCACCATTGCAAGCGCGTCAAACAACGATCATCGAGTTTGCGGGTAGAAAGACTGCCTTTGATGCGCACCTTTGAGAGCAGAGAATGAAAACAAGTTCGAGGCGAGGAGGGGCAAGGCAAGACGGCCACTTTGCAAGATCGTACCATTACGGCGACGGTCGCTTTCCTATTGTGTGGTCTCTGGTCGTGCCGTTGCTCTCCCTTGTGTATCCCCTTTCTCGCTATCATCCCTTCCCTCGAAGTCACGCAGACAGCCTTCCATCCGGAAAACCACAACGACCATCTAAGCGCCCACGATGAACCACCAATCCGTACGTTACCACGTCCCTCGAAGCGAATCGAAACCGTATAACTAGCCATGCACCCGTCGGTGGTGTCTTCCGAAAAGATGTGTCCGGGGACTTTCCCTACAGCGTGTTCTTGCGACGAGGCAAGAAGAAGGCTGCAAAAGGTCGACTCCGAGGAGTCGTGAAGCGGTCCTTTGCACGTCTCTCTGAGGAAATGGTTGAGATATGCCTACTACACAAGTAGGATGAAGAGGTGGAAGTTGTTGAAACTGCCGACCTTGAAGGTGACCGCAGCATCCGAGAGGATGAGCGAGCTGAACGCACCAGCGCAGCGAGAAGGCGAGAGCCGACTTGCAGGCGGTGCATTCGATATCGTGTTTATGAGTTGGAGGAAGGAGGGGAAGGAAGTGAGCTGAACGAGAAGATCTTGTTGCTCAGCCAGGAAAAAATGCTTCGCACCCTCACAGCTGCGCTTCCGGCCGGAAAGAAGATTTGGAGCCTCCACTCACGCGCGGGGACCGATTTTGCTTTCTTCGGCAGCATCCAGCCAAAAAGAGCGAGGATCACCGTGCATCTTCTTTCACTTCCAAGCAACCCTCTTCCTCCCCTTGCATCGTCTCGAATCTGCCAATCATGCTCGCAAGATCAAGCAGGAGCCTTATCGGCTCAACATGGTCAGCAGCTGGTGTCGCGCGCCCAAGTGCGAGGCTAGCGTTGCCGTCCATCGTCTCGCAGCTCCCATTGCGACGCACCTTTGCATCGTCCCCTACAACCCGCAACTCTGCCGCCGAAAGCGAGAAGTCGAGCAATGACCACGCCGATGCGAAGGAGGTCTCGAAATTCAACCGCCTGGAATACATCCTCCGCGAGCAGGTCGAACCCACTCACGAGTCGATGATCACTCAACTCGAGGACGATCACCTTTCGCACCTCCCCCTCGTCGTGAGCAGTGGTAGCAAGTGGGCGCCGCTTCCCGCAGGATTTTCGCTCCCACGTCGTGATCGCGCTTACAAGCATAACGACCCGCTCTCGGCGCGCATCGGCGCCGAGTACGTCTACAACACGTTCAACTTCCCAACTACGCAGCACCTCAAGCGGTTCAATGCCGAGCTGGCGTCCACGCTGACGCACAAGGCGCGCAATGTGCAACCCGTCACCTTCTCCAACCCAGCCTCGCGAACCTTCACCATGGGACTGCCGTCGTTCGTCGGCCTGGAACCTCCGTACCCAGTCAACAAGAACGTGTCCCTCGTCCTCAAGCTCCTCAACGAGTACCGATTGCGAGGAACCTCCGCGGAGCACAAACAGCGCATCGCCGAGGAACTCAGGAAGTACGTCGTCCCACACGGCTTCAAGCGCACCGTCCACATCTTCAGCCTGTACGTGCTCGAGCTGTTTGAGGCACTGCGCAACGCGTCCGAGCAGGAGGCGGCGGACAAGGTCAGTTTCGGCCTGATAGGTGACGGGGAGCAGGCGATGCCTGCGCGCAAGGCGACTAATCCGGTGAAGGGCTTTGGCGCTCTTCCTGGTCCGGGACAGGAGGGCTCTAAGGGCAAGCGGGAGAGGACGCCGCGAAGGAAGTCGGAGGGAGAGAGGAAGCCCAATCTGGCAGACAGGTTGAGGGCGGACGACCCGAGGCTGCCGGAAGCAGGCACGTTTGTTGCGCAGGATGGCGGCGCGATCCAATCGAACGATGGAGTGGACGGGCTGCAGGAGCATGTGCCGTTCCCGACGCCGAGTGCGGAGGAGATGGGGATCAAGAAGCCTACTGACACCGGGACTGGCAGTCTCAGCGCCGACGACCCGAAGCTGCCGGAGGCCGGCACATTTGTCGCACAGGATGGCGAGGCACATAAGCCGAGCAAGGGCGTAGACGACTTGCAGGAGCATGTGCCATTCCCCACACCGTCAGCGCACGAGATGGGCATGAACAAGCCCACGGACGATCTGTGGAGCGCAGGCAGCCCAACCACGCCGCAAGCACCCGAGTCTGCGCCGCCGCAGCAGGCGAGTGAAAGTGTCCATGTGCCGCAAGAGCACTCGAGACCAGCCGCCGCTGACAACGACGTCAACTCGGCCGACCTTTGGAGTGCTGACAACCCCAAGCTGCCCGAAGCAGGGACATTCGTTGCGCAGGATGGGGACGCGCACAAGCCAAGCGAGGGCGTTGACTCGCTAGAAGAGCACGTCCCCTTCCCCAAGCCAACAGCGGAAGAGATGGGCATCAAGAAGCCTACCGAGTGATATATGCGGAATGCAACCTTTCTGGCGGAATCCCTGCTTGTGTGTGGAATGTGTTGGAGCGGCGACTGTGAGCGCAGAGTGGTCTGCTGTGAGGTCCTTGGTCGAGATGATGTGAGCGATGGTGCCTGCATACGGCGAATTTCTCGGCGAAATCCAGCCTCCGTTCGCCCGCGGAAGTGTTGTTGTTAGCTGAGTTGTCGCGTGGACAGGTTCGAAGAAGAATCGAACATCAAGCTCAAGCTCGTCTGTCGTTGTATCCTCGACGCTTGCATGCTCATTCGTACTGTCTGCAGGACATCGCCGATCGCACTCAAGCTCTCGAACCGGCAGATTCATCTCGTGAAAGCTCGCCCGGCAGCCTTTCGCAAGATGACAGACTCAGCAGCACCATCAAACTCGTCCGCCCCACCCAAGAAGGGCAAGCAAAATCGGCCGTCACCCGAGGAGATCGAGGCCAAGCGTCGCGAGCGTGCAGCCAAGAAGGAGAAGGAAGCAGCCGAAAAGGCAGCGAAGGAAGCCGAGCTCGCTGCCGCCATCGCTGCCAACGGCAAGATTCCCAATGGCCACCTCGATGACCAGGGCAATACGCTTTTCATCCCTCGCGACTGGGCCTCCGTTGCCTCGACCGATGCCGCCTCGCAACGCCAGAAGGTCCGCGTTGTAAGCTGGAACATCCTTGCCCAAGGTTTGGTCCGACGAACGCTCTTCCCCGGCTCCGACGCCCTCAAGTTCAAAGACCGCTCTGTTGGATTGACGGCAGAGCTCTCGAGCCGCACGGGGCACGGCTGGGACGTCGGCTGCTTCCAGGAGGTTGATCGAATGGACGTACACGGCGAGACGATGCGCAAGGACGGTTTCAGCTACGTGTACGAGAAAGGGTACAGGCAGAAGCAGCACGGTCTGCTCGTGGCGTGGCGCAAAGATCTGTTCGGCGAAACAGCATCCAAGCAGCTGACAATCGATTTGGACGCCGAGAACGTCGCGCCAGCGGGTGAAGAGGTGAGGACTGCCTGCTCGAGAGTCACACGGAACGTCGGGCTGGTCGTCGCTCTCCGTCTGCAAAGTAAGGATGGGGAAGGTGCGTCAAGTCCAGGGCTGATCGTCGGCACGACCCACCTTTTCTGGCACCCGATGCATGCGTACGAACGAGCAAGGCAGTCCGGGATCCTGGTGCGCAGGCTGCAAGAGTTCAGAGAGGAGCTTGGGGAGGAGTGGAAAGCCGCACCTTGTGTGCTGGCGGGCGACTTCAATGACCAGCCTCACTCGGCGACGTATCACCTGCTGACGGGTCGCAAGCTCACCCAGCACTGCTTTGACGAGGTGGCATCGTCGAGTGTGGTGCACAAGAGCATCGACGAGCGCCGCGAGAAGGGAGGTGGGTCCAACGGATTTGCGCCGGGAACGACGGAGCCAGCTCGCGATGCGCCTGCCAACAAGGGCCAACCTGCAATGAGCGAGGTGTTTGACGGTCTGGCCAAGCAGGCACAGCTGGAAGGGAACGAGGAGCCGGCGGACGAGGAAGAGGACGCGGAGGAGCCGGAAGACGAAGAGGGCGAGGGGGAAGAAGGTGCGGATGATCGGATGCTCAAGAACTGCCGTGCTGCTACGGCAGAGGACGCCCTGCTATCTATCGACGAGCTGATCCAGCTGCACGACGTTTCACGGCCACGCCCCAGCTCATCCTCTGCTCAGTCCACCGAGACCCGACCAGAGGCCTCAAGATCAGACCACCTGGGCTCAGCCTACGCCCTCCACTACGGCCACATCCCGTCCGAAGACGGCAACTACTTCGGCTCGGCCGCTCGAGGCCGCGAACGATGGGACGACGAAGCCTGGACGCCCGAAACGCCCAATGTCCACACGGGCGACAGCACCGAGCCCATGTGGACCATCTTTTCGAGCCTCTTTTCTCTCACGCTCGACTACATCTTTATGCTGCCCAAGAGCGAAGGGCGGTATCCATCAGTCACGCGGCTGCTTCGCACACACCGCACAGAGACACTCCAACCAGGCGTGCCGAGGAAGGGCGTCTGCGCTTCGGATCACGTTGCTATCGGCGCCGAGATCGAGCTATGAATTCAAGAGCAATGTGATAGAACTCCAGAGCGATGCTCGTTCCCACGCACGATCAGTCAGCCTCTCTTGGCAGTGCGCTTCGCTTTGCGTTTGAGCGTGATCGTGTGATCCTGAGACGTTGTGGCGATTGAGATAACTTAGCATCCAAGTTGAGAATCGGTCATCGGATGGTGTTGGTCTCTTGAGTTGAAGCGAGCACCGATTTTTTTGACGCGAAAGCCGACGCACGCTTGGACCCTTGCGAACTCGCATGTGCTTTGCAGATCCTGCCATCATCCCCTACATCGTCACTGCGCCTTGTCCACGCCTTCCCGTGATTCAACCGCTTGCCTTTTGACAACGCGCCATCGTTGCGGGGTCATCTCTTGCTGCGCATACCCTGCCATGGCGCGATGACAATCACAGACACGCAAGGAGGCTCGAAGGTTCCTCTGACGCCTGCGATGACGACAGAGGATTCTCAACGTGATGGTAGCAGCCGCCAGGACCTCGAAGATGACTCGGCAATCACCGCGAAAACAAGAAACACCAAGGAGGATTTCGATAGCAGGGACACGGAAGGCAGAGATGCTGCCGCGGGGACTTCTAATACGATGAAGCCAAGCACAACGTATGGGATCGGTCAGACTCGCCCGGAGCCTGAAATAACAGGTGCTCCGTCCTCATCTCACAGCGTAGCGCAGGAGGATGCGGTGCTGCGCAAGGACTTCGAGTCCGGGCAAGAAGAATCCAGTACACCCGTCATTGCAGACAATGCCTCACAGATCGATCCATCGGCCCCCAAAGAGGCCCGTATCGCGAACAACATCAAGACCGCCAACACCATTCCAGATCCAGCGGTGTCGCTCTCAGCTGCCAGATCCACCATGCTGCCGCCCAGACCGAACATGCTGCCTCCACCAAGACCCAGCACTGCTGCTTCCTCGTTCATCAATCCGACTCCCACCTTGACACCTGGCTCAACATGGGGACCTTCCGCTGCTTTTGCCGCTGCTGCTCGAGCCGAAGCTGCCGAACCAGGAAGAATCGGCGACCTCAAACGCTTCACTCTGTGGGAGACAAAGACACGCTTCTACCTCGTCGCATACAACACTAGTCAGACAAGATTTCGTATTCTCAAGGTGGATCGAACACCGCCCAGCCTCAATGTGCCGCCACGTTCCGCTGCCGAGTCGGAGAAGGCTCGCGATCCCGTCGCTACGACAGCCAAGAGCGCAGCTTCAGAGCAGGAATCAGTCGTGCCTGCTGCAAAGGGTACTGTGTCGGCAGCTGGTTTAGCGGGCACTTCTAAGGATGCGAAAGCCGATGCTGGCAGAGGGCCAAAGGCTGAAGGTGCAGCAAGCGCAGCAGACTGCTCAGTGCGTGGACAACGGTTCCTTTCTCTCGACGATCCGCAGATTTGCAGACTCAACCGACGCATGCTCGATAGCAAGCAAGTACCTCGAGATTCTGCAGCAACACCAGCTGTCCCTTCGGCAGCGAGCTTCACCAAGGCTACAGGCGCCAACGCCGCCTCAAAGCCGGCTCCCGTGTCCGCCGTAGCTGCCGATATCAGCACGAGCGCTCCTTCCACCTCTTCAGCAGCAAAGCCAACTGAGACGTCATCAGCCTCAAAGACTTTCAGCACCGCCGCAAAGGGCAGCTCAAATGATTGGGAACTCAACGTCACCTCAGACCGCGTAGTCTACTCTCGCACTCAGGTGGCGGAGCTCCTCGACATGATCCGCGAGGGGAACCGCGCCACCGGTGGTCTCCAAGAAGTTGGCCGCTTCTTTGGCATCGTCGGCTTCATTCGCTTCACGAGCACATACTATATGGTGCTCATCAGTCGTCGCAGCGTGGTCGCCTTGATTGGCGGCCACTACATATACCATTGCGACGAGACGGTCATTCTGCCCGTATGCCATCAATCCGTGCTATCATCCATGCCAGGGCGCACAAAGCTCCTGGAGCAGGAAGAGGCGCGTCTGCTGCATCTCTTCAAGCAAGTTGATCTCAGCAAGAACTTCTACTTTAGTTACACGTACGACTTGACCAAGACTCTCCAAGACAATCTTACCTCGACGCCAGGTGATCCCCTTGAGCAAGCTAGCTCCGTCTCGCCCTCCAACAAGCCCCTCACAGCGTGGGGCTACAACGAAAAGTTCATCTGGAACCATCATCTGCTGCTGCCAGCCTTCGCCGCGTCAGAACACCTGCAACCCCACGAGGATCCTCGGAATGAATGGGTCCTGCCATTGGTCTATGGATTTGTCGATCAAGCCAAGCTGAGCGTCCTCAACCGCACAGTGTATACCACGCTCATCGCTCGCAGGTCGCGTCACTTTGCCGGTGCACGCTTCCTAAAGCGAGGCATCAACGAGCAAGGTCATGTGGCCAACGACGTCGAGACCGAGCAGATTGTCAGTGAAGCGCTTACGACCTCCTTCTTCGCCCCAGGCAGAAAGCCCTTCGAGCCGAAAAAGAGGCATCCTGGGTTCGCACCCAATGGAAGGCGGGGCATGGATCTGATACGCGCGAGTCGCCTGCGCGAGAAACCCTACTTTCCGCCCTACATGTCCGCGAACAGCAGCAATGCAAGACCGCACCATGAACAGGACGGCGAGGAAGACGATGAGGACCTGCCCTTGGACGCCTCGCCTCGGTACACGTCTTATGTCATGATGCGAGGAAGTATCCCAGTCTACTGGACGCAAGATTCGACCAACATGTCACCTCGTCCTCCGATCGAGATCTCGCTGGTCGACCCATACTATTCCGCGGCGGCGCTGCATTTCGACGAGCTCTTCCATCGCTATGGAACACCCGTCATCGTGCTCAATCTGATCAAGGCCAAAGAGAAGCAAGAGCGCGAGGTCAAGCTGCTGAGATCTTTCGGCGAATGCATCAGCTACCTCAATCAGTTCTTGCCTTCTAGCAAAAGGATCAAGTACATCGCATGGGACATGAGTCAAGCCAGCAAGGACCAGAGTCAGGACGTCATCGGCATTTTGGAGGACATTGCGCAAGAAATGCTCGACACCACGCATTTCTTCCACTCGGGTCCGGAGCCAGGTGCTGTTCGGGTTCAGCTGAACTCACGCGACGGGAGCAGCTCTGACGAGTCAAGAAGCACAGCCGCCCGCAGAAAGACGATACTGCTGCAGGAAGGTGTCGCGAGGGTCAACTGTGTCGACTGCCTCGACCGGACCAATGCAGCGCAATTTGTCATCGGCAAGGCGGCCTTTGGGCACCAGCTTCATGCGCTCGGTCTGCTCGACGACCCTTACTTGCCCTTCGACTCGGATGCCGTCAACATGCTCACCGAGATGTACCACGATCTCGGCGATACAATCGCCATGCAGTACGGCGGTTCTGCTCTCGCTCACACGACGGACACCTACCGAAAGAAGAACCAGTGGACCTCTCACTCGCGGGACGTGCTTGAGAGCGTCAAGCGATACTATGCAAATTCCTTTGCTGATGCAGACAAGCAAGCCGCAATCAACCTCTTCCTCGGTGTTGACCCAATGGCGCCAGATTTCGCTCCGCATGCTTTCCCAGAGACCATCCTCGTGCCTACAACAGCCGGAGGAAGCCATCAGGACGAGGAGAGCTCAAAGAAGGCAGTGCGCGCGGTGCCATTCCGACCGCACTATCAGCACTGGTACGATCCTCTGCATCTCCAGCCACACGGTTCCATAGAAGCACGTCAACGGAGACTCAAGGAGGTCGCAAACGCCGATGCTGGCTTCTGGGCCGAATATTATCGACCGAGCCTCTTTACCGACCTCAATCGTCACCACGCCTTCAAAATGACCGCAGTGCACCAGTACTCGCATCTGCATGGTGGCGTGTCGCATTCTTCGGGCGGCTTGGGGATGCCGCACAGCCAGTCTGCTTTGAGCATGTACTCAACACAGATCGGCGGCACGGCAGATCTCTCACGCCACACTCGCTCTGCATCCAGCTCGAGTTTGGCTTCTACGGCGTTCAATCCTATGCAGGCTGAGCTGATGGTCGAGTATCCCAGCCCCTTCAAGCCGCGCGGGTACAAGAATTCGCAGCAACAACAGCATCGTCGTCAGTCGCTGGAAGATGCACGTAGCTTCATCACGCAGACATCCGCGACTATGGTCAATGATCCGCGAAGCCCTACCTCGCCTCAGAAAGGGTTTCAATACTCGTCGTCCCCAGCGACGTCGACGACGACGACTCTGCCACCGTCGAAAGCGATCATTGGCGGAGTGCGACGCTGGATCTCGATCAACAAACCGGGTGGGTCTCCTCGAATCGGCATTCATGGTCAGCGTAGGGGCAGCAAGCGATACAGCATCGCATCCTCGGATGGTGGAGAAGGTCCCTCTGGCGATGCAGGACGGAAAGGTGCCTCGGTTCAGAGTCGCAATGGTGGCATGAATGGAGCTAGCACGTCCTTGTCCTCAGGGAGCACAGCCGGTGGATTCGACCCGCATACCTTCAACTTCGCCGGCCGTTGGCAGACCGTCAATCCCGTAGGCCCAGCCGTCGCTGGTGCCAACGTGGCCATCGAGGCAGCGCTCACCAAGGCATGCAATCCGTACATTTCGGAGGAGGAAGAGTCCGAGTATGCATTCTACACGACGCAATTCCTCGACGAGTACGCGCGGCCGAGCGACACTCGCTCGGATGAAGTCGCCGATGTCACCATCGGGCTCGAGCGGCACGCGCGTCCCGCGAATGCGGCGTTGACGGACCATCACCTGATCGACGAGAAGGACATCCAAATCTACGAAGACGGAGTAGCGATCAGCGACGGCAAGCCGAGCGCAGTGGACCGGTTCGTGCGCTACTCGAACGTCGACCCGGTGCTTGTCACGCATGCTAATGCTGCCAGCCAGCTCGCCTACTCGATGGCAACTACTGCATACCAGCCTGTACCCATGACGGCGGGCGGCTCGTTGAGCGCTGTTGGCGGGGCAGTGTCTACTCCCGCGGTGCCGGCTACAGGCTTGACTGCGTCTGAGGCCAAGATCCGCGCTTACAGCTCTTGGCTGTCGCTGGGACAGACCAAATTGGCTAGCTTTTAGTGGTGCAATGCACGAATATACCCTTGCTTCGCGAAGCACAGACTGAGCGTGACACAGATGCAAACGCGCGCAGCCAAGGTGTGTGGGAGATGATGATGCTGAGTCGAGATGAGAGTGCAGATGATGTTACAAATACAGATGGGCTGGCCGTCAAAGCAATCCGCTTGCAGGCCTGGGTATGTTTGTCGAGAGCAAGAGAGGTCGGTCGAAAAAGATCCGTAGGCGGTGTCATTTGAACATGACTTGGATCGAAAAGGTCTTCCCATCGGGGTCGTAGTAGCTCCAAGTCGCGGGCTCCGGCCTTGGTCTCGCTCCTGGCGCAGAAGACGTCACGAGCCCTGTATCCCTCCTGTCGATCTCCCTGCTCTGGAGCTTGAACGCGATCGTCTCGTATGGCTCCGCTGCAACCACGAGGTACTGGTGGTTCCGATCCGGCGTCTCGACCTTTTGTTCGAACGCGCCCATAAACCTGTGCATTGGCGTGACCCCTTCTTTGATCTCTGGCAGCGATACTTGGAATAGCAGTCCTAGTCTCCCTCCCTCTCCACCTTCCAGTAGCGGCTCCCGTACCTTGCTGACCTTGTACCCCGGCCTTCCGATCTTGACAAATTGCTTCTTGGGCACCGTCTCGACCGCAGTTGCGGTGAGGAGCTTGTTCGAGTTGTACGCATTCTCCTTCGCTTCCCGCGCCGCTCTCCTCGCCAGATTGGCTTGATGCTTCTTTCCCTGAGTGTGTGCGAGATAGCTGCCCTCGTTGGTATGCAGCGTGAGGCAGAGCCTACATTCGAGTCCGCCAAGGTGGTTCTTGAGCAGGTAAGGGTCTTTTGCGAGATCGATGGTCTCGAGCGCCAGCTTCCGGAGGCGGTCGCGGCGGTCGACATTGGACTCCGAGGCACCGGCGATACCGGCGCCCTTGTTGCCGCCTCGAGAAGAGAAGTCCATGTCGTCCGCGGCTTGATCTGTGGATGAAGGTAAGAGTCGAAGTGCGAACGAAGGTCGAGGTTGCAATGGGCCAAAAAGTGATCTTCCGAAGTCCGAACTCTTTCGAAAACTTGCAGAGTGTTACATCGCGTTTTCGTTGGGCTCCATCTTTGCGGAAAATGCGAGACGATCACTCCACATCGAAGCCTGGAAACGCGTTCGTAGGCTCCGATGCCTCAAGGTGAGTCCACGCAAGCTCAGCAAAGTGCACGCTTGAGCCACCTGTCACTTTTGACCCATCGTATCTTCATCCTCACCATTTCCATCATCATTGTTGCCGACGTCGTTTGCACCAGCACCGCAAGAGACACGAACCCCAGTACGGATCAGCAACAAGCTCAGCGACCACTCGGCATCATGGTCCACTTCCACCCCGGTCAAACCTGGTCTTCAAGCCCCAACCAGGCGTACGCCAACATGGGGACGCCCTCGTTCAGCTCTGCAGCTGCCTCATCCTCGTCCGACCCGACCTCGCACACATCTCAACCCATCGTCACTGGTACCTCGGTGCTCGGGCTCAAGTACAAGGACGGTATCATGCTGGCCACGGACACGCTCGCATCGTACGGCTCGCTCGCGCGATTCATGGACATCACCCGAATCTCGCAGTTCGGGCAGCACACCCTCATCGGCGCATCGGGCGACATGAGCGACTGGCAGTACGTCCAGCACATGCTGAACAAACTCATGACCTCCGAACAGGTCGCTGCGGACGGTCACACGCTGACGCCCACCCAGATCTATGCCTACCTCGCGAGAGTCATGTACAAGAGGAGGAGCGACATCAACCCGCTGTGGAATTCATTCGTTCTCGGTGGTGTGGACCCCAAGGATGGAACACCGTTCTTGGGCTATGTCGATCTGTTGGGAACCACGTTTACGAGCAGCACCATCGCCACTGGATTCGGTATGCACCTCGCCCAACCACTGCTCAGGAAGATGGTCGAAGGAAGGGAGGATAGCTTGACGGAAGCGGAGGCCAAGGATATCTTGGAGAACTGCATGAAGGTGCTCTTCTACCGCGATGCGAGATCGCTCAACAGATTTAGGGTTGCCAAGGTGTCGAGAGAGGGATGCGAGATTTCGGAGCCATACAGCGTCGCGACGTCCTGGGCCTTTGCGGAGAAGCTGCGCGGCTACGGGCCCCAGACTCAGTAATTGCAGCATCCGCACACTCACGCCACTTGCACTGTACCAATACATTTGTTTTCCACTGACGCTTTGCTCGTCTGTGCGTCGAACTGCGAGTCGCATCAGCCGGTGTGCATCATACCGACGACAATCTCTCTTTTCGCCGTCGGCCGCTGCCGAACACGGCGATCTCCATCCTTCATCACACGCAGAGCCGATATCCGAAGACCCGACAGGATAGATAGCGCAGTCCCTTGGGACGAAAGCCCAGCTCATCTGTCACGCAGCCGCTTCGACGAATACCGCGGAACACGGACGGCCCGTACACCGGGCCCGTTCGGCGGTGGTCGCGCCAATTTGGCGCCATGTGATGCTTCAGAAAGTTCGTGGACAAGCTTGACAGAGTCGCGCGGCGTAAGGTTCGACCTTCGGAGCGGCCGCCATCCAGAGTTGTGATCGTCACATTACCTCAGCGACTCAGCCAGGTAGTCGGCAGTTCTGCATAGTGGGCGCACACTCCAATCAACCTCAAACATGTGCCAGGGCGACGTCGCCCGTGACTGTGTCGATCATCGAAGAGAAGCTCGACGCCACTGACTCGGTCGCACCTTGTGCTCTGGCACACGGACATCGATGACTGCTGAGCAGAGCGACGTGACAGGTGGCCGCAACCTCCGATCATGTCAGCCGACCAGAAGGCTCCTGCGCTCAGACGCCAAACGCCCTTTCGCTGCCTCCGACACTCGTGTGAACTCGCGTCGTGTCACGCCCACTGTGATGATCGGAAACGCCGTCTTGTCCACACCGATTCCGCTGAACAGCTGCGAGAGATCGCGGCTGGTTAGCTGCTCGAGATGAATGGCGCGGGTTGAGAAATGAAGCCCCACCGAGCTCGTACCGGAACATTAAGCCTTCATATAGGCGTCATGCACGATAGTGTGCCAGCCACAAGCCCTCGCAAATGGAGCATCACGGCGCCTCTTGTTTCCCTCCAAGTCGAGAAGATTCGAGGGGATTACGCAGACTCCTGACGAGCAAACATTGTTGTGGCCTCCTCGTTGCTCGAACCGCCGTTAAGAACCATCACGTTGTTGGTCACAAAAGTCCCGTGTAAGCTGTGTCATCGACTCTGGGTCGACAAGCCTCTGCAGTGCACGCATGGGAAGCACTTCGAGACCGCCTTCGGCACTTCTCCGCCGCGGTCATTCAACTGTCGTGACAACGCCTCCCTCGGCAGTCCCTTCTCGCCTCGCAGCGATGTGGGTATGCTCGCGGTTACCGTTTCAAAGGCGGAAAGACCGAGCCAATACCTTTCGTATCTGTCACTTCCGGAAAGCACTCCGAACCAAGTCGTCTCTCTTCGTGCTCTCCTGCTGACTCGGTCACATCCTCCCTCATGGCGCACCTTTGCTGACTTCATCTCCCCTGACACTTGCCCACAGTCACCTCATCCCGGACTCGAAATGGATTCACACGGTCAGAGCCGCGTGATTGCGCTCTCTCATATGGGCTCACAGCCAAGGCAGACGGCACATCCGCCGCCTCGAAGTGCGCCTGTTCGGAACCTAGGCTGAAGACTGGCTGAGCAATTAGCTGCCGTCCGTCCGCCTTGGCACCGACGCCATCTCACCAAACAGCTCCTTCACATCGACAGAGTGAGGCAACCTCGCCAACAGCGCGCAACCGTGGTCGGTGGGGTCCATCGTCGCCACATCATCCCCCTTCGTCTACTGTCACTGACATCTGTCACCAACAGCTACAGTCAGCCTCCCTCGGCCCACCCGGAGCTGGGCTTCCTGCGAGCCACAGTGGGCTTCGGCGCTGCCGTTGCCGCACAGCTTTGCCCGGGTTACAGTGTGTGGGAGGTGGACACTTATAAGCGGCTCAGTCAAAAGGAGAAGCTCGTCCTGTCACTCCCCTTTCTCCTCATCGATCACCCCTCGCAGACTTCTTCTCCTGTCGACTTTCACCCTCCAGCCGGGCACAAACTCGTGATAGTGCCTTTTCACATCAATCTTCCAGTAGGATGAGGCATTCGTGGATATCATTGGCCTTCATCTGGCTAGCTGCCCAGGCTGTTCTGGCTTTTCCAGCGTCATTCGGTGCAAACGAGCATAGCAGCGATGCCAATACACCGACCATTCGATCTGATACAGACTCATCTGGCTCGGACTTCTTTCTCGGATCTGATATTCTTGGTGGCGACGGAGTCAGTGGTGTCTTGCGTAATCTTGGCGACACCGTGATCCGAGTGGGTCAAGGTCGACATCCGGAATCTCAGGCTCTTGGGGCAGACCATCGCCACGAGTACGAGAACGAACGTGGGCACGGACACCAAGGAAGGCTGGACCGAGAGCACGGCAAGGGTCATGGCGGTTCTTACACCAGCGGTGACGACCGTTACCACGGCAAACCAGGCAAGTGCAAGGAGCGCGACTTCACCCCGCGCACGCGTCATTTCGACTGGACAGTGACGTATGGCTCTCAAGCACCCGACGGCTTCCTCAAGAAGCGCATCTTGGTCAACGGTCAATCTCCCGGCCCAACGATCGACGCCAACGAGGGCGACACCATCGTCGTCCGAGTCCGAAACCTCCTCGACCAGGGCACCTCCATCCACTGGCACGGCATGTTTCAGAACAGCACGCCCTTCATGGACGGCATCGCTGGCTTCTCGCAATGCCCCATCCCGGCCGGTGGCGAGCTCACCTACCGCTTCAAGATCCAGAACCAGTGCGGCTCGTACTGGTGGCACAGTCACTCCAAGATGCAGTACACCGACGGTCTCTATGGGGCGCTCATTGTACACTGTAGAAACGCGCCGTACAAGAAGTGCCGCGACTACGACGACGAACGGATCTTTATGTTTGCCGACAACTACCACGACTTTGCCGACTCGATTGTCGAGCAGCTGCTCTCAGCGCAGGGGTACAACGGGACTGCTGCGGCGCCTTCTCCGCAGTCCGGGCTGATCAACGGTCGGGGACAATTCAACTGCGCTGCTCTGGCACGAGCGAGGACCAAGCAGCCAGGCACGCCTGCTAGGTGCACTCAGCTCGCTGCCCCTAAGATGAAGATCGAGCCGAACAAAAGATACCTCTTCCGTTTCATCAACACGGGATCTCATGCGCAGCACATCATCTCGATCGACCGGCACGAGATGTACGTCGTCGCTGCAGACGGTACGCCGGTCAAGAAGCACAGAGTCCACCGCATCCCCATCCACAACGGGCAGAGGCACGATGTCATCGTCCGCACGAACAAAGGTCAGGACGGGGACAGCTTCCTCCTCCGCTCGACCATGATGACTTCGTGCTTCTCGTTCGTCGACCCCTTGCTTGACCCGGTGGCCAACCTCACGCTGCAGTACCACAAGCCCGGAAGTCGAGTCCATCCTCGCGCACCCATCCCGCGCGATTGGAAAGATGCACTTGGTGGCCTGTGTCGAGATCTCAACGACTCCGAGCTCGTTCCTGCGGTCGACACCTCCGTCCCTGCGAACCACAACCTCGCCTCGCTCGGCATCTTCAATTCTCAATTTGGCAACCTGCAGCTCGCCAACGGCACCACCCTCGGCCGCTTCTTCATCGACGGCGTCACCCAGACCAACTACGTCAACCGACCGTATCTCGAGGTCACCCACGCTGGGCAGCGGATCAATTCCTCTACGATCGCCTCGCTCGTCATCCCGGACGACATCTGGGTGGCTGACTTCATCATCAACAACGAAGACACGTTTCTCGACCATCCGTTCCACCTGCATGGGACGGACATGCACGTTGTCGCCCGCGGGATGGGCAGGATGTCGCAAGCCCAATGGGTGGCCTTGAATCGGAACGGCCGCGCGCAAGGGGCACGCGCGACTGGATTGAACCTGCGCAACCCGCTCCGGAGGGACACGATCACAGTGACGAGATCGAGCTACGTCGTGGTGAGGATCATCGCGGATCTGCCTGGCGTGTGGCCGATGCACTGCCACATCGCGATGCATGTCGCCGAAGGACTGATGGCGGCGGTGGCGATCCACCCGAGGAAGGTGCAGCAGATGCCGTTTAGTCAAGAGGTGCTCGATCTGTGCCCCACCTCGCCGGCCGCGCTGAACGTCGTTGAGCCCGCGTGAGGCGAGCTCAGAAACCGGTCGCTTAACACCTCGTCACCATCGCTTCTTGTTCTCACAATGACTCCCAATGCTGCCCTGAAGGCGATCTACGGACACTCGCAAACAAAAGCCAAGCCCGGCACTTTCACCATCACCTCCGACTCGAACCTCAGATGACATGTGCAACAATGAATGCTGTGCTTCAACTCCAGCGTGATACAAATACAAATGAGATCAAATCACTCTCAAACTCCAAGCGCCGACCCTGGGCACGCCTGCAACATCTCCCAACCCGAATCCCAACCCCTTGAGCACCTCCTGCGTCGTCTCGTGACCCGTTGCCCGCATGAGCTGTACTAGATCTTCGCACACCACATGTCTTCCCGAGTGATAGGCCGTCCCATCCGAGTCGTTGACGAAGATCAGTGGCAGCAAGAAGTGGGCTGGTACTCCGCCCTTGGGTGAACCCGCTTTGCCTGTTAGCGCGACCCTGAGCATGTCTCGTAACGCAGGGAGGCTGACGGTGATAAACGCCTCGGGGTCCTCGCCCATCTCTTTGCGCTTGGTGCTGTGTTGCACGCGCAAGGGACCGAGGGGGCCGACCCATACGTCGAGCGGGATGGGTTCCGCCGTGATCGCTGCCGGAACGATAAAGTTCGTCACGGTCGTCACCAGCGTATGCCGCGCCTGGTCGTAGGTGGGCATCGACGTGATAAGCGGGAACGGCGTCATGGGCACCTCGCATGGGCCTTCGTCTTTACTCGCCTGCGTGGCAGAGGTGTCAAAGTACGAATACTCGAAGCGCGATACGCCGATCACCGTCCAAACGAAGCTATCGTCCACCTCATCTACCGTCTTCTCCCCCGAGCTGTGGTCCTTAGCGACGGTAAGCGTTTTCGGCGTGACATAGACGATCGAGTTGCTCTCCGGCGTTTTGTGCGTGTCGTGGGTGGATGCTGGTGGAAAATCGGAGCCTGCACCGTCCGAATGCGTCGAAGCGAAGGTCACCGCCAAAGGTTCCGCCCCGAGTTTGTCGGACGACGTGTGTCGCCAGGAATCTGGGATGGTGGCACAGAGGTAGCTCCGAGGGGTGGAAAAGTTGGGCTCGAGATGCTCCGAGTCGCCAAAGACGGTTTCGGCGTCGTTGCTTGGCACAAAGCGCATCAGGGCCACTTTTTGCAACTGCCCGACGGGTCCGTAGAGGTTGAGGTCGTCGGTGTTCTTGCTCTCGGCGTCGTTTGCGCTGGCGCCGACGCTTGCTGCAGTCTGAGTCTGGAAGGTCTCGCCCCCCTCGACCTTGATCGCGGACGACATGCTGCTTCCGGGCTTCTCGCTGGTCGCCGCATTGCTCGTTGAGGGTCCGTTACCGTTGGATGATCCGCTGACGGCAGCCAACTTGTCCCGCAACGCCCGATCGATGGGCACTCGTCGCGACTTGTTCCCCGACCCCGCCGTCAGCAGCTCCCCCGGCGGATCCAGCTGCGGCAACTGCACCACCCCCTTGTCCACCTTGCACACCACCAGCGGGTCGCTACTGCACCCACTGTTCACGTCCGTCAGCACAACCGTCGAGCCGTACGTAACGCTGTCCTCTTCCGCCCCTGCGAGATCCGCCAGGGGTGGACGGGAGATGAGCGTCACGCGGTAGGTTGACCACTCGCCGCCATGGGCCAGCAAGCTCCCCTCGACACTGCTGTGCATGTACTTTGTGCGGGCAGATTGCGAGTTGATGCGGTTGAACAGGGAGACGAGCGATCCGTTGTGGATCTGATTTGTCTGGCCGCGAGGTTTGGCAGTCTTCTTGGAGGATTTGGAGATGATTGTGACGGGGGCGGATTCGAACGATGCCCATGCAAGACCCTTGGGTAGGCGAGAGAGGGCCTCCGAGCTTGTCTCCTCGTTGGCTGGACTACCCGCGCCGGGAGCGGGGGAAAGCGCGTCAGCGCGGGACTTCTTGAGCGGACTGAACAACGGCAGGTGCGGTTCCAGCCCCGAAGGACGCAGCAGATTCAGCTGCAGACGAAACGACTTGGATCTTCCCGTAGGTGTAACGTAGAGAGACCGCATCTTGGTCTCCAGGCCACTGTCAAGCACGGCAACCGTCTCATTCGAGAAAAACTCGTCCGTGTCTCCACGCACAAGCAGGCTGACGCGGCACTGATCCTCCTCATCCGCATCCTCTGCCATGCTCGACGTGGTCAGCGTAGCAGCTCCGTGCTCGGCGTACCTCCTCAGCGGGCCCGTGACGCTGATTATGGGTGGAGGGTTGAAGAATCGTTTTTCCGATCCATAGCTCTTTTGTGCCACCGAGGCGTGTGCGCATCGAATGGTGGTCATCTTAGTCTTGGACGACTCTGCGACGATGGGACCGGTGACGGTGTTGGGCTTGGTGAGCGTGTCGATGCTGGCAATGTACTCGGCGATGGCCTTTTCGACTCGAGTGCGGCGCTCCATAGGCCCGATCTCGCGGTACTTGCGCTTGCCCAAGATCTTTTTGGGCTTCTTGATGGGTTTCGAGGGCTTCGATGGCGAGGGCTTGAGTTTTGTAGGGCACTCTTCTGGGGCCTTGGACGCTTCCGCGGAAGGCTCTGTGGCGAGACTGGAATGGAGGCTGGCCATGAACAGTTCCAGACTGGCGTCGATGGCTTCGTTGCCGACGGCGCCCGTCTTCTCGCCGCTCTCAGTGGAAGCCGCAGGGACGGATGCGTCTTCGCTCGGCTGAGAAGCAGCGCTGATGGTGGCTTCGTGCGTCGAGGACTCGGCTGGCAGCAAATTGGCTTCGCGCAATAGATTGTCGACGAAGCTCTGGGCGGCACTGTCTGCGGCCGTGGCCGATGCTTGAGGCTCGGGCGTCGCAAAAGCTGTGTGAGCGACGGAAGCGGTGCCTAGCTGAGGTGTCGCCTGTAGTGATGCTACCTCCGATTGTTGTGGTGCAGGCGAGCCAGACAGCGGTGTGGGCATGAGCGAAGCAATGAGTGTCTCGAAGGAGGCGATATCCTCAGCTGTCGCCGGTGTCCCCTCGCCTTGGGTCGGCGTGTTGTAAGTCGTGTTGATGTTGGAAGCCTCGATTGGTGTGTGAAGTGCTTCAGTTTGCGAACCAAGCTGACCGGTCAAGCTCGCGGTGAAGGCGTGGATCTGCTCTTCCAGTGACGGTTCAGCATCGGCCGTTTTCTCGAGTGCTGTAGGAGGAGGCAGCAAGTTTGTCAGGTTGGCGGCGCCGAGTGACGGAGTGCCATCCATCATGGAGGACCCAAAAGGAGCAGGCCGGCTCGAGGCAGCGTCGTCGTTGCTGAATCCGGGGCCAGCGTGAGGCTGTTGGTTCTTGAATGAGTCGGTGCTTTGATCCGATGACCCGCCTACTGAGCCAGCAACAGCCGAATCTATTGACTCGCCTGCCTCCATTCTGTCGATGCTATGTCCGTGCTGCAGCAGCGGCTCCGTCTCGCATGTGCTTGAGTGTGCTTCAATGCTTGAAGAGAAGCCTATCCGTTCGGGCAAGGTTCCGACGATGACACTGCGAGATTAGCTGACTCGATGTGATCTTATTCGGGAGCGCTCCGGTGAAGCGTGGGAACGTCGGTAGAGCCGTTCAGCTGTTGAGCGAGACTTCTGTGTAGGTCCCGCAGCTTCCTAGCCGTTACGAGTTGGCTTCTGGGACGAAGACGCTGGATGCTCTTTGAAGGGTGTGGGGACGACGGTCGAAAGTATCGATGAAAGCTGTCTCTGATGCAGGGTCGAGATGTTCTCGTTTCAAGAAAAATTTCAAGGCAGCACATCACGGACCAACCGCCTAGAGCACCCTCTGACTTTCTGGAAATTTAGAAAATGCACGCCCTAAAATCACCCACAAAAAACGGGGCACACAAATTAAGTCGAAAAATCCACCTGTCAGCTCCACTTTCGTCTGTCCGCCCACACTGTTCAAGTGCCCTCGGTTCCGACTGTGACTTCACAGGGCCAAGTGAAGTGCGGGTCGCTGAGCTGCGTCCAAGAACGCATTGACTCAGGACGCGTTGATGTGATTGACAGAAAAGCAACTTCAACTTTGATCTTTGCCACAAAGCGTGACGATCAAGAACTCAGCCTTCCTTCCTTCCAACCACATCCTCGTCTCTCGAGTTCGACCCGTACACACCGCAAAACCTCGGTCTTCCACACACACCTCCCGCAAACATCATGTCTGACACAGAAGCTCCTCAGCCCAAGCCCGAGGGCGCTGAGCAGCTCAACATCAAGGTCAAGGACGCCGAAGGAAACGAGGTCTTCTTCAAGGTCAAGCGCACCACCAAGCTCTCCAAGCTCAAGAAGGCCTATGCCGAGAGGATGGGCAAGCCCGAGAACAGCGTCCGCTTCATCTTTGACGGTCAGCGTATCGGTGATCACGACACTGCCGAGACGGTAAGTACTTGTGCGCAGCACAGCGCTCGGCCCGTTAATTCTGCACTGGTCCAAGGGATCTCACGAAACTGACACGATCCGCTTCCGCACGTCTCTCCTTACCCGTATGCCTTCCGCACAACTTCGACGACCATTATCGGGTTTCATGCCCGTCGCTTCCGTATTGACGCTTCTCGCTTGCGTTCCTCGACCTGCAGCTCAACATGGAGGACCAGGACGAGATCGACGCCATGATCGAGCAGCTCGGCGGCCGCTAATTGAGCATCACCATCCTCGACTTTCTGCTGGCCAAAACGTCTCCGCAGCAACTATCAGATACCCTGTCCTCTACCGCACCCTCAACCGTCACCTCGCAGCGAGCGAAGGATGCGGGGCTTTGCAGTCCCATCACGGCAAAATTCTTCGCCTTCAATCCTCGCACGCCTCATCGCGGCCGTCACACGCTCGACCTGCACATTTGCACGTCAGCAGCATCAGACCCGCAGCTCGAACCACCGCCTGGATGCCGCATCCGCCGCATCGCATTCCCCTCGCCTGCATCAAATCCACCCATACAAACCTCATCACACCCTTGTACGCCCAGCACCAGACATCCTTTCGCGGCTGCTGGATGATTCGTCGCCTGTACTCGATCTTCAGTGCATCAAATGTATTTGTTTCCTCACGTCCAACTCGCTCGCTTCTGCATTTGATCAGGTTCGATTCCCTTTAGATTCGAGCTCGTTCTCACCCTAGCATGTTCACAGGGAGGAGCCCGTCGACATCCGCTTCAACGCTTCTCATCTCTGGTCGTGACGCGCAAGTCTGGTTGTGCTCTTCATTTGGGCAGTGTCGGTGCGGATAGATGGCAAAAGAGGGGTATCGTATTGCGAGGATTTCAAAGCGGGAGCAGTGGTGTATGAGAGCGTGGCGGGACGGGGGTCGACGAAGAGCGCACTGGTGCTGCGTTGGGCACTGGTGTGGACTGCCGGGCGAGGGGGGTGTTGTCCTAGTGCGGAAAGTGGATCAGATCTTGCCCCTCCGACGACCACCGCCTCGTCCACCACAGCGACAGCAGAGGACGTCGGCAATGCAGTTGAACGTCGCCGTAAGACACGATGCGACGGCGGAGACACTGTTACAACTCAACAAAATCAGTACCCTGTCCTGGATGAAACCTGAGGAGAAAGGGTGGGTGCTTACATGGTGTGAAGGACGCTTCCGATGGCGGAAAAGATGGAGTGAAGAATGCCAGCGATCGCCGAGACGATGCTGTTGAGGCACGAGGCTACGGCGCCCATCTTGAAATCTCCTGCTTGGCTGCGAGCGAGGGTACTGATGGAGTGTGTTCGAGGGTCAAGGCGGTGCTGAGTGGAAGGTTGGACGGATGGATGGGCCGAAAGAGATGGATCAGGAGAGGGGCTTATAAGTACCTTTTGGCCCCTCACACCTCTGCGGAGAGAGAAGGGTATCGAGGGTCTATACGGTTTTCGGCAAGGAGAGCCTTGGTTCTGCCTGAACACCTACGCCGGTTCCACGACTTGGACTCATCCGGTGCGCAATGACAAGCCGAAAGCGCAAAAGCTTGACAACCGTCTACCTCATACTGCCTTGCACGTCTGCACAGAGAGGCGCAGACATCGAACAAGGTGAAAAGGCAGTGCCAAGTGGCTTGGGTCCTCTCACAAATGACGTCCTATCCCAAGCCGAAACAAAAAGCCTCAACTCTATCTCTCAGAGCTGCATGAAACAGGTGCGGAGTTGTAGAAGCCTGCCCCTTGCTGCGGAATAACGTGGGTGGGCATGGCGCGTGACTCAGCCCCGCACGCGAGGAAAAGCGAGGCTTTGGGAGCGCTTGGTTCAGGGTCCACATCCAAAAAAAAAGCAGGACGTCATCGCTGCCATTCGACTCCGAAGAACAAACACAAGGTTGCGCTCAACCAGCACCAACATCGGCACAGGGGCGTCACCTCGCTCCCATCCACCGCATCGGCCGATCTGGTGCCTGTTTGTCGATGCCGCCGGGTCACGTCTCGCACAAAGCTTGAAAAGTGTTCTGAAGAAGAAGTTTTCGACATGTGTGCAGGGTGTGTTACAAAGGGGTCTCCAAGAGTGGTGTGTGTGTGTGGTATTCCTTCCTCCTCGATGGAGCTTGCCTCACATCATGCCCGCCATCTGACCCAGCGCGGCGCCCTGTTCCGGGTACTCGTGAATAAACTGCAGCTGGGCCCTGCTGGCATTCTCGTAGGTCAACGCATTGATCAACTCCGGTTCCGTCCTGGCAATCTTTGCGCTCCTCTCAAAGTACTCGATGGCATCCTGAATCTTCCCCTGCTGCAGACTCAGCTGGGCTAGAGTGGCAACGGCGACATCGCAGTCGGCATCCTTATCCAGCGCCTGCCTGCACAGCTCCTCCGCAGCCCCAATGTCCTGCTTCCACTGGAACAGCGCCAACGCCTTGTTGATCATCGGCAACACATTAGTGGACCCGGATTTGGCAGATTCGATCTCGATCGCCTTGTCAAACTTGTCCATCGCCTCCTCGAACTTTTGCTGATCCAACAACAACTCGCCATAGTAGTTGTACGCTTCGCTGGACGTATCAAAGTTGCGCAACAGCTTGCGGAACGCCGCGGTAGAATGACCAATGTTACCGTTCTTGTAGTGCGCCACGGCGTACTGCACCTGGGAGAAGATGAACTTGTCGTCGAGCGAGGTGGATTTCTCGTAGTCTTTGATGGCAGCGTCGAACTCGCCGAGGATGAAGTTGACCTGTCCACGGTGGTAGTAGATGTCCGGGTCGGAGGGGTCGGCTTCGATGGCACGGTCGAAATCGGCAAACGCCGCGTCTTTGTCCGACAACTCCATGTGCACCGACGCCTTCTTGACCCACGACTGAACGTAGTTGGGTCGAAGCGAGGTGGATCGCTCCAGATCGGAAAGAGCTTCCTTGGCGTTGCCGATGACGAACTTGAACGTGCCGCGCATGTTGTACGCGTTCGCCTCGAGGTCTTCGTTGCTGAGACCCTGCTCGATGGCCTCGTTGAAGAGTGTCAGCGCATGCGGGTAGGACTTGGCCTCCAGCGCACCGTACGCCTTGAGCAGCGTCTCGTCGCCCTGGCTTGGCTTCTCCGGCAGACTCGGCTTGGGCTTGGCGCGGAACGCCTCGAGGTACGCCGTCACAAACGTTGGCGAGGGCAACTTGGGTTCGCGGCTCTTGAGGATATCTTGAGCCTTGCCCGTAGCGAGCTTTCGAAGAACCCGCTCGACACTCTCGGTGGCCGTCTGGTCCTTGAACTGCCCCAGGATGGCAACCGCGGTAAAGTCTGCCAACGAGTCGAACAGCAGCTGTGCCTTTTCCTCGCCCACACCCTCCTGGCCCTCGATGGGGTTGCCGAGCTGCTCCTTGGCGACAGCACGTCGGTTGAGCGCCTTGACGTAGACGCGGTCCATCTTGAGCGCTTCGTCGCAGTCCGAGACCACCTGCTGGGGCTGGCTCAGGTTGGCGTAGCAAGCAGCACGGTTCGAGTAGAACACAGCCATCGGGTGGGCAGCGATCGCCTTGGTGTAGTGGCTGATGGCTTTCTCGAACTGACGGTTGGAGTAGGCCTTGTTGCCGAGCGTCTTGAGGTGCTGCGACAAACTCTCGCGCTTCTCCTTGGGCAGCTTGACGATCTCGGCTTCTGGGAGCTCGGCGAGCTGGTCGTCGGTGGCCTCGTCGAGCAGCGGACCTGATGGATCGGAAGGCAGGCCGTCGGCTCGTTGCGAAGGGGTGTCGGTCGACGAGGAGGCGCCGCCTGTAGCACCGGTGGTCTTCTTCTTGGTGCCCTTCTTCTTCTTTTTCTTGCTGGCAGAGCCAGCAGCAGCTCCACCAGCCGCACCAGCTTTTTCGTCATCATCGCTGTCACTGACGGTGCCCTTTCCTTTCGCCTTGGACGACGACGATGACGAAGAGCGAGAGTAGAGGTAGTAGCCACCGAGTGCGAGCGTACCCGTTGCGAGGGCGATGACGAGTGTGCGGTTCTCCTCGACCCATTTTGAGAGCTTGTTGGCGGTGTTGTTGGCCGAGACCTGAGCGCGGTCGGCGGCTCGTGCGGCCTGTTGCGAGGCCTGCTGCGCGTTTGGAATGGGCGCCATCGTTTCCGTATTGGGAAGGAAGGTGGGGATCAAGCGACGAGGTTGAGGGATCGTGAGAAGAAGAAGAAAAGGAAGAAAAGTGGATTGCTTGTGTGACGTGTGGAGTGGGCCTCCTCGATGCACGGCCGGTGAGAGACGGAAGAGCTTGCTTGCTTGCCTGCTGCTGCTGGTGGGCAGTCAGCCTGGTTGCCCTGCTTTACGGTGCTGAGGAAGCTGCACGAAGAAATCACGGAAATCGAAGCGCCTTTTTTCTTCTGGCCCTCTTGATCCCGATCGAAGCAAGGGCGTCAGTACAGAAGCCGATCCGGCTGGGGTGCTGTCAGCCGTGCGAAAAGAAGACCCTCTAACGAGTGCCGGCCAGAACGCCGGCTCCTGACCGAGCTCAAGGAGCGGCTATCTATCAACAGCTTCCTTTCTCGCCGCACTGCAACATCCTCCAGGAGTCCTCATCATGACAGCCACCAACATGGTCACGTTCAGCGACATCCAAGAAGCACATGCGCGCGTCTCGCCGTACACACACTACACCCCCGTGCTCACCAACCAGGCGATCGACTCGCTGGCAACCGAAGCCCTCTTCGGCACCTCAGACCACGCCTCGACATCGTCTACTCCGCGCGTGCGTCTCGCCTTCAAAGCAGAACACCTCCAGCGTGTCGGAGCGTTCAAATACCGCGGCGCAACAAACTCGGTCCTCGTCCACCTCGCAGCGGCCAAAGCCGAACACGATGCCTCCCCCACCTTCCGCGGCGCCTTCAGCCCAGACAAGCTCGTCGTCGTCACGCATTCGAGCGGCAACCATGCGGCAGCTCTCGCCTGTGCTGCAAAGACGGCGGGGTGCATCGCTGCGGTGGTGATGCCGGAGAATGCGCCCAAGCCGAAGAAGGAGGCAGTCGCAGGGTACGGTGCGCGCATCACGTTCTGCAAGCCCACGCTCGAGGCGAGGGAGTCGACGGCCAAAGCGGTGATGGAAGAGTACGAGGACAAGGGTTATACGGTGCGCTTTGTGCATCCGTACGACGAGCCGCTGGTCATTGCAGGACAGGGGACGATGGCGCTCGAGCTGCTCGATCAGGTCCCACAGCTTGAGGTGCGCGCTGCTTGTTCTCACGCCGCGGAAGCCTCTGCTCCGTCAAAGAGACCACTGCATGGGTCGAAGAACGTCGCGCCCGAAGGACCCAAGGCAGAAGCAGCATGGCATCGTAGAGACGCGTCTGAGCCGGTGCTCGACATTGTCATCGCGCCCGTCGGAGGCGGAGGCATGCTCTCTGGCGTCTCGACCGCAGTCAAAGGCGCCGACAGCTGCATCGTCGTCCTCGGCGCCGAACCGGACCTCGTCAATGACGCCTTCCACTCGTACCAGACCGGTTCCGTGCAGCTCCCACCCCAGCCGCCAAAGACTATCTGCGACGGCCTGCTCACATCTCTCTCACCCTTAACACTCGAGCATATCCACAAGAATGTCGATGGCATCGTCACAGCGCGGGAAGAAAACGTGCTCAAAGCGCTACAGCTGCACTGGACGCGACAGAAGCAGTTCGTCGAGCCCAGCGCCGCTGTAGGCCTGGCCACGGTGCTGCAAGGCTTCAACGAGGCGGCGCAGCAGAGCGGCCATGCTACAACAGACGCATCCGACCGCTCGCGATGGGGTCTCAAGGAATGGGCACACCACATTGTCCAGCAAAAGACCCAAGCCGGAATCCAAGACCCCGACATTCGCATCGGCATCATCTGGAGCGGTGGCAACGTAGAGGTCGCCAAAGTCGTGGCCAAGTTCGAAGAGTATGGTTTGTAATTACTCTTTCGCAACAGGCGGTCGTAGGGGCCCACCGACATTGTGACCGTCCCCCTTTCCGGAATACAGCTGATCCTCGCGGTTGTCCTGATCCTGCTTGTACTGGTCCTGTGCAATCTGTGCGCTTTCTTTGTAGTCGGTGTTGGCTTTCGCAGAGCCGTCGTGGGTGATGGGCACGTCGAGGCCGACTCGGCGGGCTGTGAGGCGGACACGCTCTTCTTCCGTCAGGTCTGATGTTGGGTTGTATCGTTGGAGGAGCTCCTGATGGCGTCAATGTCATGAAGCAAAGCGAGTTGAGGTCAGCATCAGAGCAGAGCAGTTTCGACGAAGTCGCTACGATAACTTACGGCATGCAACGTCTTGTTTTGAAGGAAGATGTGAAGGTTCTCGAGGGTCTGCTTGCGCAGTTGTGCTGGTGACTTCTTTGGTGCGACGAAGGGAGCGTAGTCGTCACTTCCTGGCTTGGTTGAGTCTGTCAGTGTCCCTCTCTCCGCATCTTTGTACTCCTTCTGCAGGTATGCTACCAGTGGTCCGTCCTTTGCCTGCACGATCGGAAAGAGGAAGAATGCACTTGGTCAGTCAGTCACTGTAGTTAAGTCTCTTAGTGGCTGCTCGAGGCGACACTTACCGAGCTTCGCGCCTCCTTCAGCACGTTCTGATAGAGCGTCTTGACGGCTGTTGACCTTCGTACTGTTGCGAACATGTTGGCCGAGCTGTGACAGAGTGATGCTGGTCAGAAGGGCACAATGTCAAGCGGTGGAAGAAGGAAGGTGCGTCGAGGGTCCACTTCCGCCTTCCGAACATATCTCTCGCGCGTGAGTACCTTTTTTCTTTCCTGAGCCTGCGAAAATCTGAACAAGACCTAGCGATCTGCGTCCTTCCATCTTCCCTCCCGACCACACCACACGCACCAGCTGTGGTGTCCGGCCAGCCCCGTCGCTGGCTGTCTGTCTTCAAATGTAAGTCTCACCCCACATGGCACCACAGCCCTTGCAGCGCGCACGCCTCCGCACCGACACCAGCCCTCAAGAGATGAACTTTCGACCCCGCCAAAAGAAAGAGGATGATATCTACCCCGATGGGCGGACATAAACACCCCTGCATCCCTTCTCTTCCCTGCTTAGCTCCGGTGTACAAATGTGAGCGGCAGGAGTTAGACGCAAAGCTTGCTTCGTGTATAAAAAAGGGTCAGGCATTTGTTGAGATCTACATCGGATACTGATTTTCTTTTGGCGTGGGTCGACGACTTGGTTTCGAGAGGGTCGAGGCTTGGTCGTGCTGGAGGCAAGCATGATGCTGGTCAGCTTAGCGGGGCGGCAGCTGCGACGACTGTCGTCGGATCAAGATTCGCGATCCTCGTTCCCATGTTGACATTTTCCTCGTTGCTTTCACCTCGTCTCTCTGCCGTGCATTGTAGTTTCTCGAATTGATCAGATGTCGACGTTTGACTACACGAAGGCTGAAGTGATCGATCATAGACTCTGAGCAGCTGAGACTACTGAGCCGATTGATCAAGTTCGTCTGAGCCGTCACAACCTCCATTCCAGGGCCTGAGCTGATCGCCTTGGCGCTGGACCTGGAAGAAACGCGTTGACCAGCAGCGAGTGAAACTCGGATCCCGGCTCGTTGACGTTCAGGGTCCTCGTACAACTTCTTGCCGCTCGGTCCGTTCTTGTCAGATCATCTCCACGTACTCGGTACAAGATGAGCACGACGACGCAGGCTGCGGCCGCATCTCTACCATCGGTACCCTTACCAACGCCAGACGCTACGGCTGTATCCCTCGAGAACGCGCCTTCGACGTCCGCCGCCCCAGGGACGACCTCTCATCCGCCCTCCGCAGAGCCAATAACAGGCCTGACCCCCGACCAAGTGCTCCAAGAGCTGCAGAAGAGTGGCTTTGTCGATCAGCTGCGGCGTCAGATGTATGATGCATTCTCTTCTCCGCCCGCTTCTGCTCCTGTCATAGCGTCTACCAAGATCGACGGTGCTGCTTCACTCACTCCTGCTCCGGTCTCAGGCGAGGCTCAAGCTGGCCAGTCCAACCCTAACCCAGACCCTGCTGCATCAGCATCAATCCCGAGTGCTACTCCTTTCGCGGTAGCGTCGAAAGACCCTGCGTCCACAAGCGTACCTTCTCTCACAGCGTCCATCCCACCAGCATCCCCTCCACAGCTGGACGTCGGTACCCGCTCCGCTCTGCTTCAGTTCCTCGCGTCGCCTCTTCGCGCCCACCTCGAGCGGCAGCATGGCAATCTTCGACTCGCAAGCTTTCGCGATCAGACCACCACGCTCATGCAGCTGCTCGAGAGCGAGCCTGTCGATCACCCGCAGCGGGCGGAGCTGGGCGAGGCGAGCGTGTACGATTTGCTCTTGAGGCATGTCGTGATGCCACCTACCGCGGGGGAGGGCGGGACAGCGGGCATGTTGGATCGCAACGGGCGGTTTGGTTGCGAGGCGCAGGCACGGATCAACGAGACAATTGCCGAACTCATGCACCCCACTGCCAAGGTCGACGACGAAGATGATGATGAAGACGAAGAAGGGGGAGCACAGCCAGAATCCACACGCACCATGGACGAATAACATTGACACTGCATCACAACAACCACCTGAACACCGACCACCCCTTATCCACGCACACTCTCGCCTCCCCCTCCCCCAGCGTCTCGGTCAACGCGTTCAAGACCAGCCCACCTAGCGTCTCGACCAACGCCACATCCAACGCATTCCCCGCACTCAACCCCAGCGAAGCCATGTCCTTGGCACCCAAGCTCACCTCGAGACCCGCGCGAAACTTGGTGATCAGCGCCTCGGTTTCGTCCTCCTGCTCAAGCCCCGCCAGTCGGTCTTCGAGCACATCGAGCAGGCCGGACACCAGCGCGCTGGTCCAGTGCGACCAGACCATCCACAGCGAGCCGGACAGGATCGAGCGGAAACGCGTTTCGTTCTCGTCGTCGTCGAGGAGCGGGTGGTCGCCGGAGGAGGAGCGGGCGTAGAGGCTTCGATCGGTGGAACGACGACGATGGAGCGAGGCGTGCGACATGCGGTCGCTCTCCCCGCGCAGGTGGCTTGCTCCAACCGCGGCGAGCAGTGGATCGGGCGGTACGAGGTGGTGGTGACGGTGCGCGTGGGGCAGGTCGAGCCCCGAAGTGTCGGACGAGCTGTTGGTGCTCGTCTGCTCCGTCACGGGCATCGATTCCGTCAGCATCTCCGGTTCGATAGCGAGCGCACTGCGTCGTTCTTCCTCCTCTTCGTCCTCAGCAGCAATCTCCCGATCGTCTTCCAGATCCGGATCGGACACTTCGCTATCGCTCTCGTCTTCGGGCATGACGAGGATGCTCGCTCGCACGCCGCCGTCACCCCGAATTCCCAACGGCAAAACGTACGCTGCGGGAAGACCATATCGCCAGTGACTGGGGAGGAACCACCATCCCGCCAACCAGTAGCGCAGGAAGGCGAGCGCCGCACTCACCGTCCCTGCTCCACTGCGGCGGGGCGATCGCGCACACCCACCGCGCCATTGCGATACCGCACTCGTCTGCTCGTGCGTGTATTCGACGTCGCCATTCCGCTGCTCCTCCGAGCGACGAGTGGTAGACCGCACCAGCTTGTTCCTCGACTTGCGACGGCTGATGCAGGCTCCGGCACCGAGCCGTTCCGCTCGCTCGGCATGACGCTGCGCTTGCGCATCCAGCTCGTTGAACGTCGCAAACTCGCGTGTTGTCCAGCTTTGCGCTTTCAGTTGTGCCTTTGCATTCGCTCGACCGGCCGACGGGGAAGGACGTACGACAGTCCACAACCTCGCCATGGTCGAAGCGCTCTCCAAACACATCTCGTCGAGCACGCCGTTCGAGTCGCGCGAAATGAGCGGTGTCAGATCCAACACGCTGTCGAAGAGGTGCGGCTTGTCCAACAGAATCTTGTCCGTCGACCACGCGATCCAGCTTGGCTCCAGTCCCGGACTTTGGCTCCGACGACGCTCCTCGTCTTCCAAAGCCGTGATATCATGTACGCCGATCTGACCTTTGATCTGGACAATCCAGCGCCGTGCGAACGCCTGCAGATTCTCGTGCCTTTTGCCAGACCTCGCGATGCCGAGCGCAACCAGGTCGGCGAGGTTGTATCCGAGGTGGGCGGCGTGTACGATGGGCGGCGAGGGGGAGAAGATGAGCAATCGATGTCGTGGCAGCATGAGCTTTTTGAGTAGATGCGGGAGGAGCGCACCGAGCGAGCCGCACAGGGCTGACATGTGTGAGATGGGATCGTGCGGTAGATTGCGTGGATCTCGACGACGGCGCATGCGCAACTGCTTCATTCGCTTGCCGTCCATGGTTGGAGTCGTGGTGCTGTTGGTGGAGGCGGTGTGAGCCTTGTGCATCTCGTAGTACCTCTGAAGCGACGAGGTGTCTTTTGGATCGAGTGCAAGGTCGTCGGCGAGCTTCTCGAGGTTCGAGAGGTGGGGCACGATGGCGAGCTGCTGTGCGAGCGAAGATGCATGCTGTTCAGCGTGTCCTTCACACTGCAGTATGAGGCCTACGCTCACCATGCGAGCTCCACGCTGTCTGGCAGCATCCTCGTCGGCAACGTTGTCGCTGAGCGCGATGTTGCGGAAACACGCTACGCCAGTGCTGCCTTTGTGGGAGGTCTGAAAGTAGATGACGTCCTTGTCGACGAGATGCCCGCCACTGGGGAGCACCTTCCACTCGACGCCGGTGAGATCGACGGAGTGGTTCGCATCGTGAAGAACCTGGGCTTGACCTTCGTCGATGTCGATCAGCTTTGCGTTGTCGGCAGTGCTGCCCTTGGGCGGCGGAGGGTACTGGTACTCGATCTGGTTGCCGTGGCGGACGTGGAAGCGAGCGAGGAAGATGGTGAGGACATTGGCTGGCAGGAGAGAGAGGCTGGGAGCAAAGCTCGGCCCAGCTTCAGCTTGGGAGGCCGCCATATTTGCTCAAGCTCGATGCGTGCCTGATACTAGACAAGCACGCGGTGGATCGACCACGGTACGGATGATGCTGAGGAGGATGGTAATGAGGAAGGGAAGATACAGTATGCTCAAGCTCAGGCGTGTGCATGTTTTTTTTAGAGCGCCGCCCAGGGTCTCGCGCTTAAATTTCTTGGCCCCGATTTTGGTGGTCCCTTTTTTGCCGGTCTGGTCTGAGCGTTGCAGACTCTTGGCAGGCAAGAAGGACGAATAAGAAGCCTCAGATTTGCGAGCAGTCACACCACACTTCTTCCTGCCCAAATCACACACTTTGGACTGACATATCACTTTCCGAACCTCTTCTCGAGGTATCGGAGCAACGGCCCTGCCGCTCTGTCGGCTATCATCCGGCGTGCGGATCCATTTTGCGGTGCATTTCGTCTAGATTGAAAGTTTGAAGGGCAAACATATGAACATGAGCGTGGGAAATCGTGACCAATTCGTGCCGGAGATACCGGAGAGCTGCCTCGGCCATCACCGAGTGCGCTTGTGCAGCCTTGGCATCTCTTAGAACATCTTGTTCATGGCCTGGAGCGACACTTCGACACCGAGGAAAGTGGCCGCGTTGGCGGGGAAGGCACGAGCCATGGCGGGACCGAAACCCTTGAAGAGCGCCTTCATGCCGTCCTTGGCGACCGTCTTCTTTGCGCAGTCGAGGAAGCCCGTGTAGGTGCCGTGAGGAGCGCCCTGGTAACGCGACTTGATCACATCGGGAGGAATGGCGAGCGCCCACATGGCCATACCGGCCAGACCACCGGCGGTGAGCACGTTTAGGAAGTTGAGCTGCTGAGGGTCCTGTCCTGCGGGCGTCAACATGCGCTTGGAAGCCTCGTATGCGCAGAAGTAGGCAGCCGAACCAGGACCGTCACGAGCGAGCGTGGCACCGGTACCACGGAAGATCGACTTGAGACCGCCCTCCTTGTACAGCTGGCGGACCACATCCACGGGACCGTTGTAAGTGGGACCGGTGCTGCCGCTCTGACCTTGAAGCTGGAGCAAGACCTTGACACGCTCCGCTGGACCGGCTACCATGGTGGTGGGGATCGCACTGAAGAAACCGGCAAATGCCAGCTCGGGGATAGACAGCTTGGGATCGGTTCGGCTCGGCGTCATGGCGTACACCAGCTTCTTTCCCATATCGTACGACCAGAAGGAAAGCGCAAAGATGGGTGTAACACCAATCAAAGGTGGGCCCATACCACGGTACATTCTGTCAAGATTGCAAAGAGGGGCAGGAACAAACAAGATCTCGGCGTCAGCATATCGTTCCAGCAGCGCACGATTTTGTTCTGGTAGCTCGACAGCTCGGCCCTACTCACCCCTTGATACCGTCAGCCTTGATGGTTTTCCTGACCACATCCAGACCGCCTGTATACTTGCCGTCGGCAGCCGTTTGCAGACGGGTCTTTGTGAGATCGAAAGGGTGTCCGACGAGAACGGAGCAAACACCACCGAAACCACCGGAGAGGAACGACTTGACCGAGGAGGTGGCCTGCTTCTTCTGCTCGAACTCCTCGTCCTTGATGACGGCTGAAGTCTGATCGTCAGCCATTTTGTTTTATATGTGATGAATCGAGCGGGCGGATGTCTTGTCCAGGGTATCAAAGTCTTGACCGGAGAGAGAAGGGACCAGTTCGTCTGTGCCTGTCGATGCTCTATCGCAAAGAAAGAACCGGATGCTTGATATGCGGATGGTGATGGGAGGAAAGATGGACGGAAGGGCCGAGATTGGAGTTGTGGACTGAACTCGACTCAACCCCGGAAATGAATCTGACGACGAGTTGCCGGCAGAGCGTGAGAGCGAGTGCTTCTTCTTCCTTGCTTTTTTCTCCGACCGACCGAGCGTCAGGCGTGGCTTCCCCGCTTGTTCCCCAAAAGCCTTTTGTCGGTCGCTCGTCCGTCTATTTCCATGCCGGACGGACAACTTGATTCGTTGCGCTCCTGCATCCCGTTCAGGCTACCACCGGTCAATTCTGCTTGTGCATCGCCGTCTCTGCCTCTGCGCTGAAACGAAAGGCTCAGGGAGTTGGGCCGGTCTAGCCGACGCTCCATCATCCATCTGTCCGCTGATCTCGCTTGCAAGCTTTCTTCCAATTTTGCTCGCGTCGCCTCTTTCTTCCCGTGGGCTGCCTCGTCCCTTTCTGGCTATCGCTGATTCACCTTTTGCTGCGATTGCCCTTCCCCGCTTTGTTTGGAACGACCTTTCCGGTCCTGTCCGCTTTGCTAGGTTCTCAACCTCGACTTGGACAGAAACGCACCTCAACACGTCCGCTTCCCAAAACCGTGACCGGTCAACGTTCCTCTATAGAAGGCGGGTTGCATAGGCTGCCGTTGAGGGATGAAGGTTTTGAACGGCGTGGAGCACACCGGCTCGTCGAAGCGCAGAGCAGCCGGTCCTCTTGTTTGCATGCATCTGCACCTTCGCGTCACCTCTCGACAGCCAATCAACACAGCGCTGGACCTAAATTTCATCAGCGCGTGAAATGCGTGTCAAGTCGAGCGTGGATCGGGCTGCCCGATTCATCACCACTCTCCCATAGCTGAGCTTTGCATGTCAGCCTCGTCGAAGGGAGCTCCGTTCTTTACTCAGGTACGACACGATGATACATGTAGAGATTTGCGGTGCAGTATGGACTGAATAGAAGTACAGAGTGTGATGCAGTCGTGTTGAATGAGTCTGAGTGGTGAGATGTCGAATGCCAATGAAGTGGTGCAAGAGCGCTTGTTGGGTGGCGCGGCGGGCATGAGGCGGCCTTCAGTCGCAAGTGCCGTCAGCAGGCCCGTCGAGCCACCTTTCGGACAGCTTGGACTCAGTGCATGCGAAGTTCGGCTTGCCAAGACGCGAGTTGACTTCGTTGTGAATCCCACAGAGCCACTTGCGAAGAGAAGGCCCCGAACGCACAGCTTCGGTGAGGTTCAAGCTGCGATCCTCCCAGCCACCTTCTTTGTCCTCGCGATCGTATTCTTCGCCGAGCGCCTCAGCGCAAGAGAGGCAGGGATAGATGTGTGGCAGAGCACGGAACAGTGCAAGCATCGAGCTCTGCTGTTGCGCGCTGGGATCCTCGGGAAAGTAGGCCGCTGCCGAATGCAAGAGTGTCCAGGCGGATCGACCCAGCTCTTCGCCGTCGGGCGGACATGCGCTGAACGTGGACGAGTTTGATGCTACCGCTGCTGCTGATGCAGCTCCTATCGCTGCTCCTGTCGCAGACACTGGCTTCGAGCTGGATGCCTCTTTGGAAGCGCCGCTGGGCGGACTAGTCTTGGTACCCTTCATCGCCGCAGCGAAAGCTAGCTTGGAGTTGCAAGCACGACACGGCTTTCCGTCCGGACCAAGTACCACCTGAGGCTTCTTGGCAGATGACGGCACAGTGCTAGTGGTAAAGCCCTTGCTCTTCTCTTCCTTAGCAGCTGCGCCCGAAAGACTCTCGTTCTGGATGGAGCGAACATTTGTCGGCGGCACACCCCATTCTGCGACACCATCGGGTCGCTCGATGCGCTTCGGTTCCCAGTTGTTGAGCTTGTCTTCTTTCGCTTGCAGCCTCTGTTGTGTGACAGACAGGTAAAGCAGAGCTCCGGTCAGCATTCCTCCTTCGAAAAGAACAGCCACAACGGTAACAACTTACAAAGTACTCTTCGCGAATGTCGATCCGTTTTCGATCCTTCTTCATGCGCAGCTCCTCCTCCTTGGATATTGTTTGCACCTTGGTTGCATTGTAGTCGTATCTTGTCTGCGTCAGATTCGCTAGGCCGAAGCTGGCACCGACAATAGTGGCCAGAAAGGGAAGCCCGAAGAAGAGCAGGGGCCTGCGTCGAACCTGTGGCGCCAGCCTTGCGAGCAGCGAGTTGGACTTTTGCAACGGCTTCGATTCGAACGTCGGCATCCTTGACGAGGTACTGCTATCGCTAGAGCATGGAGCCGTGGTCACGATGCGAGTCGATGGGAGAAGTAGGTCGGCACCAACCGCCACTCTGTTCCGATTGCTTCCAGCTGAGCACCATTCACATCCGCGTTCCGAAGCTTGCAAAAAGAAGAAAGAGCAAAATTGTGGAGCAGCAGACCCTCTCTTCCGCGGAGGTCGTGAACAACGTGGGCACCTTTCAGTCACGTTCGCTTCCAGCAACGCCCAATCCATCCCGAGTTCTTCCAGCAGCATTCGAGGCCTCGACCTACCACCATCAAGCCGCTCTACAGCGAGAAAGGGCAGATGGTCATGCTCACACAAATGTGGTGATGCCCATCTTGACATCGCTGCGGCAGAGCCCGAGCTACCTCTACGTCAAGGTCTACTGCCTATGTGCGCTCGTCACCCTCTTCCAAGCAGCGCCGGTGTCTTCTCGTATACCGCAGCTGGGTCAGACGCTTCAGCTCAATAAGTACAGGCTCATCAGGACGCGGCTGGGTCCGCGTATCGTGCCTGTCGAGGAGGCTGCATCTCCGCCAAACCAGGAAGCTGCGTCATCTCATGCTGGCGCTCAACAAGCTCGAAATGAGTTAATACTCTCGAGCGACGTGCTCGGTCCCAGAGAGGCCGGCTCGGTCATCAAGAAGCTCCTCATAAGATGGTCGGCAAGAGCTAAAGATCTTGCACAAGTCAAGCAGCTCCTTCGCACGGATATCTCGGATCGCAAGGCCTATCCAGAACTGGATTGGGATGCCCACGTACGCAGGTCATCCGCATTGCACCAAGAGGAGGTCAACTTCCTGCGAAAGAGGCAGCAGCGGCTGTCCTCGCAAGGAAAGGACTCGCTTAAGCAGTTTTTGGATCTTCCAGCTTCAGAGCATGTCGATCCTCGTGACGTACCACTGCTCGCCTTGGGTGGGTCGGGAGGCGGCTACCGCGCCATGTACGGCTTTGCGGGCTTCATTGCCGCTGCGAAGCACTCGAAGCTGTGGGACTGCCTCTCTTGGGCTGGAGGGGTGAGTGGAAGCTGCTGGACGCTGGCAGCCTACTATACGATCGCGTACCAAGATGCGGACCGCCTCGTTCGACACTATCTTGCCGTTGCGAGCGAGCTCGCCCACCCGATGAGCGTGCATGCCTTGGACACTGTGGCCCGGAGCAGTCGCGGCGTCTACTTCTTGCTCGGTCCTTTGATTCGCAAAGCTCGGGCCGGGATTGTCGGACTTGGCATCATGGACCTTTACGCTACTCTGACGACGACGTATCAGTTCCTCTCGAGAGAGCCCAGAGCAAGGCTAAGCAGAGCCACCTTTCAATTCTCGAAAATGTGGTCCCGCTCTGGGATCAGCTCAGGGGAGGAACCCATGCCCATCTTTACAGCCGTTCGCGTCGCTCCCCATGATGCACCGGGCGTTAGACCGCACACCGACTCCTCGCTCAGCAAAGGGCAGCCCCCCAAACGCGCTCTGACACAGCATCAGTCTGCCGCATCAGATGCGCTCCGCTCTGGCAGCACTACGCCCGCCAGCGATCCAGCGTCAGCCATTGCATCAGCAGCCATCGACAACACCACGGATGTCTTTGCACTGCCTATCGCCAAAGGCTATTTCCAGTGGTTTGAGGCCACGCCGCTCGAAGTCGGCAGTGCCGACGTGCAAGGTTACATCCCGACATGGGCGTGGGGTCGTCCTTTCGTCTCTGGCCGCTCACTCGATCGCAGACCAGAGGAGTCGCTGTCATTGCTTCTCGGTCAATGCACCAGCGCGCCTGCTGGTCCTCTGACGGGCTACATCTCGGCATTGCTAGCATCGCTGCCAAAGGGCACAGCAATGTCACGCGCTCTGCACTTCCTCAACAACTTTGTTCGGATGAAGCGATGGGAGCGGAGATGGGGCAATCCGATCCGCGCTGGTGACGAGCCCAACCCTTTCTACGGTCTCAACGTGTCTCCTGTGCCCAAGCCCGCCGACGCCGAAAAGAGCCGTCCCAGCATTCTAGGTGTTGGCGTCGACATTCTACACGTGCCTCGCTTGCGACAGCTTGCAAGCAGGCGGACGAATCCGACCGATCGAACGGATCAAGAAGGGAAGACGGTCCAAGCGGCACATCGAGCAGGCCTCGACAAGCTGGCCAAGCGCATACTGTGCGAGTCGGAATGGCAGGAATACCAAGGCATGGCAGGGCAGGATACCGACACAGCACACAAGCTCCAAAGGCTGGAACAATTCATTGCGAATCGATGGAGCGCAAAGGAAGCCGCTTACAAGGCTCTATACCCAAAGTACGTCGTCTCCTGGAAGGACCTCTGCATCTCGAAGCCCACGTCTGCAGGCGGAGACACTATTGGCCTTGGCGACGGCGTCGACCTCTCTCAACTCGAAATGGACAACTCGTGCTCAAAGAAGCCGGTCATGACCTTCTCCAACGAGTGGCGATCGAAACATCCGGACATATCAGCGGTGCCGAAGCTGCACCTCAGCCTGTCGCACGATGGCGAATACGTCGTGGCCAACGTGCTGGCCGAAGAGGCGTCTGCGTCCACCAGCAGCAAATCAGAGCGAAAGCCTGTCGAGTGGAGCGAGCTCAAGGTCTCGCTGCCGTCTCCCGCCTTGCGAACAGATGCGCTGGAGGATGGGACAGAGCTGGAGCTGGGGTCTGCCTCTACGTCGTCTTCCGAGACCTCATCCGCACGAGTGACACCGAAAGATGTGACCAGCACCGCCTCGTGGGAATCCCAAGGCCGCATCCGTCTCATGGACTCTGGCATGTCCAACAACCTCCCCAACCACATCCTTGCGCGCAAAGAACGCGGCGCCGACATCATCATCGCCTTTGACGCCTCATCCGACGTGCAGGCTGGGTCGGCCATGCGACGCATCCACAACTTTGCTGACGACTGCCAGATCACGCTCTCGGATCACACTCACCTGTTCACCCCACCATCCCCCATTGCTCCCGACGACACGGTCCAAGTCGATCGATCGATGGAGACGAAGTTCATACACCAGTACGCGCGGGTGCTCCAAGGCACACGAGAAGACGGAAGCACCTTCTATCTCATCTACTGCCCGCTGCTGCCGAACCCCACGAATGCAGGCTACGATCCGAGCACATCGACCTTCAGCAACTCGTACAACCTCGTCTGGACTCCGGCGCAGGTCAAGACGCTGCTCACCACCTCGCGGGCCAATCTCGAACTGTACGCTCTGCACACGATCAAGCAGGTTATGAGGACGGTGTATTACGAGAAGAAAGCACGGCGTCTGTCCTCCCCATCCCCAACTGTACCTTCCATCCCAATACCGGGAGCAGCACCTCGCATAGAGACGAATTGAAACTCATTGCACCCTCATGTGTTGTTGGCCAACCAACCATCTACCCATCCTGCACCTTCCGTTTTTGGCGCTGAATTGCTCAGATGCTGCCAGAGCTTCTCGAGTCTCTCCACGGCTCTCTGCCTCTTCTCCCCATCCTCCTTCTGAACAATCTCAATCGTCTCCCTGAGAACCGGAGCTGTACCGTAGACATCATCCAAGTAGCTGCTCGCAGCAAAGTACTTTGTGATCCTTCTCACCACCTCCTTTCCCCTTTCACTCTCCTCTGTGACACTGGAGCTCTCGGCTCGACCGGTGGAGTCAAAGATGCTGGCGAGGGCGGCCTCGGCCGTAGGTGCGTAAGCTCCTTCTTGCAGCGAGGCGTTGTCCGGTCGTGGGATTACGAGATCCTGTCGACCCTGCGAGGACTGTTGTTCCTCTGCCAGCAGAAGGTGCATCTGCGCTTGCTCACGGGTGAAGCTTGCGTGCGAAGGCGAAGGGGGTCGGTAGAGCGGATCGAAGTTGGATAGCACCGTCTCGGTCAGGTCTGCGGGTGGAGGTTGGGTTGGCGGTTGCGAGCGCGATTCGTCGTCGAGCAGGGCAAAGATGTCTTCTGACGCTGCGAGGGGTGTTGTCAGTGGTGGTGGCTGCGCCCGCAGGGAGGAGAGTGTTTGTGTGGACGCGGCGTGATCGTTCCGCACCGAAGCGTGAAGGGGACCGTCTAGGTCGGTGTACGAGCTGAGTGGTTGGGTTGCGGTCAAGCCCTGATAGCCGCGCTGCCAGCCTTCGTCGACGCCTTCCATCCTCCGTTCCTGCATAGCTGGAGCATTGAGCGACAGTCCTCGTTCGAACTCCTCAAACATCCCTTCCCCCCTGCCTTCACTAGTTTGCGTGCGAAACCCCCCACCACTCCTCGCACTCGACCCAACCCCTGCACTGGTCGAGGAGGAGCGCAGGTCTTGTACGAGCCAGTCCCGCAGCTCGCCTCCACCGGTGGAAGGTTGAAACTCGGCTTTACCGCCAGAAGCGCCCGCCATGACGGACGAAAGCTGCGACGCTGCCAGGCTGCTGCGTAGCGTCGAGGCGAGCGTCTGCGCCGCGCTGCTTCCGCTTCCGCTTGTTGAGGCGTCATCCGTGGAGCCAGCTTTGCTTTTGCCTTTGCCCTTTTCATCCGCCATGGTTGCCTCTGGTCAGTGTTGTAGTGTGTGTGAGAGCGGTGAGGTGAATGTGCGAGAGGTGAAGGTTGATGTGCGTGCGAGAAGAATGGGCGAGTTGGACCCTTGACACGAGGTCTTCGCGTGAAACCCGTCTCTGCCGGATTCCGCACCTCATCACGCTCACTCTACACCGTCCCGCACAAAGGAGGCAATCGCGCGACCCCTCCATCGGACACAAGACAGTCAGTCGTACCTCAATGCTACAAGACATGGATTGCGATCGAGAACGGACATACAGCAGTGAGAGGTAAGAAGATGCGAGGTGCGATAGGTGAGAGCGATGGAGCAGAACGATGCTATGAGTTGTTGTCAAGTAGGGTATATGAGTATGCTGTGTATGAATCGAGCAATGGATGCTGTTTCTGGAATCGATATCGAAGCACGGTGTTATGAAGAATTGAAGTCAGAGTCATGCAAAGCTGAAGATCAGGTTCCGAGGCTAAAAGTTGAGGATCTGCCTCGGGTCCATGGGCAGCTCGGCCATCTTGCACCCAAAGTGGCACTCGATGGTCCTCAGCATCTCCACGTCGCCCCTTGGCCCCCCTGACGCCGTGACGACATTGACGCAGACACTCGGTCTAGCCATCGCCCCGGCAGCAGCGCAGCTGATCTTGTCCTTGTAGTCCTCCACGCTTCTCGGCATGTCATAGAACACGATTAGCGGGATCTGGTGTACCTCCTTGGGGTTCACAGCGATCTCGCACACCACGAGCGCCTTTCGCGTCCTGCCACCCGCAAACTGCGAAGAGGGCGACCGGAACTTGCCCAGCGTCTGCTGGCGCGTGTAGGCGTTCATATCGCGGTTCAGGCCCATGGCCTCGATGCCTTTGGAAGAGAGCTTGTAGATGAGCGCTTCCTGGGTGGCGATGTTGGCGCAGTAGATGACGGTTTGACCAAAGCCAATGTCTTCCAGCAGGTCGGAGATCAGGTCGAGCTTCATCTCCCCAGCTGGGTTGTGCGAGAGGCCGGGAATGGGACTCGTCGGACCCATGCCACCGCCGTTCGAGGTGACCGCCACGTAGAGGTAATACTGGCGCATACCTTTGAGTGCTGCGAGCATGGGATCTTTGGCTGTGCTGACGCTCGAGTTCATCGGGTGGGCACCGAGCGCGTTGGCCGGCTGAGATGCATCGCGCTGATTGGCCGAGGCTTGCATGCCAGCGCTCGGACTATTGCTGCCTCCCGTCAAGGAGGCACCGCCTGAAGGACCCTGCGACATGTTGCTGCCGCCTCCACCGACACCAGCGCCATCACGACGCACGAGCACCCGCACCGACTCGCGCAGATGGATCGACTGTGCAAAGTTGAGCACGTCTTGCGGCACCGTGTTGGAGAAGAGCGCGACTTGCCTGTCCATCGTAGACGAGCTGGGCGGAGAATTGCCGAGGCTATCAGGACCCTGATCGAAGGGCGAAAATGCGGCGTTGCCAGCGCTCTGCGGCAGACCTGGGCTAAGGCCACCGACACCTCTGGCGTTGACAAGAACATTTGCTGGAGCGGAAGGCAAGGGTAGCACCCGCAGCATGGTGCTCACATGGTCGGCAAGATTACGCGCGATGAGCTGATCCACTTCGTCCAACACCACAAGTCGGACCTCGCTCGGCTTGATGGCAGCAGCTGCGGGCCCGCTGCCTTGGATGTGCAGAGACGAAGCGTTGTTCGTCATGTAGGTGAAGAGCTCGCTCATCTTTTGCGGCGTTCCCACGACAATGTGCGGCCAGACCTGGACCAGCGACTGGGCCTCTTGATGCACGTCAAGGCTGCTGGCTACCACCATGTGAACACGGATGCCCAGGGGTGCGCCGAGACCCAATGCCATGCGCTGAGCTTGCGTGGCCTGGTCCACCGTTGTTGACACAATGAGAGCGACAGGACCACGGTTGGAAGCAGTCTGGCCGGGTCCGCCTGTCTCCTTGAGAACATTGAGCACGAGCTGCAACGCTGGAATGACGTACGACGCGATCCGCTCTTGCGTCGGAGGCGCTTGGGCAATGATATCGCTGCCTCGGAGAAGGAAGGGCAAGGCTCGTTGCTGGATCCTATTGGGTGGACCTAGACCATACTTGAGAATCGAGCGCAGCAAGTCTGGGTGTAGGTTGAGATGGTCCCATTTGGAGATGATGGCGTTGGGCTGGATGAGACCGGTTCCTGGCTGCAAGACGGTCGATGTCGCGGCTGTGCCATCGTCGAGACCGGGGGTGGGCGGATTGCCCGCGTCAGCTGCGCCAACACCTCCAGCGAGGCCATCCTTGCGGTTGCTTGCTCCCACCTGGCCTGGTGCATTCCATCGTCGGTCGACGCTTTGGTCTTGACCTCGTACATTTGGGCCGCTCCATCCTCGACCATTGCCTGAGATCGAAGGTCGTGGGCTGAGTGCATTTGAGGGCGGGAAAGGGCCGTTGGGACCCGTGGGAAACTGACCGTTAGGGTGACTTCCCACGCGCGGCGACGTAGCGCGATCCAACCCTCCAAGCTGCGGAGTTCCCAGCATTCCGCCCGTCGGTCCGAGTCCAAGTCCAGTCAGCGCAGGTGTCGAGCTGATGCCCGCGCTGCCATTGTTCTGCAGCGTCAGCAGATGCGAGACGCTGCTGGCCAGAGCATTGACCTGGACGTTGAGAGTACGCATGTCCTCGGCTGAGCCGCCATTGGCCACCGCAGCGGCGGTCTGAGCTGCGTTGGCGCTGCTGCTACTGGAGAGACTCGACGGCGGAAGACCCTTTGTGCGTTCGAGCAGCAGCGAGACGTTTCGGGAGATGCCCGAAATTTGGCGTGAGAAGTCCTTCATCCCACTTTCTACACGGATGAGCCGATCGAGCATGTCTTTGATGACGGAAAACTCGAGGGCTGCGTCGTCCGAAGAAGGCATGGGCTTGTCAAAGATGTGTCCAGCCGAGACGGAGCGATTGGGCAACGGACTGTGAAAGCCGGATCCGGTGAGGGGACTTCCGATGGGCGAGTGCACGGTCGAAGATACTGCGCTTCCGATCGTCGCCGCAGTCGGCGAGAGGAGTCCGCCTGACAAGTTCATGTAGGAAGGTACTGTCAGTGTTGGAGCTGCACCGCCGAGTGCTGCTGGTCGATCGATGCGACTGTTGCGTCCGAGCGAGCCTGAAGCGATGCCATGAGATGTCGGATTGCTCGCGTGACCCAGAAAGCCGGCGTTGGCCGAGCCTGCCGTATCGAAAGCATTTTTGGTGGAAGCATCGAGGGTGGCATGGCTAAATTGGGCCGAGGATGCACGCTTCGATGGTAGATTCGAGTTGGCTTGAGAGAGGGAAAAGGTGGTATGATTGCCCTGACTGCTGGCTGGTCGTACGAACGCAGCGCTTGAGGCGTCTCGATCCAGCACTGGCATTGAGTCGGCTGGTACGTCATAGCTGGAAGGGTGCATCCACGAGCTGGGTCGAGTCTTACCGGAGCTCGAGGCTGCAGGCGCGTTGGGACCGGACCCGGAGGAACGGCCGAACGAAGAAGACACCGCCGGGTCGTTCTGGTCGAAGGTATGTTGCGCGTCCAGGAGGAGTCGAGGCGTTCCAAAGTCTGTTTCGCTGCTGGCGTTGTTGCCGCGATCATGCAAGGCCATTCTATTTTGCTGGAAAGAAGGCGATCGAAGTGGCTGCGAGCCGCCGCTTTGACCTTGAAAGCCTGCTGGCAGGGGTGACCCTGAGTTGGCCGAGCGAAAGCTCAGAGTCGAGGCGGCGAGACTGTTGGAGCGAGCGACATCTGGTAGCTTGTGGCCGGCGCTGCCAGCACTATTGCCACCTCTCGCTGCTCCTATGACACCGGGTTGGAGTCCGGGGTTGCTGAAAGCAGAGTCGACAGATCGGTTGGCATCGTTGCCGACATTGCCACTACTCCTTGGCAAGTTTGCAGAGTTGGAGCGAGGAGGTGCGCCGGGTTTGTTGGGCAAAGGGTGGGCTCCGCTCCGCGAAGTGTCGGTGCGCTCTGATATGGAGACAGACGAGGCAGCCTCGAGGCTGCTGTGATTGTTGTTGGCGGCCGACGTCTGAGGCGCGTTGGTGGACCAAATGCTGTTGCCTGTTAGGAAAGGCGAGACTGACATGATGACTAGAATCGTAGTCTCTTCTTGCTTTGACAGGTTGACCGTTGCCAGATCAGCCTTGGAGGTGGTCCGACCAGGTCTCGGCTTGTCGCTCTCGTCCCACAAAGGCTGAAGAATGGTAAGTCGCCTGGCTTTCCTTGGTCGCAGATCGATCGTCGCGAGTAGGGTCCGAGTGCTCGGAAGACAGGAAAGGTCTTTGATGCCGAACAAGGACGCTTCCTGGAAGGTATGGAAGAAGTCGAGTCGAGAGTTGAAGCTTGAGGTAACTTAATCGAAGACTGGCCGCAGCGTCGATCCAAAAAATTGACACTTGTGTCTGAGTGAGCAGGCACCGACACGTCAACGGGCCTCAACCCGAGTCCAACACTTCTTGTCAAGTCAGACTCAGCCGCGCATTCACGATTTCTTCTTGCTTTTAGGGGTCCAATCCGAAGAAAGCACAGCGAAATGCACGGCAGCAACAGGCACAGAACAGCGAAGCACATCTTGCAGCACAGCGCAGCTCCCTTTGGCCATGCGGCGACCAGCATTCGAGAGCCTATCTTGATCAGCGCAGGGACACTCTCGGCGACGAGTCGGTCCAAGCACACGTCGCACCTGTCAAGTGCATGCGCTTCCTTCTTTGTCAAGCCGATCACTTTGTGTCGATACGAGTAAAGGCAGGCCCTGCTTTGGCCAGCCTGCACATCCGACGCCTGTCAACTTTAGGCCGTGACATTATACATCAAGGAACATATCGGTCCAGATGGCGAGAGAGGACTGCACCGCTGAGACAAGCCGTCAGCAGTCACCGAGAGGATGCCATCTGCTTTGTGCTTGCGGTTGTCCTGACACGGTGTCAGAAAGTCTGACGAGATCTTTCAGATTGAGAGAAGATTATAGTACAAGACGCATCGTGAGTCGATTACGCCCGAGTGAGAATGGCAACTAGTTCGATACCGCCCTGGATACCGCCGCAGATCCTCCACGCAGAGTCGACACCGAATCAGAAGAACTTGATCCAGATGATGAACAGGAACAGAAAGCCCACGGCGCCGACGGGAGCCCACTTTCGAAGCAGCGCATCGATGTTGATCTGCCTTGCCGCTTTACGGTACTTGAGCGACTCGTCTCGCAACGACGAGGACATAGTCGACATCTGGTCCAAGCTGTCGCCACGCCAAAGCAGGTCCTCCATGTTTTTCGTCATGATGCGTGTGACATCCTGCAAGTCCTCGTTGAGTCGGTCCAAGTTGGATGAAGCTGCCGATTGCGCTGTGCGAGAGTCCTCGTAAAGTCGTTTTGTTCGCTGCATGAACGTGTCGAAGCTCACAAAGGCGTAGGGTCGAAGCGTCCTCTGTTCCACCTGACTACCGTAGCTGCGCTCAAACTCTTTCGAGAGCTCGTCAAGGTACGAGAAGGCAAGCTTGCGTGGATACGACTTTTCCGCGATGGTGAGATAGACAACTGAGGACGGCATCGCAGGCGGCGGTGAGATGAGGTAGTGCAATGTGTATTTGCCGCTCTCGATGCTGCAGCGCTGCTCGGAAGAGGGGGTGATGCGTCGGAAGATGAGCTTAGCCTGCTGCTTGTGCTCCGAGAGGTCGGTCTCGGTCTTGCCATCATCCACGCTCTGCGCCAATGGCAGTCCGTCCGAGACTCGTGCGATCTGAGTTGACAGCGGCATGCTATTTGAGAAGTATCACTGGGTGGCTGTGATCTAGCTCGAAGTGAATGGGACTGAGGCCGTTTCTGGTTGTTCGGTAGACGACGAGGGATTGGGGCTGATGCTTCGGTTTGGGTGCTGGGGCTGGTACGGTTAAGACTTCGAATTAGGTGAACGACGGGGTCGACGATGATGATGGAAAGGATGCTGCAGCGAAAGGGGTCCGAGCGTGTCGCTTTCACTTCTTCCCGCCACGCTGTTCGGCTCACACCAGCACCTACGTGTAGCAAAAGTCACAGATCAATCGAGTTGTAGATCTCACAATCTCGTGTATTTTTTTCTTGCATATCGGTTGCCTGCAAAAGTCCAAATTGAACAGCAAGCGAGCAACAAGGCATCTCACAGCGACGTCGATCCCCCACTCAGAAAGTGCTCTCAGCAACCCACGGGTCTCAGCCAGCAAGGCGAGGTTGGTCTCACCCTTTGGACGTAGTTCACCTTCCATCTATCTCACCTTTCGTCCGTCATCGTCTTTGCCTCCCACTCCATACTTCATCTTGAAGCGACTGCTGCCATCGATCAAGCAGACGTCACTCGGGCACAGCCATCATTCGTTCGCTCCTCGACGTCTCGACGCGGATCAACAGCTCCGCAGCCTGCCAAACGGATCTCTCTTCGGTCGGCGCTCACTGCGAATCCCTATTAGTCCGCTCGCTCACCCTTCGCATCACAGCATTCTCTCGAGATCACACTGCATGATGATGGACGGCGTCGACGAGTATGCAGGCCAGGACTCGGGTACTCACCTCACGCTCGAGCTGCGAGGCACCCGCTTCACAATCGAGCGCGAGACCATGATGAACCTGCCCGAATCAGTGCTACTTTGCCTCTTCCCGAACGGCCTCATCCTCACACGTCAGCCTCGCGTGCAGTCTCTCATCGATCAGGACGGAGGCGCTGGCGAGGACGACGAAGAGGAGCTCTACTTGGTTGACTTCGATCCTCAGTGTCTCTCGTACGTCCTCAGCTTCTTCAAGACGGCACAAGACGACTTTTACGGCACGCACGAAGCCCCTGGCAAGTACCGTCCGAGCTCGTCCTTTGGCAACAACTCTGGCATGTACCAGTACAACGGAGCGGGAGAAGACCCCAACAACATGAACCAGGGCGGCATGTCCCAGATCCCATTGATGAACAAGCAGCCCATCATTGTCCTGCGCGAGGAGCTCGAATACTTTGCTATTCCGCCCAAGAAGGCTGTCACCGATGCACAACCTGCTGCGCTGGATCCAGAAGCGTTCGAGGGCACCGATCCAAGCACCGGTCACCCCACGCCGGCGCTGCTGCGACTCAAGTACGCTTGCGGAGATGCTCTTCTCGATCGCAAACAGATCTTCACCGCCTTGCAGCGAAATGTCAACAAGGAGAACAACCTGGCCGAGCAGCACCTCATCGACATGCTCTGCATGAGCGGCTTTGACCGCGAAGACACGTGGGGCTTCCGCGCACTTGAGCCCAACCGTTGCTGCATCACCTCGATCGCATTGGTCTTGCTCAAGACGGGCATCACACATGCAGGCGAGCTCGAGGCAGAAGGCATCAACCCAGAGTCGCTGGCTGCGAACGACTACCACGATCCCAGCGGCCAAACGAGCATGATGAACAACATTCGCGTCGACCATCAACAATTCGCGACTGCGCAAAAGCTGCTCCTCTTCTGGCGGAAACCGGCGAGAAAGTGTTGGTGGGACGGTATCGACATTGTTCTTCCTGCAAACAAGGACAACACGACTGCAGAGGCTGCACAGACTGTTCAGCCCGATGACCTGAATGACGCCGGCTTGACAGCAAAGGAAGTGGAGCTGCTCAAGTCTGGAAAGGGCAGGAAAGTGCGGGTCTGGGCACGCCGAGTCTGGACGTTGGAGCTCAGCCTGATTTGATGGATGCCGCCTCCTTTGCTTCAGGCCGACCCACTGCACATCGACGAGAACCCAAGCCAGGAGCGCTCTATACCCTTTCTCGTTCTCGCATCATTCTTAATGAACACTATCTAGCATCTTTCACCATCTTTCCACATTGTTTGTCAGCTCGTTTCGAAGACAACTGCATCGCATGCTTACTTTCGCTTCATCCTTGTTACCCATCTGTCCTCATGTTTCGGCTGCGTCTGAGCGTCCGACGCTGCAGGATGTTATGTCTGAGTATAGCTGCGCACAAGAGGATCCAGCGTGGATTTTCAGTCGCACGAGAAATTCTCACCTCTGAGTCTCACGTGACAAGGCCTTTTTCTAATCGGAACAGCTCGAGATCCGAACACATTTCTTCTCGACATCATCAGTGCTTCTCAGCTACCACCCTCAAGCATCGAATCGACGTGCACCCGACGATAGCTCATTCGACGATACTTCGCATCATCATGGCGTCAAGATCGACAGGCGTCGCTCGCCAGCTTTTGACCGCCGCTCCTGGGGCGTCTCGCACTTTGACACGGACCGCAGTACCTGTCGCCAGGTCGTTTGCTTCCTCCGCAAGCCACTCGAATCAGTCTACCTCCTCCTCCGTGACGCTGGACCAGCTTCGCGACGCTTCGCGGACCCTTCCGCCAACTCGAAGCAGCTCATCATCTGGCTCGGCCAATGTCGAGAGTAGCAATGCTGCCGCCGCCATAGAGGAAGAGCAATTTGTCCTTCCCAACTGCCTTCTTCCCACCGAATCACTCAAACCAACACACGGCATCCACGTTGCAACATTACACCTGCGCTCCTACGCTGACGGCTTGCCGAACCTCGACCTATTTGCCGACTTTGCACGTCGGGCAGCATTTGCGATCGGCATCCCCGCGAGTGGTGTGGCTCACCTTCCCACGCGCACCTCGCTCTGGACGGTGCCACGGTCGCCTTTCGTGCACAAGAAGTCGCAGGAAAACTTCTGGAGAAAGACGCATTCGAGGGCGATCAAGCTCTTCGACGCGAATGACCAGGTGGTGGATCGCTGGCTGCACTTTTTGCGTATTCACGCGCTGCCCGGAGTGGGACAGAAGGCGGAGCTGTTTCGGTACCACGAGGTGGGTGTAGGCGACAAGCTGATGGAGGAGGCCAAAGCTTTGCAACGTTCGAGCTCGACGCCGGTATCGGAAGATGCGGCAGATAAGAAGGAGCATGTAGCAGAGGCCTCAGCGCCGGAAGGATCGAGCGCTGAGACTATCAAGAAGCTCGCCGACGGCATCGTTGAAAAGGAGATGGCACAGGAGGGGTCCGCCGAGCAGAAGTAAGGCGTCCCTTGTGGAATTTGTGCCTCGGCGAAAGGGACCGGCTTCGTCGTTCCCGTTGTGGACCAAGCGCAGCTGGACAGGAATTCTGTCAAAGGTTTCCGAGCAAAAGATGTTCCGATCCCATCCGCTGTGCTCGAACCCACGATTCTCAATTCACGATGCTTCTGGAGCCCATGTTGAGCGTCTGCTTGTGCTTTCCAATGCCTCTCGCGATGTCAAGGAAAGTCCTGTCGCACTTGCTGATCGATCAATTCGAACCGAATTTGAGATGAAGAAGTGAGCAATTTGCAATGCCATCGGCCCTGGTGCGGACAACGACATAGGAATCGGTGAAAAAGTTCAGCTGTTGATCAAGGCAGACTGGATGAGAAGAAAGCGCAAAGATTGCGAGGTACGCGATGATGACAGCTAAACTTTCCTGATGTATCTCAGGCCAAGTTTCGGTTCAGGCTGGATCCAAAAGCGATAAGTGAAGATCGAAGCCCACCATGAGAGCTTGGCCTGATCCAGATGTCGTGCATCGCCCATATGGAGCCCTTCTTCCATCCCATGGTGGGCCTCTTGACACGAAGATCGTAGAAACGAAAGATGGGGCCCGGGTTAGCTGAGATATCCGGGCCATCCTTTTGTTGCCCCTAGCATCTTGACGTTTTGACGTCGTCGGTCCGGCACCTGCATGGAGGGTCGGCAAAAATAGAATGACCAAAGAGGTACGCGGGAGATCGACGCCAAGTGCATAGAAACAGACGCCTTGTGTGTTGATCTCACGATTTTAAGAATTTAAAAAAAAAAAAAAAAAAAAAAA